TCAGTCAATAGGTTGTGTTGATCATTTACCCATCCCATGCTCTGGCATCCTCATGACATGCAACTTTTACATTCTCGGAACAGATCGTTTTCATTTCAATATCATATGATAAGATAGTTAGACAGCTGATACCTTCCCAAGAATAAGTAGGATAACCGCCCCCGCACTCTCCAGCCTAGATAATAATCTCCAGTGCTCTAGACATCTCTCCCCAGATGCCTGTGAGGAAATATTGACCTTGCAGACTATTTTCACTGTCCACAAGGCAGAATGGCTTGTCAGGTTAAAGCTGGGTCTGGGATCAGGAATCTTATGCTCTTTTCCTTGCTCTGCCATGCTGACTTACAGTGCGGCTTTAGCAGGTCACTTACCCTTTCTGTGCTTCAGTTTCTCCCTCTGTAAAATGAAGGTGATAATATTGAAGTACCACAGAGAGGTGTTCTAAGGCATGTTGGTAAAGTCATCAGGACCCCCAAGCTGGAAGGTGCAACAGAAGTGCAAAGTATTGTGTGTATATTATGCCAAATTGATGGTGATTGGATAGATGAGCAAATTGGGGTAGAGGGCTGAGTGAGAAAAGAAGGTTTAATGTAGGCCTATATTGTTCTGATGTATAGAATTGCAGCCTGTCTCAAATTTATTAATGAAAACAGCTTCCACTCTGCTTGAGTTCCAGGTTTGTCCCTCTTATTTACCAAAGATCACATTTTGTCTGGAACTCTATATGGCACACACAGATACCTAGCGGCTGGATAACATAAATACAAGCACATATCATTACATAGCTGTCTGACCAACCTGATTACCTTCTATGATGAGATAGTTGGCTCTGTGGATATTGGGAAAGCGATGGACGTGATATATCTTGCCTTTAGCAAAACTTTTAATACGGTCTTGCACGGTATTCTTGCCAGCAAGTTAAAAAGTATGGATTGGATGAATGGATCATAAGGTGGATAGAAAGCTGACTAGATCATCTGGCTCAACGGGTAGTGATCAATGGCTTGATGTCTAGTTGGCAGCCAGTATCAAGCGGAGTGCCCCAGTGGTTGGTCCTGGGGCCGCTTTTGTTCAACATCTTCATTAATGGTCTGCATGATGGGATGGATTGCACCCTCAGCAAGTTTGCGGAAGACACTAAGCTGGGGGGAGGTAGATACGCTGGAGGGTAGGGATAGGGTCCAGAGTGACCTAGACAAATTGGAGGATTGGGCTAAAAGAAATCTGATGAGGTTCAACAAGGACAAGTGCAGAGTCTTGCACTTAGGAAGGAAGAATCCCATGCTCTGCTACAGGCTGGGGACCGACTGGCTAAGTAGCAGTTCTACAGAAAAGGACCTGGGGATTATAGTGGACAAGAAGTTGGATTTGAGTCAACAGTGTGCCCTTCTTGCCAAGAAGGCTAAAGGCATATTGGGCTGCATTAGTAGAAACATTGCCAGCAGATCGAGGGAAGTGATTATTCCCCTCTATTCGACACTGGTGAGGCCACAACTGGAGTATTGCGTCCAGTTTTGGGCCTCCCATTATAAAAAGGATGTGGACAAATTGGAGAGAGTCCAGCAGAGGGCAACAAAAATGATTAGGGGGCTGGGGCACATGACTTATCAGGAGAGGCTGAGGGAACTGGGCTTATTTAGTCTGCAGAAAACAAGAGTGAGGCGGGGATTTGATAGCAGCCTTCAACTACCTGAAGGGGGGTTCCAAAGAGGATGGAGCTCGGCTGTTCTCAGTGGTGGCAGATGACAGAACAAGGAGCAATGGTCTCAAGCTGCAATGGGGGAGGTCTAGGTTGGATATTGGGAAAAACTATTTCACTAGGAGGGTGGTGAAGCACTGGAATGGGTTACCTAGGGAGGTGGTGGAATCTCCTTCCTTAGAAGTTTTTGAGGCCCGGCTTGATAAAGCCCTGGCTGGGATGATTTAGTTGCGGTTGGTCCTGCTTTGTGCAGGGGATTGGACTAGATACCTCCTGAGGTCTCTTCCACCCCTAATCTTCTATGATTCTATACAATGCTATGCTATTTTTGGAGGATATATATGAGCCTGATGGGCCACAAATGGAGTTGCACTTATTTTGTTTTAGATACTATTCTGCAATTGTAAAGAAAAAGGAACTGATAAAGAGGGGAGGGATAGCTCAGTGGTTTGAGCATTGGCCTGCTAAACCCAGGGTTGTGAGTTCAATCCTTGAGGGGGCCATTTAGGGATCTGGGGCAAAAATTGGGGATTGGTCCTGCTTTGAGCAGGGGGTTGGACTAGTTGACCTCGTGAGGTCCCTTCCAACCCTGATATTCTATGGTTCTAAGATGTAGAATTTGACTCACTGCTTCACATAGAGAAGTGAATAGGAATTGGTGTATCTTACACTTTCTTATGATGCCTTCAGCATGTAAATTGCATTCCCTTACATTAACACCCCGCAGTACATGGGGACAAGCAGGAAAACGTATGCAAATTAACTAAAGGTATTACTGTAAAGTAAATTAGTTCACCTGCATAAAGCCCTTGTGTGGATGCTCTTTATTCAGAAATAAAGTGGCCTTAATTTCATTTAGATTCTTATTCTTAATTGAATTAAGGCCACTTTAATCTGAATAAGAGTGTCGAGACAGGGATTTAATGCACTTTAATCCTCTTTAAAAGTTAATTCGGATGAATTTTTCCTGAAGCAGGTGTCTCTGTATACACAAATTCTAATTTATACATTTATATCATCACTGAATTTGATTCATGGAGTCTTATACTCTCTGGTTTTTGCTTCCCTGCTCTGCCCCTCTGTCCTTGCCTCCCAGCGTATGAGTTACATCAGCTCACACTCCCAGAGGGACAGATTCAGAGGTGACAGGACGTGGGGTGCAAGGTTCATGTCAGTTAGTGGGAGGAATGTAACTTACATGCTGAATGGGTCAGAGAAGGTTTGACTCACTTAGGTAAACTTAGACTGGTCTCTCTATGAGGCCCTTTGCGGGGGGGGCTCTGTACTGTGTAAACCCATGCACACCTAGGCAGGGTGGAGGCAGAGAGTGGGACCCAGAGTGGCTGGAACAGCCCCGGGAGCAGGTAGGAACCCCTGGGACCCTTCTTCGTAGCCTGGAGCTGACTGCCCTCCCCCTGCTGAGTCTCAGTACCTCCCTTCACTCCCCCTCCTATCCCTCTTTCCCTCCCCCATTCACAGGAAGCTTCCACACACCCCTCCACTCCCTGACAGTGACTGGGGGGTTACTGGTAGAGCTGCTCTTAGAAGGTGCACTGTGCAGCAGGCAGGAGGCAGTGTTGCATGCTGAGACAGGCTTTCACCTTCTTTCCCCGCCACAGCAGGCAGGTGTGTACATTAGCCTTTCCTCCCCAAAGGGGATGCTGTTTTATGCCTTCTTTGCTGAGAAGCAAGGCATTTGGGTAGAATAACCTCGTTTCCAAAAGTACATTCCACATGCCTCTGAAGTTTACAGGATGGAGGCTCCCCTCCGCCAAAGCACAAATCCAGGATGGTTTAGGGCCTAATCTTTGTGGGCCTCCAGCCCCAAGAGTGTTAAATGGTCCCTTGCTGGGCACTGCTGTTCGACCCAGTAGAGAGAAAGTGGTGATGTGCATGCACTAGCCATTCGAGCAATGTTACAAGGCCACCGAGTTTCTTACAGTTACTCTTATCAGAACCTGTTCCTACAGCCTTCACCGGGTGTCAATTTATCTCTCCCCAATTGTGTACCAGAATATTAGGAAATGTTAGGGATGCACTTTCAAAGCATTGTCTGGTGATTCAGCCACATAGCTGCTGTTAATATGCAGTGGAAACTGTATGAATAAATCCCTTTGGTTTGTTTATAAAATGTATCCCCTTAAGGCACTGTATCAGCTTCAGCACTTCTGTTCTAACCTGTTTTCTACCTAAATAGGAACAATGTGGCCCAATGGCCAAGGCAGTGATGGAGGAGTTAAGTGACATGGGTTCTAGTCCTATTCCTAGTTCTGGTCTTGACACTGAAGAACGATGGTCCGGTGGTTAGAGCACTAGCCTACGGCATGGGAGACCTGTGTGCCATTCCCTGTTCCACCACATTCTCTGTTTCCACATCTATAATATGTGGATAATAATACTCACCCCTCCCTCCCTTTATAAAGTGCTCTGAGTGCCTCATACAAAAGATGTGCAGGAACAGTTGTTATGCCCTCCTTGGGAGGCCATGACCCAACATGGCGTGGACTCTTACAAAACCTGTTTGTGTCATCTTGTCTGGCTTCAGCTGCCCAGACAGATTTGTATTTATTAGGCCAAGTTTCCAAAGCACACAGAGCAAGCATTTCCAGATCTGCGTTGCTGCATAAGATCATCCCGGCCCATTGTTCTGACTATGTCATCTGCTCGGAGTCCCACCCGTGGCTGCCACACAAGTCACATGCTCACTGGCCTTATCGTAAAGACCACTAATAATTTAGTCCTGCCCTACCTGTCAGATCGATTAGCGTGGAGTTGACTGCGGTATTTGCTCCACCGGTGGTGCCAGTCTGTGTCCCCCATTGGTCCATGTCTCCTTCCAAGCGCTTTGGTGCTTTCTCCTCCACTGACCCTTGTGTGTGGAACAAACTCCCTGAAAATAATCTACGAAGCCACTACTCTGACCCCCATTCAACTCCCTCCCATAGGCTCACCCTCTGCTGGAATGCTCACATGTGGGCTCAGCTCACATTCCCCTATTACTGTTACCGTGTCCTATCTCCCCCAGATCTCCACTTGCTTAGTGTTTTTTATTCACCTGTTGTGTCCTGTCACTAACAGGGAATGTAAGTTCTGCAAGGCCAGGACTGTCTTTTACTGCATGTTTGTACAGCGCCCAGGGTAACGGGGCATAATCCATGATTAGGGCCTCTAGACACCATTACAGTGCAAATAACAAAACAACAATAATAACTAATAATGCATACACATTTCTATTTACTTACTTGCACATTAGGTGCCCCAACGATGTCACAAGTTCTTGTTCCTTTGTCTCATTTCTAAGAGCCCATAATACCGTTCAAGACAAAACTGGAGGATGTTGAAGTTCAGGAGAAAGAATCCGCCACCTTCCAGTGTGAGGTGCCTGTCCCTAGCACTGAAACTGCCTGGTTCAAAGAGGAGACCAAACTCCAGCAGAGCAAGAAGTACAACATTGAAGAAGAGGGGACATACCGCCGGCTCACCGTCCAGAATGTCACCACGGATGATGACGCCGTCTACATCTGTGAAATGAAGGAGGGGAGCAGGACCATCGCAGAACTCACTGTCCAGGGTAAGAGAATCCACTGCAATGGGTTTCTCCTTCCCTTTTTGTGCCTCCCTCACACTCCTTAAAGATTTTTATTTGTGTGGGCTAAGGTAAAGCCTGCCTGACGGCGCTGATGATTTCATCTGGAGTTGACATGAGCGTTTGCAGCTGCATTTTATGCTCTGGTGGGTGGTGCACAGTGTACTGGGAATGTGATTTCAAAAGGCCTGCCGCATTACTAGGACAGTGGAATGATCCCGTTGAGGGGTTGTTAACGGGGATTGAACCTGGACACCCCAATCTGTAAGCATGAGTCTGTACCACTTAGGTGAAAGGATTTGGGGCCAGCTTTTTAAAGGTAGTTAGATGCCTAAAGATACAAATAGGCACCTACTGGGGTTGTCAAAAGCTCCTAAGGGCCTGTCTCCCGTTGACCAAAATCTTCCCCAAGTCCTTTAGCTGTAAGCAGTAGCAAACTCAGAAACGTTCTGTGCGGACCAGCCACTGGAGGGACATAAAGCCACGCTGTCCTGGTGCAGGTTACTAGAGCACAGAACGACTTCGAGAGTAGGGCCAAAAGTCAATCGTTGGTGACTGGTGGGGAAAGTAAATGTTTTGGTAGGGTTGACAGAAAAAGTGAGTTCTTTTTCACTCTTCACTTTTTGCAAAAAACCAAAAGGCCATTTTCTGAGGCAGGAAAGTGACATTTCACCACTTAAAGCGATGATTTGCTAAGAAAATGTAAAAAATTTTTTCTCAATGAACATTTTTTCAAGAGGTTGTGATGAAAATTCACGAAAGGCAGCACGAGGTGATGAGAACAGGGAACTTCATCCCTAGAACAAATCTGTGACTACATCACTACTTCACAGATGGATATTTGAAAGGAGGAACGTTGCTAACATTAATGATTATACCAATCACACTTCTCTAAGAGTGAAATTCACCAGGGCAGGGAGTGGCCCAGGGTCTAGGCACTACTTAAGTCCTGCTTCAGCACTATTGTTAGCTCTTAAGTGGTATCAGTCTTGTGTGGGCTGTGTGCACAGGGGTGAATTTCACTCCCATCACCTGAGCAATAGACTGGAAGCCAAAAACTCCTACACTGTAAACTCAGATCTGCCTCTGACTTTCTCTACAGACTTAGGCAAATAGCATTCCTGGACTCAGTTTTCCCATCTGCACTATGGGGTGGGGTTTTCAAAAGTGCTGAAGTCTTGATGCTATTCATACTTCCCTATAGAGCTTTATCTCCTTATAAATACTAACAATATAGGGAGCACGGGTTAAAAAGGAAATGTATGACTAAAGTTACCATTAAATATGAGCTGCAGCTGCAGAGTTCAGATATTGAGCCAGATCCAAACTTTCCTGAAGCTTACGGCTGTTCTTCATCAGGGATTTGGTTTGCCCCATAATATGGATTAGGCTCCTGGGGCAAAATCTGGATGTTGGTCCAAATCCAGATGCCAATTTCCCCAAAGTTTGGGAGCTTAGGGTTGATGTGTATTGAGATCGAGGGTTTGGGCCAGTGTAGGTTTCTCACAAACACAGAGACATGTTTGCAGAAGTGTCTGTTAATTTTAAGTTTGTTGATTCACCTACATGAAATCTAAGTCCGATAGCTGTGATCATGATTCTGATGTTGATTCTACTTATGTAAATTATAATGATCTCCACTGAAACTAATGGAGATACACTGTTGTAAAAGCTAGAGAAGTGAATTTGGCCCTTTTCATTTCCGGTCTGACTATATTTCAGTTGAAGGCCACGGGGGTATCCCACTGTAAAACCTGGTGGGCCCTGTCAGATTTGTATATACAAATGCAGGTTTTACACCTGACAGCAAATGGAGAGGTGCAAGCATTATGGGAAATTTGACCCAAACAGATGCAGGAGTTGATGAAGGAAATTACAACCTACTCTTGGGAATATATTATGGATTTCTTGATTAATTGTGAAATTATAAACTTTAGAGACAAAAAGTATTATATTCATGGCATGCACACAAAAAAGTTAGATTAAAAAAATAAATACTCTTGTTGAAAGGTTGCTGTGTTACAATGCTTTATTTCTCAGAATTCAGAATAACTCCCAAGAACCTCAAAACAGAGAGCGACAAAGCAGGCTGCTCCCTAAAAGGGAGAGGCACAGCTCACCCCACTTTACCCTAGAGTGGGTGGCTGCAGACCTACTCAGATGACCCATATCACATGGCTTCCCTCAGAGCCCCCTCACTTGCAAGCAGGACCAGGAAATCCTCACACTTAAAAATCGCTTGTTATTTTTAACACAGATGTTTTGGAGCATCTGATCCATCTTTCTGTAGTATTCATTGCCCCAAGTGGGGTGTATGTATGGCAAACAAGACAAAGAGGATAACCCTATTAATACCGAGGAGTCCAGTGGCACCTTAAAGACTAACTGATTTATTTGGGCATAAGCTTTTGTGGGTAAAAACCCTCACTTCAGATACCCCTATTAATACCCCTCCTCTCCTCTTCTGAAAAAAAAATCCATCCATGACTTGAATATCATTACAGCTATTCGCATTTGCAGCTTTGCAAACAAAAGTAACTTGAGTTCACACTGCAGGATGTAAACCGATCTCACGTGGGAGTCAGAAACGATCATTTCCCTCCATATCACAGCATTGCACACCCAGCTAAATTCTTCGCATACTGGTCAATCCCAGAGATGGGATATTGAATACTAGTGATAGAGTACTTGTCTGATCTGCCATGGTTATGGATACAATTTTGTCATGGTAAAATTATGCATAATTCATGGCACAGTCACAATAAAAATGAATAATTTCAAACTATGGTAATGGCAACTTTATGGACCCTGTTGATGAATATGAACAGTTCATTAGTTCACTTTGGTCAAGTCTTCTTTGAAACAGGACTATCTGAAGCCTGTCTCCCAAGCAAGGGGGAAAAAATTCATAGGGAAGGGTTGCAGAACAAAGTGTGTGAACAAGCATCTCAAACAGGTTATTAGGAGAAAGCAGAAAGCCTACAAGGAATGGAGGAAGGATGGATCAGCAAGAAATGCTACTTTTTGGAGGTCAGAAAGTATAGGGAAAAAGTCAAAACGGTCAAAAGCCAAGCAGAGTTGGACATGGCAAAAGAAATTAAAACCAATAGTAAAAGGTTTTTCAGCCATATAAATAAAAGAAAAACAAGGAAGGAAGAAATGGGACTGCTAAACATGGAGGATGGTGTGGAGATTAAAAATAATCTCGGTGGGGCCTAACACCTACACTAATATTTTGCCTCAGTTTTTAATAAGTGTAATGAGGAGCTTGGGGCAGTGGCAGGATGGCTAATGGAACAAGAATATGGAAGGAGGTGGAAGCCAAACTCAGACAGCTTTAATGAGCCCAAATTGGAGGGCCCAGATAATCTCCCTTCAAGAATATTAAGGAACTGGCACATGACATTTCAAGCCCAATAGAAAGGATTTTTAATGAATCCATAAATTTGGAAGGGTCAACACTGTGACTGGAGGATTGTGAATATAGTACCTATATTTAAGAAAGGGGAAAAAAAGTGATCCATGAAACTATGGGCAAGTTAGTTTGACCTCAATTGTATGCATGGTCTCAGAACAAATTTTGAAAGAAAAGCAGTTAAGGACATAGAGGTAAATGGTAAGTGGGATAAAATATAACATGGTTTACTAAAGATAGATCATGCTAGACTGACCCAATCTCTTTCTTTGAGAAGATAACTGATTTTTCTAGACAAAGGAAATGCAGTAGATCTAATCTACCTGGCTTTCAGTAAAGCATTTGATATAGTTCCACATGGGAAGTTATTAGTTAAATTGGAGAAGATGGGGCTTTAATATGAGATTCGAAAGGTGGGAAAGGAACTGGTTAAAGGGGAGACTATAACAGGTCATGCTGAAAGGTGAACTGTTGGGTTGGAGTTCCTCAAGGATCGGTCTTGGGACCAATTGCATTTAATACTTTTACTAATGACCTTGATACAAAATGTAGGCATGTGCTAATACAATTGCAGATGAGACAAAGTTGGGAGGTATTGCAAATATGGAGGACTGTAATATCATGCAAAAAGATATGGATAACCTTGAAAACTGGAGTAATAGAAATGGGATGAAATTTAATAGTGCAAAGTGCAAGATTGTGCACTTACGGACTAACAACAAGAATTTTTGCTATAAGCTGGGAAAGTATCAGATGGAAATGGCAAAGGAGGAGAAAGACCTGGTTGTGTTGGTTGATCACTGGATGACTGTGAGCCACCAATGTGATGCGGCCATGAAAAAAGCTAATGCAATCTTGGGATAGCTCAGGCAAGGTATTTTCAATTGAGATAGGCAAGTGTTATTACCATTATACAAGACACTAATGAGACCTCATCAGGAATTCTGTGTGCAATTCTAGTCTTCCCATGGTTTAAAAAGATGAATTCAAACTGGACCAGGTGCAGAGAAGGGCTATTAGGATGGTCAGAAGAATGGAGAACCTACCTTACGAGAGGAGACTTAAGGAGCTTGGCTTGGGTAGCCTAACCAAACAAAGGCTGAGGGGAGATAGGATTGCTCTCTATAAATACCTCAGAGGGATAAATACCAGGGAGGGAGAGAAGTTATTTAAGTTAAGAGCCAATGCTGACACAAGAATAAATGGATATAAACTGCCATCTATAAATCTAAGCTTGAAATTAGATGCCGGTTTCTAACCATCAGAGGAGTGAAGTTCTGGAACAGCCTTCCCAGGGGAGAAGTGGGAGCTAAAAGCCTAACTTGTTTTAAGATTGAGCTTGATAAGTTTATGGAGGGGATGGTGTGATGAGACTCTACAATGGCATAAGGCCCATCCACAACTGCTGTTAGCAAATATCTCCAGTGGGTGGAGAAAGGACACTAGATGGGGAGGGTTCTGAGTTACTACAGAGAATTCTTTCCCAGGTGTTTGGCTGGTGGAACTTGCCCACATGCTCAGGGTCTAACTGATCACCATATTTGGGGCTGGGAAGGAATTTACCCCCAGGTCAGATTGGCAGAGACCCTGGGTTTTTTCACTTTCTTCTGCAACGTGGAGCACAGGTCGTTTGCTGGTTTGAACTAGAGTAAATGGTGGAGTCTCTGTAACTTAATTCTTTAAATCAAGATTTGAAGACTTCACTAACTAAGCCATAGGTTATGGACCTACTACAGGAATGGGTGGGTGAGGTTCTGTGGTCTACAATGCACAGGCTGTCAGACTAGATGATCATGATAGTCCCTTCTGGCTTTATAGTCTATGAGTGGGACTGGATCAAAGCAACTAATAAACTGTTCATACGCAACAGCCGATGGAAGTGAACTAACAAACTGTTAATGTGGGGTAGCAGGATCCATATCAATGGCAAAATTCACAGTTCCGCGATCGTGGTGACCTTTCATGGTTGACTTGAAATAAATGGCAAAATTAACGGGTTCCATGACAGTGTGCACCAGGGCATAATCATATACTTAGCCATAGTGAACACTACCTCTCCTAGCAATTCAGGATTGTTGCCTATAGGAACTATTTGCAACAGCCTCACAATAGGAGGAGTGGGGGCAAACAAGCTAGCTAATTTTAAGATGGCGTTTGGTAAATTTATCAATGGGATTATATGATGGGGTTGCCCGCAATAGCAGGTGAGTAGAACTGATGACCCAGGAAGTCCCTTTCGATCCTATGTTCCTGTCTAGTCTGACCTCCTGCATAACACAGGCCATAGAATCTCACTCAATTATTCCTATATCGAAGCCATATGTTGTGACTGAGGGCTTGTCTACACTACCACATGGGGTCGATCTAAGATACGCAACTTCAGCTACGTGAATAGCGTAGCTGAAGTAGACATACTTAGATCTACTCACCGTGGTGTCTTCACTGCGGTAAGTTGACAGCTGGCGCTCTCCTGTCAACTCCGCTTGTGCTTCTCGTTCTGGTGGAGTACTGGAGTTGACAGGAGAGTGCTCAGTGGTCGATTTATCACATCTATACTAGACGTGATAAATCGACCCCCACTGGATGGATCGCTGCCCGCTGATCTGGGTGGTAGTGTAGACAAGCCCTTAGTTAGAGCTTTTGGCACTGTTTTGATCTAGCTGATCTGTGTACCGCAGTATTCTGTGTCTGCTGTATTATGACTGTAGTAGTTTTCTTTCATACAGGGAACATCATTAAAAAACTGCCACGGAAGACTGCGGTCCCCATAAACGACACAGCCATATTCTGCGTGGAGCTGGACAACGAGTGCCAGAACATCCACTGGCTGAAGAATATGGAAGAAATGAAACCCAATGACCGAATCACTATCACCTCAGCTGGCAAGCAACATACGCTGATTATCCGGGAGTGCAAGATGGAAGACGCCGGGGAGATTGCATTCCTGGCTGATGAGTGCAGAACATCTACCCAGTTCACTGTGTCCAGTAAGCTTTCCTTTATTCTATATTACAGTGAGCATCAGAACATAAGAATGGTCATACTGGGTCAGACCAACGGTCCATCTAGCTCAGTAGCCTCTCTGGCAGTGGCCAATGTCAGATACTTCAGAGGGAGTGAACAGAGCAGGGCAATTATTGAGTGATCCATCCCCTGTCATCCAGTCCCAGCTTCTGGCAGTCAGAGGCTTAGGGACACCCAGAGCATGGGGTTGCGTCCCTGACGCTCTTGACTAATAGCCATTGATGGACCTATCCTCTGTGAACTTATCTCATTCTTTTTTGCACCCTGTTATACTTTTGGCCTTCAGATTGACTGTGTGTTGTGTGAAGAAGTACTTCCTTTTGTTTCTTTTAAAACCCGCTGCCTGCTAATTTCATTGTGTTACCCCTGGTTCTTGTGTTTTGCGAAGGGGTAAATAACACTTCCTTATTCACATTCTCCTTACGATTCAATAATTTTATAGAGCTCTGTCATATCCTCCCTTAGTCATCTCTTTTCCAAGCTGAACAGTCCCAGTCTTATTAATCTTTTGTCACACCCCTAATAATTTTTGTTGTCCTTCTCTGTACCTTTTCCAATTCTAATAGATCTTGTTTGAGATGGGGTGACCAGAACTGGATGCCATATTCAAGGTGTGGGCATACCATGGATTTATATAGTAGAATTATGATATTTACTGTCTTATTATCTATCCCTTTCCTAGTGGTTCCTAACATTCTGTTTCTTGACTGCTGCTTCACATTAAGCGGATGTTTTCAAAGAATTATCAGGGGATAATTTCAAAGAGGGGTTTGGACCTGCTGCCTCTGCCTACCCTGTGGGCTGCCCCCTGCAACCCCAGTACCTATTTGGCCTTCCACTAGGCCTGCAGCCTGCGGGGTTTCCAGGCCAGAGCTCCCCCAGCTCCTCTGGCCTTCCCCCAGCCCTGCTCCACCTCAGGTACTCTCTCAGCTTCCCAGCAGCCAGGCCCCTCTCCCTCCACAGCTAGAGGGAGAGTTCTTCTGCTCCTGGCTTCACTGGCTTTTAGAGGGCCCGCTGGGTCTGTCTGGGGCGTGCTTTTCCACTTTTCCACTGCCCCAGCCCTCTCCCAGGGCTGTTTTAAGCCCTTCCAGGCAGGAGCGGGTGATCACCCCGCTACAGTGCACTGCCATCTGCTGGAGGTGCTGACACAGCAGTAACATCAGCAGCTCTCTGATCTTATCACAGATCACTTCCCCTCAGGTACAGCTTTTTGGTGGGGTAGCAGCACTGTATGTACAAAGGGCAAAATTCTGCTCTTCTTCCAGAGCAATTGTGGGGATGTCGCTGGTGTTACCCTGGGTTTACACCCGTGAAGCAGAGAGAGGAATTTTGGTCCGTTGCATTTGGAATTCCTTCATGGGGTCATTCTACTTATAGTACTGCTTAATACAGCAAATTGTCCATTAAACTACACTGCCCAAAATCTTTACAGGAAGTTGGCTGTCTGCATTTGCCATGGAAAAATTAAGCATGATGAATCGTGAACAAACAACTTTATGTTAGGGAGCTCCCCAAGGCCAACTCCTATGTGTGTACAATGTACCAACCATCTCCTTTAGCGAAGGAATCTTTTGGAGTTCCCCAGCATTCTCAGCAGCCATCTGGTAGTACCGTGCGTACAGCCCACTGTTACTTTAAAGGGATTGCATAAATGCAGGAAAGGAAGTGCTGGAACAAGGGTTTGATTTAAGCAATGTTCACACCTTCTGAAGAATCCCAATTAAGATGCATCTCACCAGGGTAACAGTGTGTAGTGATACTAAACGGGTGATCCATTACTCTAGCTGAGCGTTAATGAAATAAAATAAGTTAAACCGGCTCCATCTAAGCTTCTTACATGGTCAGTATTGGTATGTGTGTAGGAGTCAATGGTAATTTGTGTACATGTGTGAAAGGTCAATGGTAGTTTGTGCGTGTACTTGGGGAATGGAATTAGTGGTGTGTGTTGGGTCTATAATATTTTGTGTGTGTGAGACAGAAAAGGGGTACAGTCAGTGGACACCAGTGATACTGTGTGTGCGTGTGTGTAGGGTCCATGATAGTGGCAATATGTGGGAAAGCAGATGGTGAAAGATGTGTGTAATTATAGGGATTATTGGTATTGGGTGTGTGGGTCTAATGGTAGTGTGTGTTAGAGGTGTCAGTACTTCGGGGGTACTGAGTGCTGTTTTGTGTATGCTGTGTGTGTGGATGGTCAGTAGCGTTGTGTGGGGCCAGTGATCTCCGTGATTGTCTAGGGCGACACTAGCATTGTGTGTGTACATGGATTGTGTGTCCATGGACGGTACTGTTTGAGGATGTGTTTTTCTTCAAACCCCCTTGCTTATCCATCTTGGATTAAGACTGTCTGAAACATTCCGTGTATTGACGTCAGCAGAGGAGTAAGAACGCTAATCCGATTCCTGATAGCCCTCGTGCACAGGTGCCGGCGTGTCTGTCATGCGCTGTGGTGTGTTCATTCTGTGATATGGTTTTGTCTGTGTTTTTATCGCACTTCAGCTCCAAGAAAACCCCCATCCCATCCCCCATCTGACCCCGTGGTGAAAAATAAAACAGAAACCTCCGTGACGCTTGCCTGGTCCCCTCCCAAAATGGAGCAATTCATTCTCCTCGATGGCTACCTGGTGGAACGTAAGAAGCTGACCGGCTTTAGCTGGATGAGATGCCACCAATCTCACATCCCCATCCCAGAGTTCACAGTGAGCGATCTGGCGGAAGAGGCAGACTACCAGGTCCGCGTGTCTGCAGTCAACAGCTATGGGCAGAGCTCTTACCTAGAGTTCCCAGGGACCCTGCACCTCGGTGAGCCACGCAAACAAAGGGATTCAGGCCACTCAGTTGACTAACAATAGGGCCGTGATCTTGCAAGTCCTTGCTGCGTGCACAGCAAAGCAAGGCAAGGTGGCCGCGCTCCAGGATGCGTGCGAGCATTGAGCTCCTGCAAGGTTAAGTGCTAGGCGCAGAGAGCTCTGCACTGAATCTCAGGCCCTTGCTCTCTAGAATGCAGAGCTGTAGCTGAAGAGACATGATCTTAAAGGCACTCGTGAGCAGGTCCGTGAGCCAGCGAGCTATGTGTTCCGGTCTTGGACCTCAGCCACGCTGCTAGATGGGGTTTATGTGATGATTGTGCAGTCACACTCATGCAGACAGGATCAGGTTCCCTGGTGTACCCTGCTCCACTCTGTCACTTTTTAACCTTCCAATTCTATGGAGAAATGTAGGGACTGGGTTTTATTTCTGGGCTGCTGGGTTCTCTGCTGTTTGTCGGTGATCTATTGTATTGAGTATTTATTTGAAGTGACAAGGTGGATCTGATAGGCACCTCGTGCTATTATTTTATGAATCTAGGGCTATGTAAGTAAAATATGCCCAGCATTCTACCCTGCAGGAACAAGCCCTATCTCTGTACCCTAACAGCACTGACCTGCTTCTGTAGAAATCAAATCCTGCAGCCCTTCCACATGCAAAATGCCCATTGCCTTCAATGGGTGCGGAATTTTGGTCTGTTATTTTCAGTTTCCTTTTTCTGCCCCGAAAAGTTCTGTCCATAGGAGGCAACTCTTCACAGTGTCCTCTAGCTTCAGATTTATGTTTTGCTCTTCTCTGACAGAACCAGCATTGGCTGTGAAAACACCCCTGACTGATGTTGAAGCTACTGCAGGAGGTGATGCTACCTTTATTGTTGACCTCACGACTGCTTGTTCTGGCACCTGGTACCTTAATGGCAAAGCCATACAGAGCAGTGAAATCTACATCATTCGGAGAACCAAAACCACCCACATCCTCACCATAAGAAACGTCACCAAGAATGATGATGGAGCAGAGGTGAAATTTGTTGCCAAGAACATTGAAACCAGTACGAAGATGAAAGTAAAAGGTAGTTACTTGGATCTCATTCATTTCTTCCTTCAGTCAAGGGGGAGGCAGGCTGGTCTTGTGGTTAGAAAGGGGCTTGAGTGTTGGAGCTCCTGGGCTCTATTGCGAGCTCCATTACTGATTTGATGTGCGACCTTAGACAAGTAACCTAAGCTTTCAGAGCCAGATTCTGATACCTGAGTAGTACCTCACTGACTCCAGCAGCATGACTTGAGGAGTAAGGGAATATTCAGTGTTTCTAAGAGCATCAGAATGTGACCTTGAGTTGCCTAAGACTCCCTCTCTGTGAAATGAGGATCATAACACTTACCTGTTTCACAAGGCAAAGCTTAATGGACATTGGTAAAGGGCTTGTTGACCCTTGGATGAGAAATCCCTGTGGAAGAATGTTTAAAGTATTCCTGATTAGAAGGGAGCGCACAGCTGATTGCGTGCCTCATACAATGCAAATATTGATGGTGAAATTCACTGCAGTGCAGAAGTAACTTCCTAAACATTTCTTAACCCCCACTTAAGCCTTTCCATGGGGGTGTAAATGGGGTTTAAATGTTTGTACAGCCTTGCCAAAGGGCAGTTTCACCCCAAGGATATTTGTTGTGTGCGATTGTTCTGACAAATGACAAAAATGTTTTCAAAATAACAATAATAATAAAAAGACATGTTGGAACTTTAATGTTAGGTGGAGTGTAGGGGTCGGGAGAGTCTGGGTTTTCCAGGTGCAAGGGCAGAGTTAAACGTAATGGCTTGTTAAGTTAAAACCTGAACTCATTCATTGAGCCACCCAAGCAGAATGGTGGCTTAGCAAGGAGAGGATATGGCATGTGGTGGGACCCTTGGTTTGAGGATGGTGTTCCTGCCCTTAAGGCAAACAAAGTTTGGCAAGTTCTGATTTTAGCTCTGCTGCAGAATATAGGCTTGCCGGATGCTAAGACGGGGCGGCAGGCAGTAAGTGAGGTGACTTCATTTCCGGCGCTTGCACCTTAGAGGGAAAGATGGACATGGGGGAACAGAGGTCAAAAAGTGGGAAAATATTTACCTGGGGGGAAAATGATACTCTTATTTATACATTCTGATTCTTATTGAACTCTGCTGGATTTCTTCTCTTGTCTTGGGTGTGAACAGGGCTGAGCCAACCATGAGTTTCTTCTGTGACTGGTTTAATATCCCAGCCTACAGGGAGAGGCACTGGCTGCTTTAGTGTCTAAAGTGAATTCAAGTTGCCTGTGGAAGACTTCCATTGGGGAAAAAGGTTTAAAACCACGGCTTCAGTGCTCAGAGATGTGTGTAATTGATGATGAGATTTTGGAGATAGCATCATATATGGTGCTCTACAAGGCATAAAAATTAGGGTACAGATTCTTATCTCATTGACACCAGTATAAATCCAGACCAAGTCCACTGAAGTAAATGGAGTTGCTCCGTATTTACACTGGAGTTAGACCAAGATCTGGATGCAGGTTCCTTCTGAGGAGAGCTTGCAACCTAACGCAGACATATATGTGAGACAGTATGATATAATAGCAAGCCTTTCTCTCTTTCTCTCTCTCTCCCTCCCTCCCAGCTGCTGCAGTAAGAATCACCAACAAGAGTGGAGACACAGAAAAGGTGTCTGTTCGGCTGTGTGAGGAGGCACAGCTTTGGGCGGAGCTGTCAGATGTGGCAGCTTCCGTGAAGTGGATGAAGAATGGGAAGGAAATCCAGGCCAGTCCAAAATACGAATTGAAAACAGCAGAGAAGAAACGCATCCTGAAAATTCACAACATCACAGCAGAGGATGCTGGCGTTTATGAATGTGTCTGTGAAGGGGATGAAATAGTCTATCAACTCTCAGTGAAAGGTGCGTGACTTTGGCTGGGCAGTTCCTGGTGAATGGCCTGCCCCCAGCCAGTGTGGTCTTTATGTGACAGAAAGGGAGCTCACGGAAGTTAGTGACACCCACCGCTCCAATAGGAAGCAGAAGTATCTCCCTAGAGAGCGGTGGTGTGTGTGAGGTGAGGAGTATTTGGAAGCTGACACCAGACCCTGAGCTCTGTCAGTCGTAGAGGCTCTGCCATATCATCCATCCTGCTTCGTGTCCCGGAATGTGGATGAGAAAGTCAGCTGGAGCTTGGTGTAGTTGAGTGAGCCTGGGCTATAGGAAAGGGAAAGATGGTCTTGTGGTTAAGAAACCAGCCAGGTAGTTAGGAGACATAGGCTCTATTCCCGCCAGAGACACAGATTCACTGTGTGACTTTGGTCACGTCACTTAGGGTATGTCTACGCTGCCATAAATCACCCACAGCTGGCCTGTGTCAGCTGACTTGGGCTCCCAGGGCTTGGAGTGTAGATGCTTGGGCTGGAACCCAGGCTCTGAAAACTGGTGAGGGAGGGAGGGTCCCAGAAGCTGGGCTCTGGATCGAGCTTGAATGTCTACACTGCAATTTTATAGCCCACCAGCCTGAGCCCTGCAAGCCCGAGTCAGCTGACATGGGCCAGCCATGGGTGTTTTACTGCAGTGTAGACATACCCTTAGGGACTGATCCAAATTTAGTTAAAGTGAATGGAGTCAGGCCTTCTGGGACCCAGTGTTTGCTCTGAGTACATGGAGGATAAGAAGAGGTGTGGGGAGCTGTAAGGCTTGATCCTTTAGTGTTTAGGATAAAGCACTCAGATGGAGGGCACAATAGAAAGGCAAAGTCTCATAACTGTTTATTATTTGGTGTTTGCCAAGCTTTGTACAGGTAAGAAAAGTTCAGCTTGTCTTCACGTGCTCATATTGTCCTTCAGCTCATGGTAATCCCCTGCTGCACTCCTTCCTATGGTTTGCTTCCTGTTCATTTAACAGGCATGTTGGCTACATGTCTGCTTTAACATTCAGCCCCTACCATGTAGCCTTTGACCCGCTGCATAACATTAATGGATATAGGCCTAGTGTTTACAAACCTTCAGCCTCCTCAGGGAAACTTAAGGCTCAGTCAACCTGTCAATGGGAGTGTTTCCATTGACTTCTATGAGAGCTGGAGCTGGCTTGAAAGGGCCAGATTATCCCCTGATTGTACTGGCTGGATTTTCATCCAGTTGTCTAATAAGGCGGGCAGTATAAAAGCTGGTACTTTCTACTCCGCACTGGTGAGGCCTCAGAGGGAGTACTGGACTGTGTTCCCATTTAGGCACCACAGTTTAAGGAAGATGTGAACAAATTGGAAGGAGGCCAGAGGAAAGCAACTCTAGTAAGAAGTTTGGAAAGCCTGGCCTACAAGGAAAGGTTGAAAGGACTGGGTATGTTTAGTTTAGAGAAGAGAAGGCTGAGGGGGATCATGACAACAGTGGTCCAATATGTGAAAGGTTGCTGTAAAGCAGACAATGTTCAATTATCCTCCATGTCCCTCCACGGTAGGACAAGAAGTAATTATCTTAGTTTGCAGCCAGGGAGATTCAGTTTAGATCTACGGAAAAACTCTCTATTGACAATGATAGTTCAGCACTGGAACAGGTTACCAAGCGAGGCTCTTGAATCCTCATCACTGGAAATTTTTTGGAACAAGTTAGACAAACACCTGTCAGGGATGGTCTAGGTTTACTCGATCCTGCCAAAGGGCAGGGGGCTGGACTAGATGACCTCTCGAGATTCCGTCCAGCCCTACGCTTCTATGATTCTATATTGTAGCCTGTTGTCAGACCAAAACCAGGAGTTATATTACTCAAAGTTCATGTGGCAGGATTAGGGCATTTGGCATCTGATCCTCATCCCGCAGACCTTACCTGGCCAAAACTCCTGTTGACTCCAGTGTGGGTTTTGCCTAAGAAAGGACAGCAAGACTGAGCCCTCAGTGCATTTGCCTCAGACCTGGCCTTCCTCCTTTTCTCTGAGAATGGCTGTATGAGGAGCTGACTGGAGGAGCAGAAGAAGGATAAGTTAGCTGTGTTTGTGGCGGGAGGTCAGAGGGTTAAGAGAGGGGGAAGAGTCTTGACTGTTTTGATGGTGTATGAGGAGCAGTTTACACAGCTATTATTGGTAGTGCAATCCTTTCTCTTTCATCATCCCATGCTGAGGTCCAAATTCAGCTCTCAGGTTTTCACACCAGGCTCTGATTTCAGTGAATATAAGTCTGTACATATCCCATAGAACGATTTGGTCTCTGACCCTGAGAATATGCAGAGCAGTGATCTGTGCAGGGTCCTATATTAAGCACAGTAACACAGATAGGGACCTAGCCAGCTTTCTCCCAACCTATGATTGGCTCCTCCTAACTGTGTGTATCTATGATCCCCCCCGCCCCAACCTTGTCAGCATTTTCTGGCCTGTGACTTCCTTCAGGCTGTGATTCTCTGCCCTTCCACCACCCACCTCTACCTGCCTGTGAGACTGCAGTCTCTGTTAACTCTCATATGCCCGTGGGAGGAAGCAATGTACATAACTGATACATGAATGCTCGCTTGCTAGATTCTTCAGAGGGCAAACACAAAACAGGCATGAACACACATAAAAAGAATTCATTCAAAAATTCAGCTATTTGTGGAGAGCTTTTTGTTGTCTACACCTGGCTGCAGAATGATTTAATTCTCATTCTCTTGCTGTCCCTGCCTCTCTCTCGGTATATTTTTTTCACTCTGTCAGATCTGCCCACAGCTTTGTATTGGATTAGCTGGAAGACATTCACAAATGTTTTCACCTAAATGTAGCTCTCAAACGAGGGGTCTGGGTTAATGTTTTTTTGGTGCTGCATTGAGGGAGTTGCATTTGAAACTCCCGCTGTACTCACACTTTGGCTGCAAATGTATCCTCTTTGGCATCTTTAAGGTTGCTGTAGTTATTCTTTTTTTACCCAGAACAGTCTTTACACCAGAAGCTAGTGACTGAATGGAGTCCTGTAAGAAAAACCAGAACAGCTAAAATACCCCCCACCTTTCTCAGCCATTCTCTCATTTGTCTGTTTAGTCACTTGTGTGTAGTCTTAATCCTAGATTGTGAGAGCTTTGGGACAATGATTGTCTTTGTTTTACTTGTTTGTGCAGTTCCTTAGTATGATTGGCCCTGATCCCTGTTAGGGATTCTTAAATGCTACTGCAGTATAAATCATCATGAATCAAATTTTCATCATTGTTTAATCAAGTTTTTAAAGATTGTTTCTATCGGGAATCCCTCCTTACTACTGGGCTGCCCAGATCTCAAAGCATCAATTCCGCTCCTGAGCTAAAGGAGAACTTCCATTAGTTATAACTGACAGCAACACTAATGTTCTCTTCCAAGACTGGGGAGAGACTGGAAGGTGCACTGTGAGCTTCTGTGGCTTCCAGACTGTGACTGAAAGGGTCTGTAGCTATTTTCAGTAGGGATGATTAGTAACTTGGATAGTAGAGGTTGGGCTTCTGTCCAGTGGTGATGTGAAAGAAGTTCTGCACGCTCATCTCTGTTAGAAAGAACAAAGGGTTTTTTTTGTTTTTTTTTTAAAGGTTGGCAGTATCGTAAAAAGAGGGTTGAATTTATTTACAGTGTATCAAGCACTTCAGTGCCCAGCAATTCGATGTTGCTTTCCCTGCACATAAGAGCACAACAACTGTATAAAAGTAGTTCAGATTTTTTTTTCTTTAAATTAAGGGTAAAAACATATATATGTATACTTCTGTCAGAGTAGCTTTGATCATACTGGACCAACAAGCAGCTTTAAACTTTTGCTGTACTTTTTTAAAATGACATGGCAGAATTTTAGGACATTAATTCCCTTACTTGGAATAAATAATATTATGTCTTTAGGCACATATTTTGAGTTAATAATTATTGCTGCCATTGTGTATTTGGATCTACACCTTGAATGGGGTGAGGTTATACTCGTGAATTGATTATTCCACTACAAATTAGTATATCACTGAGTTACTTTAATTCTTTTGTGTTCTAGTTAGTTTCCTGTAAGGGATGTCTTTTCATTTTTAGAGGGTGTTGGTAATTCTGTAGATTTATAGTACAGTGCAACTCAAATTATCCAGATTACATTTAAATATCTTGTAAGGTACAATTATTTGCTATCTAGATAAATACAGTGAGTTAATAAGCCTCAATGTTTCCCCTAATATTTGTTCATTCTCTCTTCCTCTCTTTCTTCCATTCTTTCCTTCCTGCCTTATTAAGATTATTTTGCAGGTTAGCATCTTGGATGATAACTGAAAATCACCCACTGTTGAAACATGAAATTCTTATTCATAGTCCCAAATGTAGAGTACATTCTAAGGCAGCCTTTACTTACACAAACTGTCCTCATTCACCTGAGTAGTCCCATTGACTTAGCAGAGCTGCTTGCACAAATAAAGCATATGACAAAGGCTTCCTGGATTAGATCCTAAAATAACAATTTGAGGTAATTAGCCAAAACAGGAATCCAGGAGCAACCTACTAGATCCTAAGTGCGGTGGGGGGATGGCCAGGATGACCTCTTGAGGTCCATTCCAGCCCTTGCTTTTCTATAATTTTGTGATTTCTAATTAAAGCATATGTAGCTGGCTATATGGATAGATGAACTGACAATGTGGACCCAGTTCCTTACTAGTGCCATTTGCCATTCTGTTTCAGCACTCGTGCACTTCACAAACAAAGAGAAAGCTGGTGGTGTTGTCATCGCCATCTCCGGAAAACAGGCCGAATTTGTTTCTGAGACCTCTGAAGCCAATGTCATGGTGCAGTGGTACAAAGACGGCAAAGAAATCAGACGCACAAAGAAATTCACCCTGGAGGATAATGGAAAGCTGCACAAGCTCATCGCCTCAGCTGTAATGAAAGAAGATGAGGGAACGTACATGTGCAAAGTTGGAGAGGACACTCTAGTTTTCAATTTAAAGGTCTCAGGTGAGTTCATGAGGCACGTGTGAGCAGGGCTTATGTTGGGTACTGAAGTCCTGGCTCATGTAGGAATATTATCACTTAGATTGTGAGCTCTTTGAGACAGAGGCTGCCATCTTTATATGTGTAGAGCATGTAGCACAGTGAGGCCTCGATCTCTAGGCACATCTGCAATACACGTAAACAACAATAATAGTAATATTCAGGTCACTAGTGGAATGACTAGAGATGGGCCCAAGCCAAAACCACAGATCTAAACACCCCAAACTTTGGACAGGTTTGCATCTGGATCTGGGTCTGAATCCTGTAGTTTGGTCCCTTGTAGAGCACATTGCCTCAACAATTTACGCTCCCTTTGAGCTCTCTCCTGTGAGAGGGGGTTTGAAAGTCTTGGGCTACCTTCTGAGAAAGCCTTGGTGTCCAGTTAAACTCAAGTTCTGTGCTCCTGTGGAACGTTTGTGGTCTCTGAGTGTGAGTCATTACTTCTGGGATAGGTCAAGCTACCTAAGGGAGAGTGCATGACCCTCAGGCCGAATGAGGGGGAGTCCTAGAACTGATGTATTCCAGTCCAGAGCTGGACAGGATGGCTCACTTGATGATGACCTGTTTTCTTCATTCCCTCTGGGGCACCTGGCACTGGCCACTGTTGGAAGACAAGATACTGGGCTAGCTGGACCTTTGGTCTGACCCAGTATGTCCGTTCTTACTTTCAGAGCTAATGGTATTGAGGAGACATGCTCTGTGAAATCCAGGCGACTCCACACACAGGGATTGGTGGGAAGTTTTTCTGGATTTGGTTCACTGGATTTTGCTTTGAGCTTCATCCTCAAATGATTCCAAAATCTCAAACCTTGAAACTACCAAGTTTCATTTGGTCATGGTCAAAACTACTGAATTTCACATTGTTTCCATCAGAAGTTGTAGCCCGGCTCAGGCAAACTCTACCCACGATTATCAAAAGATTTGGAAACCTCAGTGAACTTTTTGACAAATGGTCTGAGTTTCAGGTGGCTAAGAAAACCCTAAACCAGACAGGTTTCACGTTTCATAATAAAAAATTGTCCAGAGTGCTAATCAGAAGCACAGCTAGGCAAGGGACCAGAACTAAGACTGGGAAATAAGGTACCTTTGTGGTAGTGAATGTTCCCCATAAACCTTTAATGCCAGGACTCCAATGAAGCTATTATTCCATAGTCAAATAATTCTTGTTAAAATAGATTACTCCTAATGGTAGATAAGTTTTAACAGAAATGTTTGTTCCTTGGTGCTGTAGAAATGGTTGGCATGGGTGTATCATCTTAGTTGTCCTTGGGATACTTGGCGACCTAAAGCAACAGGTGCTGCAGAATAATATGTAATGTTAAACTAAGGTTACTTATCACTGACAGCCATCAACTTACTCTGCAGCAGGCTAGCTTGATTGAGTGCATGGTATGAAATACATGTTACACTCACTGTTGCTTGTTAGCATGAGCAATAGGATGTGTCATACATGTTTGTTCCTAGATTAATCTATAAGGTGCTTATCTCCATGCAGCTCAGTGCCACTTATGTCATCTTCACTTTAATGTTAACCCCTGGGGGAAAAAACCCCACAACTACAGCCCTCATTGTAGTAACCCCCAACCTGGATCATTAGTCAGGTTTGAACCATAACCTTCAGTGCCAGGGTACAGGCCTCTACTATTTGAGATAAAGGAAAACGCCATTAAATGCACACAGAAAAATTTTATTATTTCCATGGACTGGCTTCTTGTTTTCTCAAGACTAAACATGTCCAATTTTTTAATCTCTCCTTACAGGTCAGGTTTTCTTAACCTTTTATCATGTCTATTGCTCTTTTCTGAACTCTCTCCAGTTTGTCCACATCTTTCCTAAGGTCTGGTGCACAGAATTGGACATAGTACTCCAGCTGAGGCCTCACCAGTGCCAAGTAGAAGATCCCTTCCAATTACCCCCCATGTCTTACATATGACACTCCTATCAACTTCTGCCCTCAGCTACACTCATATGCAACTCTCTTAGTGACAACCATGTTGTCTTTACATTCTGTAACCATACTCATCCTTCCTGCATTAGGCTGAAATACATAGCACCAGATTCTGCACATGGTTAGTGTATACACAGCTCCCATGGAAGTCGGGGAATCCATTTTTAGTAACTCCTTGGAGTGGTCATCAGAAGGGTTTGAACTTGGGACCATTAGCACAGACCTCTAACACTTGAGCTAAAGGAGAAATTCCACTAGTGGGTAGCTGTAGTTGGCTGTTATCATCTGTGAACCTGCTACTAGAGGGGAATGAAACACAAGCAAGTTACAAATGTAAATTCTTCCATAGATGGAACCCCGGGCCCTGGAGGTCACTAAGATTGAAATCATGCCAGGGTGTAACTGGATTGTTCTTATGTTGCTCTAGGTTAATGGAGGGGCACAAACTACTTTTCCTTCTTCTTTTTAGATGAAGTTGTTAAGTTTGTCAACAAGCCTAAAGCAATGCCAGAAATTTCAGTCAGTCCTTCTGAGGGTCTAGAGCTGGCGTGTGAGGTGTCGGTGGCCAGTGGAGCTGTTGTGTGGAAGAAGGATCAAACTGAGGTTAAGCAGGACCAGAGAATGACCGTCACCTCTCAGGGAACAGACCGAAAACTCATCATCAAGAATGTAACACAGCATGACCAAGGGAGCTACACCTGTGAATCTAAGGATGACAAAGTAACATTCCAAGTCAAAGTCAAAGGTGAGCAGATGCATGAAATCTCAGGAGCAATAAAATACTTAATCCTGGATTGTGTCTTGCATCTAAGGTTCATCCCCAAACACTTTTTGGGGTAAATAACTCTGCCACAGGGCTTGATTTTCAGCTAAGCCTGAAATCTGCCTCTACTTTTGAAAGTGCAATTGTGTGTCCACAAATAATTGCACGTGCAACATGTTGTGGCTGCAGAAGGTAGCTCTTAGATATCTAGCAACCTGCCTGCACCATTACATCTGTAAAATTAGAGGCCATCACACCTGCAACATCAGGTCCACAAAATTAAAACACAGAATGATAGCAGAGAGTCAGGAGTGGGTGAGAGAGAGAAACAGAGATGTAGATAAAAGCAATGAGGGACGTTTGCAGCAGAGCTCTGGAACCAGATGGGAATCAGTGAGGTGGAGTGACACAGAAAGGCTCTTCCAAATGGCAAGAGGAGCTGGTTTTTGCAGCATTGATGAACTGGTTGTGTGTAGTGACAAGAGGAATTTGATGCTAGGCATGGAGTGGAAAACACTTATAGCAAAGAGAGAAAGAGTCTGTGAGGTGGGCTGGGTCTGGTGCATAGGTTTGTGAAAAGCAGTTTTGAACAGGATCTTGAAGCTGACGGGGCTTTGTCTGGGGTTGTGAGTGCTAAGAAGTTCAGCAGAGCCTCAGAGTTGCGAACACCTCGGGAATGGAGGTTGTTCGTAACTTTGAAATGTTCGTAACTCTCAACAAAACATTTGGGTTTCAAAAGTTTGCAACTGAACATTGACTTAATACAGCTTTGAAAATTTACTATGCAGAGAAAAATGCTGCTTTTAACCATCTTAATTTAAAAGAAACAAGCACAGAAAAGTTTCTTTACCTTGTCAAATTTTTTTTAACTTTCTCTTTATTCTTAGTAGCTTGTATTTAACACAGTACTGTACTGTTTGCTTTTGAGTGCGTTTGTGTCTCTGATGCTGCCTGATTGTGTGCTTCTCGTTCCAAATGAGGGGTGTGCTTGGCTGCTCAGTTCATAACTCTGATGTTCATAATTCTGAGGTTCTAGCATTTGTGTTTATTGTGGGCCTTGTCTTGCTTTGCTGTCCTTTGAAATCCTCCATTGGTTCCAAACAGTCTCTTGCTCACTGTTCCAGTTTTGACAACTAGGAGGCAGGAGGGCACCTGCTGCAAAGCTATCCGCAAGCTAATCAGGACTAAGACAGGGCAGTGTTTGGATGGGAAGCCACCAAGGAACATGTAGGTGCTGGAAGAAGTCAGTGGAATTACTCTAGATCGGGGTGGGCAAACTTTTGGCCTGAGGGCCACATCTGGGTATGGAAATTGTATGGCGGGCCATGAATGCTCATGAAATTGGGTGTTGGGGTGCGGGAGGCGGTGAGGGCTCCGGCTGGGGGTGCAGGCTCTGGGTTGAGACCAGATATGAGGAGTTCAGGGTGTGGGAGGGGGCTCCTGGCTGGGACAGAGGGTTGGGGTGTGGGGGTAGGGGGTCAGGGCTCCGGCTGAGGGTGCAGGCTCTGGGGTGGGGCTGGGGATGAGGGGTTGGGGGTGCAGGAGGGTGTTCTGGGCTGGGACTGAGGGGTTTGGAGGGGGGGAGAGGGATCAGGGCTGGGACAGGGGGTTGGGGCACTGGAGGGGGTCAGAGATGCAGACTCTGGGCGGCGCTTACCTCAAGCAGCTCTCAGAAGCAGCGGCATGTCCCCCCTCTGGCTCCTATGTGGAGGCACGGCCAGGCAGCTCTGTGCGCTGCCCTGTCTGCAGGCACCATCCCTGCAGCTCTCATTGGCCGTGGTTCCCGGCCAATGGGAGCTGTGGGGGTGGGGGCAGCATGCGGAGCCCCTTGGCTGCCCCTACGTGTAGGAGCCAGAGGGAGGACATGCTATTCCTTCTGGGAGCTGCACAGAGCGGGGCAAGCCCCGGACCCCACTCTCCAGCTGGAGCGCCAGAGCGGGGCAAGCCCTGGACCCCACTCTCCATCGGGAGCTCGAGGGCCAGATTAAAATGTCTGGAGGACTGGATGTGGCCCCCGGGCCATAGTTTGCCCACTGCTGCTCCAGATTTATACTCGGGTAACTGACAGCAAAGCCTAGCTGTTAATGTCTGTGAAACTGTGTGATCCTTGGACTAAAGTGCAGTGTGGTGGTGATCAGTCAGGGTCATCACGTGATCTCTCTTTATGGACATTTGGTGCACCAGCCTACAGCTTTAGCTTTAGAGGATAGGTTTTGTTTTTGATGGTCTTGGGGTGAAGGCATTGGGTTGGGAATCAATAGACCTTGGTTCCATTCCTAGCTCTGCAGGAGACTTCCCATGTGACTTTGAGATATTCCTCTCTCGATGTCTCACTTCCCCATCCGTAAAATGGGAACAAAGATACCTCCTTATCTCAGACGGCTGTTGTGAGGGTGCAGTCATTAACATTCCTGAGGTGCTAAAATATTACAGTGATATGGGGAACGTCACCTAAGCCCCTTGATAGGAGACTGCAAAAGGACATACGTCACTGTGTTTCCATCTTGCAGAGATGGAAGAGGTGTTTTCAAACAAGCAGAAGGTGCAGAAGGAGGTGAAGGCCGCCCTGACAGAGAGTGCCACCCTTAGCTGTGAGGTGACTCAGGCCAAGACTGAAGTGAGGTGGTACAAGGACGGGAAACTGATCACCTCCAGCAAGAAATTCAAGGTGGAGTCTGAGGGCAAATCCCGGCGTCTGGTCGTGGAGCAGGTGGAGAAGAAGGATGCTGGAGAGTACACCTGTGAGGCCGCAGGCCAGAAACTGACCTTCAAAGTTATCATCACAGGTGAGGGAGATGCTCTGATTTGTATTTCATTGACTTCTCTTTCTGGGTCTTTTCTCATGTTCTCTGCTGACATGATAAAACTGATTATTTCATCTCCTTCTGTTGTTGCTTTGAGCTGTACTGCCATGGAGGCTGGGGAGGGCTGGACCAGATTTGAGGCTAGTCTGGAGACACAAGGTCTCTGCAGGTCTCCTGAGGTTCAGATTCTGGGGCTGGAACATGTATAAAATGTCATCAGGAAAAGCAGTTTAAGCACGTCCAATGCAATCACGCAATAATCTACCCTGTCCTCCCCACTGCTGCTCAGCCTGAAAATCACTAGCTCTCCTGTTTTGTTCTCTCTTCTTTTCTCCTCATAATAGCCTCCCTCTCATAGAATCATAAAATATTAGTCCAATCCCCTGCTCAAAGCAGGACCAACACCAACTAAATCATCCGAAGACACAGACACACACAGCTGGCACCTACAGGTTGGCAGGGCAAACAGATCAGCAGTAGACATACTCATTTGCACACACATACTGTGTGCAAAAAATACATATTTTGCATACTGTGTTCAAAAAATCCCCTCCCCAAGTCTTCAAGTGTGTGGCAAAGTGAACAAAAATGGAAATGTGTGTGTGGCTGGAATGAACAGTGAGTTGGATTTCACAAACACGTGAAAGCACATCTTTTATCCAGCTCTCCTCCCAACCCTCCTTTCATCCAGTGACGGTGGCATTGAGTGTGTTCTCTAAATGGATCTGGGACCCACGGGAATCTTAAGAGAAGGTGTCTGTACAAGGTCAGCTCTGTTCTTGGAACAACAAGCAATGACCCAAGCAGACTTTTCTCTTTCAAACCTCCTTTGATTTTGAGGCTCAGGACGTTTTAGGAGCTAGATTTTTCTGTCATTCTGACAGTGATGGGATTTCTTTTGGTATCTTAATCATTTTGCAAGCGGTTCAGATGTCCAGTAAATAGCAGCTCAGGCCTGACCTATCCTGAGCCATTTCAAAATAAACTGAAAATAAGATTCAATTGGGTGGAAGTGATGGGAACATCTTGCGGTTTGATCGAGCACCTGCCGATATTCTCCAGCTTTTTGCTGTTCCAGAAGCCTCTGGAGCCCCACACCATGACTACCAAATAATGAGAACAGCAAACAATCCCTGATGCTGAATTTTGTTTTCATAAAACAGTTCAGTGGACAGTTCTGAGTGTAACCCTTCTGCCCGTCAGAGTTGGCAGCGACCGGGTTCAATATTGAGGAGATCCATTCCAATAACACAATGCAAAACCGGCTCGAGCCCCCACCCAGTGACCTGGGACAAATATATACCACCCCCGCTGGGCGCCTCCAAGAGGCAATACTTCCCCTCTCGCAAGCACATAGTCTGAGTGTAGCAAAAAGCCTTTTAATAACAGAGAGACACAATGTGACATTATGTTGGGGAAACACCACCAACAGGATTCATAACCCAACCCATGAGCAAAAAAACCCACCCCAAGCAAATTGGGGCATGCCCTTTCCCTTTGGTTCTTGAGTCCAGCAACCCCAAATCACCCAAAGTCCCAAAAGTCCAATGACCCAAAAGTCTCTGTCCCTGGTTAGGGCAGCCCCAGAGTTCGAAAGTTTATCTGCAGAGCTTTACCTCCCAACCTGGGTGGAGATGGGGGGGGGAGAGAAGTAAGGGGCACCTTACATGATCTGAAGCTGACCGCCCCACAGCTCCATAGCCCCACAGCTCCGCTCCGCCAGCTGCCCCACGAACTGCTTTGCTTGGCTCCGCTCTGCGGCCCACAAGCAGCTCCCGCCATCCCACAAACTGCTCCACCAGCCGTCCCACGAACTGCTTCGCTTGGCTCCGCTCTGCAGCCCACAAGCAGCTCCCGCTGGTCCACGAACTGCTCCGCTCCACGTCCCACAAGCAACTCCTGCCGTCCTATGAACTGCTCCACCAGCCTGTCCACAAGGCACTCCAGCCCTCCCACAAACTGCTCCACAATATATCTTCAGGCTCCCCCACTACTTAACACAACGCTCAGTGATTTCAGCTCTTAGTCAGTTCAGCTCTTTGGTGAATTCAGCTTGTAGTAGGGGAGCCTCAGTGCTGGTGCATCATTAGCCCAAAGTGAGCTCAGCAGCCTGTAACTAGAGTCCTGATGGAATCAAAATTAGCTCTGATATTCCACAGTGGAGAGAGGAGGAAGTGCAATTAGCATGTAAGGCCCTCACCAAGGGGCCCATGCCACCAAGTATTAATACTTGTCCCCAGCCTCTCTCAATTCACAGAGTTTTGGAACCCATGACCCTTGCCTAGCGAGTGCTACTTAGTTGATGGTGAGTCCCTCCATCCTAACAAAAAGCCAAGTACAGTTCCAAGCAGAGTTCCCATAATCAGGGTAATAACAATTTATTCTTCCTGCCCCAATAACAGAGACACTGGGGATCCCACAGCAGCCAAAGTGACCATTTGGGCAGCTATGGCCTCATTCTAGGCAGGGTGGGTGTGCCTATGCAAATGAGATCGGCCCCTGAAGTTCTTTTCCACAACTTGCCACACTTCACCACCAGATGTCAGGGTGGAGCTCATCCTGACACTGCTTACATGAGTAACAAATAGATTCCTTCAAACCCAAGTCTTTTGTGGATAATTAGCCCGTTGAAAGAGGGATACATTAGCCCGATAAATTATTTGCAATAAACAGTTTGAGCTGCTCTGGTGTTAATTCTGAAGACTAACGACGAAGGATTGAATGACAACATTGCTGTTTTATTTCTGATCATTTTAGCAGAAATACCATCTGCTCTGGATTATAGGTGAATCTGGAGCAAAGAATATCAGCACTTCCCTCCCATAATCTGACCCTTGCTATCTGTCAATATAATCAATCTATTCTCATCTATTTGGTCTCATATCCATTTCTTCTACTCTATGGTATCTCTTTTTCCCCTGTTGGTGAAGTATCGAGTATAAGCCACTGCCAGAAGCAGGCTACTGGTGATCCAATCCAGCACAGTTCCCGTTGTCTTAAAACAGCAGGAATTTGGACATTAACAAATACCTTCCAGCGATTTATTTGGTATTAGGTTAGATTAGGGACAGATTCTGGGTGTGCTTCTGCAGGTGTGGTAGATGACTCCCTGTGAAGCCACACAGGGGCAAGGTGCTGTGTAATTATAATGCTACCAGTGACGTAGGGGGTAGTACTTGGGAGACCTGGGTTTGAGTCCCAGTGGGACTTACTGTGTGTGTCTGGGCTAAATCACTGCCCCTCACTGCATCTGCAGAATGTCTCCACAGGCTATGGAACATAAAGTGCTTTGCAAACATGATGTGCTCAGTGTGGTTATTAATCAAGGTAGAAATTAGGCTACGGAATAACAATTCATTAATAAATTGTAAGATCAGAAGGGACCATTATGATCACCTTGTCTGCTCCCCAATTAAAACTGAAAAGACAAAAACTAGCTTCCGCCTGGCAGAGAGGCAGTTGTGCTTAATTGCTTTTTACTTTATATAAAGAAGGTCTCATCCCCAGATCCCTGTGCTTGTACCGGGCACAATGGGACACTAATCCTGACTGATGCCTTTGCGTGTGACTGTAACACAAATAAATAATGTTTTATTAGACACACAAAGGAGCCACAATGTTGGGAGGCCAGGGGCCCTCCTACTTCCGTGCTCACTAGGGGTCCGAGTCAATACGGGGTGCAGCTCCACCGTAAAGAGTGCAATCTTTGCTGCTCCTTCATCGCCTCGGGAGACATTCTGCTTGCCTCAGTCTTCTGTAAGCAGAACACCTTTGAGACCTGCTGCCCCAACATGGTGTATCTCTGCTTCCTGCTAACACTGCTGTGGCTTCAAGTGCCCCACAATCCACTGGCCCGTGTGTTATGTGTTCAGAGAAGGTGAGTTTGTTACAGAGCTCAGCTACAAAGGTTTGGCTCTTTAGCTCAAGCTGTAGCAGCTTGTGCCTCTAGCTCAGGAGGTTCCCTAGTTCAGTCCCCAGTGTCAGCCAAGATGGCCGCTGTTGCAATTTAGTGGGGCTCAGACTAGGAAGGAAGCTTTTGGAGGGGAGATTGCAGAGCAGGAGTTGATTTTAAAAAAATGAAAGAAACCCTGGTGGTCTGCCATTGCAGATGCAAGGCCACAGAAAATTTCGGAGATGTAGCCAGTGGACAAAATGGCTGCCCTGGTCAAGCCTCAGAATGACGGAGTGCTGTTTGCATGAGAACACCAGTGTTTTCAGTTCTCTTTCAAACAGGGTGACTTCAGAGCTGCACGGGATAATGCGGCATCTTACCCCTCTCTTGTCGTAACCAGAGAGCACTACGCAGTTACTATTGCTGTGTTTCACATACATGTGACTGTAACGTGACATGCAGGTCCATCAGCAGCTCATTGGAAAACTGATCCAACCTTGAAAGGCAGGAGGGATTTATCAGTTCTTTTTCAGTGGCTGGTGCTTTAGTTGCAGAAATCTTTATTTTACTGGATTCTCCAGAAGTGCCGTGACTTTCTGGGTCTTAATTTATCTGGTTACCATTGCACTCACCTTGGTTTTCACAGTTCTTATGTGCCAGGGCTCCACTGGAAGCACAAAACCTTTTCTTTTAAAGGGGTAAATATTCAGTGTGATGCACTGGGATAGACTCATAGACTTTAAGATCAAAAGGGATCATCATGATCATCTTGTCTGACCTCTTGCATATTGGAAGCCACAGAACCTCGCCCACCCATTCCTATAATAGACCCCTAACCTGTGGCTGAGTTACTGACGTCATCAAAACATGGTTTAAATACTTCAAGTTACAGAGAATCCACCATTTACACTAGTTTAAACCTGCAAGTGACCCATGCCCTATGCTGCAGAAGAAGGTGAAAACCCACCAGGGATGTAGCCACTCGCCGTCCTGTTAAGGAAAACAAGAACTGAGCATCTACAACCTTGTGCGCTGGACCACATATGGTCACCAAGGAGTTGGTTCTGCAATCGACATGATTTTAAAGTTAATTGTACACAGTGTTTGCTCATAAAATCCTAGTATAGAGGGGTCAGATCCTCAGCTGGTGTAAATCATCATAAGCGACTTCTATGGAGCTACACTGACATATGCCAGCTGAGGACCTTATAATATGTCTATTTTACCAGCTTAATTGAATATCTTGCTTAACTTTAAAAGTATTTCTGTCCCTTTGTGAATTGTAAGGGTCATATTCATTCCTAGTATTGGAGTTAACCTTGGGATAAATTTGACCCTAGCAGAGTAGCTCAATTATATTGACTGGCAATTAGCAACTTTATTCACAATATATAACATGTCTAATATTAAAGGGGAAAAGTAAGACTTAGGAGGTGAAATCATTCATCTGTAATATGTATGGCCTGTTACTTGATCATTCAAATAGATGACATCCAGTTATGTGAGCTGTTTTGTGAATTATTGTATTAATATATACATGTCTAGTCAGTCCATATTCACAAAAGTCTAACATTCAGACCAGTGTTAACTGGACCGCTTTTTTTTGCCCCTGTAATTCTGAGTGCAAATAACTTGCATCCATGGTAATACATTTCGATATCTAATCACTGACTGTGTCTGTAAATCAATTTAAATATGTGAATCACCTAAATTGCATAAGCGGTTATTTTTAAGCACAAATAGTGGATGCAAAAATGGAAACTACTGCTTAAAAATCTGTCCCTAAATACCTACTGCCTGATTCTCCTTTCCCATACATCAGTTTTACACTAGTGCAATCTTTAGACTTCAGTGCAATCAATTCTGATTTACACTGGTGGGAAAGGAGAATCATACCGCTTTTCATGTATGTATTAATGCAGACAGTAAATCAACATTTAAATAAAAAGATATAAAACAACATTAAGTACAATATGCAGGAAGAAAGAAACTGTTCCACATAAACCACTCTCAGACAGGCAATGAGAACTATGGCATAAATTGTGGGGATTATCAAACAGTGACTTGCTAGTCATTGGTTAGCAAGATGGCTGACCATATCCTTTAAATGGGTATATTTAGTTTATCATTTATTAGCCATAATAGCCTTTCAATGCCAGTTCATTTGCTGAGGTAAAAGTACTAAGGTTCTACTTTGGAAGTAAGGGTGTTTAAATACTTCATTTGCTGCCAAATATATTAGATACATTAAGGTAAAATCCCCCTGCTACACTGCTGAATGTACCATGTGTGTCTCAACATTCATAGATTTTGAAGGCCGAAAGAAACTGCTGTGATCATCCAGCCTGACCTGCATCACCCAGGCCATCCATTAATAATTCCACCCATTACTTCCTACATTAGGCCCATATTTTGTGGTTGAGTTAGAGCATATTTTACAGGGAGATACCCAATCTTGATTTAAAGACTTCAAATGTCAGAGAGCTGATTTCAATGGCATATTACTAGACCACAGCAGCATTGCAAATGTGATGGGGTTGGCTTATCCCCAAGAAGATGAACCAAAAAACCCCCACTCCAAACAACAACAAAAGAAACAGTTTTTGGATGTTAATATTGAAAGCTGGAAAATATGCAGGGCTGCCTACCTAAAGAGAGTATCAAGATACCAAGGATTTGGAGAAACCTTGGGGGTGTGGGGTAGAGAGTTCATTGATAATATGCTGTTAATGGAGTATGGAACTATAAGAACTATGTTTCATCAAACGAATGACTTTATTTTTTAAAAACACTAGATATATGTAACAGTCCATCGCCCATGATAGTTTTATTCCTTCTGTGGTTCTTCTTTAATTTCCCCATCTCAGAGCCTGAGGAAGTGTTTGCAAACAAGGAGAAGGTGCAGAAGGAGGTGAAGGCCGCCCTGACAGAGAGCGCCACCCTGAGCTGTGAGGTGGCCCAGGCCAAGACTGAAGTGAAATGGTACAAGGATGGAAAACTGATCACCTCCAGCAAGAAATTTAGGGTGGAGTCTGAGGACAAATCCCGGCATCTGGTGGTAGAGCAGGTGGAGAAGCAAGATGCTGGAGAGTACACCTGTGAGGCCGCAGGCCAGAAACTGACCTTCAAGATTATCATCACAGGTGGGAGAGATTGTTTCCTTTCTACTCATGCACTGATTTGTTGCAGTTGTTGAGTAAAGCAATCTAGAGTGAGATGCACTTCCTACATTGCTGCCATCTCAGCTCTGAGTGAAGGAGGCTTTTGAGGGGACTTTGGGTTTTGCCACAATATTGTGAATACATTTACAGAGTAAGCAGGTAAAATGCTGCTGAATCTTCTTAGTCGGTGGGTGTTCTGCAGGAATAGCATAACATTTTCCAAACTAGGTTGGAACTCTGAACGTGGTATCCATCAGTGCATCCTAGTTTCTTTGTCATGTCTTCATTTACTTTGGAAAAAATAACAGTGCTCCTCAAAGAGAAGAAATGTTGGTCCTTTCACCTACCACAGGGGAAGGAAAGTTTTGCAGCGAACATCTCAGCTAAATAAGCTACAGGGAGGCTTGAGAGGATAAATTCAAATTTGGATCTGAGATCGCTCGAGGGGAATCATGAGAGGTTGAGTCTGGGGATTTGGGGTGGATTATTATAAAGGACAGGTGCTGGCAGGTCCATAGTTAAGGTTGCACATGGACTTGCACTGATGGTGGCAGGGGTCAGGCAGAGGTGGGAAACATGCGGTGAAAGGTGCCTCGGAGACAGAGCTGTCAGCTTCTCCCTCTGGGGACTCCGGATGGCATCAGTGAGGAAGTTTAAGCCCTTCTAATTCCTTCTTCATGGCAGAGAGAGAGGATGTGTTTGCAAACAAGGAGAAGGTGCAGAAGGAGGTCAAGGCCGCCCTGACAGAGAGCGCCACCCTGAGCTGTGCAGTGGCCCAGGCCAAGACTGAAGTGAAATGGTACAAGGACGGGAAACTGATCACCTCCAGCAAGAAATTCAAAGTGGAGTCTGAGGGCAAATCCCGGCATCTGGTGGTGGAGCAGGTGGAGAAGAAGGATGCTGGAGAGTACACCTGTGAGGCTGCAGGCCAGAAACTGACCTTCAAGGTTCTTGTCACTGGTAGGAGAGAGTATTTTCTTTCAACTTAAGGACTGATTTGCTGCCATTGTTGATTGAAGCTTTCTAGAGTAAGATGAGTTTCTTGCCCTGCTGGCACCTCGGTTCTGAGTCCAGAGAGCTTTTGGAGAGATGTTGCGTTTTGCCACAATGTTAAGAATAAATTCTCGGAGTAAGCAGGTAAAATGGGGAAGGCGCCTGAATCTTTGTAGTCGGTGGGTGTTTTGTAGCAGCAGCGTAAGATTACCCTTCGAGGTTGGGATTCTGAATGTCTGTTTGGCATTCATCTGGCTTCTCCTTAATGCCACTGTTTCACTCCTAGGGAAATGTCAGGGTTTGATTTACCTGTGCCCTGTCCCTTTAAAGATTGATGGTCTGCCCAGGTCTTCAAAGGGGACAGCTCTGATTGCAGCAGTCAAATCTGGTGTGAAAGGACTGTGTGGCAGAAAGCCTTGTGCAAGCTGGGTTTGTTTGTCTTTGGATTCTGTGTGTAATAAGCCCCCAGATTTGAAGCTGTCCCTGGCTGGGGAGCGGAACATTTTGTGAGCCAGGCTCAGGGACAGTTTTAAATCTGGATTTTTGTTAAGCTGGGTATCCAAAAACAAACACAACTTGCACAAGCCCCATTGCTGCTGAGTCCTTTCAGGGTACACACAAGTCTGCTGCTGCAACCAGAGCTATCACCACCTGAGAATCCATCCGCAGACCTTCCATTCTTAAAGGGAGAGGGCACAGGTAAATCAAACCCTGCTATTCCCTTATGAGGTATATGCAATCACGGACTTTATGGAGTTGACAGCACTATTTAAAGGGGATGAAAATATTCATCCCTTGAGGTTTCAAAGGGGAAGGAAATATTTGGACGGAAGATGAAATAAACTGAAGGGAGCCCTGCACCAATAAATTGAGATCTGGATCTGAGATCACTCTCCAAAGCAATCATGAGCATCTGAATGTGGGGGTTCAGGTTGGTTTATTATGAAGGGGATGCCATACAAGCTCCACAGTAAAGGTTGAAATTGTCCCTGTAGTTATGTTTTTCGGGGTCAGGCAAAGTGGGGGAGACCTGAAACTAATACGGCCTTAGGAATCATTACCTTTTCCCTGCCTTCTCCTTCTCTGTTCTCTGGATGGCATTGTTACAGCAGCAGCATAACGGTTTCCAAACTAGTTTGGGATTTTGAACGTCTGTAGGGCTTCCATCCGAACCACCCTGTCTTTTCTGTAATGCCTTCATTTACTTAAAAAAAATAACAGCGCTCCTCGGAGGGAAGGAATGTTGGTCATCTCAGCTATCAGAGGGGAGGGAAAGTTTTGTGAGGAACATCTCAGCCCAAATAAGCTACAGGGAGGCTTGAGGTGATACATTCATATTTAGATTTGAGATCGCTCCAGAGGAATCATGAGAGGTTGAGTCTGGGGATTTGGGGTGGATTATTATAAAGGAGAGGTGCTGGCAGGTCCATAGTTACGGTTGCATGTGTACTTGCACTGATGATGGCAGGAGTCAAGCAGAGGTGGGGAAACATGAGGGAAAAGGTGCCTCAAATGCAGAGCTGTCAGCTACTCCCTGCCTCCTTCTCTGTTCTCTGGATGGCATCACATCAACGAGAGAGTATACGCCTTTTAATTCCTTTTCCCCAACAGAGAGAGAGGATGTGTTTGCAAACCAGGAGAAGGTGCAGAAGGAGGTGAAGGCCGCTCTGACAGAGAATGCCATCCTGAGCTGTGAGGTGACTCAGGCCAAGACTGAAGTGAAATGGTACAAGGACGGGAAACTAATCACTTCCAGCAAGAAATTCAAAGTGGAGTCTGAGGGCAAATCCCGGCGTCTGGTGGTGGAGCAGGTGGAGAAGAAGGACGCTGGAGAGTACATCTGTGAGGCCGCAGGCCAGAAACTGACCTTCAAGATCACTGTCACAGGTAAGAGAGAATATGTTCTTTGAACAGTTTACTGCTCTTGTTGGTTTAAGTATTGTAGAATAAAGTGAATATCCTGCACTGGTGGTATCTTGGCTCAGACATTCCCTACTGAGTGATACACAATCAATGACTTTTTAAAACCAACAGTGCTTCTTAAAGGAAAAGAAGGTAGTCGTCCATTAAGTTTTAAAATCGGAAGGAAGGGTTTGTAAGGAAGATGTTGGAAAAATACTAAAGGGAGCTCTGTGCCGGTAAGTTCAGATCTAGATCTGAGGTCACTCTCCAGAGCAATGATGAGAGTTTCAATGTGGAGTTTGGGTTGGTTTATTATGAGGGAGATGCCCTACAGGCTCCATAGGTAAAACTGAATTTTGCTTGTAGCTATATCGTTCAGGGTCTGGCAAAGTGGGGGAGATGTGCAGGAAGCAACCTAAGGAAGCAGAGCTGTCAGCTTCTCCCTGCCTTCTCCTTCTAGTTCTCTGGGTGGCATTGCATCAGTGAGGGAGTTTTAACCCTTATAATTCTTTTTCTCCGGCAGAGAGAGAGGATGTGTTTGCAAACAAGGAGAAGGTGCAGAAGGAGGTCAAGGCCGCCCTGACAGAGAGCGCCACCCTGAGCTGTGAGGTGGCCCAGGCCAAGACTGAAGTGAAATGGTACAAGGACGGGAAACTGATCACCTCCAGCAAGAAATTCAAAGTGGAATCTGAGGGCAAATCCCGGCGTGTGGTGGTGGAGCAGGTGGAGAAAAAGGACGCTGGAGAGTACACCTGTGAGGCTGCAGGCCAGAAACTGACCTTCAAAGTTCTTGTCACTGGTAGGAGAGAGTATTTTCTTTCAACTTAAGGGCTGATTTGCTGCCATTGTTGATTGAAGCATTCTAGAGTAAGCTGAATTTCCTGCCCTGCTGGCACCTCGGCTCTGAGTCCAGAGAGCTTTTGGAGAGATGTTGGGTTTTAGCACAATATTGAGAATATGTTTACAGAGTAAGCAGGTGAAATGGGGAAGTCATCTGAATCTTTGTAGTCGGTGGGTGTTTTGCAGCAGCAGCGTAAGATTTCCCTTCGAGGTTGGGATTCTGAATGTCTGTTTGGCATTCATCTGGCTTCTCCTTAATGCCACTGTTTCACTCCTAGGGAAATGTCAGGGTTTGATTTACCTGTGCCCTGTCCCTTTAAAGATTGATGGTCTGCCCAGGTCTTCAAAGGGGACAGCTCTGATTGCAGCAGTCAAATCTGGTGTGAAAGGACTGTGTGGCAGAAAGCCTTGTGCAAGCTGGGTTTGTTTGTCTTTGGATTCTGTGTGTAATAAGCCCCCAGATTTGAAGCTGTCCCTGGCCGGGGAGCGGAACATTTTGTGAGCCAGGCTCAGGGACAGTTTTAAATCTGGATTTTTGTTAAGCTGGGTATCCAAAAACAAACACAACTTGCACAAGCCCCATTGCTGCTGAGTCCTTTCAGGGTACACACAAGTCTGCTGCTGCAACCAGAGCCATCACCACCTGAGAATCCATCCGCAGACCTTCCATTCTTAAAGGGAGAGGGCACAGGTAAATCAAACCCTGCTATTCCCTTATGAATCTTCTTCTTAGTATATGCACAACATGCCTCCTGTGGCATGTGACCAGGATTCATGATCAAATTTAGTCCTCTGGTTGGATCATTTGCTTCGCCAGCTTGGGCCAGGTACTTGCTGGGGAGTGTGACGTGAACGCTGATCCATGCCCCTCTCCTTATGAGTGATAAATAATCATTCATTTCTAAAAACGAACAGTACTGCTTAAAAGGAAAGAAGATTGGTGTCCATTCAGGTTTCTAAGGGGAGGGAAAGGTTTGTAAGGAAGATGTTGGTGAAAAAACTAAAGGGAGCCCTGTGCCAATAAATTGAGATCTGGATCTGAGGTCACTCTCCAGAGCAATGATGAGAGTTTGAATGTGGGAGTTTGGGTTGGTTTATTATGAAGGAGACGCCCTACAGGCTCCATAGATAAAGTTGAAATTGTACTTGTAGTTTTATTGTTTGGGGTCCTGCAAACTGGGGGAGATGTGCAGGAAGCAGCCTAAGGAAGCAGAGCTTGCAGCTTCTCCCTGCCTTCTCCTTCTTTGTTCTCTGGGTGGCATCGCATCAGTGAGGGAGTTTTAACCCTTGTAATTCCTTTTCCATGATAGAGAGAGAGGATGTGTTTGCAAACAAGGAGAAGGTGCAGAAGGAGGTCAAGGCCGCCCTGACAGAGAGTGCCATCCTGAGCTGTGAGGTGGCCCAGGCCAAGACTGAAGTGAAATGGTACAAGGACGGGAAACTGATCACCTCCAGCAAGAAATTCAAAGTGGAATCTGAGGGCAAATCCCGGCGTGTGGTGGTGGAGCAGGTGGAGAAGAAGGACGCTGGAGAGTACACCTGTGAGGCCGCAGGCCAGAAACTGACCTTCAAAGTTCTTGTCACTGGTAAGAGAGTATTTTCTTTCAGCTTAAGGGCTGATTTGCTGCCGTTGCTGGTTTGAATATGGTAGAATAAAGTGCGTTTCCTACACTGGTAGCATCTTGGAGAGATTTTAGGTTTTGCCATGATATCGATAAGAAATGAACAAAGCAAGCAGATAAACTGGGGAGGAAACTGAATCATTGTTTAGTCGGTGGGCGTTTCACAGCAGTAGCTTAATATTTTCCAAACTAGGTTAGGATTCTGAACTTCTGCATGGCATTAGTGTTACCACCTTTGAAAAGCAAAAAAAAAAAAAAAACGGCATCCGCCCACACAGAGGGCAAACCCCCTGTAACTCCAACCACAAGGCGACTTCACAATCCCCCTTCAACCGCAGCTTATAGTTTCTATAGTAACACATATAGATAAGATTGATAACATCGTACATCTCCTCACTGTTGCGTGACTCAAACCATCTCTCTTACGCACGGCCGGTGCACTTGTGTGTTGGTGGGCAGCCAGCTGCTGTGTTTTCAACACCTTTGACCTGTTATCGCTTAAATGGCAGAACTGGGAACACTGCAGCATCTTTAGCTGGACACAGAAACTTTTAACATTAGATCTCCCATTGTGTTATGATAATAATGCAAATCTTTAGACCCACGTAAAAAAACCCTGGGAAATGAAATTTATTTTTCTGGCAACTGGCAAATCCATAAAACAATGACCAGGCCTGTCAAATATCTGCCAGGTGGTAACCCTGCAGGGCATCCATACATGCCACTCTGGCTTCTCTTTAATGCCTTCATTTACTTTAAAAAGTAACAGTGCTCCTCAGAGGGAACAAATGTTGGTCATGTCAGCTATCAGAGGGGTGGGAAAGTTTTGCAAGGAACATCTCAGCCCAAATAAGCTCAAGGGAGGGTTGAGGTGGTACATTCATATTTGGATCTGAGATCGCTCCAGAGGAATCATGAGAAGCGGAGTCTGGGGATTTGGGGTGGATTATTACAAAGGAGAGGTGCTGGCAGGTCCACAGTTAAGATTGTACGTGGACTTGCACTGATGTTGGGAGGGGTCAGGCAGAGGTGGGAGATGTGAATCAAAAGCTGCCTAAGATGCAGAGCTGTGAGCTTCTACCTGCTTTCTCCTTCTCGATTCTCTGGATGGTATCACATCAGTGAGAGAGTATAAGCCTTGTAATTCCTTTTCTCTGGCAGAGAGAGAGGATGTGTTTGCAAACCAGGAGAAGTTGCAGAAGGAGGTGAAGGCCGCCCTGACAGAGAGCGCCACGCTGAGCTGTGAGGTGGCCCAGGCCAAGACTGAAGTGAAGTGGTACAAGGATGGGAAACTGATCACCTCCAGCAAGAAATTCAAAGTGGAATCTGAGGGCAAATCCCGGCATCTGGTGGTGGAGCAGGTGGAGAAAAAGGACGCTGGAGAGTACACCTGTGAGGCCGCAGGGCAGAAACTGACCTTCAAGATTGTTGTCACAGGTAAGAAACAATATTTTCTTTCAACAGTTTGCTGTTGTTGTTGGTTTAAGTATTGTAGAATAAATTGAATATCCTGCACTGGTGGTATCTTGGCTCAGACATTTCCTATTGAGTGATACACAATGAATGACTTTTTAAAACCCACAGTGCTTCTTAAAGGAAAGAAGATCAGTGTCCATTCAGGTTTCTAAGAGGAGGGAAAGGTTTGTAAGGAAGATGTTGGTGGAAAAACTAAAGGGAGCCCTGTGCCGATAAGTTCAGATCTGGATCTGAGGTCACTCTCTAGAGCACAGTTGAGAGTTTCAATGTGTGGGTTCGGGTTGGTTTATTATAAAGGAGACACCCTACAGGCTCCATAGTTAAGGTTGAAATTGTACTTGTCGCTATATTGTTTGGGATCAGGCAAAGTGGGGGAGACGTGCAGGAAGCAGCCTAAGGAAGCAGAACTGTCAGCTTCTCCCTGCCTTCTCCTTCTCTGTTCTCTGGGTGGCATTGCATCAATGACGAAGTTTAAGCCCTTGTAATTCCTTTTCCACGATAGAGAGAGAGGATGTGTTTGCAAACAAGGAGAAAGTGCAGAAGGCGGTCAAGGCCGCCCTGACAGAGAGCGCCAGCCTGAGCTGTGAGGTGGCCCAGGCCAAGACTGAAGTGAAATGGTACAAGGACGGGAAACTGATCACCTCCAGCAAGAAACTCAAAGTGGAGTCTGAGGGCAAATCCCGGCATCTGGTGGTGAAGCAGGTGGAGAAGAAGGATGCTGGAGAGTACACCTGTGAGGCCGCAGGCCAGAAACTGACCTTCAAAGTTCTTGTCACTGGTAGGAGAGAGTATTTTCTTTCAACTTAAGGACTGATTTGCTGCCATTGTTGATTGAAGCATTCTAGAGTAAGCTGAATTTCCTGTCCTGCTGGCACCTCGGCTCTGAGTCCAGAGAGTTTTTGGAGAGATGTTGCGTTTTGCCACAATGTTAAGAATAAATTCTCAGAGTAAGCAGGTAAAATGGGGAAGGCGCCTGAATCTTTGTAGTCGGTGGGTGTTTTGCAGCAGCAGTGTAAGATTTTCCCTTTGAGGTTGGGATTTTGAACGTCTCATGGCATCCATATGAGCCACCCTGGCTTCTCCTTAATGGCAGTGTAGCACTCCTTAGGGAATGATCACTCTCCAGAGCAATCATGAGATGTGGAATGTGAGGATTCAGGTTGGCTGATTTAGGAAGGAGACACCATACAAGCGCCTTAGTTAAGGCTGAAATTTCAGGCAAAGTGGGGGAGACATGCAGCTAATACTGTCTCAGGAAGAAGAGCTGTCAGCTTCTCCATGCCTTCTCCTTTAATAGTCTCTGGATGGCACTGTATCAGTGACAGAGTTCACCCTGTAATTCCTTTTCCATTGGCAGAGCCCGAAGAAGTGTTTGCAAACAAGGCGAAGGTGCAGGAGGAGGTGAAAGCCGAACTGACAGAGAGCGCCACCCTGAGCTGTGAGGTGGCCCAGGAAAAGTCTGATGTGAAATGGTACAAGGACGGGAAACTTATCACCTCCAGCAAGAAATTCAAAGTGGACTGTGAGGGGAGATCCCGGCATCTGGTCGTGAATCAGCTTGAGAAGAAGGATGCTGGAGAGTACACCTGTGAGGCTGCAGGCCAGAAACTGACCTTTAAAATTATCGTCACAGGTGAGAGAGAGGTGTTTACATTGCTATTCTCTGTTGTGACCTGCCATTTTGATTTTCTCCTTCAAATATTTTGAGTTAATTTGAACGATGTGATATTATTTGCTGTTTTATTCTGAACAGTTGAACGGAAGACAGATGGGGCCCAATCCCTAACTAGTGTAAGTGAGCAGTGCTGTCTTGACCTTAGTGTGGCAATGCTGGTTTATACCAGCTGAGGATCAGGTCTATAAGGACGAATTTCAATGAGTTTGGTGTTATTTTGTGAATGGACGTCAGGGTATAAACAAGGACAGCATTTGGAGGGGAGGCCCAATTAATAACCATGGGGTGTGAATCGGCTTTCACTTATACTGAGTTTACACCACTGTAACTCCACTCATTTCAAAGGAGGTACTTTGGATGTGCAGGTGTATGTGAGAGAGAAATCAGACCCTCATTTTATGAAAACATAAAATTTCATGTTCTTGGATTTTGAGATCACCTGACAATACAGACATTATCTGATTTGGAAGCTATAACTGCGTACCGAATTCATAAGTGCAGTTACCACCGTGGTGGCTAGGTGTGAGTTTAACTGATCAATGGCATTCAGAAATGCCGATGTGTGAGCAACTGGGCCAGCTGTGTTCTCAAATTCGATGCACATTTGTTCAAGCCCATTATATCTGTGTAACGCTGACCACGTCATTCGTTGTGTTGGGGATCAAACCTAAGACCTCTTCAGCTAAACGAGTGAGCCTCTCCTGTTCACCTAAAAAACACATCTCTAGCTGGCCTAGCCACCACTAGAGGGAGCCAAAGTGCCACTCTGAGCTGGCTGGGGTTACATATACAAGGCACTGTATTTCTTCTGGAGCCTTTCATTTCTTCTGGATGATGTAGCATCAGAAACACCTGATTGGTGGAAGGAGAAGTGTTGCATCTGGGGCTTGAATTGAACAAAATGGGGCCCATTTCAAAATTGCATGGAATGTGACGCAGCTCCGCTCCTGGGCTTTACATTGTGTTGGGAGTACTTTGTGCAGCTCTAACTGGGCATTAGGTTTTTAAATGGCTTCTCCCCCTCCCCCTTGCAGAGCCTGAAGAGGTGTTTGCAAACCAGGAGAAGGTGCAGAAGGAGGTGAAGGCCGCCCTGACAGAGAATGTCACCCTGCGCTGTGAGGTGACCCAGGCCAAGACTGAAGTGAAATGGTACAAGGACGGGAAACTGATCACCTCCAGCAAGAAATTCAAGGTGGAATCTCAGGATAAATCACGGCGTCTGGTCATGGAGCAGGTGGAGAAGAAAGACGCTGGAGAGTACACCTGTGAGGCCGCAGGCAAGAAACTGACCTTCAAGGTTATCATCACAGGTGAGAGAGACGCTTACTTTTATTTGTTATTTTATTGTCCGCTCTTCTGGGAGCGTTTCTTTGTGAGTTATGGGATGTTAAATAAGCAATATATGGTCCTCTAGCACTGTAGTGAAGCGAAGACTCACCGGCGCAGCACCTCTTGCTGGTCGTCTGGGAATTAGCTCTTTTCCAGCTTACGGAGCACCCTCTGCAGGCCGGTGTCTTGCCTGCCGCTGGCGCCGTGTCCCTTTACCTCAGGGTTCTGCCCCAGCAGTACCCCCACACACTCGATCTCCCCTTCCAGGGGAGCCCCCAACCCTCTAAACCCACCTTGCCTCAGTGGCTACTGCCAGTCATCATCTAGCCCCCGCTCACTGGGGCAGACTGCAGTGTAATGGCCACGCATCATTGGCAAGGGGGTAGGACCTGCTGCTTTTGCCTGTCCTCGGGCTGTCCCTCTGCAGCCCCAGTACCTTTTGGCCTTTACCAAGGCCTGCAGCCTAGTGGTTTACCAGGCTGGAGCTCCCCAGCTACCTTGCCCTATTCCCCAGCCCTGCTGTGCTTCAGTACCTTACTCCCAGGCAGCTAGCCCTTCCCACTCCAGGGCTAGAGTGAGACTCCTCTGCTTCTGGCCCAGAGCCCTCTTATCAGGGCCAGCTGTGGTCAGCTACTCACTCAGCTTCCCCCAGCTGTTCTCACGCCTCTTCCACGCTGCAGCCCTCTCCAGGGCTGCTTTTATCCCCTGTTCTGCAGGAGTGGGGCAGCCGCCACACTACAAGCACTCTACTGCAGTGTGCAACTAGGCCTTCTGGGTGTGTATAACTTCCAGCTCAGTTGTAGTCCTGCTGCCTTCAGTGGGATTGCTCCTCTCCGTTAAGTTATGCAGGTCCTGCAGTAGCTTGCTGAATGGTGGTCTTGGTGAAATGCAAAGTCTGAGGTTTGGCGTTTGGGTTCAGATGAACCTCCAAGTAGCTCAGAAGCTCCTCTGAACGTAAGAGGATTTATTTGAGTCTCTTTCTGCTATTTAGTCATGTTAAAATCTCACAAAAACAGGCTATCTCACAACACTTCTGGTGCTTCCTGCTTTTGGCAAGGTCAGCAGTACAGTGAGAATAGGCCATCTCATTGTGCTCTGGTAATTTTTGATCTATTTGCTGTCTGAACCAGAAAGTGAAAAGTTACCTGTGGGGTTTTTTTTCAATAACAAAAAGTGGACAGAAAATTGTGTTGGTGTTTAAGGCAAAGTTTCTGTTCCTCTTTTATTTATCTGAACTGATTTACCCAGCACTAGATTCTACCACCGTAGTTCCCAAACTTGCCAAACGTTTTCTGTGCATTGTAGGGGCTTACTGGATTTTATCCTCACTTCTTATGTCATATCTTTATTCTAGCTGTAAGTGACTGGAATTGTCCTGGGAGTAAGTCAGGGCCAAATCTGGGTCATTATATTGTGTTTGTGTTATCCCACACTTCCTCCACGAAAATGATGGTAATGATTGTAACATCATTTCAGCCTTCTGACTTGGCTGCAGGGTTAAGTAGGAGGTGCAGGTGGAGGGTGTGAGATCACAGATCACTTTTTTATTTTAGACAAGGCAATCTTTAGTGATTAGTGAAGGTGGGAGAGGAAAATTATGACAGATTATAAATACGAGACTGAGAGGCAGAAATTGGCCAAGAATCATATTACACTCTTTGAAACAAGAGCTCATGTTAGCTTCCTGTGGCGGATCATAGTTGTTTTTGTTTTGTTTTTTTTGTTTTAAAGCCAGGAGCTAATTGCCGTTTCCTACTTGGGCAGTGCACACAACAATGCAATACTTCCAGCAAGAGGCATTGATTGTTTGCATCTATGTATACGAGAGAGCTCCATAGCTTTAGCACAAAGGTTTTCTCAAGATGATGGATGATGAAGTGCTTCTGGCTGAAATACCAGAGCTTTGCATGAGTACATACTGTAACCTTGGATGAAAGCCTAAGGATTTTCCGCTACTCAAGGCTTCTGGCATAAGGCTGAGACATGATAGGTTTGTTTGTGTAAATGGGTCTGGTGGTTACGTGCTAGGCTCCACTCTACTCTGCTGCTCACTTCCTGAATGACTTTGGGCAAGTTACTTAACCTGTATGTAACTGCCTTTAATCCAGCTGGAAATGGGCATGCTGATACTTCCCTACATCCCAGGGGCATTGTGAGAATTAATTGGTGTGTGCGAAGGGCTCTGAAATCCTCACATGAAGGGTTCCATTTACCTACAAAGGTTCCTCTACCTGTTCTATGCATGTTGCTAGGAAGGATGGTCCAGGGGCTAAGACAGGAGCCTGTGACTCGGGCAAACCAGGTTGGGCTCTGCCATGTGAGGCTAAACACCATACAAGATTGTGAGATGCTCAGACGCTGTAGTAGTAGGGGCCAGATAAGTAGCTTAGATACATTATTAACATGTCTTACAAGCACAAATTAGTTGAGCCTCTGCACACCTCTGTGAGATAGGTGGTATTATCCATATTTTACAGATGGGGAAACTGAAACACAGGGAGAATAAGGATGTGCTTCTGCTCCCATTGAAATCAATGGGAGATTTGCCAAATACTTCAATGGCAACAGTTTTGGCATCCTAAGTGACTTGCCCAGGGTCACAGGGAAATCTGTGGTAGAGTCAGGAATGGAAACCAGGTCTTCTGACTCCTCCTTCTGTGCCTTAACTCCAAGATCGTCCTTCCTCCACATCTCTTGGTATTAATTTGTGGTGAAATTCAAGTGAATTCACCAAAGAGAATTGGTGTGAGCAAGTGCCATGCCACTCAGGTAAATCCAAACAACTGAAACTTGCAACTGGGAAGAACTCCATCACTTAAAATTAAGTTCCATACATCTGGGGCAGGGACTGTCTCTTTGTTCTTTGCTTGTACAGCCCCTAGCACGGTTGCATCTTGGTCTAGGGCTGGGACTCCTAGGCTCTACGACAAGGGTGCCCAACCTGCAGGCCATACATGGCCAACCAGAGCATTTCATAAGGGCCCACAGCCTGCTTCAACACTGTATACTGGCTGATTCATTAGCATTTTGTTGCCATGTTTACATCATTTTAGTTCACACAAGTGTGTAAATAGACAATATTGTACATAGAAACAGCCTATCTAAATACATACGAAACAAGCTGAACTTAAAATATAAATCAATACAGGTGCCTTTAAATCATATTAAAATATGTAGAATCTGTTTGGCCCGCACAAGGTTGTGCTTAGGTTTTATGTGGTCCTCCTGTGTAACAAGGTTGGGCACCACTGCTCTACGATAACACAAATAATAATAATGGAATGACATGAATTGTACATATTAGCGGCTATGTTGGGTTTGTATTAGCATATAAAATCCTCTCCCAAGATTCAGAAGACAGGATCCAGTGGGGACGAATTAGTCCAGAGGAATACAGTTGTTCTTCCCTCATGGTCTTTGCAGAGAAATGAGCATACTCATAGGTGTGACACAAAGAGCCTTGTGGATCTTCTTTATTGTAGAGGGTCCAGAACACGTCAGCCATCCTTTACCCGCACTGGAAAATCACTCTGTGCCTAACCTTTCGGGCCAAATGCTTATCGAAAACACAGTGAACTTAGAGGGCTCTAATTCCAAGGAGAATCAGTTGTCATTTTGATTTACAGGTGCTGTAGGAAGCTCTGCATGCATCACATATGACAAGATTATATCCCATCCATTCTAGGAGCTATGGAAAGAACCATCTAAATAATTGATAGGCCCTGCCTCACAATGGTGAACAGCACTGGATATCACCATGGCCCGAGCTCTGCGAAACTAGGTGGTTTCACATAACAGGCATTTGTGTGAATATTTCTCATGGTTTCAGTCTGGATGGGTCTGCCTCATCCCTTCTCCACCTGTGTTTTGCCTTAAGCTTTGGGTTTGAAACAACTCAATATCTAAAAGTGCTGCTTGCTTAAACCCACCATATTTCTCTTGATTTCCCACTGAAAACATAAAACAATGTGCATTTGGGTGCCAAGCTACAAAGCAGCCCAGGCTTGACCAAAACTGTGTCCAGCTTTGCTGAAAAGTTTTGTAAATCTCAGCAAACCTTTTGGATGAATCTGGACTGAATTTCAAGGTTATCACAAAACCTGAAGCTTGAGTTCTGGTCCAAGGCCCACACAAGTCCATAGAAAGAATCCCATTAACTTCAGTGGACTTTGGATCAGGTTCAGGCATGTGGTATGAGGTTTCCTTGTGATCGTTTTACAGAGCTATGATGGCAGGCCTATTGCAATTGCCAGACTGGGTCAGATCAATGGTCCATTTAGTCCAGTATCTGGTCTTCTGCAGTGGCCAGTACCAGCTGCTTCAGAGGAAGGTGCATATTGACCTGTGGGCAATTATGAAATAGCCTGGCCATTTGGGAAGTCTCTTTCTGACCCCAATTAGTTAGAATTTGGCTTTGCATGAGAGTTCATGGCCCTTCCAAACATTTTTTTTTTTTGAAGTTCGAGCATCTTGCTGGGATTGGATCTTGAATGAGCAATCGCCTTTATTCCTTCACTCTGGAGATGGTGTGCAACTGCAAAACCTGTCTCTGGAGCTGTGTTAAAGTGCAAACATTCACAGAATTCAAGGAAGTTTTGAATCTGGAGTTCCAGTGACATGAAATTTTGGATTCTGATCTAAAATTCCCCCAAATTCAAGGGGATGTGGATCCAGTGTCCTGATTCAGACCTATTGTTCTTTCGATTGTAGTTCTCCTGGCACTGTGGCAGAGTTTAAATACTAAAGAAGAGATCTGAGATAGGTTTTATATTTTTATATTTTGACAGGATGGATAGTTCTCCCCCCAAGCAGTTCTTGCTAAGGGTAGGTTCTGTCATTTAAAAGATCCGAGGTCAGAGTTCTGTCCAGCTTTTCTATTAAATGAAGTCATTAGAAGTTGGTCCAGTAAACAATACTACCTCTGCCATCTTATCGCTACATTAAAATGGCCAAACCTAGATTTATTTTAAACCAGCTGCAGTCATTAATGGGGAATCTGAAACCCCCTGCTTCAAAAGGAAGGTTTGTTTCTTGACTGTCGCCTATCCTCCTATTTGCAGAGGCAGAAGATGTGTTTACAAACAAAGAGAAGGTGCAGAAGGAGGTGAAGGCCGCCCTGACAGAGAGCGCCACGCTGAGCTGTGAGGTGGCCCAGGCCAAGACTGAAGTGAAATGGTACAAGGATGGGAAATTGATCACTTCTGGCAAGAAACTCAAAGTGGAGTCCCAGGACAAATCCCGACGGCTGGCCATGGAGCAGGTGGAGAAGAAAGATGCTGGAGAGTACACCTGTGAGGCTGCAGGCCAGAAATTAACCTTCAAAGTTATCGTCACAGGTGAGAGAGACTGATTTCTCTCTTATTTTCCATATTGGAAAACTGACGCACAGAAAAGTTAAGTGACCTGTTGTTCAGGTAGCCAGTAACAGAGCCAGTTTGGCTTATGATAAATTGAAACCAACCAACGAACCAACTGAAAAGTTCAGGAGTTTATGCATTAGACTAGTCTTTGATTCTGGCCTGGCATAATTCTGGAGAAGTAACAGAGGTGGGTGGTTTATTTTTTTCATTTTTAATTAGAGAATACCTGTGAAATTTTGGAAAGTTTAAGCATGAAATCCAGAATGTAGACTCTTTTTTTTTCTTAAACCACCTTTATTTTGGATTGCAAGATAAAATGCATCTCTCCTCTTGTTTGTATGATTTAGTGTGTATTTTCTTACAGCACAGTCATCCAACTGATGATATTCAGTGAAGTTCTGATAGACAAATGTTAACAAATGCATTAGTTTCTTCCATTGCAGATTTTAGAAAATCATGGTAATTAGACATGGAAAAACCCTTGTAGGTCACCTAGCCCATCCTCCGCTGCTGGTGAAGGAGTGTTCCTCCTACCACTTGTTGATGTGGTCTAGTTTAAATGACTCAGGAGATGGGCACTCCGGAGATATGAATTTGGAAAAATTTTCATAAACCTGCCTGCTGGTAATGAAGATCAAAGTTGGGGGAGTTAACTTTTTAAACTGTTTCCCTCAATCTCAGAACCTGAAGTTGTGTTTGCAAACAAGGAGAAGGTGCAGAAGGAGATGAAGGCTGTCCTGACGGAGAGCACCACCCTGAGCTGTGAGGTGGCCCAGGCCGATACTGAAGTGAGGTGGTACAAGGATGGGAAACTGATCACCTCCAGCAAGAAATTCAAAGTGGAGTCTGAGGGCAAATCCCGACGGCTGGTGGTGAAGCAGGTGGAGAAGAAGGATGCTGGAGAGTACACCTGTGAGGCCGCAGGCCAGAAACTGACCTTCAAGGTTATCATCACAGGTGGGAGAAACTCTTTTTTAAAATTTTTGTTAGGAGACTAAAGTGATTTTATTTTATTAAGAATATTGTCCACCTTTTTAGGAGCAAATTATGGGTCAGAGAGTGGCGGCTGTTGCTTTGGTGCAGAAGTTGGGGGGACTTTTAAGAAAATGTATATATTTGTAATGGATTGCAAGATCTTTAAGGCAGGGAGAGCCTCTTCTCAGTATGTTTGGAAAATGCCCAGTATATTGTGAACCCTTCCCGAATATACATGAATAATAATAGTGCCGCAATCCCTTCCCCTCCCGTAAATCCATCGATGCAGCCAGAATGCCAGAGAGCCAGCACATGGCTCTCCACGCCACTCTCAACCCCAGTGAATTTGCAGAGGGGGGGCATGGTAGAGTGGCCCTGCGGGGGTATCTGCACTTCCTTGCCCCTCATGGACGGGTACTCTCCATGTCTGCCCAAGAGAGGTTGGCGGGGAAGGACATCACAGGGATGGGGATCTGCCTTTACACAAATGCAGTGGCCCTAACGCCCCATGCGAGTGGCACGGAGGGGCAGACGGTGAAGTGCGCTGAGGTCTGGTGCCTGGGCGTCTGATTGGAAGAGTGGATTTCACCTGCCCAGCTCATCCACGCTCCTTTGCAGTCAGTCTGATTACTCCAGCGTTATGTGGGAGATGAGCATTTCATCCCGAGCGTAAGGCTGCGTGTGTGTGAGGTGGGCAGGCTGGTACAGTCTGAGATGCTCCATGCCCCAAAGGGGTCCTGGCTGGAAGGGGATGGTGTGTAGCCAGATGACCAGTAGCATGGTGAGAATGCAGTCTGCACCCCGGTGCCGGGGAAGCATCCTGTCTGTCTCTGTAGGCTACAAGGATGACAGCTCTGGCATCTGCCTCTCAGATGGTGCAGCTCTGTGACATATCCTAGTGGAGCCAGGGCTGCAAAGCCACAATCCAGCCTTGTGTATAGAGTATACCATCTGATCTCAGCCCTCTAGCAATATACAGAAAGACTTCAAACAATGTATTAAGCACCTGTTACCCGGTCACCCCTTGGTGCTGTGCCTTAAGCAAATTCAGTAATTGAATCATAAATTCAGCTTGGTGGGCCAGCTAGAAAGTCCACCAGACCTTGTCCTAGCTATAGGAGACAGCCTTCTCCCAAATCTGCAGAGACATGCAGGTGCGAACAGGGGAAATTAAACAGTCATCATTTAAGCAAACCAAACTGCACAGAGGGCGTGTGAGCCAATGGGTAGGGCACTGGACTGGGGACTCGCGAGAGCTTGGTTCTATTCCTGACTCTGCTGTTGACCAGCTGTGTGGCCTTGGTCCAGTCATTTTCCCTCTGTGTGTCTGTTTCCCCTGCTACCCTTTGCCTATTTAGGTTGTAAACTCTTTGGTGCAGGGACTGTCTCCTCCAGTATATTTGTGCTGCACCTAGCTTGGTCCTGCCTCTAGGTGCTTCTTTAATACCATTGCTGCTAATAACAACAAATATGAGGAGTTCTGCAGTCACCGTGGGATTCTAGCTCATGTCCTCAGGAAGGGAATAGCATAGTCAAGGCCCTGCTGCTGAAAACTGCAGTTGGTCTGATCCTTAGAATAACTAGTCAGAACTGCCCAGCTGATCTGATTTGCCTTGATGGGACTGGGAATGAGAGCATACTGTGGTGGTCAGCAATGTGGCCACCTTCCTGGCATGCTAACACAGATCCTTAACTGTCTTGTCATAGCTCCTGTGAAACAGTAACAAGAAGTTTACCGTATAAGAAAACCTGAAAATGTGTTCCGTGGTGATGTGAGAACTTTAAATGCATGTTGTCAGATTGGAGACGTGGATTTAACTGTTCCCCTTAGGCCCTGATACAAGTTTTGGCAATTTTCAGGTTATAGTTCCCCTAATTTGAAATGTTCTCTTTTTTCAGAGCCTGAAATCATATTTGCAAACCAGGAGAAGGTGCAGAAGGAGGTGAAGGCTGTGCTGACAGAGAGCGCCACCCTCTCCTGCGAAGTGGCCCAGGCCAAAACTGAAGTGAAATGGTACAAGGATGGGAAACTAATCACCTCCAGCAAGAAATTCAAAGTGGAGTCTGAGGGCAAATCCCAGCGTCTGCTCGTGGAGCAGGTGGAGAAGAAGGATGCTGGAGAGTACACCTGTGAGGCGGCAGGCCAGAAACTGACCTTCAAGTTTAATGTCACAGGTGGGAGAAAGACCCTCCTGAATTCCCAACGATATTGTCGTGTCTGAAAATGGTCTAACAACAACAGTAATAAATGTGTGCAGTGAGACAGACCCTCAGCTTGCATAAATTAGTGTCGCTCCATTGCAGGCTAGGAGCTAGGCTGATCTATGCTAGCGGAGGGTCTGCCCTAATGTTTTGCATATACCAAAATATCAGGGTGTATCAGTATGTGATAAGAGTGCATCAGATTATTAAATTGGAGATATAATGATAAAGTAATAAAAATTATATACTCCTTGCAGAACAGCATGATCCTTTTATATATAATGCATAATATTTGGGAGTGGCCGAGTCACAGAGGGAGAAGTAAATTTAAGAAGCACAGACAAGGGAATAAAGAAAACTGCTCAGTTGAGATTTGAAAAGAGGCCAGGGGAGAGAGGCGCAGTTGGGTTGTTCCAGCTGGCAAGATCTACAGAGGAGATGGCTTTTGCACGCACACTGGTGAGCTGGAAGTCCGTGGAGCCCTAGTGATATACACTGGTGGAGGAGCTAGTCCTAACTGGTGATGGGTGAAGCAGTGCGGAAACTGGCCCAAACTGTCACTCAGAATTCAAACCGAATCTGGACCAAACTTTTTGAAGTTCAAAAATGTTGGACTTTAAAAAACAATCAGACGGTGTGTTTCATTTGCTTGCTGCCGCTGCTTTTCCCATATTCAGGTGTAAAGTACCTAATTATCACAACAGGTTCTTCTTCTAGCGCCTGACACTGGACAGCATCCTTGTTCAGGAAAGCCTGTAAGCATATGCTTAACTTTAAGTATATGCTTAAGTGCTTTCCTGAATTAGGCTTTGGCATTTCCAGCCTCAGAGGAAGCCAGAAGTAACAAAAACCTCTTCTTGCAAGATTCCCAGCCTGGCTTTGGAGACTGAAGATGCTGGGATATGTTCTTTGGAGAATCATCCATATTTTTGAGTGCTCATCCAAACTGATCTAAAGCTGTGAATTTTCTGAGGTCCTTTCATAGTATATTTTTGCTTCTGATCCAATGAGATGCTGCAAGCCACCTGCCATATATTAAATGCCCTCTTCTCCTGAAAGTTGCCTGCAATTTGCAAGATTGGACCTGATTCAGCAAGGTGCTTAATTTAGGTAACTTTAAGCATGTGAAGTCAAAGGGACGGCCAGTTGCTTTAAATTAAACATGTGTACACTTGTGTATCTTGCCAAATCAGGTCCTTAATGATCAGAGTATTGTACTAGTAACAGTATTCTTTGGAAAGAGAGGTTCCTGCTGGGAATGACCATGGGCAAGATCATTAAGAGACCGTTCTGGAAGACTGTGTTATCGCGTTGGTTTATGAGGGAAACATGATCAAAGAAGGAAGAACTTCTGCATTGTATGGCCTAATTAGCAACAAGCAAATAAATAAATAGAAACATTCTCCAGCAGTGACTGCTATTGTTGGCAAATGACAAATTTCAGAATTTCCAAAGTTGGTGCACGTGGATGTGCTAAGACCTGTTAGATGGGCTAATTTTATTTTAATCAGTCATTTTTCTCTTTTCTTTTTCCTACTCAGAGCCAGAATCTGCATTTGTAAACCAGGAGAAGGTGCAGAAGGAGGTGAAAGCTGTGCTGACAGAGAGCACCATCCTGTCCTGCGAAGTGGCCCATGCTAAGACTGAAGTGAAATGGCACAAGGACGGGAAACTGATCACCCCTAGCAAGAAACTCAAAGTAGAGTCTGAGGGTAAATCCCGGCGTCTGGTAGTAGAGCAGGTGGAGAAGAAGGATGCTGGAGAGTACACCTGTGAGGCTGCCGGCCAGAAACTGGCCTTCAAAATTGAAGCAATAGGTGAGTGTTTTCTTGCACACTCATTCTGGGAAGAAATGAGGTCATACTTTTCATCTGTAAAACATGTGCTTAGAGTGAATATCTTATTTCTTAATGCCTGGGAGCAACTAGGCCAAGATCTGCTTGGTTGTTACATCACTGGCTTCAAATAAGCTATACCACAGATTAATTTATCCTATTCACTTTGTTGGTTTTGGGTATGTGTAGTTGAAGGCAGAATTTGGCTGATAATCTTTACGTTGTATAACACGGTGCTACATGGTTTATTTTTTCATTGTCTCCTCCACAGACACAATCTCAAAGGTTTTACAGAGATAATGGGCTGAAAGTGAGATAGAAGTGGAAGGGTTTTAAAGAGGAGAAATGGTGACTTGGAAGAATGGTGCTAGTTAAATGGAATAGCAGGATGTGTTAAAGGGCTGTGATGCGTTATGGGAGTTAGAGATGAGGCCATGAGAGGAGGAGAAAAGTGAGCCCATAGGGTAGTAGGTACAAACAAGGAAATTTTTTGAGGGTGCAGCACGTCCACAGAGTTGATTTTGAATTAGGACCATGGTGACAGAGTAATTTTCATACACTATGAAACAAGAATCTTAGAGGATCCCAGATGCATGTTTATGTGCATGTGTATTTTTTTTTCATTATCTTTGATTCTATAAGAAATTACCTCTGTGAAGGAACAACTGATCATTTCCCACTCAATCCAAGAGAAAAGAGACAGCAGGTTGCAAACGTTCAGCCATATCCCTTGGATATGGTGGATCACAGGACAATTTTGGGGTCATTTTGTGAGTCATGGAGCAAAAAATGGTTGAGAACCACTGTTCTAGGGAGCAGGAAACCAGCCTGTTTTTTTATTTTCATTACTTCTCTAGAACCGGAGGCTAAATTCCAAAAGAAACTTGACCAGAAAGAACTGATTGTTGCTCAGGAATATGAGAGCATCACGCTGTCCACTTCAGTAATGCCTGAAACAGCCGTAGTCAAGTGGTTCAGGGATGGAACTGAGATCAAGGGAAGCAAAAAGTATGAGATTAAGGCTGACGGGGCCTCCAGGACTCTGACTGTGAAGCTGGCTGAGGGCAAAGACAGTGCTGTGTACACCTGCGAGACAAAGAGCGACAAGCAGGAGTTCAACGTGCAGGTGAAAGGTGAGAGGAACAGCAGCAGGCGTGTCAGCTTCGTTCCCAACAAAGTCAAATGGATCTTCCTCCCAGTGGGGGCCAAGGGGCTGCACTTGAAAACCACCCCCCACCCCCTCACCATTGCTCAGCTCTCAGGGCCCCTGTGTTGTGGCTGCTGTGATTCTGGCTCCAGGGTCCAGCAGATCCATTTCCCTAAATGTCCACACAGAGCAAAGCAAGATGCTTCCTACTCCCACCGGGCTAGTTCTTGGCCCATATTGCATGCTCGTGTCGGGGGAAGGGGGTCATAAGGTGCCCCCTATTCCTCGGGGCTTGCTATCCATATTACAGGTAGCTGTACGGGGGGAGAGCACTATTCCAACGCCTTCACAATTGGGTGGGGTGCGGGCCAGCTTGGAGGTGGGCATAAATTGTGCAAGGAGAAGGGCGTAGGGGATAGCTTAATTCCCCATGGAGAAAGCAGAGACAGAAACATGGCTCTGAGACACAGTTTGGCCCTTGCCATGTCTCTGGGGTTGGGCTGCTCTCTGTGTCCCTTTATCAAGGCAGACTGTAGAAGATGACAGTCTAGCCCAGAGTGGTGGAGTTGTGCGGGCTCAGAAACAAATGGATTCTCCCATCTACCTCGCAGGGCTGAGTTATGGGAATGATTTGTAGCTGGGGAGCTCTAGGGAGAGCTCTGCTTACCCAGGCTGGGGAGAGGAGGGCAGCTGCTGCTCCCCTGGCCACCCCTTTACTTTAACCTCTAACAATGTACTGTGTGGTTTTGGGCAAGTCACTTAGTCTCTCTGTACTTCACTTCCCCGTTTACATGAGATTCTACTCATTAGCAACCCCTCAGCTGCCAGCAAAACGTAGCCATGGTCTGGCCATTGCCAATAAGCAGAAGGCAGGATGGCGGGGCTGCAGCCAGGGAAGGAAGCACTGGAACGTGCCAAGCACAGGCTGCAAGCAGATTGGTGGGGCCATCCAGGGATGGCCCATCCTAGCGCTTCGTCCCCTGGCTACACCCCGCAAACCTGCCTGAGGCAGGGGGTCTCGCTTCTAGAAAAAGTTCTCAGTAAGCGGCATATCGTTGCCAATATCCAATCCCATGAAAATTAAAGTCGATGGGACAGGATGGATTCCCAGCACAATATTGCTATGAACTGGAAGTTGTTAATATCAAGGTTGCTATTGAGGGCCATCCACTTTACTTCCCAACCTCACAGGTGAGTTGTGAGGGTAAATATATTAAAGAGGGTGAGGCACCCGGGTAATGGGGGCGATATACGGGCCTTGGATAGATAGATGTCAAAGAGGTGAGAGAGATTGTGGAGAGAGATACCTGGGAGTGGAGGGTGAATTTCACATCCTGGGGCCACAGAACAAAGGCTGTATCATCTCCTACCCCAAAGCAATGATGGTAGGGAGTCTATGCCAACATCCCCCTGTCAAGGAGACACGTGATGTGATAGCTCAGCAGGTAAGTTTGGTTTATCAGGTGGAAGGCAGAACAAAAAGGAAAAAGGAGAGGACAATCCCCAAACCAGGCATTTTAAGGCATCATTCTGACACCTGTCCTTCCAGAATTAAAAGGGGTCTAAGATTTCTTTTGTATTTTATTTTACTTTAAAGGGCTCACTCTAAGCTGCCAACTCAATGGTCTGTAAGAATCTGATGGATTTGTCGCTTGATAAATATGCTTTCGGCTGTGTGTCCGTTCCCACTCTCTCAGGATAGGCAGTCAGCCCATAGGAGCGTTGGATCAGCTGTTAGGAGACTTGGGCTCTATGCCTGACCTACTGTGGTGTGTGACCCTGGGCAAGTCACTCACCTGCTTTGTAATGTTAGTGTCCACCAGTGTAAAATGGGTTTTTTTGTGTCTTACCCGCGTTCATGTCGTGTTTTGAGACGGGAGATGAAATGTTGCTATTATTATTACTGAGTCAGAATTTGTGACGTCGTTTCTATTGCTGACAATCTCTTGAATTTCCCTCCTTCCTCTGATCCAAAAACGCTCCTATTAAAAAAAAAGGGGGGGGGGTAAGAAAACAATCTTCTGATCTGCTCTGCTTTCATTGTTTCCCTTCCAATGACTCTCAGAAATCCCTGTGAAGTTTGCAAAGAAATTAGAAGCGGTGAGTTCCGAGATCGGAGGGACCATCTCTCTGACCTGTGAGCTGAGCCAGGCCAAGGGGGATGTGCTGTGGTACAAGAACGGAGTGGAGATCAAACCCAGCAAGCGCTTCCAGATTAGCGAGGATGGTGTCAAGCGGACCCTGACCATAAAGGGACTCCGGGCCGAAGACAAGGGAGAGTACTCCTGTGAATCCCGGGATGACAAAAGCAGCATTCAGGTCACCCCCAAAGGTACCTTGCCAGGTCCATGACATTACGTGTGACATCCTGCTCCCCTCTCCTTCCATTACAGTGCTAAAGAGCTGCATTAAAAAAACTCTGCCCGTGTTAAGAGGGCAGGGGACATTGTCGCTAGTATGAAGAAATGTATGTTATAGCTGGGAAAATAAGAGCTACCATCTTGAGGTTAATGAATAGACAGCATGACTGCCATTCTGAAAGAGAGAAATGCAATGTATGTTGTAGGTAGAAGATCCTTAGAAATGATATTTAAATAATATTTAAACAATGATACAACTCTATGAATTTAACTAGCAGCAACAATAAGAGCTAGTGCAGTGTCCTGCTAAAGTAATATGTGGGCTTAGTATGGGTTTATTGTATCACCCTCTACTGGATGAAGCCACAGGAATATAACTTGCTGCTTATGCAGAGTTAACCAAGTTTCTCTTTTCTCTCACGTGGCAGAGCCCTGTGATTTTGGTGGTGAAAGTCCCAGGGGCAATCCCTGCGGGCAACCTTGGTATTAGTATATGTGAAGCCACAGTTTGTTACCTTACCATGTCCACTTTAAAGTCCAAATTATATGTGAGCCTTAAAAAGTCTCCTCCTAGGACCCAATTTGAACTATGGCAGTTTAAGAGTTGTTCAGATTCTGCATTTGGATGCTCTGTTTTCAATTGATTTCATATACAGTGAAGGGCGGAACTCTGCTACCTTCCTGCAAAAGTGGTGAAGGTTCTCTTTGCAAAGAATGTTGTTGTGACTTTGAGACAAACTGAGTTGGGGGTCTCATGTTAGATAGGCCATGGACTTGTTGGCCCTGATATTGCATGTAAGGTTGGGGTTAAGGATCCTGAATCTAGACCCAGGATTTTCCCTTACACGCGTGCTCCTATCATAGAGATGGCACCTCCCTATTTAAAAGTTGGACAGTGAGATGTAATGTGACTATGTTACCATGTCACACAATGAAATATCCATGGCAAAGCCATTTGGATCCATGCCATTGACAATATTGCTAAGCCAGTCTGCCCTCTGGAGGTGCTCACAGTATGGGGGATTCTCATGCATGTGCTTCTAAAATGTCTCCTTCTTCTCTGTCAGCTCCTAGAGTGGTGAAGTTCACTACAGGCCTTCACAACGTGGTGTCTGAAGAAGGAAAAGAGGCCACATTCAAATGCACCGTCTCCCCCAGCGATGCTGCAGTTACATGGCACAGAAACAGTGTCAAAATTGAAGCCAGTAAGAAACACGTGATCTCTCAGAAGGACACCAACCACAGCCTCACCATCGTTGACCTGACTCTGGAGGATGCAGCAGAAATCTCAGCCAATGCAGAGGGTGTGGAAAGCAAAGCCACCCTCACAGTCCGAGGTGAGGGAGTTAGGTCCCTTTGACTGACTGTCATCCACACTGTGGGATGTGTTGTTTTGTACGTTCCTTCTACTAACTTTCTGACTGGGCCATGGGGATGCAAAATGCATGTGTTCCGCATGTTACAATAGTGCCCAGAATGTTGCAGTGCTGGAGATGCTGCTTCTGTTCATGTGGATTTTCCCCAGCTTTGATTTCCTCAGAAGCCACCATTTTAATCTTACTTTAGAGCCAGTTTTCTGGAGTCACTCAACTTTTACTCTTGTCTCCTCTCATTTTCCAGAGGCGCCGGTGATGTTCAAGAAGAAACTGGAGCCCAAAACGGTTGAGGAGAGGGACACGGTGACCCTGGAGGTAGAGCTGAGCAAGCCTTCCATGGAGGTGAAATGGATGAGGAACAGCATCGTGCTGCAGTCCAGTGACAACGTTGAGATCAAGGCTGAGGGGCCGAAACACAGCTTGATGATTAAGAACATCACCTTTGCCGACCGGGGCTTCTATTGCTGTGAGACTCTCGAAGATAAGACCCAGGCCAAGCTGAATGTGCAAAGTAAGCTGATGTTGAATGACCACCTGTGCTGTAGCCAATGTTAGGAGGCTGGTTTGGGAAATGCGGGTCTTTCCTCTTAGCATGCTGCCAGTCAAATGACTGTGTGGGAGAACGTGAGCCCTGGAGCTATCACAGGGGCTGACTGGTTGTTTGCTCTGACCTCCCCCTTCTATTGCTTCCATCTACCACAGTCCCGTGTCTATAGGCTTCTCTCCCCCTGTTCACCATTACACCTCTGAGCTTGTCCCTTCTCCCCTCAGATTCCCTCACACCTTTTCATTCTGTCTTTTGCCCCATGCGTTTGCTCATGTCAAATCATTCCTCTTCCCACCATTCCATATTCCACCTCTCTTCCTTACAGTACCCCCCACAACATAGCTCTTGAAATGCAAGTAACGTTAAAATAACAAATCCTCTACCAACAAGTGTTTGAGTGTTCAAATAAACTAACGCTCTTCAGTCTGTAACCTCTGTAATTCAGCCTCCTTCCCCGCATTCCCTTTGTCTTCATTGTAATGCCATATCTTCATTTAGGGTGTATGTGCTTCAGGGCTAGGATCTGTCTAGTTATATGTCTGTAAAGCACCGTTAGCAGTTGGGGTGCTATATAAATAATGCATGATATTTAGGCACCTTTTGAATATCTAACAGATGGAGAGATATGTTAGAGAGGCTGAGCCCTTAAGTAATGGTTCAGACCCGCACATGAACTTGGCGAGTTCTGCTGAACTTAGATATGGTGTTCTGGCTCATGTCTGTATCTAGTGTGTATACAGGAAATCCATAGCATCCAAAGGGATAAGAGTTCAGCAGTGAGAAATATTCTTACCAGGACCAGAAACCATGTGACATTCACCTGGCTTTGCATTTTGTTAAAATTCAAAACTCAGGTGATCTCTGTGGAAAGATTGAAAACCTTGGGGTGAGTTTTGAACAAACCCAGGCCAGTTTATGGCTTTGCAGTGAAATCCTGTGAAATTTGTGATTTCAGTTATTTCAGTGGAAAGCCAGGTGACGTTCAGTCTTGTGGAGATTTTGGGTTTGTTCAGACCCAGAGTTTAGAGGTTGCAAATGGACATGGATCAAAAGCAAAGCAGCTGCTGTGAAACATCCGTAAGGTGTCTGGCCTTAGAGCAGCTTTAGCTAGGATAGATCCCAAAGTTATAAAGTGTGATGCTTCCCAGGGGTACCCAGGGTTGTGAGGCACCTAGCTAAGACCAGCCCTTAGCATGAGCAGGTCTTCTCTGTGCCTGCTGTGGCTGCCCTGAAACCGCCAGCCTCTGGCAACACAAGCACTGCTTGCCAGGCTTCTGCGGGCCTTGCGCTCTCTCTCTATACAGGTTAGCGATAGACACACTCCAACCTCCGAGACCTCTGAGCGACCCCCTGCAGCGTCCAGCCCCTGTTCCAATGGACACACAACTCTTAGACCTGCTATTCCCAAAGGAGTAGTACACACCAGTCTGTGAGATTCAACTCAAGGGGACCACTTGACTTAACACACAACACACAAAGATGTGTAGTGAAAACTATAAGAACAAAGAATATGGATTCTAGCGAGAGAAAGTCAGAATATTGGAAACAAATGGTTACATATAAAACAAAATCATAACACACTTTCTGGATCCTAAATTTAATTAGCAAGGCATTCCCCTATCCCCTACAAGATAGCTTACCCATGTCCTTTCCCCAGCATTTCCAAGCCCATTGGTGGCTTGTCCTCGCAGGTGGAAGGAATGAGGTTATACCTCTGTACCCCTTTGTTATGCCCCCCAAAAGTTCATTGTCCTTATTTGTAAACAGGGCTCTGCCCTGCTGTTTCACGTCTTCCTGTATATTTCCTTTCTTAGAAGATTTCACAATTGTTCATTAGCAGGCTCAGAATGTAAATGGATGCCCATTGTGAACCATACAATACTTAATTTAATGTAAACAGACAGACAGATAAATATTTCTTACCAGAAAGAAAACTCGCTTTTCACCTTTCTCGTGACCAGCCCCTAGTCACAGACCTTAAGAGCATAATTTTCAGTATATATACATAACTCCTTACACAACAGCCATACATGTTTTGCAATAATGATGATGACCAGTGTGACACAGGCTTTCCTTAGAGATGGCCAATTGCCATCCAGAGGTCCTTGGGTCACATAAAGGTCCTTATACAAACTGGGGCCTCCATTTTAATTTTTATTTTATAGCTTTGTACATACCACAAGCAGAATCTTCACTAACAGGTTCTTTGATATAGCTCTCTGTTTGATACAAAGCTTTGTTTGTTGTACCGTGGCCACATCACCAATCCCCTCCTCTTTGGATCTCTCCACAGGTTCCCCTTTATACACTGAATCAGATTTAATTATTATTAAAATCTTGGCCACATTAAGTCAATGCTAAAATTGCCATTGACATTCTTGGGGTCAGGATTTCACCCCATTGTAATTCTGCATAGCACCTCTCTGGCCTACAACTCCAAATTTGTCTTTTCCCATGTCACCCACGCCCTCTACTCTCCCTCACTTTAATCCATATTATAACTTCCTTGGTTTATACAAACATATTTCTGTTGCACACCAATTGTTTTGTATACCAACACTAGTGCGCGCATGCTGTTTGGTATTGTTTGCATGCATTTAAGACCAGATTAGCAATCAAAGGTATCAGAAACTGATGCCCAAATGTATTTAAAAAAAAAAAAAGAAAAGAAAAAGCCAGGTCTGTGTAATCTCTTTCACACACTGTTTCTATAGTTTCTTCCTCTTCAGAGTCTTCCTTGCTGTCCTCTGGCAAGAGCCACTGTTTTAATATCCAGATACAGGAGAGTTATCAGCTCTGGTGGCAGCTGCTCATCCAACCGACACCAAACTGGTTAGCCCTGGGAAACAGCAGACTCTGGCTGTGGTGAGGAAGATAAAAAGTACCAACCAGGCAGTTAGAGGGCAGGGATATTTAGTGGGTCCATGCACTGGTAGAATGATAAAGAACAAAATGTACGCAGTACCTGTTTTTTCTGCAAGTACCATATATCTTTTTTCAGAAGCTGACTTTTTTGAGTAGTTTAACCTTTACAATTCAAGCTGTCGGAGAAGGCAGTTAGATACAATAGAAGGCATCCTTCTTTGGAGCAGCTTTTGATATATTACCAGGAGTATATTGAGTTTTACAGGCTTTGAGAGTTTAGCATCACTTTAGTCCCCTGGACCAGTATCTTTTTTTATTGAGAATACGTTGGAAAGGGAAACATTGTCAAATCAAACTTGGCTCAAAATTTGGCTTTTGTAAAAATGTGTTTTACAAAACCTCAGACCAACAGAAATGTTCCCACGACTTAAACAATAAATTCCAGCAGAAACAGTTCTTTAAAGCCACATAAACATATCATGAATCATAGAATATCAGGGTTGGAAGGGACCTCAGGAGGTCATCTAGTCCAACTTCCTGCTCAAAGCAGGACCTAATCCCCAACTAAATCAGTGCTTGCAACCCATGCATTGTAATTTTGGAATAATACAGGACAACTTGTATGTGAAATAACCTTAACTAAAAGTGAAACTGATTAGCATGTTCATTGCTCAAGCTGCTATAAATTTATAAACCACATAAATAGAGTTGCGTGAATGCACCACAATGTATTTGGCTCGTTTTCCTGCTTTTAGTACATCTGCAAGCAAATAGTGATGCCTCAAATTTATTCATTATTAAAAGAAGGATTTTTTAATTTGAAATTTTGTATTTTGTTAACTTTGAAGATTAATCTTCAACCCACCTATTCATTAAGGGGATGTACAGTGTAAGAGATTCAGACAGTAGACATGCAAGAAATATTTGGTACACGGTATTCCAAGTTTGAATTTTCTGTGTTAGTTGGGGTTGTTCACATTAATCACATGGCATTACACTGTTTTTGACTGGATGAACATTACTCTTTGCAATTAGGTTTTCAGCACAAATGCAAGGGAAAGGATGGTTTTGTATTTACGATACTGGACTAGGATTTAGGAGAGTCTGTGTTTGATTCTACCATAGACTTCCTGTGTGTGAGCCTACACAAATTATCTAATCTCATTTGCCTCAGTTCCCCATCTGTAAAATGTGGATAATAACCCTTGCCTTGTCTAAACAAATTGTGATCTGTTAGAGATAGCAATTGTTTCTTGCCATGTGTATGTACAGTGTAGCACAACGGGGCCCTGATCTAAGTTCGGTTGTACAGGCACTCTAATAATACAAGTTATAAATAAGCACAGAATATTTGGAAATTCATGAACACTTTCCATGAACACTTGTAAGGTTAAACTTAACCTTCATGTTCCATGAACATTTGTGCTAATATACTTAGATTACTTGCATGCTCATGGGGAAAACCCCCCACAAAAACAGTGAGAATATGGACAAAGTAAATTCACATTTAAATTAGAGCCGGAATTTATATAAATAGTAGACAGTAAATTAGGTATTTAAAAATTGTTTCAATTAAAATAATCTCAAGCATTGTTAGTAACAATTTAAAATCTATTTTGTAAACATTATTAGTAACTTTTTAAAACTAAGCAACCTTTAACCCGAGTGTCCCTTTAATATTTATAATGTAAAATCAGTGTTTATGACACATTTGGGGGAGGGATAGCTCAGTGGTTTGAGCTTTGGCCTGCTAAACCCAGGGTTGTGAGTTCAATCCTTGAGGGGGCCATTTAGGGATATGGGGCAAAAATTGGGGATTGGTCCTGCTTTGAGCAGGGGGTTGGACTAGATGACCTCCTGAGGTCCCTCCCAACCCTGATATTCTATGATTCTCTGACACTTAGAAAACCTGTACTATGGAACTTAGCTATAACTCAAGAAGTTATGTACAGAAATCCCCAGCCTTCTGTCTTAATTGTACTAGACTGTTTGGCTAGCTCCATGCCCATAGTAAATTTAAAATATAACACAATATTATACAGAGAGGTAGAATGCAGTGGAACACAATACAGTCTGCTCCTCTCTCATCTTTCACACAATGTGCCTGAAAACACTTTATACTTTATAGGAAACATTCAGCATTCCTTCCAACAAGTCTGTTTGTCACTTCCACTGTTCTGAAGCTCAGGCTTCTGTTACTTCTTTTCTAGACACTGGCTAGTTATCATGGCCAATTGTTAAAAACAAAAGAGCCCTGGCATCCCGATCACTACTTATATTGTAATGACTTGGCTACTTTTAATGGCTGCAAAAAGTGTTTTACTCCTTAGGGTTTTGCATGCTTTGTACTGTGCAAGGCTAATTTCATGTCTCTCTTTTTTTAACTTCCCGTTCTGAAGACAAGAGGTGATTTCTGTGCCGGATGATCCCCCCTCACCTCCCCGCCCTTGTGCTTCCCATATATCTAGCTGCATTTTCATCACTTATTTCAGAGTAGCAAGCCTGTTAGTCTGTATCCGCAAAAAGAAAAGGAGGACTTGTGGCACCTTAGAGACTAACAAAGTTATTCTTAGCTTCTCTACATGAGGGATGTTAATGGTTACAGATTAGTGAGTGCTGGAACTGAATGCACAATGAGATTTAAAATGTACAAGGTGATCTGAAACAAACTGTGACTTTACAGAGGAAAACCAAGGGGATTCTCTTTGCATATGATCAGCCATGCTTTATTTATAAGAAGGCATAGGGAAAGGTGTCCATTTTAAGGAAATCTCAGCTATACGGTATGCAATGTTTATAAGAGTCATACACGTCACAATGCAAAGATTATAAGCCTAATTCTGATATCACGCTGGTTTTACACCAGAGCCAAGATTTTAAAAAGTAGAGGCCTAAAGTTATGCTCCTAAATCCATATTCAGGTAGCTAAATAAATGTCCTGATTTTTAAAAGTGCTGGATAGAGCTGTGAGAATGACTGACTGATTTGATTTGGGTAGAAGAGAAACCAACTTTTTTGATACTTTCAGGAAATCAGAAAAATTTCATTTTGGGTTGAACAAAATTTTTCATTGTGAACATTTTAGCAACAGCAGAGGGAATGAAGGGCTGGATCTATGAGAAGCTGCTGCTGCTGGTGGTTGCCACTCCACCACCCTTTATATCCAATTTTGCCCAGTGGTTGGAGCACTCAACTGGATTGTGGGAGAACTGGGTTCAAGTCCTTGCGCCAGAGCAGGGTTTTGAAGCTCAGTTTCCCACAACCCAGGTGAGATCTCTGACTTCTGGGCTCTTAGGTATAAGCATGGCAATTACCTAGTCCCTGATTCTGCATTTTTTGGCCACATTTTTTTTTCAGCCAAAAATTGTTTGCCCAGTTCACACCTAACAGTGCTCAGTAGTCAGTTTAAGTGCTCAGTAGTCTTGAAAATTGGGGCACTTATTTAGATACTTTGCACTGGGCTAAGAAGCTTGATTTTAGGAAGCCATTTTTAAAAATCTTGATCTGCACTGATACCATTTGGCCTGATCCTGCTTTCATTTACATTAGTGCAAATGCAGAGGTGTCACCGTAAAGTCAATTGAGTTATACCATTGTGAAAGCAGTGTGAGAGCAGTGACTAGAATATTAATATTGAGAGGGAAGATTGCAGATCTCTTGACATAATTCCAGCCTGTAATATTTTCTTTTAAAGGAAACCCTTTAAAGGCTTTTCCCCAGCTGCCCTCATGGGGGAGGATGTTTGCAAAAGAAGAAATTTGTCCCAGGCCTATCTGTACTATATGGCTGGAGGGCGTCTGCTGAGAACTTGCTCCGTTTCTTGAGTTAGTGTTTTTTGCTAATCCCTTCCCCTCTAGCTCATCCCCAGCAACTTCAGCACATTCCCTGTTCGAAATGCTGAAGTATCTGTTGAACCAGAGGAAAGGTCATCACAGCAGCAGGCACACCGGATTCTTTGGAAACATCTTTCAGCTTAAAGAATAAGACACCACAGAGCAGGGAGGGAATGGCTGTAAACTTAGATGAAGAGCCAAGGACTAATGCAGCCTTAGAGAGAATGGACTTCAGAATCTGTGTCTGAGAGAGGGAAGCAACAGTGCAAACTCCTGGGAAAATGTCTCTTCTCCCCTCGTGGGGCATGTGCAAAGAATGTCCCGGGGGACAAATCTTGTCTCTGCCTCAGTGGCCGTGGAAAAGATGCCTTGGCAGAGGAACCAGTGCAGTTCCATTGGACAGAGATTGAGTAAGATTTAGAGATTTGTTGTAGGTACTGCACATCCCCTGCTGTGTGGAGGAACAGGGCAGCAATACACAGTAGGAAGAGCCAAAGGATCCATCATTGTATGGATTCTTTGGCTTTATTCCTGAGGCAGAAGGGGTTGTGGCCACATAGAACTACTTAGGCGTAGTTTCAGAAGCGGCTCCATGGAGCAGTTCCGCAGTTGCTCTGGAGTCTATGGGGAGGAGTACATCAATGGCTGGAGGGTTTTGCGTCTTGAAGAAGACAGTGGACACCTGAGAGTAAGAGTCGGGCCCAAGTCACAACCATGGAACTGAGCACCCATGTGAACTCCTGGCAATGCTTGGATATCTGGATCCATATCTGAACTTTGTGGCTTGGGTTCATCTCTTCTGAAGATACATAAGAAGGCTGGACTATTCCCAATTCAGCCTTGTGGAGTTTAAAGTTTTGTGTGTGTTTCATGGTTTTACTGAAGTTAAATATCCTATTTTTTTTTCTGTTATTTTAATCCATTTTTAAGGGTGATTCAGTTTTAAATACTAAATTGATCTTTCTAGTTGATGGGCTGTCGGTGCTATGCATTCAGGGTAAGTAAAACTCCCCTCAAGCGAGGCTGGTTCAAGTGCATGTCCTAGGCACTATACTGTGTACTGAGAGACTTTGTTATTCAAATTTTTCACTTCTTTCTTTACCTGCTATTTTTGCCTCATAGTTTATCCTTTTTGGAATGCTGATCAGTACTGATTCATTGTTCCTTGCACTCCCACATCTGTCTGGTGTACCTACCTGTTGTTTCTCATTTGTATATGGCTTGTAAACTCTTCAGGTTAGGAACTGTTTCCTTGTTCTGTGTTTGTACAGTGCCTAGCCCAGTGGGGTCCTGGTCCATGACAGAGGCTTCTAAGCACTACCGCAATACAAATAAATAACAAAAATTACCTTCTCTAGAGCATCTGGTACTGGCCAGTATCTGTGAGTGGTTTGATTCACTTTTGTTTGTTCGTTTGAAGTGACTGATCTGTTACATTTACTCCAAGTGAATGGGTGGAGAGTTATCTTTGCTTCCCAATGCAATGTCTCCAACCCTTCAATATTGTTTGTTTTTCAGTGAGGCAGATCAAACTGGTGAAAGGCCTGCAGTCGCTGGAAGCCCGTGAAAAGGGGACTGTCACCTTCGAGCTGGAGCTGTCTCATGAGGATGTGGAAGGAAGCTGGATGAAGGATGGCCTGAAACTGAAACCAGGGGAGAACTGCCACATGAGCGTCCTGGGGAAGAAACATTCACTGACACTTTCATCCCTGAAGCTAGAAGACTCAGGACTCATCTCCTTCAAGGCAGAAGGCATCCATTCTTCAGGGAGGCTTATAGTAACAGGTATATAACCCTGCAGTCTGGAACTCCACTTGGGATGTGTTCCTGTAGAACAGACAGTGCATGCCATAGGTTGACTGCCAATGATGCAGTTCATCTGGGCATGTCTTTGATTAGTTGTTAATGCCTGAGGTTTTCAGAGCCGTGCATGTCAATATTCTGCAGTTCATACTGTGGAGTTCATACCTCGCTTCTGTATTTACTGTTGAGATGCACAAGAAAACAGCAGAGAAAACTGACATAAATATACCCTTTCACACATCCCCACCTATTATTATTTATGATTGATTATTATCTGTTATTAAGTACTGACAATTTGCTTGGTGCTGTCTAAGGTACCAAGTGAAGGCAATCCTTTCCCTTATTGTGCATGGAACTCCCTTTTTGAGCTGGTCTCTCCTTTATTCAAATCCCTCCCAAAGACCTGCCTTTTCTCTGTTGCCTACCAGTAACTATAATGGTATAGATGTAGGGTAATTTATGACTGTCTTTAGCTCTTTATATAGATAATGTATATGCTGTCGTTAAAACTGTGTATGTTCTGATGTGTCTGTATCTGAATGTCATGGCAGGGTCTTTGTCTGCCTTTTTATTTATACAGTGCTTAGCACATTCTGTCTGCTACCAGGAACAAATAATAATTAATAATAATGACATTATGTACTGAATAAATTAAATATGGGCTGTGAGCCAATGGCAGAATATGCAAAACAAATTTTTCATTTTCTTTTTTGCTTACAAGATATAGTAATCACTTAAGATGTAATCTATTTACTGATTATTCTCTGAGTCTTGTACTCCTACCAAACCCAATCCTCTTCTTACTGTATTTTCTTTTTGGCAGAGTTGCCTGTGAAAATAAGCAAGCCTTTGGTTGACATCAAAGCTCCTGAGAAGGATAAGGTGACATTCGAGTGTGAGCTCTCCAGGCCTAATGCGGAGGTCAAGTGGTTTAAGGTACAAAACTTAGCAGACAATAACATCTTCATTTCTCTTTTAGGGCCTGATCTAACTTCTCCTGAAGTCAGTGGGCACCTTTCCATTAACTTCGAAAGGAGATGGATATGGGCTGTTATTATGCAGCTCTGGTTATCCAATATTAATCAAAACTCCCCAGTTTTCTTTGTGTCCATTAGCTCGTACAGTCTACCTTACCTCTGTCTAGAATATTTATTTACCAGGTCTTTAAGGGTGTTTTCATGGAGGTAGTCCCAAATTTCAACTTTTCTGGAATTTACAGTAAACTTCCAGATTTTTGTTGCTTTTATGTAAGGCTTGTTGATGACTATTGGTCCAGTCTCCTGACTCATTTAACTATGAGGCATGTTGTCAAATTGTTACAATACAAGACTGGGTTCCAGGACTCCTGGGTTCTATTTGCACTCCTGGGCATGTTAGATAGCCTCTCCTGGGCCTCAGTTCATCCCTTTGTAAAATGGGGACAATAGTGACAAGTCTCAGAGTGGTGCTGTGAGGCTTAATTATTTACTGTTTGTGAAGAGCTTTGAGGCCCTTGGATGAGTACACTACGGTTCCAGTTCCTCACAGTTTTAAGTACATGCTTAAGTCCATCCCTATTTGGTGATGCATTCACACACGTGCTTAACTTCACACACGTACGGTAAGTCCCATTGACGTAAGCGAGACATAAGCATGTGTATAAAGTTAGGCACGTGTGAATGCTGCGCTGAATCAAGGCTTATATAATGGTAATAAGCGACTATCTTGTTTTGGTTTTTTCCTTCTAGAATGGATCTGAGCTCCGGCCAAGTAAAAAAATGGCAATTATTTCCCAGGAGATTAAGAGAAGCCTCATTATTCACAAGTGTGACTATGACGACCAAGGAACCTATGTATGCGATGCAGCTGACGACAAGAGTTCCGCTACCCTTATTGTCCACGGTATGTTTGATAGAGAGAGGAAAGGTCCCCTGCTTTGGAGGTGTATTTGGAGATGTATTTCCTAGGTGATTTCTGTGTTTCTCGTCTGCTAATAAGTTGCCTAGAGTTCAGAATTCTGCCTCGTTCGGTTTTCTCTTCTGTAGGTACTTTTGCAAGTAAATGCCAACTTTTTTTCCAGGGCTCATGGCAATTTATCATTTTCCTTATTCTTTTAAACTTAGTTTATTGATTTGTATAATAACCAACAAATTATGACAAATGATTGGCAAGAGACGAGGTACAGTACTGCTTGGTAGACAACCATGGTCAAATGGTTAGAACTCCCAAGTTTTAGTTTAGACTCTACCATTGAGTCAATGAGAGTGCCAGAGTCAGGAGTGGATAAAACTAAGCTGGGATCCCAGTATTTGTCCCACTTTAAGCTACAAATGCTAAAATGGGAAAATAAAATCTCATGCTTCATTAGCAGCAAAGAGTCCTGTGGCACCTTATAGACTAACAGACGTACTGGAGCATAAGCTTTCATGGGTGAATACCCACTTCGTCGGATGCATGTCACCCATAAAAGCTTATGTTCCAATACGTTTGTTAGTCTATAAGGTTCCACAGGACTCTTTGCCACTTTTACAGATCCAGACTAACACGGCTACCCCTCTGATGCTTCATTAGTTTAGCTTACTGCCATAGATGTCAAGACCAGATTTTGTCCTCTGTGTACAGCAGTGCACCACTGATGTAGACTGATAGAATTTCTCATCTTCCTCTGAAGTTTCAGGTCTTAGCAGTGCTGAAGGAGGTTTTGGAACTGCGTTGAGTAGCGGTCTGGGCTATAATCAGTCATATTAAAATATAACATAACCGCCCTTTTTTGTTTCCTGTTCTATGCTGCCATTTGGCAGCCACTCCAGGTCAAGTTGCAGAAATGTTTTTAGACAATGTCCCGTTCCTGCCCTTCGTTAAACTCACCCTTTCTTCTTGAGTTAGCACTTTGGATTTGTTGCTCTTTGGAGGCTGGTTCATTTACATATAAGGATAGAAATATAGTCACAGGCAATTCTGAGATTAATGCAGGCTGTATGAGGTGCTTCCCTTTGGGTAGTGAAAGGCTCCAATAAAATAGACCAGGCTAGATTCAGAGCTGGTGTAAATGGTTGCAACTCCACTCATGTCAATGGACTTGTGCAGGTGCTTACAGAAGAGACCTCATTCTGATTTCAGTAGACCGTAACACAGACGTGACGTCATGAAGTTACAGTAACACCTGTGGTTGTAAAGCCTGTACAGCTGACTTTCAAACTAGGCCTCAGGGCTGAATTTGGGCTGCAAAGTTCCAATGACTGTGACCTCTCTAAGTGGAAATTATGTTTTTTATTGTGGTTGTGAAACACAAACAGAGGCTGTGCCATTGATCCTTGGCTGTGGCCAGGCACAAAGAGGACAGTGCAGAGACAGAGCCGGAGAGCTGCCAGTGCTCTGTCCCAGTGCTGGGACTTGCTGTGTGTCAGTCCAGTCCCCTGGCATAACTTAGGTTGCTCTAACTTGTATTGGCTGCCATTGGCCCACGGGGGCTGTCCTGAGGGCTGTGGATTGCCGGGGTTCAGGGAAGCCTTGTCCATGCCCACTTTTACTGGACCAAACCCCTTGCAGTAGCTGCAGAAAGGGGGTGGTGAATGAGCTGTTACACTGGCTCTGCAATGCTGGAGGATTCCCCATCACCCCCATACTGAGTTGGATCATCCCATAGTTGGCTATGCCATGTTCAGGGCTGCTTTATGCTAGCAGTACGAAACAGCTGCAGGCCAACCAGGAGCAGGGCCTGTGTATTTAGCAAGTGACTGGTTAAGGCACCCATTGTCGCATGGTATAAGTTTCCTCAGCTTGCTCAATTAATGCTTGACTTAACCCTGACCATCAAGGAGAACCATCTTAAAGCTTGACACTTAGTTGATTAAGTTTTCTTGGCAGATGAATCCTAGGCTCCTCCTGAGAGTATTAATCATGACAAATTACCTATGATAATGTGAACTTTCCAGCTGTTGTTTCTGAGAGGGGAATAGATTGAGGTGGCTGATAGAAACCCAGCTGTTATGGTGTCTTTAAAATAAAACACTCTGAGGAATTCTCAGTGGCCAGGGCAGATTGGAAAAGGCTTCAGATGAATCATACTTAACTGGCCAAATTTGCTTTCGCACCAAATTTTATCCTATTATATGCACAATTTTGCCCTAGGAATGCACAGCTACTAGTATGAAGTCATTGGTAATTCCACAGACACATAAAAGAGTAAAATGTGTCTATTATGCTATGGAAGGATTTGTACAGAGAAAGGTGGGCAAGTGTGGATTATGTGAAAAATAAACCAACTTCATAAAGCTATGGAGGAATCAAATATAAACATGTCTCTGTGATCCCATAGCCCGAGATATCAAGATCATAAAGCCCCTGGAAGATGTGGAAGTGAATGAAAAGGCGAGTGCATCTTTCACCTGTGAGATTTCACATGATGAAGTCCAAACCCAGTGGTACAAAAATGACACCAAGCTGAGGGCTGGAGAAAACATTAAGATGCGTCAAGAAGGTAGGGTGCAAAAGTAGGGTGTTGCACGCTGTATTGTTAATGAGTCTGTGGCAGAGAAAAGTGGGAAGAGGAGCAGCATTGCAGTGTAGTGGCAACATGAAGGGGGATGTGAGTATGGATTGGGCCTTGAGCACAGAGAACTGACTCCTGGAATCCGCTTAAGAAGTTACAGCTTGTAGTATATCCTGCTGTTCCAGTGCCATTGTCAACTGCAAGGAGGACTGGAATTGCAGTGTAGTAGTGGCAACATGAAGGGGGATGTGAGTATGGATCACTTGCCTTCATGGCACTCCAAGGCAGGAGCAATGCACTTGGTTCCTTCAGGGAGTGAGCCGTTACCTCGCATTGATTAACTCTGGAAGCAGCTGTGTCCAGTTTTCTCCAGCAAGGGTGCCTATCACTTATGCAAGAGGGGCTTTCAGTTTCTTGAGACAGAAAAAGGGAAAATATGTGGATGTGTGTGTGTGTGTGAGAGAGAGAGAGAGACTCCAGATGAGTTCAACCATCCCTACAATTAAATAATTCTAAGTACAGTTCAGTCCCTCGAAGGCACAAGGATTTGGGTTGGAGTTAGAGTGTGTGATAATGTACCTGTGTCTGCCTATCCATATTCCAGATGGAAATTCAGAATGGGGGAGCCATTACAGTCCTACAGGGAGTCAATTTTACTTTTCTAACCACTACAGGAACGTGCACTTACTGTGACTTGGGGGTCAGATTCACCACTATCAAAAGTGGCTATTAGTCTGTTAGAGCTAATGGAATAGTGGCTGCTTATACCAGCAGCATTTAACCTCAGAAGATAAAACCATCTTCTCACAGCGGCTTGTGTATGGTTGTATTTTTATTCACAGGAAAAACCTATGCATTAGTTTACAAAAGTGTCCATGTGGAAGATGCTGCAGAGATCAAATTTGTAGCAGAAAAGGCAGAATCTCGAGCGCAACTTAGAGTTAAAGGTAAGTCTAACAGTAATGACAGCATTATTAAAACAGTTTTTTGTAATAAATTAACCAGCTCCCACTGACTTCAGTGGGAACAGTGCGAAGCTGCTGCTTAGCACTTCTGAAAATCCCAGCCTTGCTACATTGAAATGAACAGGAAAAAATGTAACACCACTGTCTGGGTTTCCCTGTACCAAGAATCAGCCTCCTTGCTGGGTATTTACCTTTGCTAAATAACATACAAGTCTTCCCCTTGATACGGACAGTTTTTTTTATTCCTTTTTTAGACAAAAAGGGCCATGTGTAGATTTTGGAGGGAAATGTTTTCTTTCGAGAAGGCATCCCCATTTCTGCCTTGTGAGCACTGTCCCTTGCTACTTTACACTTAAGTTGTGTGACAATGTGTCAGACTGGGCAGCTGCAAGAGGGTGGTCCTATTGGGTTCCGGGAAGTGGGCGGGCGCAAGGGAACGAGCCACTGGGTCCAGGACTCAGATAAATACGGGGGACAACAAAACCCAAAACAAGGACAGGTGTGAAGGTCAAAGGGTCAAAAGTAGGCAACCTGAAAGGGACACTGAGCAGAGAACCCTGGACACCACCCACTGCTCCTTGAATGTGTCAAGGGAGCCAGCGGACGCCGCCCAGAGGAACTCTGCCCAGCTATGTGAATGGAGAGAGGAATGGAAATAGGCCCCAACAGTTGCATAGCGCCCCCTCGGTCAACATCCTCTCCCTAGTGTTATAGTGGGCCACTTTGGCCATTGCTAGGAGGTTGATGAGGAGGTCTTGCGACTTTGAGGGGCCATGGGATGTGTGTAGATAAGAAGGTGAGGGGAGAAGTGCAGCCAGAACCGTAAAAATAGGCTTCAGGAGGAGCCAGAAGAGGAGGTACAACCTGGCACACTCAAGATAAGCATGTGCCAGGACCTCCCTCATGCCGCAAAAGGAACAGGCATCTGGGACAGGGGTGAACCGTGCCGGATACACGCCCATGCTCATGACGCCATGAAGGAGCCGCCAACTAATATCCCCGGTGGGCCATGGGACCAAGGTGGAATACAGACTGGTCCATCGGGGATCCTCACCCTCAACGGGTGGCAATAGTTCCCGCTACTTAATATTGGGGTGGGACACGAGGGTGAGGAAATGGAGAGTATGGGGCATGAGCATGTACAGATTTGCGCTTGGTGCGGTTCGGAAGTAAACCAGCTGCAGGTCGTCCAATCATTTCCAAATAATTGACGATGATAATGAAGGAAATGTTACTAATGAGCTTCATCTGGCACCATCCACTACAACCACACAATTTGTTTTTTATTCCTCCTCCTTAGAACTGCCTGTAAAATTTGTGAAGCCTCTGCGGGATAAGATTGCTATTGAGAAGCACCGGGGTGTCCTGGAATGCCAGGTGTCTCGCCCTACTGCCAAAGTTAAATGGTATAAGAAGAATGTTGAGATTCTTCCCAGCCAGAAATATGAGCTGGTGAGTGACAGTGTCTATAGGAAACTCATCATCAACGACGCCGAGTTTCAGGATGAGGACGTTTACACATGTGATGCTACTGATGACACAAGCTGTGCTCATTTCTATGTTGAAGGTACTGGACTATTTTCTTTCAACTTGTTGGAAGGAGAGTGGATAGTTCCAGAAAGTATTTGAAATTTAATCTACACATGTAACTTAATTAGCATTTGATCATTTTTTTATTTCTGCAGCCCCTAGGCTATGGGGGGCAGGCGCATCCAGGAATATGAACTTGTGATCTGTCCTCCCAAGGGAAGTGGTAGAATCCCCATTCTGGAGACCTTTCCAACTAGAGTGGAGAAAGAATTATTCCCTACAATAGGCTAGTTTTGCAGTGGGATTTCAACTGGATGCCCGATGTGTTTCCCATCACTGGGAAGGTTTAATTCTATGAACCTTCTATTTCGGTTTATATTTTTTGGTTTCTGATAACAGAACAGAAAGGATGGTCTTGTGGTTAAGGAATACGACTGCAAGTCAGGAGACCTGGATTCTGGCCTTTGTCCCAGGCTCGCTGTCTGACCATTCACCAGTTGCGTGTTTTGCCATATATAAAAAGGAACCAATAATATTTACCTACCTGACAGGAGTTCTGTGGGGCTTAATTCACTAATGTTTGTTAACTTTGTTGACCTCTCTGGGCATGAAGTATTATAATTAATATGAAAAAGTCTATTCCTAAATGCATGGTCTAACACAGCGTTTCTCAAACTGGGGTCTGCGAGGATACTCTAGGGGGTCCGCAGGCCCCGCTGATCAACTCTTCCCCTTCCCTCCCTCAACTCTTCCCCCTCCCTCCCATCGCCTCCTGCGTGCCAGGGAACAGCTGTTCAGCGGTGTGCAGGAGGCACTAGGAGGGAGTGGGAGGAGCAGGAATGGGGTGCATTTGAGGGAGGGGGTGGAATCATGTGCGGGGCCTCTGGGCCCACTGATAAATTCCCCCCCCCCAGTGCCTCCTGCACACCACGGAACAGCTGTTCCCCAGTGTACAGGAGATGCTGGGAGGGAGTGGGGACAGGGCGTGCTTGGGGAAGGGAGGATCCTAAGGGTTGCTAAAGTTTTGAGAACCGCTGGTCTAATATATTCCTCTTCTTGCTTTCCACCCCCATCCCAGAGCAATCCATTAATATTGTAAAGCAGTTAAGTGATGTGGATGTGACAGAGCCCACAGAAGCCAAGTTTGAATGTGAGATCTCCATTCCATCGGTGAAGCCCCCCAAATGGTCTCTGGGTGGAGAGGTCTTACAGACTGGTAGAAACGTTTCTATAGAGCAAGAAGGCACCATCCATCGGCTGATTCTGTGGAAGACCAATTCTGACATGACAGGCACCATTCAGTTTGCAATTGGCAAATCAAAATCCACAGCAAACCTGCTTGTAAGAGGTAATTTGATGTGCCCTGGATGTGAGAATTAATTAGAGCATGGCCCAGACTCCTTCAGAACCTTCTCCCACGCACCCAAAAATAATTTCAGCCTAATTTGCAACTGTTTTCTGTATAGTCTCCATCGTTTGGAGTCTTTAAACTGAGATGTCTTTCTAAAAGATATGTCTTTCTAAAAGACAAGTTATTAGGTTTAATGTAGGAATCAGTGAGTGAAATTATATTGTCTGTGTTACCCAGGAGGTCAGATTAGATGATCGCAAGGGAACCTCTGGCCTTAAAATCTATGAATGTAAAACCAGGACAGTCACAGTAAGATCCCATAAGAACATAAAAGCTGACATACTGATTCATACCATGGACCAGCTTGCCCAGTATCCTGTCTCCTACAGTGGCCCATACCAGAAGTTCGGGAGAACTGTACAGAACAGGGCCACTATGGAGTGAGCCAACCCTGTCTTCCACTCTCAGCTTCTGGTAGTCTATACCCTCTATACTTCCTGCTTTGGGTCAGGGTCAGAAATAAAGAAATACTAAGAGAGGCTGCTCCCAATGTGGTTTTACTCACCCAAGCACAGAAAAAGGCTGAAACCTTCCAGTAAAGCCTCTTGCAGGTTTCCAGGCCCATTTCTAGAAAGGAAAAGTTTCAGTAGGAAGGCTTTCTCACCCCTCCCCCTTTCCCCCCCCACCCCAGGGACAGACACACACACACAAACTCACTCTCCTGCTATTACCAGCAGGAGAGTGAGTTTGTGTGTGTGTATGGGGGTGGGGGGTGAGAAAGCCTGGATTTGTGCTGGACATGGCCCACCTTGATTATCATGCACATTGTAGGGAGAGTGGTCACTTTGGATGAGCTGTTACCAGCAGGAGAGTGAGTTTGTGTGTGTGTATGGGGGTGGGGGTGGGGTGAGACAGCCTGGATTTGTGCTGGACATGGCCCACCTTGATGATCACTTTAGATAAGCTATTACCAGCAGGACAGTGGGGTGGGAGGAGGTATTGTTTCATATTCTCTGTGTGTATATAAAGTCTGCTGCAGTTTCCACGGTATGCATCCGATGAAGTGAGCTGTAGCTCACGAAAGCTCATGCTCAAATAAATTGGTTAGTCTCTAAGGTGCCACAAGTACTCCTTTTCTTTGTTCAGATTAAGTTGATGATGATGATTGTAAAGTGCTTTGAAAATGAAATGTGTTGTGTGCCATAAGTGCTGAATATAATTTGGATAAGCTTGGTGAGACCAGCAACGTTTTTGTAGATTCTAGCTGAGAAAAAGTTCCCAGTCTTTTGAACTTAATTTTTCCATATGCTAAATACCCTGGGCTAAATCCTGAAGTCCCCACTCAGCCCTTATTTAGACAAAATCCTAAGTAAGAATTTTGCTGAGTAATAAACAACGCATCAAAACTTTCGAAATTTGGCCCTGCATTTGGTGGTAAATATTCAACAATCCCTTGGGGAATCATATCAGCAGAAATTCCTGGTGTAAATTATGCTACCCGTGGCCCCTTGGCAAGTCAAACCTCTAACAGAAATTCAGAGTGGTCCTTGTATTAACTGCCGTTGATTACAGATAAAATTGCACCTCTATTTTCAAATTGTTCTTACCTGTTCCTCCTTCACAACCCTCTTTTACAGATATTAACGTGCAGATTACCAGAAAGCTGGAGGATAAGACTGCCTTAGAACGCCATTCAGTTGTCCTGTCCTGTGATTTTAGGCCTTCTCCAAAGGTTGTAGAGTGGTTCAAGGGACACACCCTCATTGAGCCCTCTGAAAAATACAAACCCAAGTGGGAGAAGCACACAGCAGAACTCAAAATTCTGAAACTGACACCTGAAGATTCCGGCACATACAAGTGCCGAGCAGGAAATGCAGAAACCAAAGCCACGCTGACAGTGGAAGGTATGTGGTTTGCAGCAGGGATGGCTTTCTCATTTGCCCAGCACATATCTGTATGGTTTGATATGCACCTTTGGCTCTGAAGATTCTCTGCTTGGTTTCTTTTGTTGACCACAGAGAAATTCGCATATTTCTCCTCTGCAATTTTAATATGTAAATAATCATTAGTGAAAAGTGCTATTTTTCAAAATCATTACAGTGCGTTTTAATGGTGCTGTGTTGATAGTCCAGCAGACAGAAGTATAGTTCCTATCCACAGGACAGGAAAATCATGTACAGGGGCAGTGCTTGTGCAATGCTCTGGCATTATACATGTGATCATGTCATTCTAGTGGCTAGTCTGAGGGACTAGAGTATCTGGTACTTTCAGCTAAATAAGTCTCTTAAGTCAAGTCCTAGAAGCTCTGTTTTGGGCGCTGATGGTCCTGGGCTTTATCCCAATGACCAGTGCAGTGTCTGTTTATACGTGCCAGAGGTTCATTATTCAAGAAGTACAGGGTCTGGAGACAAAGGTAGGTAGACGAGACTTTCCGGGACACAGTAGTGCAGTCCCACACTCAGTCTGACAGCTTCAGTGGCGTGGAGGAGGAGGAGGAAAGTCTCAGGAAAGGAGAACATCAAGCTGGAGTGGAGAGAAATTATCCCATAGTTGGAATGCTCCTTCCAGATGATGTCGTGGTATCCTCTCGCACTTGAGGATACCCCTGGCGGGGCAGCTATTAGGAAGAGAGTGGTAATAGTAATGGGGGATTTGGTTATTAGATAGTTGGGTTTGTGGTGACTGCATGATGAATTGCCACTGGACAATGGAGTTGCTAAAGGACCACTCCAGGAAGACAAGCCCATTGCAGAGCAGCTAAATGAATGCTTTGCGTGAGTCTTCATTGCAGAGGATGAGGGGGAGTTTCCCATACCTGAGCCATTCTTTTTAGGTGACAGATCTGAGGAACTGTCCCAGATTTGAGGTGTCAGTAGAGGAGGTTTTGGAACAGCTTGATAAACTAAACAGTAATAAGTCACCAGGACCAGATGGTATTTACCCAAGAGTTCTGAAGGAACTCAAATATGAAATTGCAGAACTACTAACTGTGATATGTAACGTATAGCTTAAATCAGCCTCTGTACCAGATGACTGCAGCATAGCTAATGTAACACTGATTTTTTTAAAAGGCCGTAGAGGTGGTCCTGGCAATTTACAGGCTGGTAAGCCCAACTTCAGTAACAGGCAAATTAGTTGGAACTATAGTCAAGAACAGAAATATCAGATACATAGATGAACACAGTATGTTGGAAAAGAATCAACCTGGCTTTTGTAAAGGGAAATCGTGCCTCACTAATCTGTTAGAATTCTTTGAGGGGGTTAGCAAACATGTGGACAAGGGTGATCCAGTAGATAAACTGTACTAGGATTTTCAGAAAGCCTTTGACAAGGTCCCTCACCAAATGCTCTTAAGCAAAGTAAGGAGCCATGGGAAAAGAGGGTAGGTCATCTCATGGATTATTAACTGGTTAAAAGATAGGAAATAAAGGGTAGGAATAAATGGTCAGTTTTCACAGTGGAAAGAGGTAAATAGTGGGGTCCCCCAAGGATCTCTAGGGGACCAGTGCTGTGCAACATATTCACAAATGATGTGGGAAAAAGGGTAAACGGTGAGGTGGCAAAGTTTGCAGATGATACAAAATTACTCAGGATAGTTAAGTCTGAAGCTCACTGGGAAGAGTTATAAAGGGGTTTCTCAAATCTGGGTGTCTGGGCAACAAAATAGCAGATGGAATTCAGTGTTGATAAATGCAAAGTAAAGTACATTGGAAAACATAATCCAAACTATACATACAAAATGATGGTGTCTAAACTAGCTGTTACCACTCAAGAGAGAGATCTTGGAGTCATCATGGATAGTTCTCAGAAACATCTGCTCAATATTTAACAGCAGTCAAAAAAGCTAACAAAATGTGAGGAATGATCAGGAAATGAATAGAAAATAAGACAGAAAATATCATAATGCCACTATATAAATCCATGTTATGCCCACATCTTGAATATTGCATGCAGTTCTGGTTACCCCATCTCAAAAATGATATTTTAGAATTGGAAAAAGTACAGAGAAGGGCAACAAAAATGATTAGGGGTATGGAACAGCTTTCATATGAGGATTCAAAAAACTGGGGCTGTTCAGAGAGGGGATATGATAGAGGTCTATAAAATTATGCATGATATGGAGACAGTGAGTTTACTTTTTCACATAACAGACGAACCAGGGGCAACTCAATGGAATGAATAGGCAGCCATCGGTTTAAAAGAAACATAAGTCCTTTTTCTCACAATGCACGGTCAATCTGTGTAGCTCATTGCCAGGGGATGTTGTGAAGGCCAAAAGTATAACAGGGTTCAAAAAAATTAAAGAAGCCCATGTAGGGCAGGTCCATCAATGGCTATTAGCCAGGTTGGTCAGCGACACAGTTCTATACTCTGGGTGTCCCTAAGCCTCTGACTGCCAGAAACTGAACAATGGATGGATCACATGATAATGGCCTGGTTGTGTTCATTCCCTGTAAAGTATCTGGCATTGGCTATTGTTGGAAGACAGTATACTGAGCTGGATGCACCATGGCTCTGACCCGGTTATGCCATTCTTATGTTCTTGTGTTTTCACCACGCTTCCCCTGTGATAGGCTTCATCCCTGACCTAGAGGTGCAACCTAGGGTAACTCATTATCTCTGTCCAGTTAGCACATTGTCTATGAAACTGCAGTCTTGAGTGATTGTTGTGATTTTTTTGAGGGGGGAGGAACATGGCTCCTTTCCACTAACAATGGAAATTAGGCCTGTGATTAATTTAATTTAATAGTCATATAGCCATCACTTGATAGCATCTAGATGCTACTGACCAGAATCAGATTCGTACTAGTGGCTTACAGTTTAAAGGTTCCATATTGCTAATCAATCCCCTTAATCAGCCAGTCCTGTGAAGAATAACATTTCAACGATCTGTTGGCTTTCAGGAAGGTGATCTTCTAGTTAAGCCACTGATCTGGAACTCAAAAGAAAGGGGTTCAAGTCCCATCTTTGTCACAGACTTCCTGTGTGACCTTAGGCATGTCACTTGATCTTTGTATACCTCAGTTCCCTATCTGTAAAATAGGGATAATTAAATTTTCTTTCTTGCACCCTTTATCTGCCTTATCTGTTTGGAGTGTAAGCTTTATGAAGCAAAGGCTGATTTTTAGTGTGTGTGTGTCACAGTGAGAGCTAGATCCCAGTTGGCACATTTAGATTTAATAATATTACTTTATAATATGTGGCTATACCACGTGGGGGAGGGGAGAGGTCCTATCATTTGAGAAGGAATTAATTATTTTTTAATAAAAAGAGTTTTGTATATTGCAAGGAGAATAGATGGTGCTGCACAATATGAGAAGGGGCTTTTGCATTGGATGCCTTATTATTGGGCTCAATACATGAGTGACTGGGGCAATGTAACAGCCTGTGGTGTACAGGAGGTCAGAATTGATGATCTATTGGTCCCTGCTGGCCTTAAACGCTATCAGATCTGTGATTCTGTTAATGATTTTATTAATTAATTATCATCATTGTTGTGATGACTTACTCGTTTGTTTATTTATGCAACTTTGGTTTCTTGCAGCCCGGCAGGTGGCGATAACCAAACACTTGCAGGATGTGGAGACTGAGGAGGAGAGCTGCGCTGTCTTCTCCTGTGAGCTGTCCCATGACGACGAGGAAGTGGAATGGTTACTGAATGACACTGTCCTCTACACCAACAGCTGTAATGAGATCAAGAAGATCGGCAAGTACCACACTCTGACACTGAAGCAAGTCACGCCGGACGATGCAGGAACGGTGACTTTCAAGACAGAGAAGGTGTCAGAAAGCGCTCAGCTGAAGGTGAAAGGTGGGTAATGGCCCCAATCCTATGGAATTATTTAAGAATGTAAATAAGAAATGGAAAAGAGTTATTCAGTTGCCCCATCCTTTCCCTGCCAGTGCAGTGTAGCTCCCTATAGGCCCTATGATTCTCTACCAGAATTTGAGTGGTTAATAAACATGGATTCTACCTCTTCCCTTAGGTGTGAATACTGTAGTCCAACTGAAATGATTAGGAAATTTGACCCCGGTATCCTGCCAAATATTTCCCTTGTTCAGCATTATCCTATTACTTCTCACTGCTGCGACCTGGATCAGTCTGAAAAACTATTTCCTCTGCTGAATGTTACCACCCTTCAAAAATCTATAGATGATTATCTTGTATTGGCCTTTGATTATTTGTAGCTAAACTCCAGTGTGTATCTAACGGGGCACAGCAGACCACGCCTTCCTTTCAAGAAACCTATTCTGGAATTAGACTGTTTCAAAAGCAAGGAAATATTTTGTCATGGTTATGGATGTACCTTTGGCAAGAAGACAACAGAGGGTGAAGCTGGAACTGAAGGTTCTTTGAGATTTAGTCCCCAATTCCCTTCAGAGAATCTGAGAGATATTCTCCCCCACCGTCATGTCCTCTTCAGAGCGTCTGAGGGATTTACTTCCCATGTCCCCTCAGAGACGCTGAAGGGTTTACTCCCCTGTCCCCTCACAGTCAGACGTTGTTCTGTTTTTCTATACACAAAGAGCAAAGATGCACTTTTAGTAAAAATGTATTTTAAATTAGATTAAGGAAAATAACAAGATGTTGGAGGGGGAAGTAGAATCTCCATGAGAGAGAGCACAGTATGTTTCTCTCCTGCTGCTAACATGCTGTATTAAGTGGTGAGTGATATGCAGTCTCTCCAGCTGGGGGTGTGTGTGTGGAAAAATGAAGTCACATCCTTTTCTCCGGGGCTCATTTTCTTTCTAAACCACAAACTCAAAACCAGAACCAATCAACTCACACTCTTGGGTATTAACAACCTGAACTCTTTCCAGCTCCCTTCCCTTGTGTTGATTCTCCCTGGCTACAATGGTGAGACCAACACCAGGGCTTCCCTGACCCTAGGTCTCTCCTGTTGGCTACCCCTGCTTTATAGCTGGTTTCCTGCATGGACACGACATGCTTGCTCCCAGTCATGTGTCCTGTGGCTACAACTTCCAGTTTTAAAGGGCCCAAGGGCCATAATAGGTCCATGGGGGTGTGCACCTGTACCCCAAGGCCCAGTTAAAGGCACTGTACTACAGAGAGAAATATGATTCATAACAGCCACAGTACACCTCAAGGAGCACCACGATTCTGTGGGACCTCAGCACTGCAAATAACTGTCCATGGCATGGAGATGCAGATCAGCTGCTCCCACTCATCTCTACACCCCTCCTCCCACAACAAAGGGGTTATTGAAAACTGTGGTCCCCCTCTCTCCAAAATAAATTCCAGGGACATGAGGTGTGAGTGCCTTCGATTCCATATGTATATGGTCATGGCTGCACTGAGCATGACAAGGGTTTGATTAAGCCCTCTTCAATCAACTGGAATATACTGCAAGTTGTTTTGTCTGAATGTCCTGGTTTTTTTTCTCCCTCTCCACCCTTCCCCCCACATTAATTTCCTTCAGAGAAGCCCATCGTCTTCATGAAGTCCTTGGATGATGTTGTTGGGGAGGAGCGTGGTGTGATCACACTGGAGTGTGAGGTCTCCAAACCAAAGGTCAACCCCATCTGGAAGAAGGACAATGTGGAGCTCACCCCTGGCGACAAGTATGAGCAGATGCAAGCTGGGAAGACACTGTGTCTCATTGTTCATGATCTGGACAAGAATGATGCTGGTTTATACACATGTGATATTGGCACTGACCTTGCCAAGTCACGGGTCAGCATTCAGGGTAGGTGCAGCTGAAAATGACTGTTCTTTTAAATGGTGCTATGAATGAGTGCTGCCTGCCTCTTCTCTTTGAGTCACATATTCTCCTTCATGAGGCACAGTAGTCTCCATTTTAAAATCAAGATGTCACTAGTTACCAAATGATACATAGATGTCTCTGCAATCACAGTTATTCTCTATTCTAAGCATAGGGAAAAACTATGACATCTCAAATAGCATTGAATGGTACCTGTTGGCAGCTCAAAACATTTTAGTGGCAGACATTGTAGACCTACACATTTTTCAGGAACTTTATTTGCTCATTTTCTTCCTAGGTCAGGCATATTTTATGGTTAACTTTCATAAGGTGGCCAATCATTTCCCCTCGTATTTATCATTCGTTTAGTTTATGAGGCATTTAGTATAGCAGAGGTGCAAATTGCTGCACACCTCTCTGCTGGGTTCAGCTGTTTACTGGACTGAGCTATGGAGCAAATCCGTCCGAACCTTCTGTTATTAATAAAAATGATGAGCCAAAATGACAAATAAACTCCTTAATAAAAATATTGATCGTACATATGCATGCAAAGAGAAGAAATATGGGTTTCTTTAAAGAAAATAACATGGAATTTAACATGTTTCAGATGTTAGCTTAGAGTCTATTCTGAGGAAACAAAAACAGAATTATATCCTCCATCTGAAAAAAATACCCACAGGCCTCTGTTCCTCAGTCCTTGTTACTATCTGTAGGAAGAAAGTGTCCCAAGTCTTTCAAATGCCTATGTGTTCTGAGCGGACTTGGGCAGGTCACAACATGGCAAACAATCACTAACATCCCATTTCTCAGAGCCAATGTGAGCGGAGACCTTCACCGCATGCACAGGTGTAGAGGCTTCCTGACTGACATTCTTCTCTCCAGCTTTCATGAAATCTTGACTCCATTTCACAGAGGATGCTTGTTTTTCCTGAGCATGCTCATTCTAGTGCAAGTTGTCCAGGTTCTGTCAAGTCCCTTTCCCATCCTTACAACTCAGTGGAGGAGGAGGGGTTACACTGGGCATTAAGGGATAACTTAGTAGTAGTTCTTCCACAATACTGAATATGCAAATGAAGAATGTGGTGCTTTTCCATCTCTCATTCTCCTAACCCTTCAGATAGCAAGTGTTCAGTGTTGTTCTTCATGTGAATTTTAAGCTTTTCCATATATGTCGGTTGCCCTCTTAGGCCTCTGACTGCTATACAATACCACATTTCTCCAGTCCTAAATGTAGCACCTGTCTTCTTGCCTTCCAGAGTTGAACATTGGTATCACTAAACGCCTGAAGAGCACAGAAGTTCAAGAAGGGGAGAATTGTACTTTTGAGTGTATTTTGTCCCATGAAAGCATTGGCGATTTCCACTGGATGCTGAAGGGGAATGAAGTGCACAGTGGTGGACGATTTAAGACCTTTAACAAAGGGAGGAAATACACTCTCGACATCAGGAATGTGGTTGCTGCTGATGCTGGGGAAGTAGTCTTCACTGCTCGCAACTTAAACTCCAAGGCCTCCCTGGTTGTGAAAGGTAACGAGTGCAGAGATATTTCAGAGTTGGAGTAATGTCAAAAAATTGGTTAAGGCAAAATCCTTATCTCATTGAAGTAAATGGCAACTCTTCCATTGAATTCAATTGGATGAGGAACTGATCTTAAAAACAACTTGAAATATTGAAACATTTATATTGCTTTAAAGCTTTTAAAATAAATGTTTATGGGGGGAAGGGACTATTTAAAGTGGCCTCATCTCTGCTTGCAGTTTTCTCAGTACTATTAATTACAGGTCCGAAATTATGGGTGCAAATTATTGCAGGTGCAAATGCAGTTAGATGACTAGCCACTCAATTTGCACCCACAGTAACAGCATCCATAATTAACTATGGATGCAAAAATGGTAGCCATCAAAGTGAATGCCTTTGTTACAAATAAGTCCCATTCTGTCATTCTTGTAAGTAATTAATTGTCAGTTCCCAATTGCTGCTCATTGACATCCAATAAACAAAATTAATGTCCACTAAACATGAGCACTTGCTTTTTCCCCAGATAGTTCTATCTGAAAGTAAATCGGTAATGTAATGTGAATTTATTCTGTTATGTGAATCTATATTAAATGATTTTTTAGATAGAAGGAAGGCTAATGCTCCAAAAAATGATAAAGTTCCAGAACATGGATTTTTAACAGATATTGTTGCTTCCCTTAGAAAAACCAGCAGAGATTATAAAGCAGCTGGAGAATAAGACAGCAGCAGCAGGACAAGACATCAGCCTGAGCTGTGAAATGTCCAAACCTGACACAAATGTGAAGTGGTACAAGGATGGCAAAGCGATTCGGAAAAGCCAAAAATATGACTTGCGCCAAGAGGGAACATGGGCCATACTCGTCATCCACGATACCATGACCAAGGATACTGGGGAATATACGTGTGAGACGGAGACATCTAAAACTAAAGCATCGGTCACAGTAGAAGGTCAGTGGACAAACACCCGGGAGCCTGAAAGTATGTAGAGTAGGGCAAAAAACTGCAAAATTATTCCACTGGCCTTATTTAACAGACCAATTTTTTTGTTTTTCCAAACTTCGTACAGATCTATCTCTCTTTTTTTTTAGATTAGTAATTTCTGAAAAAAAACTTTTGCCCCAGATCCCTAAATGGCCCCCTCAAGGATTGAACTCACAACCCTGGGTTTAGCAGGCCAATGCTCAAACTACTGAGCTATCCCTCCCCCCGCAATTCCCCTCTGGGCTCAGTTTCACAGTTACAAAAACAGGAATAAAATTACCTCTGTAGCATATGAAAATTCACAAGCTAAAACAAAAGATAACCTAATGCATTTCCTTGCCCTACTTACAATTTCTGTGGTTTTAGATGGATTATTCCAGGTATATTTTCAGAAGATGCTGTACCTGCTTGGCTTCTCCCTCCGCCAGGAGAGGGAACAATAAAAGAGAGCAACAAACAAATCCTTCCCCCACCAGATTTGAAAGTATCTCCTTTCCTCATTGGTCCTTCTGGTCAGGTGCCCAAGTAGTTTATTTGAACTGCTTAACTGCTTACAGATAAGGCGATTTAGTACAGCTGCCAAGGAGGGATTTTATGCTACACTTCCCTCTATATTTACAGCACGCCTAAAGGCCACAACTATTACCCCAGGCACAAAACAGACCGATAATAAATTACAATCCTTCCCCCAAAGAGTTTGCAATCTAAAAACCAAAATGTAACAGATGGATGAGACACACCTCTCCACCTCTGGACAGCACTTTGAGGTGTTGAATAAGTGCAAAAAATATTCATGTTAATAATGATAAATAATAATACATCAAGCTCTGACAGTGTGTTCAGTGCTGTATGACTTGAAAAGTATCAAACCAATTCCAAGGCAATCCAAAATCCAGGTCTCAAGAGGTAATATTGTTATCATGTGACCTGATTTTCAGAGCGGCTTGAAATCTATGAAAATCAGGCCAGCAGTTATAATTCAAGTGGAGGCCTGGATTTATCCCTAAACTCATTGTACATGTCTCTTTTCAGTACTAGGGGTTAGTGAACTACATCTGGAAATCTTTGCATTTCTCACCAGGGAGAGAGAGAATTTCTTGCTGTGGAATTTAGTACATTGTCTTTCATTGTCTGCTACAGACTAGGGACCGAGTGGCTAGGCAGCAGTTCTGAAGAAAAGGACCTAGGGGTTACAGTGGATGAGAAGATGGATATGAGTAACAGTGTGCCCTTGTTGCCAAGAAGGCTAACGGCATTTTGGGCTGTATAAGTGGGGGCATTGCGAGCAGATCGAGGGATATGATTATTCCCCTCTATTCGGCATTGGTGAGGCCTCATCTGGAGTACTGTGTCCAGTTTTGGGCCCTACACTAAAGAAGGATGTGAAAAAATAGGAAAGAGTCTAGCGGAGGGCAACAAAAATTATTAGGGGGCTGGAGCACATGACTTATGAGGAGAGGCTGAGGGAACTGGGATTATTTAGTCTGCAGAAGAAATGAAGGGGGATTTGATAGCTGCTTTCAACTACCTGAAAGGGGGTTTCAAAGAGGATGGATCTAGACTGTTCTCAGTGGTAGCAGATGACAGAACAAGGAGTAATGATCTCAAGTTGCAGTGCGGGAGGTTTAGGTTGGATATTAGGAAAAACTTTTTCACTAGGAGGGTGGTGAAGCACTGGAATGGGTTACCTAGGGAGGTGGTGGAATCTCCTTCCTTAGAGGTTTTTAAGGTCAGGCTTGACAAAGCTCTGGCTGGGATGATTTAGCTGGGGATTGGCCCTGCTTTGAGCAGGGGGTTGGACTAGATGACCTCCTGAGGTCCCTTCCAACCCTGATATTCTATGATTCTATGAATTCTATAACAGACTATGGGCATACCTAATACAGGTGGCCACAGAGAAGGGAGACTAATGACATTTTGTTTCTTTACAAGCATCTGATTCTCAACAGCTTTGCTCCTTGTACAGTCGTGTACACACCTGTGCATGGTAGATGTAAAAGTGCTACCGTTCTGATCGGATCTCACTTCGGACAGCTGTAAATGATTGCAAAGCAGTGGAGGCTTCGGTCCAGGGTGTTTAGAATGTACTTGAGGACTATGTTGGGCTAACCATTGGTTGTCACTTTCCTCAGAAAAACCCAATCGCTTTCTGAAGGAGCTTTCAGATCTGAAAGCTGATGAAAAAGGAGTCGCTGTTTTTGTGTGTCAGACTGAGAAAGCCGCACCCACGGTGACCTGGCGGAAAGGGATGGTCGAGCTCAAGACAAGCAAGAAATATGAGATCGTCCAGAAAGGGAACATCCTGCAGCTCACTATTAATGCCTTAGAGAAAAGTGACAGCGACACCTACACCTGCGACGTTGGCGAGGCTCAGTCTAGAGCCAAGCTGATCGTGCAAGGTATGAACGGCTTGAATGCGTGACCAAGTACTGCACGATTGACGGATGGCAGGAAGTGTGTGTGTTATAATTCTGAGCTCAACTTACTGGCAGCTGAGCAGCGTGAGGTAAGGGATGCCAATCGGATTACAGCCTAGAGGCTCATGTTTTCAAAAGTGGCTAGTGATTTTTGGCCCCTCCATTTTTTTTGGTGCCCAGATTGAGACTCCTTGAAGGAAGCTGACTTTCAGAAACTGCCTGAGCATTCACCCTTGAAAATCAGGCCCCTTTAAGGTGACTTGAATTGGGCACCCAGAATCACTACTCACTTTTGAAAATTTAGGCCTGAAATGCTGTGGGTGAAATTTAAAAAATGGGCACGAGTATGTGTGTGTATATATGTGATTGATAGGATTTGTGGAGCCAAGGGGTGGTGGTGGGGGTGTGTGTGTGTGTGTGTGTTGCACAGGGCCTGTATGCAGAGTGGCTGCTGCAGTCTTCAGGAAGTGGTAATAGCTGGAGAATCCTTCTGCTGCCACGGAAGAAGGATTTGCTTCTCTTGAGCCCTGTGGCAAACCTCTGTCCCAAACCTGTGCACTTGGGCCAGGCATAAGGTACATATTTTTGGCCCATTGGTACATTTTATTCTGCGCTTTCAAGTAGCTGCATTAATTTTGTACCCTTCTGTAATTTAGTGTCAGTTGTGCACTAATGCATATGAATTGGCCAGGTGAAGTGAGGCCTAATGCTTGACTCAGTGGCATTTCTTTGTCTGTCTGTAATGTGATAACATTCATGGGGGAGACGGGGCACACACAGATCTCCTGACCTGCGGAGAGAGTGGGAGGAGACAGTGGGAACCTTAGTAAGGGGGCAGCTGGAAATGGGGAACTCACAGAGCCCTAGGTATGGGGAGATGAGAGATTTTTCCATCAGAATATCCTGATTCGTCAAAATCTAAACACTCCACAGGAGTGCAATGAGTTTAGCCTACAGAAGCAATGAATTGTGTGACCTTCCAGGTGGCCAAACAAAGTGAGGCCTAAAACTCCTCTGTTTCTATGTCAGTAATGCAATAACCTTTGAATATCACATCTGATCAAGTCTAACATTTCAGAGAATGCTCTAGGCACTGCTAGGATGAGCTCTATTGATTTTGGAGATAGTCAAAAACAACAGAACTTGGGGAAAGCCTGATTTCCACATAGTGCTCATTTTGGTGCTGCTGGCACAGGAACATTGTGACATCAGAGGTAATTCAAGCAATCATCACTCCCTCCATCGAGTTAATTTGCATGCTTCAGTCCCATTGGTTGAAATGAATTGGTTGATATGAGTCAACAGTGTGCCCTTGTTGCCAAGAAGGCTAACGGCATTTTGGGCTTTATAAGTAGGGGCACTGCCAGCAGATTGAGGGACGTGATCATTCCCCTGTATTCGACATTGGTGAGGCCTTATCTGGAGTACTGTGTCCAGTTTTGAGCCGCACGCTACAAGAAGGATGTGCAAAAATAAGAAAGAGTCCAGCGGAGGGCAACAAAAATGATTAGGGGGCTGGAGCACATGACTTATGAGGAGAGGCTGAGGGAACTGGGATTGTTTAGTCTGCAGAAGAGAAGAATGAGGGGGAATTTGATAGCTGCTTTCAACTACCTGAAGGGGGGTTCTAAAGAGGATGGATCTAGACTGTTCTCAGTGGTAGCAGATGACAGAACAAGGAGTAATGGTCTCAAGTTGCAGTGCGGGAGGTTTAGATTGGATATTAGGAAAAACTTTTTCACTAGGAGGGTGGTGAAGCACTGGTGATGAAGCACCTAGGGAGGTGGTGGAATCTCCTTCCTTAGAGGTTTTTAAGGCCCGGCTTGACAAAGCCCTGGCTGGGTTGATTTAGCTGGGGATTGGTCCTGCTTTGAGCAGGGGTTTGGACTAGACGACCTTCTGAGGTCCCTTCCATTCCTGATATTCTATGATTCTATGAAACTGCAGGTCAGGGTTGAGGTGCTTTGACAGAATTGGAGGGTGTGGGGGTTCAGGACTGGAATAGCAGGGGCTGTTTCAGATCTGGAGCTATATTGACCGAGGCAGGGTGAGGCTGCAGATTTGCACTGAGACACCCTCCACACTACACCTGCCTCAGGCAAGATTATGTACCTTTGCCCAGTCAAAACAGTTTTAGTTAATCTAAACGGTGCCCATTTGGTGGGGCAGGAAGAGGGATTCCTCAGCACCAAATAACAATTGTCAATGGGAAAGATGACCAAGGCAAGCAGCAGCATTAAGGTTTTCAGGTTAGGGTTACTGGAGGGAGTGAATGGTGATTGGTTGAGTTACCTCTGATGTCACAATGTTCAGAGGACCTCACACACCTCTGATTGCAGCACCAAAAGGGCGCTATCCAGGGGAAATTGTTATCGAAACGAAACTGATGAAACAACAAAGAGAAGAAGAGGAACAGCTCAGATGACTTAACAGTACAATTTTAGGTTCCGTGGCAGTGTCTTGTAAAATTGCTGCGGATTCAGGGAGAGACACTGCATTCTTGCCCCTCTGTAGCAGATCAAGCACTCACCAGCGCAGTGCGTCCAGCTGGTCATCCGGGAATTAGCTCGATTCCAGCACTCGGAGCACCCCCTGCTGGCTGGTGTCTCTCCTGCCTCAGGCCCTGTGTCCCTCCTGGACCCTGGTGCCCCTTTCCCTTGGGGTTCTGCCCACCGCAGTGCCCCCACACTCTGGGTCTCCCTCCCAGGGGAACTCCCAACCCTCTAAGCCCACCTTGCCTCAGTGGCTACTGCCCATCATCATCTAGCCCCCTTTCACTGGGGCAAACTGCAGTCTGTGATGGCCACTCATCACTGGCAAGGGGGTTGGACCCGCTGCCTTTCTTGGCCCAGCTGTCTCCCTACAGCCCCAGTACCTCCTTTGGCCTTCAGCAAGGCCTCAGCCTGGGGACGTGCCAGGCCTGAGCTCCCCAGCTCTGCCTGCCCTTCCCCAGCACTGCTCTGCTTCAGGTACCCTGTGTTCCTTCAAGCAGCAAGGTCCTTCCCACTCCAAGGCTGGAGTGAGACTGACCCAGCTCCTCTGTTAGCCCTTATATTAGGGCCAGCTGTGACCTGATTGGGTGTGGCCACAGCTGTGGTTGCCCTTAACCCCTTTTCTAGTTAGGTCCCAGCCATAGCCCTCTCCAAGGGCTGCTTTTAACCCCTGCTCTCCTGGAGTGGAGCAACTGCCGCACTACATCCTCCCATTATCTGCCAGTTGAGCTTACAAAAGAAACAGTGTGCAACCTTCTAGCTTTCCAAAAGCACCAAATTACCCTAAAATAGGGAGGACCCAGGGTCTTGCCTAAGATGTCGTACAGCATCTGTTGCACAGTGTGAAAGATTTCTAATGCCAGCTTTAAACAACTTTGTTGACCTATAAAATATTTGATTTAACCACTAGAAAGGACAATGTTATTCAGCTCAAATATATGACTGAAAATGTGGAACAAGCTTAGTCTATGAAAACTATGGGAGTACACTGGTTTTTGTGGTTCAGTAACACTTCTTGAATTTGTGTTGTAATTCACATTGACATCCGGAATATCTTTATGTATATATAATCTTTTTTTTCTTGTTCTTAGACTGATTTCCAGGACTGCTTCTTGTTTTTCCTTTGACAGATAAATTACTAACATAGTTCCCAAATTAAATCTCCATTCATCAGTGTGTTTGTCATTTGGCTGTTTACAGAGAAGTTGGAATCTGGCTGGTAGCACTGCTAAAGAAGAAAGTTGTATGTGGTCTAGCAAAATATGATAAATCCAGACAGGGGTTTTGGGAACATCCATTCAATGAACCTAGATGTCCAGAACACATGGCATATTGAGGGCCTCATTCTTTTCTCAGGTCCATATAGTGGATTTCATTTCTGAAATTCTGGGGAGATTAAAATATTAGAATTGTAATTTTCCCCTGAGTGTGTACTGGAATCTTTACAAATCAATGACATGTAGCCTAGTGCCCTGAATTTGTCTTCATCCTGTTCTGGTGTGTCCTGTAAATGTTTATTTTCGCTGAATTCTTTGATCAATAACAGTGGAATGGTATTTAAACCTTCTGTACCAAGAATCGTGTTCCTTTCACAAAAGCACTTGTGCTGGAGGTCATGTCATTGGCATTCCCCTTTGCCTTTATTTGAACACAGGGATAGAAGCAAAGGAGTCCAGCAATTGATATGTCTGTGTTCCTTTCAGGCCAGAAAATACTAATAATTGAAGATCTGGAAGATGTTGATGTGGTAGAAGGAGAATCTGCCATGTTCAAATGCAGAATCTCTCCAGTAGAATATAGCAATGTGCAGTGGTTTTTGGATAAAACCCCACTCCATACCAATGAACTTAATGACATCCAGTCTCATCCTGGAGGATATCACTTGCTAACCTTGAAAAAACTGTCACTGAAGGATTCGGGGGTCATTACCTTTGAAGCTGGTGATAAGAAAACATCTGCCAGTTTGGTTGTTAAAGGTAATTCAAGCATAAAGGCCGCAGGAAAGGATAAAGAGAGTACAGGCCAGCACTGGGTAGTGGTATATGTGTGCAGAATGGATAGATAGCAGTAAATGCTATAAATTAGGTCCTGTGATATGAGTTCTTTAGTTAGAGAAGTCAGTATTGAGAAACAAGGAAGAGAGAGAGAGAGAGGCAAGTGGAGAGCGTCAATGAGGCCACATGACCTGAATGTAATGAATTCAGGATCCATACTGTGTACCTCTTGGAGTCATAAAATAATTCTTCAGTATGCAGAGCTGAGTAAAATACTTGGTTTCTGCTGCATCAAATTGAACACTTTTTGAAGAATCACATGAACAGTTTTGGAAGGGTGAAACTTTGCACTGTTTTATAAAATTGACATTGTTCTGCAGAATGGGCAGCTGTTTTCAGAAAGCAAAAAGCCGCTTTTACTAGCAAAACCCTGGCATTTAAGTGGGAAAAACTTGTGACGATCTGCTGGCAGAAACCAGTTTCTGATTCACTTCTTTAAAAACCACTGAGAAGCCAAAAGTCAACAGTTGATTGGTTCTGACAAATTTGCATTGCCATGTGCTTTGTATCGGATCAGTTTTCTCACTGTGCACATGTACACTTATTGTTTAGGCAGAAGCATCATGCTGTGCATGTTTCATATTGAAGAGGACTTAGGGGAATTTTCCTGAAGTAGTGAAATTCATGCTTCTCCCTAGTTAATGTTAAACCATGCCTGTTCTAGATGACTTATCCCTGATTCATATTCTTCCACAGAGACATTTGGCCCCTGGATTTTGCCATACTGTAGCAGGCATTTTCAAAACCATGTCTACAGGTAGAAAGCCCCACTATAAGGGCTTAATGCCTCCCACCCCCAAATTGTTCTTTTGCGATAATGACGTTGCAGAATATTGAACCATATCTTTGGTATAAATAATCACATGTAAGGAAAGTGCTGCTCCCCTCCCTCTGAAAATCTCAGACAAGTTTTATGTGATTCTAGAGAAACCCTGCATCATTACAAAGGAGCTTGCTGATGCCAAAATCTTTGAGGGAGAGGATGCCTTTCTTCATTGTGAAACCTCCAAATCAGACAGCCCGGTAAAGTGGTACAAAGATGGGAAGACCCTTAGAAACTCCTCTAAGTATAAGATCAGCCGGTCGGGATTTGAAGCCACGCTTGTCATTCATGGGACAGAAGAGAGAGACAGTGGCAGATATGAGTGTGAGGCTGGAACAGCTAAAAATAGTGCAGTTGTCACTGTCAAGGGTAAGGAAGTTTGGAGTGATGCTGCCTAACATAAAGGTCAAAATAACAATTTAACACCTGGCTGCAACTGAACTGAAAATTAACTCCATCTCTTCACACTGTAATGCAGGATATGTTCTGACTAACTCAGCTGGACAGCCTCCAGGCAGGTGAAAAAGTGTAAAATAGACAAAACATTTATTCTGAGATTGAAATGAGCTTCGGAGTGCAAGGATAGGCAGGGGCTGGAGCTGGGTGTAGTTTACTGAACTGAAAGGAAAATACCCTTCTCAGTTATGCACATTGATTTTCAGTCAGCTTCCTTATGTGTGCTCATCTCCCATGAATGTCACTGAGTCCTCCAGGTATGTGGGGAGAGCACCATTTAGAACTGAGGGAATGCAGGATTTTGCCCTAAGAATGGAAGGAAGAACTATCTTAACAATGTGACGAAGGAGAGCTTTGTAGTTGTTACTCATCTTCATTTGTTCGTTATGCTTTTCTACCACACTTAGGGGACTGATCCAACTCCCATTAAAGACAATAGAAACACTCCCATTGGTTTCAATAGGAACTGGCTCTGACACTTGGGGGGAGAGGATTTTTTTTATCAGGAAAAAGAAATGCAATGTTTTATGTTACATAGCAGCTACAATAGATTTGAAATTTCTCCTCTTGAGTGTTAAAGGATTTAAGCAAATGGATTTAAGAGATTCCCCAGTGGAACAGTAGATGTAGATGGCCCATGGGATAAGGACACATGCTATAACACATTGTACTGCCATGCCCCGTCCAGCTATGAACCCAGGAAGTTTACTCAAGAGTTCCAGAATGATGAAGTGGTAGATAAAGGCAGGGCCCCGTGAAAGGTGTGTGTGCACCAAAGTAGGGCTGAAAGTGGAATGGAGGAAAGGAGCTGTCATTCTTCAGCCAAGCAACTAGTGTGTGATGAATCAGAAAGTGTAAGTGCCGCGCTGCACATTCATAACCTTGTGCTAGAAGACAGTAGTGAACACATTTGTGAAAACAGAGACCGTCAAGCAACAGCACTTTCTACTGTGACTGATCTGAAGCAGGAAACCCCACCAGATGTTTCCTCTTTCCTCTTCCACAGTCAACACTAACAGAAACTTTGGATGCCACCTACTTTTCACTAATTCACTTTGCAATCTGAAATCACTGTTTCGGACAGAGGCTGTGTGGGAATCTTCAGTGGGACTCTTTTATTTATCTGCTCACCTTTCTCTCTGTGTATGCTTTGCAGTGTTTGCTACGTTAGTACATCTTCATGTCTGATAAAAATGTGTCCATCTTCCTATAAGGAGAAGGGATCCTTGACTGGGAAAACTAATGTGTCAGCTATTGTTTGTCATGCTGTTTGTCCTATCCTTGTGTTCTCTTTCTGTATGTATTATTTTACCTTGCTAGTTCTCTTTTTTTATATGGCAGTGGGCTAGCTCTGAACACCTGTCCGGAGTGTAGTCCAACTTCTCACATCCCTGACTGACATCTGCAAAATGTGGTACTAGAGAAAGGATACCTTTAACTAACTGCAGTGACAAAAATGGTATAAAACAGTTCCCCTCTTCTGTGTATTCAGTAGTTCACAGCATGAGGCAGGCATGCAAATAGCGTTACAGGGGAATTGAAGGTGTCCAGTTTCTCTCACGATTGGGCCCGTAGAGAGTCTCCACATAACGAGAGGCCAAGATCTCATGCTATTAAGTGTTTAAACCATTTAAATAATATTTGTGGTGTTATTAATAATATATTGCACTGACAGCTGGAGATGGATTATTAGAATCTAAGCACTTTTTCATCCTGGCATTCTGTGATTCTACATCTTACGTGAAAGGGCTCATGTGGGATGAAGCAAAAAGGGGAAAAGTGATTTCCAGGCACTCTTGTTTTCTTCAATGGTCACACTCTGCAATTCTACATTTTTAGCTCTGCCAGTTCGTTTCAAACGAGAACTCCAGAATGAGGAAGCTAAAGAAGGAAATCAAGTCAAACTGACCTGTGAGCTGAGCAAACCTGACATCCCAGTGAAATGGACAAAGGGAGATACAGTTCTACAACCCAGTGACAAGTATGAGTTAAAGCAACACGGCACTGTTGCAGAGCTCATTATTCAAGATGCCAAATCAATAGATGCTGGAGACTATAGCTGCAGCACTGGAGAACAAAAGACAACTGCTCGGGTGAAAGTAAATGGTAGGCAGAGCTGGTAGATTTCAATTTATTTTACTTATGCAGTACTTAATACGTGTGCTATAATTTAACGGCAGTTCTTCATTATAGAGGGGCCAGTTATGGGTCCATAGTTAAGGTTTAACAATAATATATGTACTCAGTAATATCTGTATTGCTTTAGTGCAGTTTCACATTACACTAAAGCAATGTGGGTGATTTATCCCCTGTTGTCCAGTCCCAGCTTCTGGCATTTGGAAGTTTAGGGACACCTAGAGCATAGGGTTGCATCCCTGACCATCTTGGCCAATAGCCATTGATGGACCTATCCTCCGTGAACTTATCTAATTCTTTTTGGAACCCAGTTATACTTTTGGCCTTCACAACATCCCCTGGCAATGAGTTCCACAGGTTGACTGTGCATTGTGCAAAGAAGTTCTTCCTTTTGTTTGTTTTGTACAACTGAAAGGAATTTGCACTTGTTTCACACCCAAATACACCACACTGCCAGTCACAAGTCCAATAATAATAATAATAATAATACTTCCTCTTAGTTTCAAACATACTGGCCATCTTTCTTGACTGCTGTTGAAAGGGTAGACCATATCAGAGCATTGTCATATAGGAGTGGTGGACATGGTCTGTACACAATATTGATCACCTCTGGTTGTATATTTTAGCTCTGCCAGTCCTTTTTAAACAAAACCTGCAGAACACAGAAATGGAAGAGGGGAGCACCGTAGCTTTGCACTGTGAGATCACTAAACCTGATGCCCGAGTGGTGTGGAAGAAGGGAGGAGCCATACTCCAGGAGAGTGCCAAGTATGAGCTGAAGCAGAAGGGTTGTGTGGCAGAGCTGCTCATTCACAATGCAGAGCTGGAGGATGCTGGAAGATACACCTGTGATACTGGAGACCAGCAGACGACTGCTCAAGTCAAAATCCACGGTAGAGGTTTTTTCATCACTTTCTGTTGTTGTTGTTAATCATGTTTATTATGGTAATGCCTAGGCGCTGACTAAAATGGGCACCATTGTGCAAGCTGCTGAACAAACACAGAGGGGCCAATAGACCCTGCCCCTAAGAGCTGATAGTTTAGATAGAGAAGACTGATGACGGGTTGGGGGTAAGGATGTAATACATGAGCAGAGCAATCGGTGGCAAACATCGTGTTAGTTCCAAGGTTTTCTGGGAGGGATGTGAGAGGTTAGTTGGCAGCTTTAAAAATACAAAGACAAAAGAAGGGAGAGGGAATATTGAAGGGAAGGGGATGGTTGGGCAAGGAAGGAAAGAGGGAGACTATGAGGAGCAGATGTGGAGTGATGCTGAGGTGAGGAGTCCGTGAGAGAGGGCTGGAGCAAACCGCCAATCAGCACAAGGCAGCAAATGTCCAGTCAAACCTGTAAAAAGTATTTTGATGACATCGCCAGTGTTCAAAGTCCCCGGCTTAAACAGCTTCTGCAGAGGCTCTCAAGAGTCCTAACAGGTTGAGTCTCTGGCGAACTCCTTCCTGCAATTTCTCTCACCAAAGCCACATATCTGGAGGGAGGAGGGCCACTGTATAGGGTCTTAATGGGCCCCAGAGCAGGGGTCCTTCCCTGCACAGTTCGGGATCTGGAGGTCAGGTGGAGGGTCTGAGGGAGAGGCAGCCCAGGCTGGTCCTGCTTTTCTGTTGTGTTCTCTAGGTAACCCTCCTATCCAGGAATATCAGTCAAATGATCTTTTGTTGACGACATAATATCTGTCAATGGCTTTGAAATAATTATAGCAGTAAAACCTCTTTTCTGCTCTGGAGTAAGGCACTAGGCTGAACTCGACAGTCTAGCTGAAAGGCCCTGTGGGGCAAGATGTCTGATTTTAAAGAACAGGGAGTTTTTGCAGGGAGTTAAAAAGCAGGTTCTTTGGCAGAGTAACTGCTTGGCAACAGTTATTTTAAATTGTGTTTAATTCTTTCCCCGCCCCCCAAAAATTAACTGTGTGCGAATGAATATGCCAATTTATCAGCTCTGGAGACAGACCCCGCCATTTATCCAGGCATTTCCTTACGTCCCAGCTCACTTTCCCGTTTTATTTAGCCTTTCGCCCATGCCATCCTTGTCAATATCCTTATAAAGTCATGGCACTGAAAGAGAGTCATGTAACTGTTCCTTGTCTCAGTCTACGCCATATACAGTGCAACCATATTACGTGGATGCACATCATATAAATGCCTGCTTCCTCCTTCAGCCCTGCCTGCACTCATCAAAGAAGAACTGAAGAACTTGGAAGCCACAGAAGGTGGAACAGCCACTCTGCGCTGTGAGCTGAGCAAAGCCGCTCCAGTGCAGTGGAAGAAGGGGCCCAAGGGGCTCAGGCCAAGTGGCAAATACAGAATGAGACAAGAAGGCACCATTGCTGAGCTGGTCATCCATGATCTAGATCTGAAGGATGCTGGAGATTACACATGTGTGTTTGGAGATCAAAAAACCACAGCAACCTTAACAGTGAATGGTAAAAAGTCATAAAAAAATGACACTCCTGAGATTCCCCCCCCCCCTTTTACCTATTTCCGAACAAAATTTACCTGTGTCCTACTTGTCTTCTCTTTGTTCTTCTTGGCACATCATGCTGTGCCTCCTATGTCCATTTGTCCTCTATCCGGACAGAATTCAGTGCATGTATGTGCAGTATAAAGTCTTCTAAAGAATGCTAACCAGGCAAAGAGCATGCGTGTGTATTTTACTGAATTGGTCCTGAAGCATGAGACCCCTTGGGCAATTATCAACCTCTCTGTTAAGGGGATTAAGTACAGTCAATCACTTCCATGATAGTACAGTCAATCACTTCCTCTGTTGACTGTCACAAAAGTCTTGCTTTACTGGGGACTTAGTTTTCAGGTGGCTTGTTCTCTGGGTTTCAGTTGTTTGCAGCTAGACAAATGGTAGATCATGCTTGGTTTAAGAGTGTTGTGGTGAGGCCCATGGCATTAAAAAATAAATTACAGTTCACTCATTGTCCGAGGAAGACACTTCACAGTTCCAAGTTTGTGGCATTTGTATGAAATATTTGTTTGTTTTGTGTCTCTCAGCCCTACCCACACGTTTCAAAAAGGAACTGAAGAATGAGGAGGCCACTGAGAGTGGAACAGCCACACTGCACTGTGAGCTGACCAAGGCTGTTGACTCAGTTGAGTGGTTGAAGGATCAAAAGGTGCTGAAACCAAGTGGCAAATACAGGATGAGGCAGGAAGGCCGCTTTGCTGAGATGATTATCCAAGACCTAGATTTGGCGGATGCTGGAGATTACACTTGTGTGTGTGGCGACCAGAGGACAACAGCTGCTTTAACAGTGAATGGTAAATGTGCCCAAAATTAAATAGGTTGTTTTATATTTATCTCCTCTATGGAACTCAAGATGTTGGCATTCAGCATTCACACTGATCCATGGCTGCTCCTCTGATCCCTTGTTTGCTGCAGTTTTGGAAAGAGGACTCATATCCTCAGTTTTGTGGTGACACTGGGTCACCTTGACAAAGAACATTCCCCCGTGTGGTATTGGTTTGCCACAGTCCAGCTATGTTCCCTCATTTCTTTTCCTTCTTTATGCACAACTTATTCTCATCCTTATTGCTACAAGCTGTCTCCATTCTAAGAATGATGCACATGTATTTAACTAAAAAGAAAAGGAGTACTTGTGGCACCTTAGAGACTAACCCATTTATTTGAGCATGAGCTTTCGTGAGCCACAGCTCACTTCCACGAAAGCTCATGCTCAAATAAATTGGTTAGTCTCTAAGGTGCCACAAGTACTCCTTTTCTTTTTGCGAATACAGACTAACACGGCTGTTCCTCTGAAACCATGTATTTAACTGTATATTTTACTTAGTTTCCTTCTTTTAGGGCTTTGAAATGTGTGATTGGAAAAAAATGGGTTATCACAAAAAAAACAAAAAAATCCTACTCACTGCATTCTGGTTCTGATACAGTCTCTGTCTATATTGCATTCTTCAGCCTTGCCTGCATTTTTCCAAGAAGAACTGAATAACAAGGAAGTTTCAGAGGGTGAGACAGTCACTCTGCACTGTAAATTGAGCAAGCCCGCCCCAGTGGAGTGGAAGAAGGGACAAAAGGTTCTCAGACCAAGTGAAAAATGCAAAATAAGACAGGAGGGTCCCTTTGCTGAACTGTTGATCCTTGATCTGGATTTGATGGATGCTGGAGATTACACTTGTGTGTGTGGAGAACAGCAGACTACAGCGACCTTGACAGTGAATGGTAAAAAGAAACACGCAGCAGATGTCCCAGATAAAATGATATAACTCTATAATTTCCTCCCCTTTAAAATTCCTTTTCCAATATAATGTTTTATCCTCACCTTCATTCCACCCCCGGTATCCCTGTGTATTTAATTTCTTTATCTTTCTTTGCATTCTCCCTCTTGAGAGCTGCATGTAATTGCATTCATAGGCATTATATGTGCAAATATCAAAGGTAGTACAGACACCTAAATGTTTCTTTTCCCCAACTCAAATACAAATTCAGTCTAGTTTTTTAGTCTATATATGTGGTGGTTTGAAAGTTTTTCCTTAGGGATTGTGTTATAAAATGGGACTATATTATCTCACTTCAGATTACGTGGAATGTTGGGTCTGTGTTCCTACGGTGACCAGATGGTAATCATCATCTTATGCCATTACATAGAGGATAGTTTAGTGAAAATGATTGATTTTTTTTATGCTATTGTAGATTCTGTCACTTATTTTGAATTGTTTCTTGGCCCCTCTAAAATATTTTAGTGCTGCAAAAAGTTGACACCATGGTTTCTAGTTATGTTCCCTTCTAAAGAGTTCTGTTTTAGAGAGAACACAGACACTAATCTGCATGGGTATTATTTATGTCAAGGGAAAACATTTTGGGCCTGATATTGAAAAGCAGTCTCTGATTATACTCCTGTGATTTTGCTGAGACAAATACTAATGGTTATGTAGCATTTTGATATATAATCACCTGATTTTTATCAACCGATCAGATTGATAGATGTTGAAATGCTATAAAATAACCCTATGCAATTGAGGGCACAAAATCAGAAGCCCGACTGAGACCTTTTTCTTTAAAAAAAAAAACAGTCTTTGGGGCTACAGTGACAGCATTGATTTAGATAACTAACAGAGGAGAGCATTTGTAGTTCTGAGTTTCTCCGCTCTGATACCCTTCTGTCCATATCACATTCATTCTGCAGTTCTGCCTATACTTTTCACCAAAGAACTGAAGAATCAAGAAGCTACAGAAGGTGAAAGTGCCATTCTGCACTGCGAGCTAAACAAGGTTGCTCCTACCGTGGAGTGGAAGAAGGGACACAAGATCCTCAAACTGAGTGACAAGTATAAAATGAGACGGGAAGGTGTTGTTGTTGAGTTGATAATCCAAGACCTAGAAGTGACAGATGCTGGAAATTATACCTGTGTGTGTGGAGACCAACAGACCATGGCGGCTGTAACTGTAAATGGTAAAAGAAGAAGCATGCTAAAAATAATTCCATTTTCCCCTCCATTGCTTTGGATAGACTCACTCCTTTCCTGATGTAACCTATAGGCCTTTTTCATCCCTCGCTAAGGTCCTGATCCAAAGCTCATAGAAGTCAAAGAAAAGGTGCTCACTGACTTCAGTCAGGTTTGGATCAAGCTCTTACACAGACACAAAACAGTGAAAATAGATAAGAATCGGACAAACCCATAAGAATGGGACCCTGCATAGCCAGAACTGCTGCTGCTTTTCTGTTTCCAGGCCATTGTTTCTTCACTGGAAGTTTCTTTGTTGGAGTTACTGTTCTCCTCATGCTCCCAATAAGCTGTTAGCTTAGTAAGGCCTATAGCCTGACTCATATTTAGGCTTTACAACAAACCGAAAAGTTACATCACTGCATCCCATTCTGTCCTTAAGAAAAATTTCCCTGTGCTCCAGCTTTGAGACAGAAAAGTGATTACATACAGTCCTGTATGTAAAGGGCATTGCTGTAGAGTTCCCATGCTCTCACAATGAGAGCGGGTCAAAACTTTTCATGTGGAAAGTTTTCCCACTGAAAAATATAGTTTTGCTGAAACAGACATTTATTTTTATGGGGAATAAGGTCAAATCAGGTGAAATTTTTTTTTGTTTCCTTCAGGATATTTCTAAACAAAATTTCCTTTTCAAATTAACATTTCAAAATGAGGCTTTGTTTTGTTTTGACGTAGAATGTCATTTCGTTTTGTGTAGAAATCTCAGGTTGAAACAAGAAAAAATTCATTTTGAAACTTCTCATGGGAAAACCAAAATGTTTCAACTGAAAAGTTTTGAATGAAGATTTTTTCATTTGAAATTTCACGGGGGAAAATATGGTTTTTTGTCCTGCTCTTCTGATCCTCTTGTCCACTTCCTTCTGTAATGATTTGTGACGATTGTGAGGCTTCTGCTCCTTTCTACAAATACTGCATTTCTGGGCATGGGGGTTATCTGATTATCTATTTTTTTCTCATATTGATTATATGAGAGCAGTGAAGCTGATCTAATGACAGCTGATGGTCCAGTTCTGATAACTCAGGAGGAATTAACTGGAAAATGAGGGGAACATTTAGTTTTTACTTTTCCCATTTTTAAATCCAACTGTCCTTATTGCTGTCCCTCAGTCCTGCCTGCATTTTTCAAGGAGGGATTGAAGAATAAGGAAGCCTCAGAAGGTGCAACAGCCACTCTGCACTGTGAGCTGAGCAAAGTCCCTGTCCTCGTGGAGTGGAAGAAGGGGCAAAAAACGCTCAAACCCAGTGAAAAGTACAGAATGCGACAGGAAGGTGCCATTGCAGAGCTGTTGATCCGTGACCTGGATGTACAAGATACAGATGATTATACCTGTGTGTGTGGAGACCAGAAGACCTCTGCTGTCTTGACAGTCCACGGTAAACAAAAATTCCACCTTACAAGAGAAATATTCCAGAGAGCTTCACTCCCTTTGGAATTCCCTTCCTGACCTGTTTTACTGTTAGTTTTCACCTTTCCTTTTTTTTCTTTCTATAGTGCCCATCTGTATTTCATTTCACCTCACCTTGTCTCTTGGTATTAAAATAATCTTCCTTATTGTGAACTAAAAGGGGGTACAGATGCCTTCCTTTTCTAGATCCATTTTGTGTTTTTACAGAGTAAAAACTTTATCTGTACTTAGTAAGGCCAACATTTTCTAGGTCCCAAGAATGTACTTAGGCTTCTAAATAAAAGTGGCCTGATTTTCAGAGGATTTGAATACTCGCAACTCTAATTGAAGTCAATGGATTTCAGTGCCTGACTTGAGGAAACCATATCTGAAAATTTTGGCTTCCATTTGGTTATGGACTTTTTGGAGAAATCAGACCCTCAGGATTAAATGGTTCCCAGTATTTCTTGGGGGTAACAATGATATGTGCTAATGATGAAATTACAACATCCAATCTGATGGGTGCCGATGGTAATTTTATTGTTAGTTTTGCTGTCATGAGCCGTTGTCCTGGAGCTAGGAGTGCTGGGGGTACTGCCGCACCCCCTGGCTTGAAGTCAAAAGCCAAATACATGGTTTCCATAGTTTTCATCATCAGCACCCGCTCTATAAAGATTGTTCCAGCACCCCTGGTGGTGAGTGATACAAAACAGTCTTAATTACACTATCAGTGGTGTTAATTTATTTATAGTGCTGATCAATGGATAAATCTTAAGAGACCCTGTTCAGTTTAGATAAATCTCAAAGTTCAGATGCTTTTGAAATCATAGTTCAACCTTTGCAGCACATCTATGTCCTGTCCCCTTTCCCTGCATTTTATTCCTTCCTTCTTTCTCCCAACCCAAACGCAGTCTTCTCTTTCACACCAAGCCCACGCTTCCTTTTCCTCACAAACGATCTTCTGCACATTTGTTTATAAGCCCATTAAAAACCTTATTACCGATTGTTTGAATACTTCTCAAGAAAGGTATTTTTGATACCGAACTGACAATTATCATGTTCTGGAAGTTATGTCTTAATGCCATACATATGCTTAGGCTGCTAAATCAATATCTAAAGAGACAAGGTGGGTGAGGTAATATTTTTTTATTGGGCCAACTTCTGTTGGTGAGAGAGATTCTGTGTAAGATTGAAAGCTAGTCTCTCTCAACAACAGAAATTGGTCCAATAAAAGATATTACCTCACCCACCTTCTCTCTCTAATATCCTGGGACCGACACAGCTACCACAACACTGCATAAATCAAGATCTAGTAATTTAAAAGAAAGGTATAAATTAAAGTCTGAGTTTATGGATTTTGATGCACTTTCTGTCCCTATTCCATCCCCCAGCTCTGCCTGCACTGTTCAAAAAGGAACTCAAAAATGAGGAAGCCACAGAAAGTGGGACAGCTACTCTCCACTGTGAGTTGACCAAAGCTTCTGCAGTGGAGTGGATGAAGGCTCAAAAGGTGCTCAAAGTTAGTGACAAATATAAAATGAGACAGAAGGATGCCATTGCTGAGCTGACAATCCATGACCTGGATGAACAGGATGCTGGAGATTACACTTGTGTGTGTGGAGACCAGAAGACCACTGCATCCTTGACAGTGCATGGTAAAACAAAAAATAATATGAGATTTTCTACAATGTCCTCTATGATTGCGATTAGGATCACAAACTGATCTTGATATCATCTGTCATTTTATATTGCTACTGTATTTATAACAACCGCTATGAATTTTCTTCACTTTAAGTCCATAATTTGGGTTTGGTACAACGTTATGGAGGTTTTTCTGCTCCTTTTTGTCATGTTAATAGAATTTGGGGGTAAATAATTAAGTCATGGCAAAATTACATGCAACAGTTTGAGTTTTCCCCTTAATTCATTTCTTTAATCATATTACTGAGATTTCATTTATTTTAATAGGTAACTTGAGAGAAGATGAGTGGGAAACCAAGTTGACCCACAATAGCTTGCAATTTTAAATAGTACATTGGATACGTTTTAAATGCTAACCTAATAACAGCACAAGTTGACTAGGCGTACCTTCTTGAAAGTTCAGGGCAAGCTTTCTTCTATTGTATATGTCAGACGATGCCTCTCAGTCCTAACTTGCTGCACTGCAGCTGTTCTAACACTGAGCTTGACTGTCTCAGGGAACAGACTGCCAGTTTGGTTGTAATGTGCTGAACTTCGTGCACTGGAAAAATGTCAACCAAGGACTCAGATGAGACCCATGAAATCATTTTAATTTGGTTTTTAGATACTGTATGTTGTAACCCAAATTACTAGAGACTGAAGATTAATACACTAATCTCCTGGAGCCACCCAGCTGCAATTAGTTCTTGAATTTTAATGCACTCTCTGTTCATCCTATGCTCCTCAGTCCTTCCTCCACGTTTTAAAAAAGAATTGAAGAATTTGGAAGCCAGAGAAGGTGAAGCAGCCATTCTGTGCTGTGAGCTGACCAAGGTCGCTGCCCCAGTGGAATGGAAGAAGGGGCCCAAAGTGCTGAAACCAAGTGACAAGTTTAGAATGAGACAGGAAGGCACCATTGCTGAGTTAGTGATCCATGATTTAGATCTGACAGATGCTGGAGATTATACATGCACGTATGGAGACCAAAAAACCACAGCTGCCTTAACAGTGAATGGTAAATAATATATCCCAAATTAAGTGCATAATTTTCTACTATCTGTTCTGTGAAAAATAATGGTATCATCAACTGGATTACAGCCCTACTTTCAGCCTGCGATAATTTAGTCTGTATATCTAAAAAGTTAAAATCCATGTGCTATAATTTTCTTAAATATTGCTGATGAATTTAGCAAAATTTTAGCGGAAATAGAAATAGACTGTTGGCATTGTTTGGACCAGATGTTGGTCATGCACTCATTGCAGAAATTTCCACAGAGAGTTGGGAAATACACCTCAATTTCAACGGCAAATCCTTCTGATTTTCATGTTCAATAGTAGGTGTTAAAACAGTAACGTTAATTTTATCACGATAAATGTTATGATGTTACATTCCAAGAACGGGGGATATCATGATAACAGCCAACACCATGATAAGAGACATATTTCCTTATCAATTTTGAACAGTGTATTAAATTTCCTTGGCAGGAAATATAATCGTTGCTACTCTCACTGGGAGGTCGGTAATGCGACATCCAGTGGCTAGTTGATGACACTGGTATGTTAGTGAATTTGCACAAAGCACGAAAACCACCAACACTTAACAGGAGCACCGTGTGAAGGTTGTTGTCTTGCTCTTTGAAACTTTCTTTAAATGGAAAATGAGGCAAACACCTGTATGCGACTGTGGTCACCAGGCATAAGCAATGGAGCACATCATATCTGAATGTCTCCTTCGTTCTTTTGCCAGGGGCCTGAAGGACATTCACCAGCACACTGCTGCAGCAATGTGCTGGCTATCAAATCTAGATATCAACGATTACAAATTTATACTTACCCAAGCCATACGAAAGAAGAAGAAGAATTTCCTTGGGGAGGTACTGACAGTCGTGTTATATTGAACTAGGCATATTGGAAGGACACATCTAAATGAGAAAGGACATGTCAGCCAGTGCCATTTCATTTGTGACTCTATTAGTTTATTTATTATTTGTATTACAATAGCTCCTAGAAACGTCAATCAGGTTTAGGAATCATTTGTTCTAGGCACGATACAAATACAGTAAAAAGGAGGTCCCTGCCCTGAAGGGGATCTGAAAGACGAGGATGGTTCTCTAGCTGTTTCATTCTGTGGGGCACCTTATAAAAAGAGAGATCTGCCTTAGGATAGGGTCTTTTCTGAACCTCCCAAGCCACCACTATGTGGTCCTCAGTATGATTAATTCTGTTTCAGGGAAGGCTTTGCAGACCACTGGTGGTCCATGGATCACAATTTGATAATTCTGTGGGTTAGTGTGTTTGATGTCTGTGCCAGGTAGTTGCCGTAATGTGAATGTTCATGTACTCTGTCCATTCTGAACTCCTCAGCTCTGCCTGCACGCTTCAAGGAAGAAATGACAAATGAGGAAGCCACGGAAGGTGGGAGAGCCACTCTGCGCTGTCAGCTGACCAAGGTTGCTTCGGTGGAGTGGAAAAAGAAGCACAAGGCACTCAAACCAAGTGACAAATATACAATGAGGCAGGAAGGTGCCATTGCAGAACTAGTCATCCATGATGTAGAAGTCAAGGACTCTGGCGATTATACCTGTGTATGTGGAGACCAGAAGACAATGGCAGCTTTGATAGTGCATGGTAAAAAAAAATAATCAGAATTTTCTTTTTAAACTTGTGATTTTTCTACCATCCCCTTTGGAAAACTCAATACTGACAGCCACTAAGCTCCCGTTCTCATCTTACCATAATCGGACTCTTCTATAACACATTTTCCTTCCTTTTTCCTGATCTCCATCTAACTCACTGGAGCCCTACTTCTTGTACTAGCTCTTAACACCCTTTGTGTTTTTCTATTTTCCATCTAATCTGTGCATGTTTCGTGCTTACATTATACTTCTTCTGGAAGGATTTCACTTACTTGCATTGTTTTTGTGTTGCTTGTTTCAGAATGAGCCAGGAGAGAAGGTGGGGCTGGAATTTTTATATTTCTTAAATGAGAAGAGAGGTCTTTGGTTATAATTTAACATTTGGCTGACAGTTTTAAGGGCTCAGGATAGTAATACTGCAAGCAAGCGATGGTTCTGTGCAGTCTTTCTTACAATTCTAACAATACATCCTGCATATTTGTCTACTTATTTGGCCCACATCTCCTCAGTATCTGAGACATTATTCAGGTTTATCTGCACAATCTCCCTGTCAGGTAGGGAAGTATTATCATCGTGCCCATGGGGCACTTGTCCAAGGTCACAAAGAAATTCTGTTCTAGAACCAGGAACTGAATTCAGATCTCCTGAATCTCTGTTCTTGCCTGACTCTCCTCCTTCCATCATCGTCCTGACCAACAAGACATTTGCTCTTCCAGCCTTGAACCTCTTATGAGGTGACCAATTCCGTAATGAGTGGAAGAATATTTAGACATGGACAGAAGCTTGTGACCATCAATTTAATTTATTTGTCATCTCTGGAGGTTGTGAGAATGTTCCCTCACTCTTTGTTCCTTAGCCCTACCGGTACTTTTCCAAGAAGAATTAAGAAATGAAGAAGGCACAGAAGGTGGTGCAGCCACTCTGCGCTGTGAGCTGACCAAGGCTGCCCCAGTGGAGTGGAAGAAGGGACACAAGGTGCTCAAGCCAAGTGACAAATACAAAATGAGGCAGAAGGATACCACTGCAGAGCTGGAGATCCACAATCTAGATGACAATGATGCTGGTGATTATACCTGTGTGTGTGGAGATCAGCAGAGCACAGCTGTCTTAGCAGTACATGGTAATTACAAGTATCATAATGAAGTTAATAATTTTCTAATAACTTTAATAATTTTCAGGTTCATCCAGTGGATTCAAACATCTGTCCTTGTGTAATTTGTCATTTCTGTACTTTTTCCTTTATTATATTTGTTGCATATAGGAGTCATAGTAATTAATTTGTTTTTTGTTGAGCCTCCCTCCCCGGAACCCCAACTCCATAATACAATATCTGTGTTAACAGCCTGATCCAGTTACCACTCATTACAGAATAAGTGTGGGATCAGGCCATGTGACAGGGTGCTCTGGTCACGGCAGGCCGGTCCCCCTCCTGCCCGTTCTGGGAATTAGCTCTGTGCAGCCCATGCCCCTTCTTGGGGTTACACTCTGTCTATTTCTCCCTCTGTGGTCCCTCTCTGACTCCAGGAACTGCAGCCTCTGCTTTGTGACTCAGCTGTCCAGCCAGGTCACTGTGTGGTTTTCCCTTCTGGGGATGCGTGTCAAAGTCCCTGCTCACTTGCAATCTCAGGCAGTCCTCCCATTCTCTGCTCCAGGTGCCACTCCTTCTGTGGCTGGTGAGGGAACCAAGGTCCACCCTCTACTCCGGGTTCCAGCTCAGGGACCCTCTAAGCAGCATCCAAAGTGTGATTCCTTCCTGCACCTTGCTGCTTTTCTCTGAGCCTCTTCCTTTCCTCCTGGCCCTCCCCACTCCCTGGGGTTTGCCAGCCTCTCAACTCCTTCCTCCCAAGGTGTAACCAGCAGGTATTTGTCATCCCCACCCCCCTGCCACCCAGCACACCTCCCTTCTCCCAGGGAGTGACTGCAGACTACCTCCCTGCAGCCCCCTCTGCTTCCAAGTTCCTGTCTTTCTATAAATCCCTCCCATTCCCACACAGTCGAGATTCCCCTAATTAGGGCTTTCCTCCCAGGCCTAATGCTCCCAGATTGCAGCCTAACTGGCTGATTGGACCCACTTGGCCCAATTCAGCTCTTGCAGCACCAGTGTGGGGAGTATACCCCATCACATGCCCTAAGACAGCTCTCTCTTTTTATCACCTTCTTCCAGCCTGTGATGTTTTCTACCCCCCTTTCTTCCACCTATTCTCTGGTGGTTGTGCTCAGAGCTCCATTTTAATGTTCTGTCTTTTACATCCTCCAGCTCTGCCTGCGCTCTTCAAAGAAGAACTGAAGAACGAGGAAGTTACAGAAGGTGGAACAGCCACTCTGCGCTGTGCGCTGACCAAAGCCACTCAAGTAGAGTGGATGAAAGGGGACAGTTTGCTCAAAGCGAGTGACAAATACAAAATGAGACAGGAGGGCACTGTTGTTAAACTGATTATTCATGATCTAGAACTGAAGGATGCTGGAGATTATACCTGTGTGTGTGGAGACCAGAAGACAGCTGCTGGCTTGATAGTGCATGGTAAAGCAAAAAATCAAAATTCAATTGCCTACCACCCCATCTGCTATAATTTTTACCTGCATCTGTGTCTGGGGCTTTTTTTTTTTTTTTTTTTAGTAGTTGATTGTTTATATGCATTTATAATTTTTGTGTTACTTTGCTCTTTATCGCTTGTCTTATTTCTTGGAATTTCATTGGGTGCATTAACAGTCCTGAAATATATTGTGAGGAAAGGAAGCTGATTGCAAAGAGTTCTCACCTTCCTTTGTTCATGCTGCTTTTCTTGTTTCCTCTTTACAGTGTAATTTTTGTCCATTTTCCCCCAATCACACCAGCCACCTGGCACTTACAGTGTTTAATGTACTGTCCATCCATTCTGTGATCCTCAGCTCTGCCTGCGCTTTTCAAAGAAGAACTGAAGAACTTGGAAGTCACAGAAGGCAAAACAGCCACTCTGCATTGTGAGCTGAACAAGCCTGCTTCAGTGGAGTGGAAGAAAGGGCACAAGATACTCAAGGCGAGTGAAAAATACAGCATGAGACAGGATAGTGTCACTGCTGAGCTGGAGATCCATGATCTAGGTCTGCAGGATGCAGGAGATTACACATGCATGTGTGGCGACCAGCAGACCACAGCTACGTTGATAGTAAATGGTAAATAATATATTCCAAATTAACGCTTAATACTCTACCATTTGTTCCTGTGAAACTTATTATTGTTCCACAGAAGATTCACCTAATTCTCTTGGGCTCTTATTAATTTGTGTATAGCTGAAGAAGGAGAACTTCTTGTTTCCATATGACTTAGATGGTAAATTTAAAAAAGTATTCAATGTTCGTGATCATCCAGTGTGGAGACTGGCTGGATTGAATGTAGATGTGGAGCAGGGCACAGGCTCAGCATGGATTCACCAAGGGAAGGTCATGCCTGACTAATCTAATCGCCTTCTATGATGAGATTACTGGTTCTGTGGATGAAGGGAAAGCAGTGGATGTATTGTTTCTTGACTTTAGCAAAGCTTTTGACATGGTCTCCCACAGTATTCTTGTCAGCAAGTTAAAGAAGTATGGGCTGGATGAATGCACTATAAGGTGGGTAGAAAGTTGGCTAGATTGTCGGGCTCAATGGGTAGTGATCAATGGCTCCATGTCTAGTTGGCAGCCGGTGTCAAGTGGAGTGCCCCAGGGGTCGGTCCTGGGGCCAGTTTTGTTCAATATCTTCATAAATGATCTGGAGGATGGTGTGGATTGCACTCTCAGCAAATTTGCGGATGATACTAAACTAGGAGGAGTGGTAGATACACTGGAGGGCAGGGATAGGATACAGAGGGACCTAGACAAATTGGAGGATTGGGCCAAAAGAAATCTTATGAGGTTCAATAAGGATAAGTGCAGAGTCCTGCACTTAGGACGGAAGAACCCAATGCACAGCTACAGACTAGGGACTGAATGGCTAGGCAGCAGTTCTGCGGAAAAGGACCTAGGGGTGACAGTGGATGAGAAGCTGGATATGAGTCAGCAGTGTGCCCTTGTTGCCAAGAAGGCCAATGGCATTTTGGGATGTATAAGTAGGGGCATAGCTAGCAGATCGAGGGAAGTGATCGTTCCCCTCTAGTCGACATTGGTGAGGCTCATCTGGAGTACTGTGTCCAGTTTTGGGCCCCACACTACAAGAAGGATGTGGATAAATTGGAGAGAGTCTAGCGAAGGGCAACAAAAATGATTAGGGGTCTGGAACACATGACTTATGGGGAGAGGCTGAGGGAACTGGGATTGTTTAGTTTGCAGAAGAGAAGAATGAGGGGGGATTTGATAGCTGCTTTCAACTACCTGAGAGGTGGTTCCAGAGAGGATGGTTCGAGACTATTCTCAGTGGTAGAAGAGGACAGGATAAGGAGTAATGGTCTCAAGTTGCAGTGGGGGAGGTTTAGATTGGATATTAGGAAAAACTTTTTCACTAAGAGGGTGGTGAAACACTGGAATGCGTTACCTAGGGAGGTGGTAGAATCTCCTTCCTTAGAAGTTTTTAAGGTCAGGCTTGACAAAGCCCTGGCTGGGATGATTTAATTGGGGATTGGTCCTGCTTTGAGCAGGGGGTTGGACTAGATGACCTCCTGAGGTCCCTTCCAACCCTGATATTCTATGATTCTATGTTATATACACTTCCCCACACACTTTTTACAATCCACCTCAAACCAAGCTGATCCATTGTATGTTGAGCTTCCTCTGTGCCATGATTGTCATATGAACTTTATTTTCCAGGACATAATGATATTGACCACAATCTGACTGGCCAGAGTGAAATCCAAACTAACCAGATTTGATCCTAAGTTATGAGAGGTGAAAGGCTACAGAATTAGTTCATGGTACCAGCCACTTACCACAGACTTTTCAGTTTTAATGCATTGTCTGTTTACCTCATATTCCCCAGCCCTGCCTGTACTTTTCAAGCAAGAACTAAAGAATGAGGAAGTTGCAGAAGGCGGATCAGTCACTCTGCGCTGCGAACTAACCAAAGCTGCTCCTGTGGAGTGGAAAATAGGGCACATTGTGGTCAAAACAAGTGACAAATATAAAATGAGACAGCAGGGTGCCATTGCAGAGTTGGTTATCCATGATGTAGAACTGAAGGATGCTAGAGATTATACCTGTGTGTCTGGGGATCAGAAGACAACAGCTGCTTTAACAGTACATGGTAAAAAAAAAAACCTGTCAATATTCAATACTAATATGAATACTAATTTTCTAGTATCACTCCTGAAACTCAAACTGTCAGACACTGGAATCATATAATGACTCGATATTAATTTGCAATTTCTCTGTTGCTTCTTCCATCCTACTTACTATTCATTTCTTTGTACGGGATAATACTTTGGGTCAGAATTCCTGGGCATTGCCAACCCACCCCTCAACAAGGAGAAAGTAAAGGAAGTTCCTTTCAGTTTTTCTCAAGCTCTTTCATCTTGTGTATTTTTCTCATTTTCCTCCACCTCCATTTCATCAGCTGACCCCAGCCAATTGTGATTCTTCCATAAGTGTTAACATCTGGTCTATTGTGCCCTCAGCTCTACCTGCATGTTTCAAAAAAGAATTGAGGAACAAGGAAGCTACAGAAGGTGAAGCTGTCATTCTTCGCGGTGAGCTGACCAAAGCTGCTCAGGTGGAGTGGAAGAAAGGGCAAAAGGTGCTCAAAGCCAGTGAGAAATACAAAATGAGACAAGAAGGTGCCATAGCAGAGCTGGTGATCCACAATCTAGATTTGAAGGATACTGATGATTATACCTGTGTGTGTGGAGACCAGCAGACCACAGCTACCTTAACAATAAATGGTAAAAATAAACTGTCAGCTAATATACTATCAGCGATTATGCTGTTTTATTCTGCTGCCTCCTTAGAAACAAATTTGGAAATGAATCCTTGCTCTGTGTACACATTTCCTTAATCTGTTGTACTTCTGTCCACCTCATTCATTGCAACTCCTTTTGTTTGGAATAACTTTCCTAGGCTCTGAAGACATGGAGGTTGTTTATACAAAAAATCCTATCCTATCCCATCTTGCTTTATGTGACACATCCTAATGCTCCCTGTCCTTCCCTAAAGCATGGGTTTTTCCTTTCTTCTGACTCCTCCTTTTCTGGGCAGTATTCTTTCCCTGTCCTCCTTTCGTAGTCAACACTCATGATGCACGAGGCAGATTTGGGTGAAATTTGCATCATAAAAATTAGTTTAGCACTAGGGTTTTGTTCCTGTAGCCATTGTTTGTGTCTCATATGGATGTTTTTATTTTGGGATATGATTTCTGAGGAGATAAGTGAGAAGCCAACATTCTCTGGTCATGTTTTTGAGGCTTTCCCGTAGACCTCAATTTAAAGTCAGAAGTGTGTGATTTATGTTTTGCCATCTAGTTGCTTTCATTATTTTAGCTTGTAAGTTGTCTGAGAACTTATCGGTGGACCAGCCTCCAAGAGATCATGTCCATATAGATAGAATAGTAATCTATCTAGCAGCGTAAATTGTCAATTCCATTAATGTAGGCACTACATCTTATTTGTAATGCTGAGATACTAGCCCCTGCGGTTAATCGGGGACAATAGTCATGAATATGTTATCAGACATTGTTTAGGGGAGATTGTTTTCTTTAGAGGGTGGGTGAGACGTATCAAGGCAGATATCTGAAGCAGATAAATGAGGAATGCGTAAAGAGAAAAGTCATATCCTGGGGAAGGAGGACAAGTTAGGGTTAAAAGTTCTGTGGAGTTTGGATTACTTCTCCGCTCATGGTGAGCCCGTTGGCCCTGAATGCATTTTTAAAAGAAGAACTAAAGAATGAAGAGAAAACCAAAGCAAGGAACCATGCCTCACAGTCAGCTGACCAAGGCAGCTCTAGTGGAGTGGAAAAAGGGGGCAGAAGGAATTGAAAGCAAGTGAGAAATACAAAATGAGACAGAAGGAGGCCATTAAGACAGCTAATGATCTCCAATCTAGGTGGAGGATACAAAGATTATGGTCTTAATGCTCCCCTTGCTGACATGAAAGATAGGTCCATCAATGGCTATTAGCCAAGATGGTCAGGGATGCAACCCCATATTCTGGATGTACCTAGCCTCTGATTGCCGGAAGCTGGGAGTGGATGACTGAGGATGGATCACTCAATGATCGCCTTTTCTGTTCATTCCCTCTTAAGCATCTGCATTGGCCACTTGTTGGAAGACAGGATACTGGCCTGACCCAGTATGACCGTTCTTATGTTATGTAAGTCAGGAGTAAAACTACTGAGGTCAGTAACGTTTCACAAATGTAAAACCAAACAAAACAATACAAGAATTCAGACATACATTTCAATTGGGATATAATATCACTTTTCACTTCTCTTCTGTTTCTCCGTTTCTCTCAAGCCCTATCCTCCTTCACTCTTTTCTGCTTTCCCCTCCACCTCCTTTTTTTCAACTACAGCAGCTAATTGCATCAGTTTGTAACACACTGTATATATTGCATCCTTCAGCTCTGCCTCCCTCTTTCAAAGAAGAAATGTGCAATGAGGAAGCCACAGAAGGTGGAACAGTCACTCTGCACTGTGAGCTGACCAAGGTTGCTGCCCCAGTGGAGTGGAAGAAGGGGCACAGAGTGCTCAAACCGAGTGACAAGTACACAATGAGACAGGAAGGTTGCATTGTGGAGCTGGTGGTCCATGGTTTAGACCTGAAGGATGCTGGAGTTTACACCTGTGTGTGTGGAGACCAGAAGACCACAGCCGCCTTAACAGTGCATGGTAAAATAAATAGCTATGAGACACCACATGTATGCATTTTTATTTACTGTCTTATTATGACAGCAGTATTATTCCATTGCAAGCTCTTCCTTAGCTGGATTTTATTAGCTTGTTGTGTTCTTTTCCCATGGTTTTAGTTTGTCTTTTTACATGCCCTTACAATTTGCTTGCCTTACTCTTCCTATGGTTTATAATGGGGAAAAGAATTGTCTATATGCAAATGCTCTTAGCTACCTTTTCTCCTTCCATTTTACTTTATATCCTTCTTAAGGTCCTTGTCCAATTCCCACTGAAGCCAATGGGCGGCTTTCCATTGCATTCTATGGACATTGGACCAGGCCTTCATACTGTAGGATTCAGCTTTCTCCCCAACACACCAGCCATCTGCCAGTGTGAACTTTCATGCATTCTCCATTCATTTTGTATTCTTCAGCCCTGCCTCCACTGTTCAAAGAAGAACTGAAGAGCTTGGAAGCTACAGAAAACGGAGCAGCCACTCTGCGCTGTGAGCTGACCAAGGCTGCTCCAGTGGAGTGGAAGAAAGGGCACAAAGTGCTCAAAGCCAGTGAGAAATACAAAATGAGACAAGAAGGTGCCATTGCAGAGCTGGCTATCTGCACTCTGGAGGTGAAGGACACCGGAGATTATACCTGCGTGTGTGGAGACCAGCAGACCACAGCTACCTTAACAGTAAATGGTAAAAATAAACTGTCAGCTAATATACTATCAGTGATTATTCTGTTTTATTCTGCTGCCTCCTTTGCGACAAAATTGGAAATAAATCCTTGCTCTGTGTTCACATTTCCTTAATCTGTTTCACTGCTCTCCACCTCATTTACTGCAACTCCTTTTGTTTGGAATAACATTCCTTGGCTCTGAAGACATGGAGGTTGTTTATACAAAAAGATCCTATCCTATCCTGTCTCATTGTGCTTTATCCGACCACATCCTAATGCTCCCTGTCCTTACCTGAAACATGGATTTTATCCTTTCTTCTGACTTCTTTTCTGGGCCACGTTCTTTTCCTGTCCTCCTTCCTTAGTTAACAGTTGTTATGCATGGGGCGAGTTTGACTGAAATTTGCACTACGGTTTGTTTCTATAGACCTTGTTTGTGTCTCCTGTGGGTGTTTTTATTTTGGGGTAAGATTCCTGAGAAGATAAGTGAGAAGCCAACATTCTCTGGGCATGTTTTAGAGGCTTTCCCATGCACCTCGATTTAAAACCAGAAGTGTGTGATTTATGTTTTGCTGTCTAGTTTCTTTCATTATTTTAGCTTGTAAGTTGTCTGAAAACTTATCGGTGGACCAGCCTCCAAGAGATCATGTCCATATAGATAGAATAAGATTACATCTAGCAGTGTAAGTTGTCAATAGGCACTACATCTCATTTGTAATGTTCTTGTGAGAGGTGAGGTTATTCATCAGGGACAGTAAGTAAAAACATGGTCAAACAGAACCAGGAGTTGCTTTCTTTTAAGGATTGGTGTGTCAGTCATATCAAAGCAGATATTAGAACAAGATAAATGAGAAATGTCTGAATGGAAATAGCATGAGAAAGGAAGAGAAATTAGGGTTCAAACTCTGGAATTTTGATGCCCACTTTGTCCATGTTGCATCCCTCAGCCTTGCCAGCACTTTTTAAAGAAGAACTAAAGAATGTGGAAGCTAAAGAAGGTGGAAATGCCACCCTGCACTGTGAGCTGACCAAGGCTGTTCCAGTAGAGTGGAAGAAAGGGCACAAGGTACTCAAAGCAAGTGAGAAATACAAAATGAGACTGGAAGGTGCCATTGCAGAGCTGGTTGTCCATGATCTAGATGAGAAGGATACAGGAAATTATACTTGTGTGTGTGGAGAACATCAGACCACGGCTGCTTTAACAGTACACGGTAATAATATTTTGTCATGAACTATGTCTAATTTTTCTTATCACCTGCATCCTTGGTAGGAAAACTTGGCTCTGTGTCCACATTTCCTTTATCTGTCATGTCTGCTTCATTCACTGCAGCTCCATTTTTTTAGAATAACATTCCTTAGCTTTGATAAACTGGAGGCTACCTGTATAGAAAAATCCCATTCTGCATCCTCATGAACATCTAACACATCCAATTTCTGCCATTTCCTTTCCTAAAACACAACTCTGACAATTCTTTTGTCTTCCTTTTCTGGCATTTTCTTTCCCCGTCTGTCTACTATTTGTATAGGAAAATAAATACTACTCTGATCACAAGAATAATTTAGACAAAACATCTACTGTAAGAACTGTTTTGCACTAGGGTTCTGTTCCTGCAGCCATTGTCCATTCAGATGGCTTTGCTTTGAAGTCTGATTTTCTGAGGAGATAATGATGATTTCTTGATATGATCTTATTCTGTTTTCACACTAATATAAAAATCAGGGGTCACATGGTTGAAGTTGGTACCTCAGTTTCAAACTAGTTTAAGTGGGAAATACATCACATCCAAGGAGTTTGGATTTAGGCCCATAGTTTGGACATGGGATTCAAATTTGGAATTTTGGTCTGACCCAACCTTTACATTTTAATGTTTTGTTTCTTTTCCAATTTGAGACTGTGCCCATTACAACTTGAAAGTTGAGATACTAATCCATGTAGTTAATCGGAGACAATAGTCATGAAAATGTTATCAGACATTGTTTAGAGGGGATTGTTATCTTTAGAGGGTGGGTGAGATGTATCAAGACAGATATCTGAAGCAGATAAATGAGGAATGTGTAAACAGAAAAATCATATCCTGGGGAAGGAGGACAAGTTAGGGTTAAAAATTCTGTGGAGTTTGGATTACTCCTCTGCTCATGGTGAGCCCATCAGCCCTGAATGCATTTTTAAAAGAAGAACTAAAAAATGAAGAGAAAACCAAAGCAAGGAACTATGCCTCACTGTTAGCTAACCAAAGCAGCTCTAGTGGAGTAGAAGAAGGGGGCAGAAGGAACTAAAAGCAAGCGAGAAATACAAATGAAACAAAAGGGGGCCATTACAGAGCTAATTGTCTCGGATCCAGGTGGAGGATACCAAAGATTATGGTCTTAATGTTCCCCCTCCTGACATGAAAGATAGGTCCATCAATGGCTATTAGCCAAGATGGTCAGGGATGCAACCCCATATTCTGGATGTACCTAGCCTCTGATTGCAGAAGCTGGGAGTGGATGACTGGGGATGGATCACTCAATGATCGCTTTTTCTGTTCATTCCCTCTTAAGCACCTGCATTGGCCACTGTTGGAAGACAGTATGGCTGTTCTTATGTTATGTAAGTCAGGAGTAAATCTATTGAGGTCAGTGACATTTCACTAGTGTAAAATCAGACTAAACAGTACAAGAATTCAGACATACATTTCAATTGGGATATAATATCACTTTTTACTTCTCTGCTGTTTCTCCGTTCCTCTCAAGCCCCTATCCTCCTTCACTCTTTTCTGCTTTCCCTTCCACCTCCTGTTTTTTCAACTACAGCAGCTAATTGCCATCAGTTTGTAATGCAGTGTATATATTGCATCCTTCAGCTCTGCCTCCATCTTTCAAAGAAGAAATGTGCAATGAGGAAGCCACAGAAGGTGGAACAGTCACCCTGCACTGTGAGCTGACCAAGGTTGCTGCCCCAGTGGAGTGGAAGAAGGGTCACAATGTGATCAGACCGAATGACAAGTACACAATGAGACAGGAAGGTTGCATTGTGGAGCTGGTGGTCCATGGTTTGGATCTGAAGGATGCTGGAGATTACACCTGTGTGTGTGGAGACCAGAAGACCACAGCTGCCTTAACAGTGCATGGTAAAAAGGAAAAGAAAATAATTTCTGAAGTATTTTTAATACCAGCTTTGCTTATTGAAATAATGTCATGGGATGCAAAGCTTGCTATTAAGGCTTGTACTCATACAGTAATGCTCCAGCACGCAACAACTATAAGGCTGGGGGACTCTGTTTAAAATAGCTCTCAATAATACTGTGCTAGAGTCCTCATGCATTTTAAACTGAGAAGATGTCTTAAGAGAAGGGATTAAAAGTCTCCTAAAATGAAAGAAGGATATGACTCATCATCCTTTTTAATTCTGAAAGTGACATGTTTTTATCTCTGTACATTATCTGGGCATCCTATATAAGTGCCTCTTGCAATTTCCCTGCGTCCCCTTCTGCTCTTTTAGGAATACTGCTTCTTATTGTTGTTATGTGAGAGGTGTGGTTTTATGCAAATTTTTGGCTGAATCCTGCATCCTTTGCTAGCTACCTTGAGATTCATTAAGAAGACTAGTATGAGCAAAGCCTTTGACCAATATTCCTTTCTGGTGTGCTGTATTCTGTAATTCCAGCCTGGGATGTATGTTTGTGACTCAGGTTCTCCTCCATTTACTTTGAATTGACCCTTGGTGTACTATAGTAATTTTTATTATGGACAGTCTTTTGTGATGGATCATGTTTGCAATTTAGGAGATATTAAACAGATCTAGAGCAATTCATTGTACAAGTACATCACACAAACCAAAAAACGCAGCCCAGGTGAACTGAATTGTTCACTGAGCTTCACAAACTCTTTGGCAAAACTGGGCCAAGTTTCAGACAAGCTTGCATCAGTTTTGGGCCAGGAATACAATTAAATCCGCAAGGGGAGCACAAGAGCATAGCCCAAATGGCCTAACAGAGTGGCCATGCAGCAAAAGGGAATTGTAACACAGAATCCTGTGCAGGCCCCAAGATGGGCCATGTAACTCTAATTTTGTCCGTAAAACCCTCCTTTAGGAAAAAATATTGAAATGCTTACTCCTTATTGCAGATGTTCAGATCAACTCTTCAGCCCCAAGAACTTTTCCAAGACCATGGGGCGGACCCAGCACATTTGTTACTTTTGTATCAATAAAAGCCTCCTGCCCCCTGTAGGTCCTGGTTCATGTTAAGAATGAGCAAAATACATAGCAAGAGCTGCTTCCTGAAATAGATACCTTCTGGTTCTGAAAATATGCACATTACCTCTTTGGGATCTACTACTGTAGATTCCTGAGGTCTTGACACACCAAAATAGTTCATTGTAGAGGGTTACAGAGTTCAAACTCTTTCTACATTGTTTCTCCCCCAAGAAAGCCCAGTTGTGGTATGATGCACGTCATGTTTTTATTTCATAGCCCTACCAGCACTTTTTAAACATGAGCTTCGGGATGAGGAGGCAGAAGAAGGTGGCACAGTCGCACTGCAGTGTGAGCTTACCAAACCTAGTGCTCCTGTAGAGTGGAAGAAAGGAGCTACAACTCTCTACCCTGGACTGAAATATGAGATGAAGCGACAAGGGCCCATTGCTGAGCTGGTCATTCATGACTTAAAACTGGACGATACAGGAAAATATACCTGTGACTCTGGGGATCAACAGACAACAGCTGCAGTGACCATACATGGTAGGCAGAACATTGCAACACTGGCCACATAAATGTGCTATGAAATAAGGTCCTTCTAATTTTGCTTTAGTTGCCTTGCTGCTGGTCCTCTATTCCAGTGTATGTTCTGCTGTGCTCTTGGTGTATTCATAGATTCATAGATACCAAAGTCAGAAGGGACCATTGTGATCATCGAGTCCGACCTCCTGCACAACGCAGGCCACAGAATCTCACCCACCCACTCCTGCCTATTCCACTGAAATCTGAATGGATTGTTCCCACAGATCTGGCACATGTGCCAGTCTTGGGGGTGAGGGGGTTGCCTGGCATACCTGAAATGTTTAAGCAGCAGCAAAGCAGTTAAACAATCTGGTGATGTAAAGGTACTGGTGCACCCAAGCCGTCTGAGTGAGTGAATCGTTTCAGAGGAACAGCCGTGTTAGTTGGATTGGATGAAGTGAGCTGTAGCTCACGAAAGCTCATGCTCAAATAAATTGGTTAGTCTCTAAGGTGCCACAAGTACTCCTTTTCTTTTTGAGTGAGTGAAGTTGACAGCAAATGAGAATTTGGTGAGCTCTTCTATAATGGCATTATAGCTACTGCTGTTTGTGGGGGTGACCCCATATTTAAAATGTTTCTCACGCTGAATGCTCCCAAGTGGATTTTTGTAACCCAAGCTGAAGTCCGTGGAGTTTCACTCATAATTAATTTGGTCCAACTTCAGATGTCGTCTGAATCCATAGGGCAGGGAATGACCACTACTAGTGAAATGGGTAAAAGTGCCATGTTTATGGGTTTGTGAAAATTGAAAGGTTTTTTTTAATTTTATTTTTGCTTCAAATTACTTTATGCAAATGAAAGGCAGTTTATGTGGCAGAATTAGCTGACTTTTCATCATGAGCAGCTGTTTTTTTTTATGGCGACAGGAAAATTTATTTGCAAAAATTGTTGGCCTTTTCAGCTCAAGAAGATTTTGCCCAGAAGGGAAAAGCTCTATCTGGTGAAAGAAACTTTGCTGTCAATCAAATATTGACTATAGCTACCGTATAACTTAAGTGTTGATGAGAGAAAACCCAAAGATGAGTTATTTGTTGCTGAATTCCCTTTTCTTTTTCGAGCTGTTCTTTTTATTTTTTCATTAATAATAAGTGGTAGGACAGGCAGGTAGAGTTGTAGGAAACAGATATTTATTAAATGTTCTGAGTAGTCAGTGCTGCACACTGACGGTAGAGTTTGAATGCAATTAGTGTCGCTCGACTTGCCTGCCTGAGCCCCCGGTGTCATACTAAACTAGGTCCTTTCTGAAAGCTGAAACTTTCTCCAATTCCATTCGTATTACATTCATCTCCCATTGAACTAACCACTGTCACATTTTGAAACTTAACATTGCCTGTTATGCATTGGCTGAGAATTTATCTACTACTAGTATTATTTATTTATATTACTGTAGCCCTGGTCACAGACCAGGACCCCACTGTGCTTTGTGCTGTACAAACACAGAACAAAAAGATAGTCTCTGTCCCAAGTTTCAGAGTAGCAGCCGTGTTCGTCTGTATCCGCAAAAAGAAAAGGAGGACTTGTGGCACCTTACAGACTAACAAATTTATTTGAGCATAAGCTTTCATGAGCTACAGCTCACTTCATCGGATGCATTCGTTTACAATCTAAAGGAGAAGATTCTCTAAGCTAAACACAACAGGCTGTTGTAAATCTTAAAACCTGATAGGAGGGAAAGGGACCACATAGGAGGACAAATTCACTACCATTTCAGCCCTTGCTTTCAGGTACTGTGTTCTTCAAATGCAGCCTCTTCTGTTCTTGTAGAGATGCTTCCATAGAAAAGTCTGATCAGATTAGATCAGTGGCTCTCAGACTTGTTCATTTTGTGGACTACTTTGTGAGACAGATCTACTCATGAAGAAACTCTGCTCCTAATGCCACAGTCCTTCCCCCACCCCACCACCGTTTCTAGGTTCAGAAATGGTTCATGAAACGGACTGACAAGAAGTGGTCCACAGACCAGTGTTAGAGAAACCCTGGTTTAGCTTGTTCTTTATGGTCCCTTCATCTGGGGACTAACATGCACTTAAAATATTTACCTCTCAATTTTTACAGCCCTGCCCATTGTATTTAAGCAACCCCTTCAGAATCAGGAGGCTGAAGAAGGAGGTACAGCCACATTACATTGTGAGCTGTCAAAACCAAAAGTTCCAGTGGAATGGAGGAAAGGAGGCCTGGGGCTGCAGCCTAGCAATAAGTATGAAATGAAACAGAGGGAATACATTGTGGAGCTCTTAGTACATAATCTCCAAGTCGAAGATACAGGAGAATACAGCTGTGATATTGGGGAACAGGAAACAAAGGCTTCTTTATATGTGAAAGGTAGGTGATGAGAGTCCCTCGCTGACTTCGCTCCTGAAACAATTGATTTGCTTCAGCACACAAAAGTAACATGATTGAATTATATAATTTTGGGGTATAATGATTTTTTCCCTTCAATCTTATTGATTTTCTTTAAAAATAAAGTCGCCCGGCACCATTATCCTGAAGGGAACAGTGGTATGGAAGAGGAGATGGTACTTTATTTTAAGAGATCGTATTTGTTTGTAGGAGCTGGGACAGGGTCGGGCCAGACAGCTACAGGAGTGTGCTCCTATTGGATTCTGGGAAGGTGTAGGATCCTCCTGCAGTACAGGAGAGTGCTGGAAGGCAGATATATTAGCCCCAGGATAAGCAGGTCCCTTTTCCCTTGGTAGCTGAACAGGGGTTACTCTAAGTTAATTAGGACATCTGGGGCCAATCAAGGGCCTGCCAGAACCTGTTAAAAGCCTTCCCTCCAGCCAGATAGGGCATGCAATAGGAGCTGAGTGGGGAGGGCAAGCTACTGGAGCGCTGGGCAGTGCAGAGGCTGACAAGCATTAGGAGAGAAGCCACGCAGGTACAGAGGTGAAGGGTGGGAGAATCCCTGCCTAACAGAGTGGATGGCCCTTCTGGGCTCCGGAGGTCTGAGGGAAGAGACCCTGCCAGAGCGGAGAGATTGAACCGAGTGTCTGGTCTGTTGCCACCACGACCAGAGATGCTACCAGAGACTGAGGGGCTCTCCTTCCTTCCCCCCCGCCCCATCAGGGAGGGACCCTGCTCTGACAGGGTGTGGACAGTAAACCCAGGGGCATGGGGAAAATTCTGAGGGAAAAGAGGAATACCCCAGCCCGCCGCTAAATGGAAGCGTGGGACCCACAGAGGCAGAGAGGAAGCTCTGTCACAGAGCACTTGAGTGTTGCTTGTAACATGAGTAACTTTCCCATACATTTGGGAAGAGTTTGAGAGGGAAGCTCCGCAATGATTCAACTTAATGTCACTGGACATTTGTCTTGATGCACCACTGATGTCCTCTCCAATATTAAACAAAAACAAAGTTCTCCATCTAGTAACTGGAATGAGACCAATGTGGGACTTTCCCAGGGTCTGGCCCTAGGAAGATTCAGACATATCTCTGGGATCGGTTCAAAGTTAATTTAGCTCAAAGAACTCAACCAAGGGAAGACGTAAGGTCAAAGAGTACTTGAAGGAAACTTCAGAATTGCAGACAGCCTCTTTTGAAGATAATGGAATCAGTTACCATTGTCATGTACAAGTTGGCAGTATACGTTCTATGATAGTGACTTTGGGGGGTATTTTTAAAAATCAGGCGCTACCTTTCCCACAACGTCAGTGTCTGGTTATGTTAACAGGTACTTGATTTGGGGTTAAATAAAAGCCCCTGTTTTTTTTTTCATTTCCTTTTAGCCCTCCCAGTTCTTTTCAAAAAAGAGCTCAAGGACAAGGAAGTGGAAGAAGGAGCTACAGTAAAACTCCAGTGTGAGCTGACAAAGGCCGCGGCTTCTGTGCAATGGAGGAAAGGCACCATGGACCTCTTTCCATGTGCCAAATATGAAATGAAATTAGATGGTCTCATAGCTGAACTTGTGATCCATAACACAGAACCAGAGGACACGTCGGATTACACCTGTGATACTGGAGATCAACGGAGCACAGCCAACCTCAGAGTGAATGGTTAGCATCACCCTAAATGGGGCACAATTTAAAAACATGATCAGTGACATGTTAGAGAAGTTACTCTGAATTTCTTCGTGAATACAACAAATTAGTAATAAGTTGAATGAGAGAAAAGCAGATGCAGAACCACGAATCAGAATGCACAAAAGTGGATTGTGGAGGGACATTTTTAGAATGCCTGTTAGGATGCATAATTCACTGCATATAAATGACCTCCATGTGTCCCTTAACAGTTGCAAGAAAATTCACACTAGATGAAGATTCCATGATTTTAACAAATGTTAATTTTTCGGATCTGGTAGTTTGGGTTATTTTCTAGTCCAGTGCAGTAATAGAATCATCATGCATAAGCAAGTTATAGAAGCACTTTGATTACCTACTGATTTTCGTCTTTAATAAACTGCAGTGAAAAGCATGAGCATTTAAACAAAACAAAAATAAAGTGGGTGGCTAGTCACATAATTAACTACCCTCCCAACAGTTCAGTGGCTGTTGTCCAAGTAGTTGGATGGAATTTGTTCTCGTACAATAGTACTACATCTTCTGCGAGGGATTATTGTTGCAAGCCTAAGGATTTTGGAAAGACAGTGATGCGACAGAATGTGTGTTTAAGGCCTGAGTCTCCTCTTTCTCAAGTTGGTGTAAATCAGGAATAACTCCATTGAAGTCAATGGAGTTACACTGGTGTTAGTAAGAAGAGTATACTCTGTATTTAGAATGAATGCTAATAGTGCATCCTAACTCCTAATGCTATCTTCTACATCACAAGAAGGCTCATAATAGAGCTCCTTCTGATAAAGAAACGCTGAACTTTGTGTGCAATAAAACCTTGAGGGAAATTGCACTGAAATTGCCTTTCTTTATATACTGGGATCACAAGTGGTTTATTTACCTCTGACATTATTAAATGCATATTTGTTCTGCAGCATGAGGCCACAGGCAGCCAGCCTCCTTGTGTTGGATTGTAGCTGGGTTCATCTTTCTACATATAAGCACATAGCTAATGGATTGTCTATTGACTGTTCTTGACTCCACAGCCATTAAACCTCTGTTCAAGCAACAGCTAAAGAATGAGGAAGTGGAAGAGGGAGGAATGGTCAAGCTACGCTGTGAGGTCACAATAACTAATGCTGTAGTAGAGTGGAGGAAAGATGGCAGGGTGCTTCAGTCAAGTTCCAAGTATGGAATCAGACAGGATGGGACCATTCATGAGTTATGTATTCAACACCTGGAGCCTAAAGACACCGGCGAGTATTCCTGCACTGCTGGGGATGAGACAACCTCTGCAATGCTGACTGTGAAAGGTAAGAGCCTTTTACTGTGGGGTTGCTTTTCAGTACAAGATGGTGAGATTTCACAACATCATAATAGTTACTGCATATAATACAGTGTTTCATCTTCAAAAAATGACTATAAGAGTTGTCACAAGGTAATAGAGTATGGCAAGTGTGAAGTTACTGAAGTGTTACTACGAGAGACAGAGTTTTCTTGTGGGTTCATCCAAGACCTTGGAACCAACTCCCACAGTATCTGAAAACTACCTCCGACCTCACTACTTTCCATGCCAAGTTCAAGTCAAGCTTCTTTGACATTGCTTTCAATAATATAAACACATAATCTGGAGAAGAGAAGACTGAGAGGGGACATAACCGTTTTCAAATACATAAAAGGTTGTTATGAGGAGGAGGGAGAAAAATTGTTCTTCTTAATCTCAGAGGATAGGACAAGAAGCAACGGGCTTAAATTGCAGCAAGGGCGGTTTAGGTTGGACATAAGGAAAAACTTCCTAACTGTCAGTGTGGTTAAGCACTGAAAAAAATTGCCTAGGGACGTTGTGGAATCTCCATCATTGGGGATTTTTCAGAGCAGGTTTGACAAACACCAGTCAGGGATGGTCTAGATCAGTGGTTCTCAAAGCCGGTCCGCCACTTGTTCAGGGAAAGCCCCTGGCGGGCCGGGCCGGTTTGTTTACCAGCAGCATCCGCAGGTATGGCATGGGCCAAGGGATGTTCTGGCCGCCCTTCCTGCAGCCCCCATTGGCCTGGAGCAGCGAACCTTGGCCAGTGGGAGCCACCATCGGCCGAACCTGCGGACGCGGCAGGGAAACAAACCGGTCCGGCCCGCCGGGGGCTTTCCCTGAACAAGCGGTGGACCGGCTTTGAGAACCACTGGTCTAGATAATACTTAGTCCTGCCTTGAGTGCAGGGGACTGGACTAGATGACCTCTCGAGGTCCCTTCCAGTCCTATGATTTTATGATAGCACATGGTGCGCTATTTTAAAAGAGGCACATACAATTTTATCCTTGGAGAGAGGAAGAGAGAGAGAACCACATGTGAAAGAAGTTAGCCATGTCACTTAATGCACCTGGAAAGTACTCAGATACCAATGTGATGGACATGTTATAAGAACCCACATAAAACAGAACAGTTTTCTAGAATTATGATGAGCTGCTCTTGAGATTTTGGTCCATGTGCAGCCATTTATTCTTTCACTAATGGACACTGCAACATTTGTAGAGCCTGATGTGACCATAGTCAGTGGCTTGAAGAGCGTGGTGGTGTTTGAAGAGGAAGATGCTATGTTTCAGTGCTGGGTTTCACATGACAACGCAAGGGATGTGGAGTGGAAGCTACAGGATGTTGCACTGCAGAGCAATGAAATGAATGAGATCTCTGTTGAAAAAGGCAAGATTCACACACTTAGGCTGAGGAAAACCACCCAGCAGGATACGGGCACCATCACTTTCAGAGTGGGACCCTACGTGTCCACAGCAGAGCTCACAGTAAAAGGTAACAAGATCCATGGCCTGGGTGAGAAGCTGATGTGGGTAGAGTGCAGCTTCTCAAGGTGTCATCCATATACAGTAATGGCAGTACTGTTATCAAATGAAATTACCAAGGATGATTAGGATCAGGATTTTGATAGAACCTTCTTCTCTCCATTTCATAGTGCCATTCTCTCCCTGAATGCCCCTTCATAGCTGCAAAGAAATTTGCACTTGCAAAATCAAACCGTATTCCCTTCCTGTACTTATTAATCATGACATTGAGCCAGCCAAAATACTGATTAATGCTTCATTACAATATGATATTTTAAGAGATGTTGTCAAGTAGCTTAGGTCCAAAAGGCAGGCTTTTGCTTCAAAAATAGCCTTACAAAACCTTCATAGAAGTTAAAACACTTTTTAGTATTTAAACGTTCCATTGCATCATTTGCACGCCAGTTATTATGTTGACATAGCATTGTAAGGGGCTCAGAGCTGAATGGTTGACAATGTACTGCCAAAGGCAGAATCTTGAAAACTAGACTAGGGTAATTACAAGCTCCTGCAATTCCATCCTCCATATATTTATAATTTCAGTACCGCTTCCAGTCTTTAAAGAGATTCTCAAGAACGCAGAATTGGAGGAGGATGCTACAGCCACTCTGGAGTGCGAGGTCTCTCAGCCCAATGTATCAGTGGAATGGCGGAAGGGCTCCCAGGTGATTTCTCCAAGCTCCAAATATGAAATCAGGAAAGAGGGGACAATCCATACATTAAAGATTTATAATTTAAAGCCAGAAGATTCGGGCAAATACACTTGTGATAACAGAAATCAGCAAACTACAGCCATTTTAACTGTCAAAGGTAGGTTTTTGAATGATTTTTAAAGGACGTATTTGCTCTAGTTAACAAGCACAGTCCTACTTCTATCAGATGCGCTGGGACAGAGTTGGTCCTTTGAATTCGGGGGAGCTATTCTGATTTATACTGCTGAGGTTCTAGACCTCTGTTTTTAGTAGTTACGTTATTTCCATTGGATGTTGCATATGAAAGTGGTAATGGCCCCATAATGAATTCTCTCTGTGAACATCTACTAAAAATTATGGAAATTTGTTACTGTGTATGTACATCCGCTTTCATATCTTATATGGTTACTATCATAACTTTTAAAGTGAGGGACTAGTAGGTTCTGGCTACAGAGCTAGTTTTACTCTGAGTAAATGTTTGCAAACTACTCCAGTACATCTCTGTCAATGAACTTCATTCCTGACTTGAGAGGCCCCCTTCTAATCCAGCTCTGGGCCTCAACCCTGGTCACAGATTCATAGATTTTAAGGCCAGAAGGGACCATTTAGTCTGACTTCCTGCATAACACTGGCCATAGAATTTCACCGTCACACTCTATTGAGCCCAGTGATGATTCTGTCACCTCAGTCCTGACATTCAGAGTTCTCTATTGCATTGGCCTTAGTCAATATACACCAAAAAAAGGATTATGCAAGGTAAGATAATGGTGCTGATGCTGCTCTCTCTTACACCAGCGTAAATCAAGAACTCCACTGAAGTCAATAGAATTACACTGATGTAAAAAGCGATATGATCACTGTTAATAGCTTTAGCTAGACACTGGAAGTCAATGGGAGATGCTAGAGATCAGCACTAGTGAAAGTCAGACCCAAGGTGTCTAAAGTGGACACCCAAACATTGAGACACCCTAGATTAGTGAATTCTTTTGAAGTAACTGGCCTAAATGGCTTGTCTATGCTCACATAGTAAAACACTGTTAGACGAATATTAGAAACCAGATAATCTGATTCTCATCCACCTGTCTCCACCACTAAACTACAGCGCCACAAAGGCCAATCACCTAAACCCTTAATGTTTCCTCTTCTTAAAATAGAAATAATATTTCATTGGGAAAATTTCCATATCCAGATTGCAATATTATTATTAATATTTTGGGCCAAGAGTGAGTAACACATACCATTTTGACTCAAATGTGTGATATGGAATCATAGAAATGTAGGTTGGAAGGGAACTCAAGCGGTCATCCAGCCCAGCCCCCTGCACTAAGGCAGGACCAAATATACATAGACCATTCCTGACAAGAGTTGGTCTAACCTGTTCTTAAATATATCCAATGATGGAGATTTGACAACCGCCTTTGGAAGCATATTCCGTTACTTAACTGACTGTACAGTTAGGGTAGGTCTACACAGCAATTAAACGCCTTCAGCTGGCCCTTGTCAGCTGACTCGGGCTTGTGAGACTCAGACTGCAGGCCTATAAAATTGCTATATAGACATTCAAGCTAGGACTGGAGCCCAAGCTCTAGGACCCCAGCAATGGGGGAAGGTCCCAGAGTCCAGGCTCCAATGTATAGCTAAAGCTATTAACAGTGATCATATCATTTTTACATCTGTGTAACTCTATTGACTTCAGTGGAGTTCTTGATTTACATTGGCGTAAGAGAGAGCAGTATCACCTCCATTATCTTAGTGTCACCCACACATTTTATAACAATACTTGCCACTCCATTATCCATGTCATTAATGAAAATATTGAATAGTACCAGGACTGATCCCTTTGGGAGTCCACTAGATATGTCCTGTCAGTTTGACAGCAAACGGTTGATAGCTACTCTTTGAGTATGGACTTTCAACCACTTGTGCATCCACTTTATAGTACTTTCATCTGGACCACATTTCCTTAGTTTGCTTATGAGAATGCCTTGTGAGACTATATCAAAAGTCTTACTAAAATCAAGATATATCCTGTCTACTGCTTCCCCCATTCACATGGCCAATAACCCTCTCCAAGAAGGAAATTAGGTTGGTTTGGCTTGATTTGTTCATGACAAATCCGTGTTGGCTGTGACTTATTACTCTGTTGTTTTCTTCTAGGTGCTCACAAATTGATTAATAATTTGTTCCAGTATCTTTCCAGGTATCAAAGTTAGGCTGGCTTGTCTCTAGTTGACTGTGTATTCGTTGTTCCCTTTTTTTTAAAATAGGTACTATGTTTGCCCTTTCCAGTTCTCTGGGACCTCATGTATCCTCCATGAGTTTGGCCAGAGATTCCCAAACTGTGGGGCGTGCTCCACTAGGGAGCATGGAGGAATGTTTGGGGGAGGCGTGGTTGCGGCTTGGGCCAGCCCCCATGGGTGACGGGGAGGGAGCACTACCCAGCTCCTCTTCTGGCCCTGGCTGCTGGCCCCATCCCCGGGACTCCAGCTGCTGGCCAGCCTCTGGCCCCAACTCTTTAACCTGTTCTTTCCCTATTCTGACTTGTGTTCCTTCCCCATTATTGTTAATATTATTTGTGTTAAGTATCTGGTCACAATTAACTGTTTCAGTGGAGACTGAAGCAAAAAAGGCATTAAACACCTCATCCTTTTTGGTGTCATCCATTATTAGTTCTCTTTCCCCACTAAGTAATGGACCTACAACTTTTCATCTTCTCTGTCTTGCCTCTAAGGTATTTATAGGATCTCTTCTTACTACCTTTTATGTCCCTTGCTAGGTGTAATTCATTTCGTGCCTTAGTCTTCCTGATTTTGTCCTTACATACTTGTGCTATATTTTTGTATTCATCCTTTGCAATGTGTCCACGCTTCCACTTTTTGTAGGATTCTGTTATGATTTTCAAGTCATTATAGAACTTCTCATACAGCTGCATTGGCTTCTTGTTATTCTTCCTATTTTTCCTTCTTATCGGGATAGTTTGCTATTGCACCTGTATTATTTTACCTTTAGTATTAGATATGCTACAACAAAGAGTCAGTCACAAAGTTAAAGAGAAATGAAATGTTTCCAATTTCACATGGAAATTTTCCCCGTGAAACGTGTTCACTAGTTTTGCCCGACTATAATGTTGACTCCAGATTCCAACTGTTGCTTGTGATACCAAGCAAATCCAAATGCAGTTGTACTGTGAGGGGATGTACTGAATGGCATGATACTTGACCCTATTTTTTTCCTCTATGGAACCTAGCCATTCCAGCACTTTTTGAACAAAAACTCCAGAGCCAAGAAGCTGAGGAGGGCTCCCCTGTCACCCTACACGCTGAGCTCTCCAAACCCAATGCCCCAGTGAAATGGAGAAAGGGTTCAGTCCTGCTCCAAGCTAGTGCCAAGTACGAGATGAGACAGAAGGGATCTGCCGTGGAACTCCTAATTCATGACTTGCAGCTGAAAGACTCTGGAGACTACACTTGTGATTCTGGCGATGAGCAGACTACAGCATCCTTGTTGGTAAAAGGTGATAGAAACATTATTTCTCCTAATTGTAGCTATTTCTAGTTTAATTTAAATGTAGCAGTCATATTACTGGGATGGAAGACCAATCAATTATGAAGCATGTTAACCAAGGAATGCTGCTACCTGTCCAGTGATCATGTGGTCACCAAAAGCTTTGGTAGTGTGATAAGATTGATAGTGATTGAGCTAGACCAACCAGCCAGTCTTACGGATCTAGCTAGACATCAATCCAGGTGGCACTCGATCTGCAAGGAGGCTACATCCCTTTGGGATTTTCCTGAATTATGGAAAAGGATAAATGTGTCAGTGCTCCACATGATGCTAGGCTCAGGAACACTGGACCAGTGAGCCCAGTCCCCCTGAGCTGAACGCTGTTAAGTGTCATGCGTTTCTCATGACACTCACTGCAGCCCCCACTCCACACCACATGCTAGCCTGCCTTCCTGCAGTCCAGCTGGGTTCCCATGCGTCCAGTTGTGCTGCAGGCAGAGAGACGGCATTCTGGGGATGTTGTGTCACTTGTTCTGCAAGCAGCTTGTCTGTTACACAGCCCCACCAACTGTTCCCTGGTCCTCTGCTGGCTCCATGGAGCAGTGGCCAGGAGGAGGGAGCAGTGCAAAAGGTGAGAGCAGTCCACTCTCCTGTCCCCACCGGCAACCCCCGAACACAGCTGCCCCAAAACCTCACCCCAGCCATTACCCAGCTGCCTCTCAGAGGCAACCATCCCTCCTCAGATACACCCCAGGCACCTCCAGAAGCCACCCTCCCCTCTTACAGGCAGCCACCTTCCATCCCTATTAGCTCTCCATACACACTCAGAACCATATTTCCTGCCCATGCAAATCTCCCCTTTCACTGTGGAGCCACTAGCGCATAATAACAGGCTGAACCAAAACTCGGGAGCTGAGCCCCCAAACTTTGTGATGTTCCAAACCAAAACCCAAAAGCTCATCTCTAAATCATACAGATGTACCCATCTATGCTCTAAATCAATACAAATAATTCTAGTTCTCCTTTCTTTCTGGAGTTTGATTTTGAAAGCTGGGCAGATTAAAGGAAGATACCCATTTCCTCATTTGTGCATTCAAATAAAAAAAAAAACCCTAAATCCCTAGCTGAGGCATCTAAGTTCCACCTTGAGCACCCAAATGGAGAATTAGGTGTCAAACTTCAGTGCTCACGTTTTAAAATGGGCTCCTGCTACTGGGCACTGTGAGATGCTGCTAAGGTCATCCTTGATTTCAGCTGGAGTTGTTGCGATTCAGCACCTCTGAAAATCAAGCGCTCTACATTTGTTCCCCATGTGGGGTTTTAAAAATGTATTTTGCAACATGAGCTAAAGAAATATCTTACAGGGTGCCATGATTTCATGTAAACTCCACTTAGACTTACCAGTCTATGAAGGCTTCCAAGAGACTGCTGCTAATGGAGATGTAAAAGGAATTAGTACATTGTGTCTGTCGGTGTGTAATTTTGGTGGGGAAACGAGTCAAAATGTTCACAACTGTATATGAAAAATAGAAGACCAGCTGTAAAGCAGGGGCAAGTTCATATCAGAAAGTCAGGAAAAGACAGTCACTAATGAAGTGCAAATGTGTTTCCCTGTTTATCTTTGTTTAGCTTTGCCAGTACTTTTTATACGACCACTCCAGAGCCAGCAAGCAGAAGAGGGTGGCATCATCACCCTGAGCTGTGAGGTCTCTAAATCCAATGCCCCCGTGCAATGGAAGAAAGCAGGGAAAGTTCTGCAACCAAGTGACAAGTACGAGATGAAACAAACTGGCCCTGTCACTGAGCTGACAATCCATAACCTGAATGAGGCTGATGCTGGGGAATACACCTGTGATACAGGAGACCAACAAACCACAGCAGCTGTATATGTGAAAGGTAGGATTTGAACTCTCTTTTGATCAATACCGTTGGAAGTATCTGAACTGTGTTTAAAATCATGATCCTGGCACCATGACAAAACAGAGTTCTATAGCAGTGTCGAGGGAAATCCCACTATACCTGGTCCCGTGCCTGGTAGAATAAAGAGGAATTTGGTCAGCGATTTCAGTGGGTTCAGGGCCTTCAGGGATTATAGGGCTTCACATTAATATTACTTAGCTACAGTGTGTAATCTTTCTGTTAGAAATATTTGTATATTGTATTATAATATTGTTTTAAGTACCCAGAATCCTTTGGGCATGAGTTGCCTTACCAATAATAATAATGTCTAAAAATGGGGTAAGATGCTTGAAAATGGATTTAAAACAGTTCGCAAAAAGAAAAGGAGTACTTGTGGCACCTTAGAGACTAACCAATTTATTTGAGCATGAGCTTTCGTGAGCCACAGCTGTGGCTCACGAAAGCTCATGCTCAAATAAATTGGTTAGTCTCTAAGGTGCCACAAGTACTCCTTTTCTTTTTGCGAATACAGACTAACACGGCTGTTCCTCTGAAACCTGTCATTAAAACAGTTGTGACTTTTTCTACCAAAGAACCAGCAGCGAGCATAGTGGAGGTGCTAAAGGACGTCACCTTATATGAAGGAGAAGACGCAGTGTTCAAGTGCAAGGTTTCTCGGGAGAAAGCTCGGGACGTGCAGTGGTGCCTGGGTGGCGTACCGCTCCAGCCCAATGAAATGAACGAGATAACAGTTCAAGGGAAGCTTCACACTTTGACCCTGAGGAGGGTGACCCTAGAAGACTCTGGGTCTGTCAGTATCAGAGTAGGGCAAAATACCACAGAGGCACAGCTAACAATCCAAGGTAAGTAAACAACCCCTTTGAGATAACAATTGCTTCAGTTCTATAGGAGGTTTGTTTGTTTTAAATTCTCTGTACAGTCACCATCATAACCAAGCACTTTTCTAGACACCTCCCACTTACGATGGCATTGGATACTACTTGCTTGTTCTTTTACAAGCTGTAAAAAGCCTTTCATGTGATGGTACAAAATAAAAAATAATCTTAAGGGTTGGTCAGCACCATGTGCCACCGGGTTTCTTTTTCTTTTATCTCGTTTTACAGTGCCAATATAGGAGTCAGTTCTGATTTCAGTTATGCCAGTTTTACACTGATGTAAGTGCAGAATCAGATCCATTATTTTTTTGTGGTTTTTTTCCCTCCAAAACTTCTATTTCATAGAGTTTGATTCTGAAGTCACAACACATTAGTGTAAAATTATGCTAGGTCATCAGAATCAGGGCCATTGTGTAGTCTCCTCCCGTTCACTCTTCTCTCTCCTCTACACCCAAATCCATGCTTCATGAGACAAAACACTAGCAAATGTAGGGATCAATCTTTCATTGGAAGGGCGAGGGGCTTTTATCATACTCCGTGGGTTCACAATCTTTTTTTATAGCACGGACCACATCCAAACCGATAGATTGTCTTGTGGAAACCTTCCCTCCAGTTCACCATAGTATAACATTACTGCGGCAACAAGAGTAAGTGCCTACATGGAAAATCAATACTAGGAAAGTTATTTAATTTAAGTGGTTAGCTTCTTTTCTTGCATCCAGCAGGTGGGAACAAGTAGGAGAGTTAGAATCATAGATGTGTAGATTTTAAGGCCAGAAGGGATCATTAGATCATCTGGTCTGACCTCCTTTATAACACAAGCCAGAGAATTCCACCCAGTTGCTCCTATATTGATTCTCATAACTTGTGTGGGACTAAAGCATATCTTCCAAAAAGGTAAGTCTTGATTTGAAGACTTCAAGAGATGGAGAATCCACCACTTCTCTTGGCAATTTGTTTCAATGGTTAATCACGCTCACTGTTAAATTTGTGCCTTATTCCCAATTTGAATTTGTCTGGTTTTAGCTTCCAGCTATTCATTTGTGTTAAGTCTTTCTTGCCTAGATTAAAGAGCATTTTAGCACCAGGTATTTTCTTATAGTGAAGGTATTTATACACTCTAATCAAGTCAACTCTCAGTCTTCTTTTTGATAAGCTAAACAGATTGAGCTCTTACAATTATAGGATATAAGAGTTGGAAGGGACCTCAGGAGGTCATCTAGTCCAATCCCCTGCTCAAAGCAGGACCAACACCAACTTATCTTGAAGTCGTTAATTGAAAGGTGGTTTTTTCCAGCCCTTGAATCATTTTTGGGGTTCTTCTCTGTACCCTCTCCAATTTTTCAATATCATTTTTAAAACGTGGACACTGGAACTGGGACACAGTGTTCCAGTATTGAATGACCAATCCCTAAATCCTTTTTAGAGTCACCGCTTTCCAGGATACATTTCCCTGTTCTGTAGGTATGACCTTACATTTAGCTTTTCTAAAATGTGATCCTGTGTGTGAAAACGTGAAATCTGAGACTTAAATCTTGAGCTGCTGTGCATTTCTTATGATAACCTGTATTAAAGAGTTTCCTATCTACATGCCTGATTATACATGTGCAAAATGCTTTTATTCCCCTTTCTACAGTTGCTCCAGCCATATTTGTAAAGTTGCTCGAGAACCAGGAACTGCAAGAGAGTGACACTGCAAAACTACAGTGTGAGCTATCTAAGCCTAACATCCCAGTGGAATGGAAGAAAGCTTTGTCTGTGATCAAGTCCAGTACGAAGTTTGAAATCAAGAAGGAAGGGAACATACATACTCTGATCATCCATGATTTAAAACCTGAGGACTCAGGGGAGTATAGCTGTAATACAGTTGACAAGAAGACCACTGCCAGACTAGATATTAAAGGTGAGAAGGTGTCTCGAGAGTGCCATGCTCTGAAGCCATTCATAAAATGCTATATTTTTTATGTCTGGAGGTGTTTGTGCTCTGGGATCGCTCCTCTTGCCTTCAAGGATTTCATTTTTTGGGGGTGAAAAACAATCTTGTCTTTAATAATTGTTGTTAGAGCTGGTTAAGAATTTTCTGTCCAAATGATTTTTTGAGAGAGATGCGGTTTCTGCAAAATGGGAATTTTTCCATAGGAAAATTTGATGAAATTTTTGGGTCTTCTGTTGGGAAAATCTAAACTAAATATTTTGTTTCGGGTTGGGTCACCATTAAACCGCATCTGCCTCGCGTGCTGTGGTGGCTCATGAGAGTTGTAGTTTGGCTGCACTGTGTTCCCAATCTCTCCTATGGGCTGGGCTCCCTAACTGGACTACATCTCCCATGATCTCCCCTCTAATTTAGCCGAGTAGTGCAGGATGAGTCACAAGACTCCAGTGAAACATGGGAGCTGTAGTCAAGCCAGAGACCCGGCCAATAAGGAAGAATGAGGGCACAAAATTGACTGGCACCTAACACAGATGCAGTTCGATGCTGACATGACTTGAAACAAAACATATTGATTTGGGAATGTCAAAACATTTCATTTTGGTTGAAAATGTCAAAATGAACATTTTTATATTTCCAAATCAATTTTTTTCAGAATTTTTTGTTGTACACGAGTCCCTGTTTTGATTTTGCACTCCAATTCTGGATGAAAACAAATGTTGAAATATCAGAATTTGCCACAGGGCAGAAATTCTGATCTTTGCTCATCTCTAGTAATTATTCATCTGCAGTGGTAGAGATTATTGAATGTATAGGCAATCATCAATCTTACCTTGAAAATGGACTACATGTAGATTGCAGCATTACTCATTTAAAAATAAGCCTCTTATAAGTACTATAAATGAAATGATGGTTTGTTGGACAATTTTAGTCTCCGTTTTTTAAAAAAGTGGTTAAAACTATCTTGTGTTTCAGATAAATAGAGCTCCAGTCCAAAATGCCCCTGGGTCTTATTTTGGTTATCACCCCAAATGTGACTGACAAAACTTTGCAAACCACATTTAGCTAGTAGAGATTTGACCAATAGAGATGGGTCAAAACTGGAGCGACTAATTCAGACCTCACTACCCAAACTTTGGAGGTTCAGATAAATTGAACCTGGATTTGAATCAGACATTCTTCTGATTTTTTACAGAACTGAAGCCTGACCAATATTATGTAAAACCAAACCCCCCTTTCCCATTGGAATCCCTTCATCATTTTGAATTGTAAAGACACAGGTATTAAATGATCCCCCAGTACAAACTACTTTGCAAAACTTTGTTACTAACTAACAACAAATAGTTGCTCTACCAGAGAACTATCAACAATTCTGACATGACTATAGGCCAGGTTCTATCCTTGTTTGCATTCCTACACCCTGACTGGGAGTAAATGCAGGCAGAATTTGGCCTGTTGTCTTCAGGAATTCCATTATTGTTCAGGCTGTTATCAGTTCATTTTTTAACAAAACAAACCTCCTCTCTTGTTTTGCTTAATTCATGCTGTCAGCCCTACCTGTGCTTTTCAAACGTTGGCTCCAAAATGAGGAAGTCGAGGAAGGGTGTACGGCCGCGCTGCGCTGCGAGCTGACAAAACCGAGTGCTCCAGTTGAATGGAGGAAAGGAGATGCGGTGCTGCAGTCAAGTGACAAGTATGAGATCAGGCAAGAGGGGACTTTTGTTGAGCTGTTTATTTATGACGTGGAACTTCAGGATGCTGGGGAGTACACATGTGATTCAGGAGATCAACAAACCACTGCAGCACTGCTAGTAAAAGGTAGGAAAAGGTTTGATTTGTGGTAAATAGTCATAAAGGCCCTGGCTGTCCTCCAAAATTGGTAAAATAGAATTATCTGTAATGTTTATCCACCAGCAAATCTCCTTTTACTATAACAAGGCCATAATTCATAGCAGCCCTGCACTGAACAACCATGATCTACTGTTACTGTTTTGTCAGTGGCCAGTCCCTATGGGGCTTTGGCCATAGTGCAACTTGAAGCACTGTAGTGGGATGGCATTTACAGGTTTCCATCTCTCTCGGCCACAACTAGCCACTACCCAGAGAGAGGTGGCCCGGGGGGGGGGGGCTGTGATTAATGGACTGGTTCGGTAGGCCTCAGTAATTCATGCTTGAGCATTCTCACTGCAGTGCTATCAGTGTTCTTTAAAGAGGAGCTGCAGAACATCGAGGCCGAAGAAGGGGGAACAGCTGTCCTCCGGTGCGAGACCTCCAGACCTGGTGCCCTGGTGGAGTGGAGGAAAGGAGCGCTGGTACTTCAGCCCAGCGACAAGTATGAGATGCGTCAGAACGGCACCGAAGTGGAGTTAATTATTCATGACTTGGAGGTTGAGGACTGCGGACCCTACACCTGTAGCACTGGGTATGAGCTGACCACAGGCTCTGTGTACGTGCAAGGTAAGAATAAATCATTTCAAATGACCTCACATTTCTGGTTGAGTTCAAACAGGCGGTTCTTCAGTCAACAGGCCAGATTTAGCCCTGGTGTAAGTAGGTGCGACTCCACCAATTTCTGGCTTGATTTCAGTGATGTTGCACACTTTTATACCAAGCGTGAATATGGACCAATATTTATCATATAATGGAGTTCAAAAACAATGACCATACTGTCTGTAAAATGGTATAACAGCACCTGCTTAAATACCTATTTGCTTAGGGTGACTGCTATGAAGATATTGAATACCATGTTGTTAATTATTATTATGTTATTTTATAGCATTGTAAGTATACACAGTACTTAAATCACCGGGAAGATCCCTGGCTTAAATTGTTTACAATATCAGTGCAGATGACACCATACAGGACACCAAATCATGAATGGATCACGAAATTCGTAGACTGTCCTCATATTGAAATAGTATGTCCGAACAAACCCACTATGTTTGTCGGCAAATGCATTGTTTATCTGAATGAGTGTGACAAGTTTATTTATGCAGGACAGTTTGAATGTAGTTCACAGAATCTAAGAACTGTACTTTAGATCAGTTCTGCGGAAGGAACGTGTATATGTTTGTCCTTTGTTTTCCCTTGGTGTACCCGTTTTCTTGCTCTGTTATACAGAAGAGGAAGCAGAGGTAGTTTGTGGTTTAAAGAACATGGATGTCTTTGCGGGTGAGTCGGCCACCTTCACCTGCGAGCTCTCGCACCCGGGGGTGCAGAACATACAGTGGTGGCTTGATGGATCTCCCCTTCAGAACAGCTCTGTGAATGAAATTGCTGTGAGAGATGGAAAAATCCACACTTTGACCCTAAAGAACCTGGGGTCTGATGATTCGGGGATTGTGACTTTCAGAGCTGGGTCCCTCATATCTTCAGCTAAATTATTAATCAAAGGTATTTTTTTTTTAGAAAGATGCAGATGTCCATCCCCCAAATTACTCTCCATACTAGCACTCCTGCCTTCTGGTTACCTGTATGAAATTCCTCCAAAATACTGTTGTTAGTATTCTGCCAGTGGCATAATATTTTCATAACTAGTGGACTCTAGGATAGGGCCCAGGCTTGTAATATTTACTCATGCAAGTTGTCCATATTCATGCATGTAGACCTGTTGGTTTCAACAGACCTACTTCTGTGAATAAGGGTGACTCAACTGAGTAAGGGTTGTAGGATCAGGCCTGTGGCTTTTACCCGGCAGCACAGTCAGGATTTGTTCAAACTCTGGAAACAGATGGTGAGGATTTAATCTTACCATTGTGGTACCTGGGTGTTTGTCCTCCCCAGGACCATACGAGAATGATATTACCATAAATGCCACCCACTCACATTAATGAGTGGGAGAACTTGATGGGGCCAGCGATGAAAGGGGGACAGCCCCAGCAGCAAGGGAGGGAGACAGTCGCCAATAGACAATAGGTAGCTCCCCACCCCCCGTGAGGCTTTGGCACCCATTGGCCAGCCAGGAGAGAGGAGTGCTGATTGGCCAGCATTCCCCAGTGTCCATTATTTAACCTGGTGTGGGGGCCATGTGGAGCATCTTTCGGCTCCGTTCCAGCAGCCCACCCTACCCACTCAAACTAGGCATGGGAACATGGCTTGACAGATGCTGTGGGTCTAACCGATGGCCTATTTACGGGGTCAGGAAGGAATTTTTCTCCCATAGGCCAACTAGTGTAGGACCAGGGAGTTTTTTGCCTTCCTTGCAGCACGTTCAAGGCACAGTGGATTAAGTAGGAACCTTTAGTACCCAGCTGAGGTACTGGAGTGGTGGTGTTTATTCATCGCAACTTGCGATTGGTTTCCAGTGTGGTAAAAAGGATAAAATGAACAGTTCCCAGAGGTAAAAGACCTGGATTTTGGTGATGAGCCTTGGGCTTGTGCTAGGGAGAGACCTCACTGCCCTTGAACGCTGAGGTCCCCACCCTGCTTTACCCTGTCGAGGAGGGCAGGGTGCTAGAACTCAATGAGCTGAGTCCTGGGGGGCAGGCTGAGGAGAACATACCACACATTATGGGTCATATGGTAGGAAGCCCTGGAACCCCGGCACTGGAACCAATTAAACACATGATATAGGAGAGCGTGGGGGATGGGTGGATAGCGCCCCTCCCCATCTTAAAGTTTAATTAAAGTTGCAGCCTGCGGCTTAATTCCATGCATGTGTCTGTCCTCGTTTTGCCACTGTGTCCACTTCAATACCATATAACCATCACCCTGCTACTGCTCCACAAGACACGCGAGCGCAGATATTGGGCCTGATTCATCAGTGTGTGGCTGGAGTGTGGACATGGCATAACTCCATCAACATCGATGCCAGCGAGCTCTTGTGCATGGGAACGCAGAACGAGTCGGGGTGCCTGGATGGATCGCAGTGGAATAACACAGGCCTAAAATTGCAGTAACACAATGGTGACTTGGGCCCACTAGTTTGTTACCGATGTACTGCTGGTTAGTACTGTAGTGAGAACGTTCTGTGGCTGTTGACTTGATGCTGTTTTAGATCTGGTAAAGGTAGCCATGAACTGCAAATAAAGCTGAACTCCAGACTTTACAATAAAGAAATCCCCTGCACATACACCATCCTTTAGAGTTCTCGGGAAAAGCTGAGACTTTACTTTGCTTTTGCACGGAGAAAAAAATTATTTTTGTCTTTCTTGTATTATTGGAAGGGAGTCACATCCCAAGAGGCGTAGCTGGTTAGCTACTCTTTCCATTAAAATCCTCTGCCTTGTTGGATAGCTGTGTCCTTTAACTAAAACAGGACTAGTCAGAGATGTGTAATCGCAATCTGAAATGGCCATCAATTTTCTGGTTTCAGAGTAACAGCCGTGTTAGTCTGTATTCGCAAAAAGAAAAGGAGTACTTGTGGCACCTTAGAGACTAACCAATTTATTTGAGCATAAGCTTTCATGAGCTACAGCTCACTTCATCAATTTTCTGTTACACCATCAACTCCTCAGCCCTAAGCAGCAAGAATGGCCTCAGGAGCTGCCATCACATTTCTCACGAGGGGAGCTGTGCCATTAAAAGCCATAATAAAGCCGCTAGGGAACAGAACTGAGCTGAGCAGGAGGATTTCAGCAGACATCTTTGGGCTGCCTTTGCATGCCAAAGCATGCATATAATTTCCATTAACGTCCGTGAAATGCACACGTTGTTGAGAGGAGCATTTTCTCACAGGTCCAGTTTACCTGATTTTAGCGAGGCTGCAATGTGTTCTGCTTCTTAAGATAAAGGCTCCTTCTGGTCTAGACCTTCAATGACTACTAGTTCTTTAACCTAATTGATTATATAGCTTCGCACCTACCAAGTCCTTTGTAGCATAGCTGTGCTCCCAGGGAGAAGGGCTTTGCTGAGAGGCTGCTATTTCAATTGCCATTCAGATTTTTGGTCAAATATATACAATAAATATTATCGCCTGCAAATACTCTCATGGAGGGGGAATACAAAGTAGCATCTAGGAGGATGCCCTATGCCTGCTTTTGAAGCTTGCAAAATCTTCAGTTTTGTTTTCTTTACTTTATTGTATTATGCCTATAACCATAGCAGCTATCTTCAGCAGTGGTATTTTAAAAGAAAATAAAGACCATCAAAATTCAACAGCAGGGGCATGGATATCACCTTTCTCAGCGGGAGCAGTCAGCTACCAGGACCATTTCCAGGATTTCTTGGGTTCCTCAATTCAAGATTTCAATGAGCCATGGGAACTAATGGTAGCATTGAGTTATCTACAGTAGACCCTCAGAGTTACGAACACCTTGGGAATGGAGGTTGTCCATAACAATGAAATGTTTGTAACTCTGAATAAAACGATATGGTTGTTTTTTCAGGTTTACAACTGAACTTTGACTTCATACAGCTTTGAAACTTTACTATGCAGAAGAAAAATGCTGCTTTTGACCATCTTAATTTAAATGAAACAAGCACAGAAACAGTTTCCTTAGCTTGTCAAATCTTTTTTTAAAACGTTCTCTTTAATTTTTTAGTAGTTTACTTTTAACACAGTACTGTACTGTATTTGCCTTTTTATTTTATTTTATTTTTTTTGTCTCTGCTGCTGCCTGATTGCATACTTCCAGTTCCAAATGAGGTGTTGGTTGACCGGTCAGTTCGTAACTCTGGTGTTTGTAACTCTGAGGTTCTACTGTAGTTACACAATTGACTTTACAAATCGACTAGTTAGATGGCTACATGCAATCGTTTGTTGTATACACAGGCAGACACAAGATCAGTCAAAAACTGGGCACTTCTCTTCTGTGGAGTGCTCTCTCCATGATATTTTGGAAGGTCCAGAATAGGGTGGCCCAGCTATAGTGCCATGCTTGCCTTACTGCGTGTGGGTTTCTGACAGACTTTATGACCAGTGACAAGCCGGAATGCCTAATGTAATTATACATTTCATTTCAAGTAGCTTTCACAGGTTGTTCACGTAGAGAAAGGCTCCTATGAACTTCCAGACAGTCCTGAGTACCACTGCTGCTCTCCTTTGAGCCTCAGAAGTATCATAGTAAAGGCACCATCATATCACATCCTGTTGGAAGCTGTGGGTTTGTTGCTGGAAAACTCCTGGCCAGATTTAATCAGATGAACATATAATCACACTGGGGTTCATTTTTAGCCCAGACTTACCAGTTTAATTGGAGTCACCCTGCTAAACCCCAGCCAATCTTGCTGAATATGTTCATTTGACTTTTCTGTTTTTAAGTCACTCAGCCGTCTTCTCAAGGCAGCTCACCCATCCCACTTCGCTATCTCCACCCCTGACAGATTCTGAGAAGCCCTGACATACTTGAGAGTGAGCCACGTTCAGTGCTCCGTGGTGGAACGAGGGCTCCTGTGATATGTGTCATTGTGGGGAGGAAATGACGGAGAGGGAGAAAATCCCAGTGGATGCTCTCCAAAGAAAAATAGCCTTCAAGAATCTTCGTATAAGTCTTAGTTATTTAGACTAAACCAGGGGTTCTCAAACTATGGGGCAAATGTGTCAAGGGAGGTGTGAGCTGTGTGATTTTATTTAAGAGCTCTGTCAGCCCCGGGTGGCTGGGGCTGGTGCAGAAGGGCCGTGCACACCCGGGAGGCAGGAATAAAGGGGACAGCTGGAAGCCCCGAGCTGATAGCTGGAGCCACACCACCTAGGCTTGGGCTCTCCTTCCCCTCCACTCAATCCCTCACCTGGGGTGGCAGCAGCAGCGCAGAAGTAAGGGTGGCAATGGGACACTAAGTCTGCTGTGAAAAGTGATGTTGACAGATATCACCTTTCACGCGACCACCCGTACTTCTGCTGGTGCAGGTGCTGCTGCCCTCCGCTCTGCCTCCGCTCTGCCTTCTTGTGGGGTCGGGGGAAGGAGCACGCAAGCACCTACAGACACAGAGAAGCGGGGCCCAATCAAATAAGTTTGAGAACCACTGGTCTGAACTATCTGACAGTACAGCTATCCTAATATACCCTGTTTGCTTCCACGCGGCTTGATGCTGACACAAGCAAACGCTAAACCTGCTAGCCTGTAGCGCATCTGGGCAGCCTTATGCTTGTAATTTCATTTCATTTGCTTCCCATTCCACGCGGGCTCTGTGCTTGACAAAATCTAAGCTGCCCTTTCCATAAGGATCCACTAATGCATGTCCCTCCTGACATGTTGGTTGACAGATTCAACTATTGAGGTGGTCAGTCCCATGCAGGACATTACCGTTGATGAAGATGGCACAGCAGAGCTCATATGCCAGTACTCTAGGCCAGTGCAAGCCACATGGAAGAAAAATGATCAGGAAGTTTCTGCAGATGGGCAACGAGTCATTATCGAGCAGGACTGGAATGTAGCCAAGCTAAAAATTAAACCTGCCCTTCCAGAAGACAGTGGCATCTATTCTTGTGAAGCTGGAAGCACTAAAGTTGTGGCTATGCTTGATGTTCAAGGTGAGGTCTTCCAGCACAAAAGGAAGACTACTAAGGGGACCAAATAGCAACCAAGTGGCAAATCACAGCCGCATCTGACAATAAGTGGCAAATCATTACCTATTCATTGGGTGTTCATTCCAATATTAATAATAGTGAGAAACGTGTTTGGTGTTAACATGAGTTGAATGTGAAAATGCACAAAATTCAGTTGGCAACTAGTTCAATTTAATGCCCACTAACGGTTCCAAACGCGTATAGGCAATCATGCCTGCTCTCCAATTAACTGAATTTGGAGGTAGCACTAATCAAATGGGATATGTTCTGCTGAATTATTGTCATGCTGCAGATGTGGCGTTCTTGGACTTGAAAAATAATAGCTTTTATATAGTGTTTTTCACATACAAAGTGCTTTAAAAAATTAACTAAAGGATAAAATGGCATTGTATTTTTTTATTTTCAGTTAATCTAATCTACAGCTCACCTTCCTTGAGTTTTATATCTATTTAAAATAATAATTTCTAAAGCCTCATGTAATTTGAAATTAGATATTGTAAGTGTCCCTGAGAGACAAAAAGTGGAAAAACAATAGAAATATTATTTTACGTGTAGTTAAGTGTCTGTGATAGAAAAGATGAGGAGAGCAGCTTGATTCTTAGGTTTACAGAAAACAGTGTTTCAAGGTTTGTTGTATCCTGTTCTTATATTTTTTCCCACCAAAGACTAAATCTTGTTTCCAATGAAGTTAATGAGAGTTTTGCTGTTGATTTTAGTAGGATCAGGATCTGGCCCCATATGTAACCTTTCTTGGTCTAATTAACAGAGCCGTGTTTATATATGTCTTGGACTCAGTTGCTCGGAGTCTGCGTTCAAGAATCACTATTTTCTGTCTCTATCTTAGGTACTTGTATTCCCTCCATTACTGTGCTATATGCAAGTGCCACACAGTCTTTATTATAGTTATTTATTTTCAATTTAGGACAGAGTGGAAATGAATATATTTTAAAAAATAATTGTCCAAACATCACAGGGATAATTTTCAAAAAGGCCTAATAGATTTGGCCCAAGGCCCATTGGCCTTAAATGGGAGTTGTGATGCTGTAACCTGTAGGCATTTTTGAAAATCTTCCTCCACGGGTTTTTGAGATACATAAAGACCAATCTAGCGTTTGGTGTCCCATGTAAGGTGAAAGACACCTGATCTCAGTCTTAGAATTGATGGTGCGTAGGATACTTCCAAGAAAACTACCATACGTTTGCCAGTATTAACTAATTGAGGGGGTTGACCTGCAGCTGCTCCATGTAAGGAACTTTCCTTGACTTCAGTGGGAGCAACTACAGAATGTGACCCACAGCCTGCCATTTAAAGCCTTTAAAGAACCAAAATATCCAAGTGATCAAAGCAAACAACAGTAGAGCATAGCGGATATAATGTTTTAATAACTAGGTTTCTGCTATTTGCACATGGAATTCTTGTTTTCAATTACTGGGTACGCTATTATGGTTAGAAATATTTGGTTTCTGAGCTGTTGTTTGGTTTCTGAACTCTGAGATTGTGCTCAGTTAAAAAGCCATATTATTATTGATTATAATGCTCTGCACTTTGGTAGCTCCTTCCATCTTAGGGTCTAAAAGCACTTACCAAGTATTAATGAATGTAGTCTTAAAACGCCCTGGTGGGGGGGGAGGGCAGGGATCTGTAAGTATCAGCATTCTATATATGAGGAAAGTGGAGCGCAGAGAAATTAAATGACATAGATACATTCACACAGGAATGCAGTCATGCCGCTGACTCCTGTCCTTTGCCCTAGGCACAAGACCATTGTTCTCTTTAAACGTTCAAGTTGGAAAATTCTGGAACCTCAGAAAAACTGATTTGGCTTTGCTAGGGAATACGTTTTCTAGGTGACAAGCAATTGCACGTGGGTTAGAAGTTACAATGATTGATGTGGTTACTAAACAGGATTGATTGGCCCATTATTCTGGTGCTATATCAGAACGTTGATCAGGAGGACCATGGTGTATAACTCATGTGAGCATTGTGGGTTTCAGCTTCTAAACTGTGCTCACCCAACTCAGCATACATAAATGTGTACAGTAGTGTGTGCCTAATGTGTCTATGCAATTAACCTGGTTGTGCACACAAATTGGGGATATGTGCATCAAATTGGTTAGTTGTGTGCAACTATCAGTTGGTGCATGCAGTTGCAGTAGTTGTGTGCAAATGGGTCATGCACATCTGTGCACATTTTTGCACACACGATGGCCCCAGCCCCCGACACTCAGATTAGAAAATCAGGTCCTGGACGTATGTCAGAAGAATTTGGTAATAATTAGAAAGTTACTACTAAAAAAAGTGTTGCCGATGCAATAAATTGTAATTTTGCAAATGGCTTTTAATAGTACAATTTTAAAAATCTCTTGTTGGCTTAGATTACAAATATCATTGCATTGACCAACAGTAGTCTGCTGCTGGGATAAGGACATGTTTTGTATAAAAGGTGGTAAGATTTTAAGATGAGCTCCCTATCAGTTTCAAATCTTTCTAGCTATGATGTTAATTATACATATGGAGGAGGTTGGCAAGAGGATTCCTGTTGTACGCAAAAGGAAACTGGTTATACTCTATATTCTTGGACTGTGGAAGGCTTGTTGTATTCGCTTCCATTGAACAATTATTCAGTTCATACAAACAATGTGATTTCGTCCTTCATTTATAAAGATATAGGTCAGGTTATTGGATAAATGTTGAATAAAGCCAGAAGGAAACACCGGGTTAGAGTTATTTTACTACTTGTTAGACCACATCGCTGTTGTGGATGTATTTTAAACATCATGTTGTGTTTGGATGCCACTGAAATTTAAAAGGAGAAACCACAAGCTAACTTTCCCCATATGATCTCATATCAGTTTCCGGGTGATGGGAATTATATAGTGTGCTCTAAGGCTCGCTACTACTCAGAAGTGTGTAAGCAAAATAGCTAATGTTGTTGATCATTTTCCTTTTCCATTAGCCAAGAACAGTATTGTCAAGGGTTTGGAGAATGTGGAAGCCATGGAAGGTGGTGAAGCTCTGTTTGAGTGCTACCTTTCCAAACCAGAGTGCTACAATTACAACTGGCTGATTGATGATGAGCCTGCCAAAACCACAGAAAACATTGAGATGGTTTACTTTGAAAATGGACGCAGGCATCTTCTCCTGTTGAAGAACCTCACTCCCCAGGACAACTGCAGGGTGACTTTCCTGACTAGTGATGCTGTGACATCTGCATTCCTGACTGTGAAAGGTAACAATGACAGACCTGTGCTTGGAGTGCTATCTTTCCAGTTTGAAAGGCTGGACAACCCAGAAAAATATTTGTTGAGTGCCAGAGCTGGATAGTTCATGAGTAGCATAGGTCATGGGGCTCCATGCATTACTTCTGCTTCACACAGAGAAATCTTTTATTTTATACTTTACTAGTTATGTTTCATGTGACAAGCACTTATGTGTAGGAAGTGACATATGCCACGTCTCATATAATGCTTATAAATTGTGCAAATTAGCTAGAAACAAGCCACATTCATTCAGAGAGTAAGTATTCTAGTGGGTCAGAGATATAGATATTTCAAGGGTTCACAGATTACAATGTACATCATGATCATCATAATTATTACTGTTAATTACATTAGTTCCTAGAGGCCCCAGTCAGTTAGGCAATGCCCAGACATAGAATAAAAAGCAGCCACTGCCCCAAAGAGCTTTGAATCTATTAGCATACCAAGACAACAAAGGGTGTATTAAACAAACAAATGAGGATGACAACAAGGTAAACAGTGAAACCGTCCTGATTAGGTTAAGTAATAGAGTTGCCAATCCTCCATGTTTGGCCTGGAGTCTTCTGGAATCGGCACTGATCTGCCGGTGACTATTGGAAAGCAATCCGGGAGATTTTAATAGGATATTTTAAGAAAATGACATTGGCATGTTGGGGGAAAAAAAATCTCCTGGAATAGCTTCAGTCAGAGTTGGCAACCCTATTAAGTAGAAATAGCAGCAGGCCAAACAGCCTAGCCACTGCTGACTGATTTGCAGGCATCATGGCAAAGGTGAGTATACTTTGCATAACTTCTGTTGACTGTGGAACACAACCATTAACATTTCTTTCTGCTACTCAGCAGAGGTGAATCCTTCTCAAACATGCTTTATCCGTTTCTCTGTGGTCTGACTATCCATCACTTGTGTTCCCATATTTTAGGACTTGCTTTTACATTCGCTCATTATACATCTTGATTGATGTGGCCCAACCAGAATAACCTCTATTCTTGTATGCTTTCCAGTGTACTGTTTTCCTGAACTGCACCTTAACTTATCTTACGATATTATACTCATGAGCTTTGCAAAGCATTCTTCCTATGAGGGAATGCTTCCATTTTTCAATCGGACACAGAATCTCACAGCCATGCAACATAATGAAATTATGGTTGCAGGATGTTGGAGTTTTTAGCTTCGGTTTTCTGCTTGCCCAATCTTGTTGAATCAGTTACATGCATCTACTGCTAATTATTAAAACAAATTCAGCCCTGCTGTAAACAGATGCAACTCTATTGAAACCAATGTCATTGCCCATGATTGCACTAGGAATAAATGTGGCTCTTTTATGTATTTATTTCATGTACTACCTCTCCATCTATGCTAATTGGGGTGCCCAGGTATGTGAACTCCTTTGTGCTAGTTATCTGTCAAACAATCCATCCTCCCTTGAATTCCATTGTACAACTAGTCTGATCTTCATCTTCCCTGCATTCATCTGTAACCTCTGTGAATGCTGCTTGTCCCTCTTGTGTCTTGGAAACCAGTGCAGGACTATGTACAAACTCAATCAGCTGCTTGCCTTCCCTGATAATTCCTAATTTGTTCTTCCCTTTTGTCCTTACCTACCTACTTCAATTCAATGCCAGAGAGAAGATAATCTGTGGCAGATACATTCTTGTCTCTCTCTAGATTTTATGTTAGAAAACAGCCTTTATTTTAGTGAGCTGGCTTTAAAAGGAGCCACTGTCAAATGCCTATTATGATAATTATACAAAATACCACTTTCACGTGGGCTGTTTGAGGAAACTGATGAGGATAAGATGGCAAGACAAGGTTCCAGATACTGAGGTTCTCATATGGGCAGGCATTCCAAGCATCCATACTCCATTGATGAAATCACAGGTGAGATGGGCAGGCCATGTCACCAGAATGTCAGATGAGTGACTGCCAAAGAAGATCTTTTACGGCAAGCTAAAGGAGGGAAAGTGCTCTCAGGGAGGCCAGAGGAAATATTTCAAAAACTCCCTCAAGTTATCCTTGGAGGGTTTCAGCACAGACCCCGAGTTCTGGGAAGACCTTCTTCATAGTAGTTCTATTTGGCGAAATGTCACCCATACCAGAGCAACAGTCTGTGAGTGGAGGAGAACTGCTGAGGCAGAGCAGAAGTACCTGCAGCGTAAATTTCGTAACAGCAGCATATTAGCTGTTAATCAAGCAACCCATGATGGCATCTCTTGTTCAATGTGCCAGACAGTTCAAAGCTCAAATTGGCCTGATCAGCTACACTGTGTTCACAGAAACCAAACCAATCGGTGATGTCATAGTCATCTTCGAACTCAAAGGATGAACAATGGTAATTGCAAAAGGGTCTGAGATTTTCAGTAAAGATTGGCCCAGATCCTAAACGCCCAAGAATTTCAGAAGAGTTTGAACCCACATCTGACTTTTATGGCTGACGTGTTTCCTATAGTAAGCCAAAGCAAAAGCCACCCTTGACCTCTGAGGATCTGGTCAATCTCTACTTTACTGAGTTTGAACTTTTAATATAATTTAATTTAATTTTTGTTTTCTTTCCTTCTAACAATCTAAACTATGGCTATTTCATCATACTCTTTTTAATTTGTTACATTTTTTACAATTCTTTATCAGGTGTAGTATGGCTTCGTATCTTACAATCACAGCTGATAATATAACTGAGTTACATTGTAAAGATGCACTGTAAATTAACTCATGACACTTTGACATCTGGGTCTTCTCTCTTGCTATGGCTACTTAGTCATTAGTATAAATTCCATCTGTTGATAGTCTTTTAGCAAGACTTCTATGGCACCATTAGAAAATTCTTCCTGTAGGGAATGAGTACAGGCTGAAGAATTATTTGGGACTGCCTTGTCTACTGCTAGTCAACATTTGGAAAAAGTGGTTAAATTGTGACAATGCTATGTCAAATTTACATGTAATAAGAAACCTTTATTCATACATAATATATATTAAATAAAACCTGGCTTATGTATTTGAGCGATTGCATCGCCTCATGGCATTGACAAACATGCTGCTTCTTGGTTAAATGTAGCCACATAGGTTGCAAACATGTCTCTCCATCTTCATCTTTCGGTTGCCAGTTGTAAGTATACGATGTCTTTCAGCCTGCCTTATATTTCAGCTACTGGAAGCTCAATGCTATTTTTGATTCATCAGAGTTTTCAACTGGTCTTTCATCTTGTTTTTTTTCTCTTATCCATTTATGTGCTTTCATATTTTTTCCATATAAGCCATGCATACCTCCTCCCATGCTTCACAGTCCAGCTTGCTCTTCAAACCTTCTTGCTGTAGTGTTTGTGTAACAGCTCATGGGTTGGTGGTACACCAATGTCGAAAATCTAATTTTTAAACAGAGGTGGAACTGTGTCTTCTATCTTTCAAAGGTTCTCCACACAGTTTTGTTTCCCTCCAGTCTATCTTCTTGGTGAGGAATAGCATCTCTCAGTTGGGCTGGGTAGCTATTGTTAGGGGGCTTATTCCTTCACCCACTTACTTCCCTGGTCCTTCTCGCATGAACAGAGAGCAACAATACCCGAAGTCCAAAGGTGCAAACAATTTGATGTTTATTGGGGTGAACTTCCAGCAAGCATGATTCCAGTTTCCTTCCTTAGTATCCTCCTTCCCAGCTCTGACACCACAGAGCCTTACACCTGTGTCCCTGTTCCCATTCCTGCCCTTAGCCAAACATTATTCCAATTTCCCCAGCCCCATTCCCTGTTCCCATTTCCCCTCTTTAGCAAAACATGATTCCAATTTCCGCACCCCCATTCCCTGTTCCCATCCCCCCACCCACACACCCATCCCCTCCCACCCACGCCCACTCACTTCCTCATTGACTACAGATTATATAGTAAAACTTGAGTTCTGCTTAGCTATACCTTAACTAATCATTTTCCTGAAATTTAACTAACCAATCCTAACATATTGTAACATGATTATGTAACCAATTATATCCCACCACCTTAATTAGTTTACACCCAGCAAAATTCATTATACAGCAGACAGGAACAATCACAGAACCAGACAGAGATTATACAGACAAACAATAGCAAAGTGGGAGCTATAATGACAAAACAATACAGAAGTGAGGATTTCACATCCCAGCTATTGATAAGTGAGTTCTTGCCAGACAGGATGCTATCAAACTAAGTTTCCTTTTACATTTTCTAGGCACTTCCATTCCTCTGGAGGTGATAGGAATACAATCCTGTCCTGATAGTGCCTAACAGCCCAATAGCACCTTATTTCAATGTGACTAGTTTGGAATGTGAGGATGTGACTGTTCGCTTCCTAGCTTATGGCTGCCTCTGCTGCTTAGCCAAAGGCCTTAGCCTAAGAACAGGGCCTCAGACTGTCACAGTAAGAGAAGGCCCTTACACCAGCAGACAGTGATTTTGATTCTTTCTTTTATACCTCTGTAATTAGCCAAGTGATAAGAATACACCTAAATTCTTAAAGTACAGGCCTTTGCAGACAGGCCTGAATATCTATATCCTAACAGCTATACTCCCCAACAGCTCCTAATTCTTTTCTGTCTATGACAGGTTTCTTTTCTGTCTATGGTGATCTTAGCTTCTTTTCTATTGTGATTGAACCGGATGTTTTCTGTAAACTTAGCAGTGCATCTTCCATGCTTTCTACATTTCCATCATTTCCCCCCGTCCGCTTCTCCTGCAGACAGAAATTAATCAAGCTCTTTATACAGGATGTAGAGTTAAAATAATGTTTTGGGAACTTGGGGCTCAGATAAATCTTTTATCTTCGTGACATACACAAAATATCAGTTTTTTGTGAGCGGGAAATGGATTCACAGTCACAGCTCTCACAGTTGTACAAAGTACCTATCTCAATCTCAGTTGTCCAACCAAATAATTTCAACTAGATATAAAGAGGAGCATATTCATTTATCTACTCAACATTTCTTTATAATTCTTAGGAGCATTAGTGCCCCTGTCTGGCTACACTCTCACAATCTCCATTTCGTATCTGGGCATCGTGTGTCTCACAGTGATATGTGCCCAATGGCATGTTCCATGAAAAAAACTGAAGATCTGATCCAGAGCAAACCCTAATTATGTTAGTCACCCTTAGTTGTACGTTACCAGCTAAACCCAGAGTATGTGAATAATTTTGCACAAAAAGTGAAATCCAACATATCTTCAGGATGTCCAGTCATGTCACTTCCACCCAGTGTCCTTCACTGAATTTCATTGAGGGAAAATAGTACAGTAGAGTAAAAAGTAGGAAAGAGAGGAGCTGAATTCAAAGGACTCAAGGTCCGTCATCTTCTGCTCTTGACAGCACTCACAAACCACTCAATAGGGAAAACATGGAAATAGTATAGGTTGCAGGTGGAAAAGAAATTCAAGAGCAAAATGTGAAACCATTTGAAACCCCCTAATATCATTCTATGGATATTCTTCTCTGTTTGAAAAGAGTAAAGGGAAGACATTGTTTCAGTCGTTTTTATTTGCTGACAGAGACAAAAGACAATTGTGATGTGTTCTCCTTGAGTGGAAAACAGCGAGGGAACGAATCCCAAATTAAATTACAGAAAAGGGGGAAAGAGAGGGTGAGGATGAACCAGTGAAGAAAGTGTGGGTATGAAGGGAGATTACTAAATCTTAGAAGCTTTTTTAGTTTGTGCTTTACAGATGTTGTACCCACAACACCAGCAAGCATGTGGAGTGTTAAGAATTCACCATCATTTCATGAATTTTGCTGCTATTTTCATAAAATGTCAGGAAATAGTCATCTTTTTTCAGAGACAACTGCCATTTGCTTGTGCAAAACTCCCCAAGCTCCAAGTGAGAAAAGTGCTTTTGAATTTTTTGCCTAAACTGGGAAAAGGGCCCTTATATCCAGTAAAGACCCCTCTCCTGAAGCCTGTTGGCACAGATGGACTCTAGCACCAGGACGGAGCCCCAGTGACTTTAATGTGGTTCTGCACAAGTAAAGGGATCCCCCTACACATGAGCATACAGAATCAGGGCTAAAGCTGGACCAAAACAGGAGGTTACAGCACACAGGTCTGAAGGAGATCTCCTGATAGCTTTGGCAGTCTAGCTTCTAAGATCTCTGTCACCTTTAACCAGATTGCATAACCTAGACCTTAGAAAACTCATCAGGCTCTTCTGCCAGCCCATGTGGTCTAGCTGCCAAAAGATTCAGCAAGACGATTAAGGATAAATCTTGACACTTAAATCTTGGGGTTTGATTACATATTTTTACCTGCAGGATGGCGCCTGGAAATTTTGCAGCCTTTGGTTGACACTGAAGTTGCTGCTGGGGACCAAGCTACACTTAGCTGCGTTTTAAGTGAAGCAGTACCAGTCAGCGAAGTTGCCTGGTATATTAATGATGTGGATATCCAACCAGACGAGAACTGGGAAATACAGGCAGATGGAGACAGCTACAAACTGATCCTGAAGAAAGCCCAACCACATCATGCTGGAGAGGTGACTTTTGCTGCAAGGGATGCAATTGCATCAGCCACGTTATCTGTAATAGGTAGGTTTATCCGGTGTACATTTCTGCAAATTCTGTCCATTGGCACTTGTACCACGGAGGGCAGGACAAGAGGCAGTGGGTTCAAACTACAGCAGAGCAGATTTAATCTAAATCTCAGGAAAAAATTCCTAACTGTAAGGACAGCAGGACAATGAACAGACGCCTAGGGAGGTCGTGGAAGCTCCTTCACTGGAGGTTTTCGAAAGGAGGCTGGAGCCATCTGTCTTGGTTGATTTAGACACAACCAATCCTGCATCTTGGCAGGGGGTTAGACTAGATGACCCTTGTGATCCCTTTTAACCCTATGATTCTATGCTTCTCAGCCTACAGGATCGAGCTGTATCACTCTGATTTTCTTATATCTGTGCTGTTTTCTGTTTCTCCTTCCCACAGATGCGCACACCAGCTTCCCCAGGTTAGATAAATTGCTGCTGTGCTATTCTGCTCTGACTGTTTCATGAAATGAAAATTTAAACCAACTAGTGAAGAGATTTTTTTTTCAGTGTTTCCTTAGCTGAAATCCACCATTTTGTAACCTACAATGCTTCTGTGAAGTACTAACTAGAACTGTACATACTTGTGAAGAAACCAATTTTCTGAGCAAGCTCTCTCTATCTTTATTTAAAACAATACTCTGCAAACTTACCAGCCTTAGGGAAAATTGAATTACAGTCAGTGAGGAAAAATTACCAAGAAAATAAAAGCCCTTGAAAATGTGCTATTTTATTCTACAAAAACAACAAGGAGTCCGGTGGCACCTTAAAGACTAACAGATTTATTCTTCAGAAATGGGTTTTTTACCCACGAAAGCTTATGCCCTAAAAAATCTGTTAGTCTTTAAGGTGCCACCGGACTCCTCATTGTTTTTGTGGATACAGACTAACACGGCTACCCCTCTGATATTTGATTCTAGATTTTCATGGTCAATCTGATTGATGTATAGCAATACTTTACTTCACAGTGCACGGGTATCTTGCTGCTCATATTTAATAACAAATTAACTGTTGACCTTTTAGGTCCTGTTTGTCATTATGGGACAAATTTTCAGTAATGGCTTCTAAATTTTAGGAACCCCATTATTGGGGTGTTTAAGGAAACAGCATTTGTGCATGCAGAAAGGGTTATTAGACTTTGGGAGTTGTAGATGTAAACCCAAACAAGAAGCTGATAAATTGTGAATCCAAGACTTGGACAGTCAAATTGGAGGTTTTGGGTGCCCAAAATTAAAGACTAGGTTACAGTCTAATTTGGCCCTTAATTTCATAGTAAGAGACACTGCAATGCCACCTAGTGGAAAGTAATTTTCTTGGAAAATGCCCATGTAGTTTCAGACTAAAGAGAGGTTTCAGGGTAGCAGCCATGTTAGTCTGTATCCGCAAAAAGAAAAGGAGGACTTGTGGCACCTTAGAGACTAACCAATTTATTTGAGCATAAGCTTTCGTGAGCTACAGCTCACTTCATTGAAAGCTTATGCTCAGATAAATTGGTCAGACTCAAGGGGGGAGGGATAGCTCAGTGGTTTGAGCATTGGCCTGCTAAACCCAGGGTTGTGAGTTCAGTCCTTGAGGGGGCCATTTAGGGATCGGGGCAAAAATTGGGGATTGGTCCTGCTTTGAGCAGGGGGTTGGACTAGATGACCTCCCAAGGTCCCTTCCAACCCTGATATTCTATGATTCTAAGAGAGCTATTTCTGTCTTCTAAACCAGAGTGTATATTGCATGATAAATCCTTATGGATATGCTGAGAGTACTTATCAGTCCCCAAGTAATCTGCAGGGACACGGTTCCAATGTTTTCATGCGTTTATGCTCTATTTGCTGGTTTACGTGGAGAGCGACACCATAGTTACACAAGCATTGGAGCAATTTCCGTGAGATTTACGAGAGTTTTTGTGCAATCCTGTGATCACTCCATTTCCATTAGAGATGGACTGTAATTAAAGTTTGGGCCTGACCATCCCTGAACTCTGGGCACATTCTGACCTGATTTTTGGAGCTTTTGGCTCATCTGTACTTTGTCTTTGATTGGACAAGGTGGCATTAAAAATCACAAGAATTGGGAAGGTTTCTTGGTAAATGTTAAGAGATCTATTGTGGTTGCGGTGAGTTTATTGCTTGTCATTAGAGCTGGGTGAATAATTAATTTTTTTGGTTTGGCCTGGAAACCACAAAATCAGGGAAAATATTCAGTTTCGTTCTGAAGACTTTCGGAAATGGTCGGCAAATCAGAAAAGTTGGTTTCAGGCAGGCAAATATGTGTGTGTCCCCTTTATAGCCTTTAATCCAGTGGTTAGGGCACTTGTGAGGGACCGGGGTTTGAATCCCTGCTCTGAATCACACAAACAGAAGATTTGAAGCCATGTCTCCTACCTCCTAGGTGCTTTGATCAGCAAGGTATAGTCATCCTCACACTATTTCTCTGGCCCAATGACTATGTAAGTGTTTATATGAAGTGGAACAGCTTCAACAGGAGAGATTGAGAGCAGCCATACCCCAGAATAGTTTATAGCCAGGCTGCTTACCTGGGAGGAGGAGACCTGCTCCAGAGTGGGGATTCAGGCTTGGGTCTCCCACATCTTAGGCATGTGACCTAACCGCTGGGCTAAGGACAGATTTAGACACACAGTTTGCTGATGAGAAAAAAAAAACTTTTTCCCAAAGGTATTAATTAAGTCATGTTTGCCAGTAGTTTCGGATCAGGCAAAAATGCATTTTTGGTTGAATAAATTATTCACTCCAAAAATTCGACCCTGCTCTATATGTCACCCCCACCATAGATTACAGTACAGCACAGGTCTGCAGAGAGTTGTCAGTTGTGTGAAGATGTGTCTGATTTTCACGCAGCTCCGATTCATGGTGAGAGAGATCCTGAAAGTGTCACTTAGATTTCTCCTTATTGTTTATAATGAGGGCTTATTTGTAATCTCACTAAAAAGCGACAGCACTTATTTTATACATCATTGGAACTCTGTTGTGCCCTCAGCCCTCCCTGACCCCCCGGAAGATCCAGAGATTTTAAGTAAGAGCAGTTGCTCGGTAACTCTGTCCTGGTTCACACCGCTGAGCGATGATGGCTGTGCCATCATAGGCTACAATGTTGAGAGGAAAACGCCTGGTAGTGGCTGGCAGCAACGCAACAAGGAACTTATTCAAAACACAGAGTTTGTTGGGGACAGTTTCTCACCAGGCGAACCCTACAGATTCCGCATTTCCACTGTAAACAAAGTTGGTGCTGGTGAACCAGTGCATTTACCTCAAGCTGTTCAGCTAGGCGAGAACTAGAGAAGTCCCATTATGCACTAAGAGCTGTTATAGGCCTGTATTTCACATGGCATGTCCGCTTCACACATTCAAGGGACCTCACATGAGAGCTAAGGGTCCACACTAGAGCATATTTCGGTGCTTTGTAGCAAACACAAAATACTGAGTCTTGGAGAGAAGGTTGGTAAATTGTTCTGAGCAGAAGCAAAGTGAAACCTGCTGTGTTGTTTATCTGCTTGACATCTTTCTCTCCATACCGTAGCACTCAATCTCGTGGCTTGCAATGCATCTCTGAGTTTTGTCTGATCAACATAAGATTCTTTTCTCATGAAGACCAGATGGAATGACTGAGGCAGGGCATGCTGGAATGGCTATATTACTGTGACTGATGGCAACCGAGACTTTTAGAGTGCATGCAAGGGAGAGGCAGTGTTTCCTCCTTAAAATGCCTCTTTCTGTCTCTTTCTCTCTCTCTCTCTCTCTGATATTTGTATATCTCTTGTAATTTAACACCTTGACAATGTATCTGTGGGTACCAATTCACAATTGCTCCAGTGACTATTTGTGAAACCCCAGTGGTCATGGAGAGATAGGGAACCATCATTTCAGTTTCCTCTAAGTTGTTTTCTTGTAAAGCCTCTCTCTACATTCTATTGCAATGGTGCGTGTTTGCTTTGTATAATTTCTTCTTATCTTTTTTTGAAAACCCCTGGTAAGTTAAATTCCTAAGACGGGAAAAAGAACATTTAAAAAACATATTTGCCCATGTTTCTTTCTTCGGTCAAGTCTGGCTGAACTCAGGTGCACTTTAAATACTGGTGCCATGCAATTGTCATGTTATTAGAAGGTCATCTATCAAAATGATGAACATAACAAGAAATTTTCTCACTATTTAAGAGTTGCTGGCTCAGTCATTAGTAACAAGAGTGAAGGTTTCATCATGTTTTTCAAAACCTGAGATGGAGGCAGCTTTCAAAATCTTTTTTCTATGTTGGATCTTTTCTTCAAAAGCTTAAGGGAGCGCCACTTCAGCTGGCTCTACGCTTCTAATTCACACTTTGAGCATATAGGAATTGTGAGACTACTATGGGCTAGGTCTTGGTGGGGTGTATGAGACTGTGTGAGAGACTTGGCAAAAGTGGGTGATGACCAGGCTAAGATTTTGTCACGAATATTTTTAGTAAAAGTCACAGACAGGTCACGGGCAATAAAGAAAAATTCACGGAAGCCTGTGAGCTGTCCTTGACTTTTACTAAAAATATCTGTGCCAAAATGGGGAGCTCAGTTGCAGGGTCGCCACACAGCCTGCGGTGGCCCAGAACTCCCAGGGGTCCCCACAGCTCCTGGCCACCGTAGGCAGTGCGGGGACCCTGCGGCTCCCAACTGCCACAGGCTGAAGTCACAGAGATCTCTGGAAGTCACTGATTCTGTGACTTCCACAACCTCCATGACAAAATCGTAGCCTTAGTGATGACCTATAAGCACAAAAACGTAAGGGGGGAAAGCGCAATGGCTTCTGCATGTAGCTGTAAACTAATGTGATCTAATCTTCTTGGAGAGCTTTAGAAGTTGTAAACTCTAAATTGCAGCACTTTTTCCATTTACCTTCCAATGATTGGCTGCAGCAGTTGAACAAAAATTTTAAAACACCAAAATTCAAAGCTTGGATGCTTCACAGGCTCTAATTTCCACCCGTTTTGGGGTCCATACAGCAGACAGGTGCATTCATTGATTTTAATGCCCTAATTTTTATAATTGCAGAGCCTCCATTTACAGTCACTCGTCCCTTAGAAAGCAAGTCGGTCTTGGAAGGGGAGGTGGCTGTCCTGGAGTGTGAATTTTCAAGAGAGACCCAAGAGGCAATCTGGGTCAAAGGAAAAGAACAACTACAGCCTGGAGGGAGATATGAAATAAAGTCTGATGGCAAGAAGCAGATACTCATTATTCGTGCGTTTAAACCTGAGGATCAAGGATTGTACACCTGCATGATCTCTCCCGATGTCAGATCCTCTGCCCTTCTGTCTCTTGAAGGTACAGAAAATGTGTATCTAAGAGATTTTATTAGTTCAGATTAAGGACACTCAATAGCCTCTCCATTGTTAATATTGGGAATTCAGTTTGCATTATAAACTCAATATTTCTCCTCCTGCAAATCCACAAGCAAAGACGTATAAGCCTCAAAATTAGGACATCATGTCTATTGTCGAGATACAATTTGTCTATGGGTTTTGAAGTGATCAGACAAGAATTTCCTTATCAATGATACATTTAAAAATGGACACATTCACCAGAGTCCAAAACTTTGTTGCCACTTTATAGGGAAGAGTAAAACCAAAACACACACAAAAACAGAAGTGAGCATTTTAGTTCACTGGAGTAATATAGCCATATCCTAGTGCTCAAGACTGTTGATTAAACTCTAATTGTAAGTCATTAATATTTTAAATGGTGATGTCCAAGTGTCTCATTGGCTCCCACAGCCATAAAAAGGGTCACCAGATGACTACTGGAGACCTACTGGTAAGCTTTCATTTAAAGAAGGAAAATAAGTCTCTAGCTCTTTTCCATGCAGAGATAGAGCTCTCAGTGCAATCCAATGGATAAGAGAGGATTCTCAATGCAAGGAAGAGAATTGTTTCACAAAAACTAGCTTAATCAGATAAGCTGTGGGTAAATTAAAACACTATAAGAAAAATGGTGTTCACCACACTAGAAAATTTCTCAAATGCTTTTTTACCACATCCTCACTTGAGACCAAGGATGGTGGGAAAGAATTAAAATTGAGTTTACTGGATTCCTCAAGAGGGAGGGAAATCAAAGTCAAAGTAAGTGTATTTATTCCTTACACAAGAGGCAACCATACGTTTTCATTCTGAATTACTTTCCTGTTAGGAAAAATAGTTTGAGAGAGCAAACTTAAAGAGAGAGAGCACAGGGCATGGATCTCCTCTGGGACTGGCTGCTGCAACTCTGAGGCAGAGAGGCAGAGTTCTTACATTGCAATTTAGACTTTCCCCATTCAGTGCCAGGGCACCTCTTAAAAAATGCTACACTTTCCTAATGGCATTAGTAAAGCTGAAAACAGATATTGTAGGTAAAAATAGTATTTACAAAACCTTTTGGACTGAAAATATTTTTTCTGCGCCCTCAGACAAATGCATAAAGTAGAGCCAGGTGAAGAATGTATGACTTCCTCTCAAATTCTCCAATGAGAATCGGTGTGTTCTTACAATACATGTTTTCACTGATCATCTGCAGGTTGATCCAGGATGTAACATAAAACAAACATAAGGAAGTACTTTTTCCTCACAACACACACAGTCAACATGTGGAGCTCATTGCCAGGGGATGTTGTGAAGGCCAAAAATATAACTGGGTTCAAAAAAGGATTAGATAAGTTCATGGAGGATAGGTCCATCAATGGCTATTAGCCAGGTTGATCAGGCACACAGCCCCATGCTCTGGGTGTCCCTAAACCTCTGGCTGCCAGAAGCTGGGAATGGACAACAGGGGATGTATCATTGATAAATTGCCCTGTTCTGGTCATTCTCTCTAAAGCATCTGGCACTGGCTACTGGTGGAAGACAGGATACTGGGCTAGATGGACCATTGATCTGATCCTGTATGTCCATTCTGATGTTATTACCACCTCCTATGGTCTTCACTGCAGGTCCTGTGGGGCATTGTTTCCATGGAGTATGTTCAGCAGAAAGCTAGACAGCTTTCAGTTTCATAAAGTGACTGCATATAAGAAGCTGAGTCAGACATTGGGGGATGCATAAACAAACAAAGGCAGGATTTGGCCCATCACTTTTATGCATGGGGGAGGGGGAGGAATTTGTTCAAGGACTGGCCATATTTTCTTTCTAACGTGTGTGATTTGTGCTTTATGCAGTGGTTAATTTTAATTTCAGTGATATTTTACTGCCTGGATTTGGAGTAACATTTTCAGGTGATTTCTCTTGCCTTATTCACATGCTCCTTCTTACCGTCTTACTAACTGAATCCCAATTAGTTCCCACAGTGGCACTGCCAAAAGAGGCAGCCCAGGAAGCACGTGACGTGATTCAACTTGAAGAGATGGTGGATGGACATCTCCAGCCCAGCTTGCCACCCGAAGCTGCTCAGGAGGGGGACCTTCACCTCCTGTGGGAGGCTATTGCCAAGAAGCGAAGAATGAGCAGGGAGCCAACCCTGGATTCCATCAGTGAAGTGCCAGAAGAGGATGATAAACTTCATAAGCTGAAGAAGGAAGAAGTGGAGTCTCATTATTATTCAGAAGAATACTCCACCTGTGATGAGCTGACTAAAACTGGAGAAGCAGACTTCTCTTTCACAAGCTCAGACGATGAGTCTAGGGCTGGGACGCCTTCACTAGTTAACTACCTTAAAAAGGCCGGGAAATCTACTGTTAGCATTGGTAGCAAGGTTCAGACGGTCTCCACCAGTAAATTCTGGAAACACTGGGAGCAGTCGGGTGTCGAGACTAGTGAATCTGCACTCCCTGCCAAGCCTGCTGAACCAGAAATCATGGAAGATTTAGATGATCCTTCCATGAACAAAGCAGCTGTGAAAATTCAGGCTGCTTTCAAAGGCTACAAAGTGAGGAAGGAGATCAAACAGCAGGAATGTCCCGTGTTTGGTGGTACCCTCAAAGATTTTTGTGGTGAGCCAGGAAGCACTCTCCACCTTGAGTGTGTGGCTCTCAGCAAAACTGATATGAAGATCCGTTGGCTGAAAGATGATGAGGAACTTTCAGATGGGCGCCATTATCACATAGACAATTACAGTGATGGAACTTGCTCCTTGATTATCACTGGCCTGGACATGAAAGACACGGGAAAATATACCTGTGAGGCATCTAATAAGTTTGGCAAGGTTTCCCAGAGTGCTAAGGTGGTGGTTGGTACCCGGGCACCGGATGGTCTTCGTAAGCACAAGCAAGTGAAACGCCTCACTGATAGTGAAACAGAGAGCTCTTCTGGCAGCGAACTGGATGATGCATTCCGTAAAGCGGGAAGGAGGCTTCACAAGCTCTTCAAGTCCAAGATCTCAACGGAAATGTCTGATGTGGAGGAGGAACTCTTTGTCAGCGCGGATGAAGGGGAGGTGGAGGTGGTAGATCACCAGACGTATCGCGAGGATGATCAATACATCTACATCAAGTTTGAAATCTTGGCGGAAGCAAAAACAGCAGCCGGCCGGTTCAGAGAGATGTTTGCTGCACTGGGTATCCCAGTCGAGATTGACATCCTGGACCAAGGCCTTAAAAAAATAGAGCTTCGCATAGGGAAAGCAGCATCTCCTGCTCCAGGGCAGATTCAACCCTTGGTGAAAAGACCTCCACCACCTTTACTGACTTCCGACACAGGTTAGCAAGGCCTGCTAGGTTCTTATTTAATAATCATATTTAGAGCTCACTTGGAAATTATTTTACACCACAACAATTTTCTTTAAAGTTTGGGGGTTTGAAAACCTGAAAACAGAAATTTTTATCTTTTACTAAAATTTCCATTTCCAATCCTTTTTGCATTGTAAAAATGTTTTGAGGGAAAAAATTTTACTCACCCTAATAACAAAACACACAATCGCTTTCATACAATGCTTTGAAAGCATCAGTTAACTAAGCAGTTCTGAGAACAGCCCTTTGGGATAGGAAAGCATTCTCAGCCCCGTTTTACAGAGGGAGGGACTTGACCCAAGCCTTACTTTACCGTGGTGATGCTGCAGTGTCTGGAACAGCTCTTGGAGAATAAATTAGTCCTTTTTATAAGGCAAATTCTACTGAGTAGAGTTGGGAGAGGAAGGGGTGGAAAGCAGTTTTCCCATTCCTTGAAGATTTCAAGATATCAAAACATTTTCCAGTCCTGAACTGGGGCAAAAAGCCAAAATATTTGAAAATTTTTATGAACTGGAAATCAGGGGAAAAAATCCTTTTGGTTCAATCTAAATATTTTCTTTCAATGATTTTGGAATGTTTTGTTTTGATAATTTCAAAACATTTTGTTTCGATTTTGACCATTTTCAATTTTTTTTACTAGAATTAACTGACATTTTGAAACAAAACACCATTTAGAATTGAAAAACTGGAATTTGTCTTTTTGAAAATGTTGAAACTAAACCATTCAAAACAATTCAAACATTTTCCAAGTCATAAAACATGTCAAAACTGACCCTTTCGCACAAAAAGTTTTGGTTTTGAGGAAGTGGCATTTGCTGATGAAAAAACATTTCACTGGAAAATACCCAACCTAGGCTACTCCTTCACTGTTTATATTATGGAGGAAGGGCACTTCTCTATTATTTTAAAACGTGCCAATCAGCATCACTGCAAGTCCCTTCCTCTGACACACCGCACAGCAGCGTTCTTGAAGTGCATCTTTACCAATTAACACAGCTGGTTGTTTCCTTTTCTCTCTTCCAACTGTACCATATTCAGCTCCCATGTTCATAACTGAGCTTCAAAACCAAGAGGTGCAAGACGGCTACCCAGTCAGCTTTGACTGTGTTGTTATTGGCAAACCTTTACCCACGGTGCGCTGGTTCAAGGATGGGAAAGTTATTGAAGAAGATGACCATTATATGATCAACGAGGACCAGGAAGGGTGCCACCAACTGATCATCACCGCCGTGGTTCCTACTGACATGGGTGTCTACCGCTGCCTTGCTGAAAACAACATGGGAGTTTCTTCAAGCAAGGCAGAGCTGCGAGTGGACTGTGAGTCTTGAGGAATGATTGAAAAGACTGAATATTATGAAACAAAATGTTTTATAATATTAATGGGGCGTGTGAGTGGTATTTGAATAAGATGCATATTTGCACGTTTGTTATAATATTATGCATAATATTAGTAGGGGAGTGTGAATGGGTGTTGAATAAAGATGCATATTTATTCTGGCTGATCTGAATAAGTGAATCTCATTGGCAGGAAAATAATTTGTTAATTAAAATGTAGATGAAGTAGCCGTAAGCTTAATGATTTTGTGGGGTGTATTTTCTCCCATTATCATGACCCATGTTTGAGGGTGATGCAGCTTTTGGCAACGTTGTCACCAGTGTAACTGGATTAGTTAGTTGCTGAGCATAGCACATTCATTCCCCATGGTCGGAGAAATCTCACATGAGAAATGCACCATAGGGCCATACCCAGTGCATTGCGATCTGAGATTGAGTTCCCAGCTCCCTCTCTCTCCACGAAGGCTGTAAGCCTTACGGAGACAGCACACTCACTCCTGGGGAAAAACGTGTGTGGCTTCTCTCTTGCAATGCCCTCTGGCTGGCTCTTGCAGTAGCATTGGTGGGGCTCAAAGGGAGACACATCTAGCTGTCCTTTGTCTGGAGGGGGCATCAGGTCAAATGGGGGAGATGAATGAGTATTAAGAAGGGGAATCACGGAGGCTGCTGCTCCCAATAATGAAATTTCAGAACCTGCAAGGACCTTTAGCTGTAACTGTTACGAACAGCAGTGGTTACAAAGTGTGGATCATGGAGAATGTCCATTTTTCCTTTATCAGTGACCAGTACTGATTATGATACAGCAGCAGACGCGACAGAGACATCTTCATATTACAGTGCCAAAGGATATCTCTCAAGGTAAAATATGAATGACAGAGCCGCGGTGACTGGAAAACATGGCACAATGCTCATTTTTATTCATGAGTGTTTGGATTTAGATGGGTTCAGTGGGAATCAGACAACGACGATCATTACAGTGGTAAAGCAAAGGCTGTGTAATCTGTGAATGTAATTTCATGTCAGTGCTACCTGCTTATAGTGGGCTTGGTTACAGTGAAATATCAGCCCTCTTGTGTCTGCTTTGTGCTGCTCCCTCAGTGCAAAACAGCCAGCAGCCTGGCTGCTTCAGCCCCATGGGAATTCCTTCCTGGTGTAATGAACTCCTCAGTCTGGGATTGGGAGTGGCCAGGAAAAGAAAGTGAAGCTGAAACTGCTGCACTGCCTTCAGGAATGACCATTAGGGGTCATTGGTAGCTGGGTGCTCATGGCTTCTCTAAATTATACCAGGGACCGAGATGGCTCTGACTGTTCCTGAGATCCAATCCAGAATCACCTTTATACCTTAGAGTCCTCTTTGTCCCCAACCTCTCAGCAGTGCCGGGTGTATCACTGAGATTTTAGCCAATTGTTTTTGATGGGATTTAACGCATGTCTGATTTTACTTTTCAGCCACATGTAGAATGGCTGGAATCCTGGCGTTCTGTTTCCTGTTTTGGCACTGATTTGCTGTGTGACCTCAGGCAGTTTCCTTAACTTCTGTGCCATAGGTTCCTCATCTATGAAGTGGGGATAATGCTGCTTTCCCACCTTTGTAAAACACTTTGAGATGTACAGATAAAAAGCTTGTATTGTGAATGGGGCTGTTAACACTGCCTGTTTTTCAGGTTGCCCACCAATTCCCATTATAAGACCCTGTTTTCAGCTGCTTATGACTCTACCAAACTTTTATCGTTTGGGCTAAAATTTTTGAGTCCCAAATGTCTGCTCAGCCTGATTCTTCCCCCCAGCCCCCCAAATTGCAGCCAAAATGGTTCTGTCATTTCTGAGAATGGGGCTTGGGGGGGTGTTGTTTTGACGATGTTAAAAAAAATTCTGACTACCTTTGTTTTTAAAAGCTCTAGTGTTCCCATGATTCAAAGCAGGAACTTGAAATTTGGCAGAGGGTGGGGTGTTTCCCTTTTGTCAGGGATGTGTCTTTTGCAGTCCTCATGAAAATCTACCCAAATTTGACCAATTGATAAGCCTTTGAAAAATCCCAGTTCACACAGGCTCAAGAGAGACTCCTTAGAATTTACCAGCTAAAGCCAATAAAGATTCCATCCATACTTGGGCCCTGGGCTGCTGTGGGTCATGTTGGGTCTGGGCACCTGAATTGAAAACTGCAAGACTGTCTCTCCCATGTTCTAAATGACCCCCCTGGTGGGCCCAGGTGGTGTGGAGGAGGAAGCTGCCTGATTTGAATGCAGTGAGGACAAGAGTTGGACTTGTTTTGGGGAGAGTAGATTGGTACAAGGAGTGTAGAAGGAGGGAGGGGACTGGAAGTTGGGGTGGGGGAGACTGGGAGTGGCTGGGGAAGGAGACTGGGATAAGGAGCCAAAGGGCTGACCCTGAGATTAGCTGAAGAGCCTGGAGAGGAAGATTAGGACTGGGAGCCAGTGGGGTGGAGAAAGGGGGAGGCATCTGGAGGCAGGGTGGAAGAGAGAAACAGATTGGATGAGGAGTCAGGAGGGAGATAACGTAGACTGACTGTACAAGGAGACTGGGACTAGGATGAGAAGCTTGAGGAGAATGTGGCTGGGAGGGCGGGCCCTCGGTGGAAAAGAGAAAAGACTGGGACAGGGGTAGGTTGGAGGAGATCGGGCAGAAGGGATCATGCCTGGGGGGAGTCGAAGAAGAGTCTGTGCCTACTAGAGTGCATTCCTCTGTAGAGCCTAAAATGGAATATGCCAACTCCTCCTTTCTTTCCGACTCTAATCTATACCTAGCCGAGAACAAGAGGGAGTAGAATCCACCACAGAAGAGGAGCAGCTGCCTCAAATCCTAGATGAGCTTCATGATATTCACGTGGCCCCTGGAGCATCTTTGGCTAAATTTCACCTGAAGGTCAAAGGTAAGGGGACCTATGACATTTACATCAGTCCCATCTTGATATCTGTGAATGTGTGTGGACAAGGTTTTCTCATATGCTTTTGCATGCAATTGTGCTCGTAATTTGTGCACTCAAATAGCACATTTGAAATAGCAGTCACAAGTGTGTGTATGCATAGATGACCAGCACCTAACTGGGCAATAGTTCATGCAAAGTAAGTATTCAGTTGTGTGGTCATATCCTCAGTGATTAATTGCATGCACACATTTCTGGAAATCTAGTCCTATAACTCTTTTTTTTTTAGGTTTTCGGTCATGAAGATCAACTAGTCTCTCAGTGCATTAATTGCTGTGTTGCCAGGAATGAAAAGTACAGTGTGGGCATGCTAGTTTTTAAAAATAATGCTTACAAATATGAACCACTGTCTTTCATTAGTGTTTCAGGGTAGATGTACTATGTAATGATTAGTTCAAGTGACAGTAGCTAAGGCCCAAATTGTCTGCTACTTGGGATAAGCCTATAAAGGGGACAGAAAGCCTTGCTAAATCATGGTGCTTTCTTCTTGATCTTTCCATCAGTGTGTGTGTGTGTGGGGGGGGAGGGGGTTATCCCATCCCTACTCCTCCCCCCAAAAAAGCAGAAAGGTCGTTTGTCCCCCCAGAACCAGCAGATTTCCCCAAAAACCACACAAAGTCCCAGTGCCTCCGCCCCGGCTCTGGGATCTCTTGTTGTCCCATCTCCTGTCCCTTATCTGTAGAAGACCTGCACAGTAGATGTGTACCCAACCCACCTCTGTGGCCTAGACCCTCCCTCCACTGGCCCACCCATTCCACCTGTGTGTATCCCTGACCTCACAGTGAAACGTCTACAACATCTGGGTGGATAAAGGAGGAGAAAAACTACAGAGATGTCACTGCCCCCGTCTGTGCTTTCCTGGAGCACTTTTACTGGGTTGTTCTGCTCCTGCTCATGGAAAGAGTGGGGACTGTTTTGGCTTAAATGGCCATGAGACCAATCTCGAAGTCCCCATGCAGGCAAAGTGTGACTTCGGTCTGAATTTTGCCTGAGTAAGGATTTTAGGATTTGGCCTTGTATTTGTAGAAAATCAGATCCAAATATCAATGTTCTAACTCTGGAAGGCACTCAGATACCAAGGTGATGGGGCAGAATTAGAATCTGAAAAGTACATAATAGAATTTTAATTCTTAAATAGCATTCACAAATATCAGAATCAAACTACTCTCTGTATGTGGGTTAGTTTTCAAGTGGACACTGTAGAACCTTGAACAAACAGCATTGGTAAGAATGGACCTTTCTTTGATTACACTGAAGTGTATGATTGGTTTGAGAGGCTCCAAAATAGTGAGTCACCCCTTCTTACATTGCTTCTTGTAGGGTACCCAGAACCTCGTCTTTACTGGTTCAAAGATGGGCAACCATTACAGGCCTCAGACCGAATCCTGAAGACTGAGAAGAAGCAATTTCATGCACTCGAAATCCTCAATGTCGTTAAGGAGGATGCTGGTCAATACTCAGTATTTATTAGCAACTCTGCAGGTTCTGCATATTCATCGGCCAGTTTGGTTGTCAAAGGTAAGTTATTGGTGCTTTCTGCCAGTGGCTATCTCTGGTTTAAATATTCACTTTTCCTGATAAAGCCTATAGACAGCAAGATATTCTGGAAAATAAAATGGGCCATAAACCGAGGATAGAGGGATGGTTTTGTATTTAAAGCACTGGACTGAGAATCAGGCAACCTGTGTTCTATTCCTGACTAATCTTCCATGGATCTTCACTGTGTTCTTAAGGGAAGTCGTATCACCTCTCTGTTTACCTGATTCTGATCTTACTTGCACATGCATTCTAACTCCATTGTCCTTAATGCCTTCACTGGGGAATTGTGCTTAAAAACTAAGGGTATGATATGGTCCATATCTGAGGCCATAACTGCAGAATACTGCAGTACTTTTAATAAGGGTTGAGTTTATCTCAGTTGTAGAAGCAGATAGGTATAGAGCCAGTGTGGTGTTTTGATGATGATGATGATGTTGGGTTAATTAATTTCTTTATTTATTAATAAATATCAGTACTCATGGAGTTAGTAATTTATGGCCGAATGTTTTTGTGGTGTAATTTATCAAAATGATCTTTGTTCAAATGTATGATATATTAATAGAAGATTAAAACAGATTTTAGTCACTCTTGTGCAGAGTTACTGTACATGTACATGTCACTTATATTATAAAATGGCTTTTAGATATATTCTACTAAAGAGATGAATAATAATTTTTAATAAAAATGTAATTTGTGTGTAGTCCATATTGTATTGAGTAAGTCATTGATATCACCTGACCACATGCTTGAGTGCACAATTCACAGAAAGGAGACATTTGTCCTTTCTATAGATGTAGTTTCATAGTGGGATGATTTGTCTTTCTGTGTTACAGGTCCTGGTGAGAAGGAAGAACTGCCAGAAACAGGTGAGAGGAGCAGCACAATCAGTGATAATAGAACTACGAATAACTTCTCAATAGTCTTAGCCTCACTTGTACCACTTCATCATGAACTTTTTAATTTTCAGATGCTCAAGAACAGCTGGTGCCACCCAGGTTCCTGGAGAGATTTACCAATAAAAGTGTCAGGAAAGGTGCAAGTATCACCTTCTCTGTGAAGGTTGAAGGTAAATGGAGCTTAAACACAACTTTCTTTCTGTGTTACTTAATTTGCAGAGCTTCCCAATGTATCCTGTCTTCTCATTGGGCCAAATCTTGAAGGCCTTATCTACTGTAGGAGTCAGAAGATTTGGGTTCTGTTCCCATCTTTGTAACAGACTTTTGGATGCTCCTAGCCAAGACGTGTAACTCTTGTTGCATCAATTTTCCTATGTATAAAATGGGGATAATAGCACATTCTTATCTCACAGGGGTGTTGTGAGGGCTAATCTTTCATTTTTGTAAAGTGCTTTGAAGTTCTTAGATGGAAGATGCTCTAGAAGTGCAAGTATTCATTTATGATTTATTACTGTTATTGGAAATGGATCAGCAAACATGTCGAAAGTAGGATTCACTCACAATGTAGTACACAGGGTTTTAAGAAGGGAGGAACACCAGTGGGACAATTAAAGAGGTTATTGCTCTTTTCTTTAGGACATCCAGCACCCACAATTACCTGGTTGAAAGAAGAATCTCATGAAGATGTTCTGTGGATCAAACCAGAGACTCCTGGTTACAAGCTCGCCAGTTCCAACATGCATCACAGTCTAATCCTGCTGGATGTTGGAAAGGAATATAGTGGAACCTACACTTGCATTGCTACTAACAAGGCTGGACAATCCATCTGCACTGCCTCCCTAGAAGTTCTGGATGGTAAATTTTTGCAATATTACAAACACTTTCCCTATAGTATTAAACATAATATAGTGTAGATGAATGGTATCTCATCATTATAATATGTCTATAATTGCTGAATGAAGAGCAAATGTGAAAATACAATGAATTTCAACAAACTACAACTCAAGTACATACATTTCACAGAGATTCCGGTATATCTCTATTACTTTTCTTTGATAGAAAAAGATTATATGCCCCTAATATAAGAATAACGTTTACTGTCTAGGGCTTTGGTCCATGCGTCAAATTAAAAGTGTGGTAAGGTTTTGCATAAACAAAACAAGAGACTAAAGAATAATCAAGAGGGGAAAAAAAGGAAGAAAACAGGCCCCAAACATTACCTTTTTTAGGAACACTGGATTCTTCACTCTGCTAAGGCTGTTTTGCATCACATCTCTGCCTTAAAGCACCTGAGGCAGGCGAGTGGAGAATTTCTGCTGCGCAGAGAAATTCTCCACCATCTCTTGTGTCAGCCTCCTCTCCCCCACTCCCTGGTGTGAGAGGAGGGGAGGGAAGGGACATGTTAAGGGCATTCTGGGGGTGGGGCATGGCCAAGGCAGGGAGGGGCCTGGAAGAGCTCTGCTCCACCAAACCTTATTCTGCCTTGATGTAATTTAGAGCTGCAGGCCCCATCTCCACTGTACCAGGGCAGGGTTTGGCAGGGTGAGGAATCTGCCCCTCAGTGTTTAGCAAATACCTTCTTTTGGCGAAGACCCTCTGATTATAGACTCTGATCTTGCAGTGAAAGAGGCTGAAGTTCTGACCCGCGAGCGCATGATGGTGACAGATGTTATAATGACCACGCTGGGGTAAGCAAGGGCAGCGTATGTTAAGCCAGAAGAGTGTGTACAAGAGTCCTCTAGATTTCACTGAGATGGATTTACAGAATGTATTGCACTTCAGTCCCACATTTCCGATCGGATGGGAGACTGACTGAGCTCTCCAAAGATCTGGAAGTGTGTGAGTCATGGTGCTGGTTTGTTTGGGAAGGTCCCCCAGTATTCAACTAAAAGGTTTGGCCCCAGCCTGAAGCCTTAACTAGAGGGAATCTTCTGTTTGATTACAAGTGTTTAAAATCCTGACTCTAGCTCCGGAAAGCTAAATGCAAGAGGTTATTGAAAGCTCACTATTTCCAGGGACAAAATGATGCAGTGAGCTAGTGGCCTGCCTTTCACTGCAGGAAACCACTCTCCAATCCAGTCAGATTTCCTTTCCCTCCTTTTCTGATTAGGAAGATTGTCCAGTTCTCCACCAGAGCTAAAGCCTGTATCATCGCCAAAGCTTCTACGGTTAAATTCTCCTAATTCTTTACTGCCACGCGCACCCGTGGAACTGTGTGTAATCACACCTGTGCAGATTTAGTGTAAAATGCCTCTTCTGGTGTAAATGAGTGATGAATTCTGATTTGATGGTGTTTTACACTCACTTTGCACTCATTTGCAGTGGTATAAGTGGCTGTACAAGAAGCAAGGCGGTGGAGAATCCGACCCAGTATTCTGAACTAACACCTGGTGTCTCTATTTTATATTTAATTTTACTTTTGTAATAGAGGGGTAGCTGTGTTAGTCTGTATCCACAAAAACAACGCAGCGGACTCCTCGTTAATTTTGTAATAGTTTTCTTCGGAACAATGTGACTTTAGCTCCATTTCACATCTGAATATTGAGCTGTACTTAAGGTTAAGAATAAAGGATTTTTAAAAAAATTCTTAGACTTAGTTTAGTTCATAATCCAGCCAATTCATATAGATCCCCATTCTGCAACTGCTTCCAAGACATGTTGTTAATGGGGTTTCTCACGTGGGGCAGGTACAGAATTAGACCTGTAAACAGAGTGGCCAAGAGCGTAAAGAAGGTTTTCTCGTGAGATAGTTCAGCAGAGCCAAAGGATGCTGAATATGTGCGTGGCAAACTGCCAGTATCTGTGTTTTAAAGGGTAGCGCTTTGCTTGCATAATGCATGAAGGTTTTTTTCGAGAGAGTCAGGAGATCTAGATTCTATTCCTAGTCCTGACATGGAATTTCTGCCTAGGCTTGGAAAACTCTCTTATGTCAAACTTTAGGAACTAAAACAGGCATCTAAACGAAAATGTTCTGATTTTCAGAGTCAATGGTAGTTGTAGTTGCTTAGCACCTCTGAAAAACAGGTCACTTTCACTTAGAAGCCTAATTATAGACTTGGGCACCTAATTTGGGGTACTAAAGTTTGATAATGTTGGCTGTACCCGCTCTGTGCCTCAACTTTGCCATGTGTAAAATGGGGCTAATACTTTAGTTAAATACCTTAGAGGCATGTGGTAATTTCTGAAGGTTTATTAGATGCTTCAAGATCCTCCAATAAAAGAGAATATGTAAGTGAGTGTATTAATAGTAACAAGTTTCTTCTTGATTGGCAGGTATGAAGACAAGGACAGAAAAGGACATGGGTAAAGTTGTATGAAAACTCTTGTTCTCGTACAGTGTGCCTCATTCACCTCCAAAGCAGGCAAAATTCACATACTCAAATTCTGAATTTCAGTTGCATAGGATTAAACATAGTAACAGCTTGAGGAAAAAAATGGATGACAGGGATCATAGAATCATAGACTTTAAGGTCAGAAGGGACCGTTATGATTGTCTAGTCCGACCTCCTGCACAACGCAGGCCACAAAATTGCACCCACCCACTCCTGTAACAAACCCCTAACCTATGTCTGAGCTACTGAAGTCTTCAAATCGTGGTTTAAAGACTTCAAGGTGCAGAGAATCCTCAAGCAAGTGACCCGTGCCCCATGCTGCAGAGGAAGGCAAAAACCCCTAGGTCCTCTGCCAATCTGCCTTGGAAGAAAATTCCTTCTCGACCCCAAATATGGCGATCAGCTAAACCCTGAGCATGTGGGCAAGACTCGCCAGCCAGACACCCAGGAAAGAATTCTCTGTAGTAACTCAGATCCCACCCCATCTAACATCCCATCACAGGCCATTGGGTATATTTACGCTAATAGTAAAAGATCAATTAATTGCCAAAATTAGGCTATCCCATCATACCATCCCCTCCATAAACTTATCAAGCTTAGTCTTGAAGCCAGATATGTCTTTTGCCCCCACTGCTCCCCTTGGAAGGCTGTTCCAGAACGTCACTCCTCTGATGGTTAGAAACCTTCATCTAATTTCAAGTCTAAACTTCCTAATGGCCAGTTTATATCCATTTGTTCTTGTGTCCACATTGGTACTGAGCTTAAATAATTCCTCTCCCTCCCTGGTATTTATCCCTCTGATATATTTATAGAGAGCAATCCTATCTCCCCTCAGCCTTCTTTTGGTTAGGCTAAACAAGCCAAGCTCCTTGAGTCTCCTTTCATAAGGCAGGTTTTCCATTCCTCGGATCATCCTGGTAGCCCTTCTCTGTACCTGTTCCAGTTTGAATTCATCCTTCTTAAACATGGGAGACCAGAACTGCACACAGTATTCCAGATGAGGTCTCACCAGTGCCTTGTATAACAGTACTAACACCTCCTTAGCTCTACTGGAAATACCTCGCCTGATGCATCCCAAGACCGCATTAGCTTTTTTCACGGCGATATCACATTGGCGGCTCATAGTCATCCTGTGATCAACCAATACTCTGAGGTCCTTCTTCTCCTCTGTTACTTTCAACTGATGCGTCCCCAGCGTATAACAAAAATTCTTGTTGTTAATCCCTAAATGCATGACCTTGAACTTTTCACTATTAAATTTCATCCTATTACTATTACTGCAGTTTACAAGGTCATCCAGATCTTCCTGTATGATATCCTGGTCCTGCTCTGTATTGGCAATACCTCCCAGCTTTGTGTCATCCACAAACTTTATTAGCACTCTCCCACTTTTTGTGCCAAGGTCAGTAATAAAAAGATTAAATAAGATTGGTCCCCAAACTGATCCCGGAGGAACTCCACTAGTAACCTCCCTCCAGCCTGACAGTTCACCTTTCAGTATGACCCGTTGTAGTCTCCCCTTTAACCAGTTCCTTATCCACCTTTCAATTTTCATATTGATCCCCATCTTTTCCAATTTAGCTAATAATTCCCCATGTGGAACCATATCTACTGAAATAGAGGTAAATTAGATCCACTGCATTTCCTTTGTCTAAAAAATCTGTTACCTTGTCAAAGAAGGAGATCAGGTTGGTTTGGCACGATCTACCTTTTGTAAAACCATGTTGTATTTTGTCCCAGTTACCACTGACCTCAGTGTCCTTAATGACTTTCTCATTCAAAATTTTTTCCAAGACCTCACGTACTGCAGATGTCAAACTAGCAGGCCTGTAGTTACCCAGATCACTTTTTTTCCCTTTCTTAAAAATAGGAACTATGTTAGCAATTCTCCAGTCAGACGGTACAACCGCTGAGTTTACATGGGATGACCACTAAACCGCTTGTTTACAAATTTAACTGAAACGTAATTCTCCAACTCTGCCATCTTGATCTTACATACTAGGTAGGAGAAAAATAAATACCGGTAACTAGTCATTACATTTTAAAAGGTTTACAGTTGGAATTTTTATTTAAAAGTCCTGTCTGGTACATTGGCAATAAAATTTGGTGGTTCTCAACTTAAAAATCATTCAGTCAAAGGGACAATGTCAATATCTCTTGCTTGTCAAGACTATGTCCCTGATATGCTCTGTAACTATATTTATTTCCTAGTTTTGCTTCTCCTAGTGTAAGAAGGCTCCAGCATTGCTTCCTTAAGAAAATGAAGATGTGTAATGAGTCTTAGAAAGAACCCAGGATCTGCACACCACACAACTTGGCATGATTTGTCACAAATGGAAATCTCTGTCTCAGAAAGAGCTGACGCTGGAAAGCAGGGGTGTTGCATGTCAGAACAGAAGTGCATTAGCAGAGCTGTGCTGTGGGAAAACCTTGCACAGTGTCTTTCCATGCGATGCTTGACTCAGCCTAGAGCTGTTGGTTTTTCACTCTCATGAACACCAACTTCATTCAGAATTTAAAATGTAGGATTTGTTTTTTTCCTGGGCTGAGTGAATTTTGTGCTGGTGAAAGGTGTCAGACTAGCAGCCCTGCATAGTGTGAAAACTTTTTTTTTACTCACAGAATAATTACAGCACTGGCAGTGGTAGTTTACCCCCAAACTGTCCCACCAATATACTTCAATCCTGATCTGCAGGGACCTCCTCTGTGGGCAGGTCCACAGACAGTCTGCATATCCCTCAGTCCTTGGTTTCTCTATTATAACTACAAACCAGGGCAATAGTTGGCGATAGGGACATAAATTCACTGAGAGCTGGAACTGAGACTGGACTCTCATTTGACATAAGTCACTATTCAATCCTCTTTCACTCACTAATAACCTGGGCTATATTTCAACCAGTGTCCTAGAGATGAATGGTTCCATGTTCCATTATCTATACCCCGGGCAATACGGTCCTCTAAAACTCCATGTTAAAATAAGCCAATCTGTCTTGGATGGTTAGACACAACAAATCCTGTATCTTGGCAAGGGCTTAGACTAGATGACCCTTGTGGACCCTTCTAACCTTATGATTCTATTATTCTAAACCTCATGCAAGAGGAATAACCATACCTATGCCACCCCATTGGTTTGAGTGTGGCACTATTGTGGTTTCCATGTTCAGAGTTTATCTGTTTTAAAGTTCACATCTGGGTCCTAAATCCAGATATGCTCCAAGACCATGTGAAGAGTGAGAGGGCATCTGGTTCTGACTCATCCCTGATGTAAATAGCCCCCATTATCACACTTGTCATTTTGGCCTTTGACTCCCCCTTTCTCTTTTTCAGAGTTGGTATCTCTGTCCACCCTCCTGAATCGAGGAAAGGTAGGAGAAGCCCACACATCTATAGTTAAGGTTGCCAATGTGTTTCCATTGTAACCTTCTGTTTTTAATTCCTTAGAACTTTTTGAAATTCTGACCTATCAGATTGAAATTTTTCAGGCCTGGTCTCAGGCCAAGGATGAATGATTTTGGGCGGGAAAATATACACACACACTTTTTTCATCACAAAATACTTTTGTCACCTTTTTTGGAACAATGGTTTGGTTTGGAAGGACATCAGGCTGTGCTCCAGGCAATCCTGGCCAGTCTAGCTGTGGACTCAAAAATGTACCCCAGGTTTGCACATTGAGGGTACAATTTATTTCTATGCAGAAGACCAGCATAAGGAATATTCAGCTATTGAATCCCACATAACTCTTCAAAATAGAGTCTGAATGGAACTTAAGTGGTTTTTAGGCCTCATGCCGACTGTACAGGGGTGAATTTCAGCCTGAGGGAGGCAAGACTCCATAGGAATGCACAGGTAAAGTTCATTCCCACAAGGGAGAAGAGTTAAGGTTTTTACACCACACCGATCACCCTGGAATCTGAGCACTTGTTCTGTACAACCTTAACTCTGCCCCCTTCTGCATTATCAGCTGGTCCTTAATTATATGATCAGGACAGTGTATCATTTGTTGCATAGGTTGTATGGTCCACAGGGGATAAAGCAACTGTTCAATATTTATTTTTTATCATTACTGCTCAGTGAGTGGACTCCTGCCTCAGTCACTACATGCTACCCATCCAATCCACTGAGAGGCTGTGTTCACTGTCGAGGTGGCTCTCCACTGTGTCTGTGGGGAGTTAAACTCCAAATTGTTCTTGTCTGGACACCACAGCATCACTGACATCAGTTTCAGAAGGACAAGTCAGTCATATCTGGTTCATTGGAGTGGACTTTCAGATGACATACTACAGGCTTGATAGCATGTTCTCCCTTTTCTAGGAGAGCTTGTAGAAGGTGAGGCTGAAGGTGTGTCCAGAAGTCATATTTCATTAGCTGATGTTGGAACAGAAGAATTCCTCCAGAAACTCACCTCCCATATCACAGAAATGGTGTCTGCAAAAATAAGTCAGGGTAAGTGTAACCCACACACCTTCTGGGTGTGGTGTTCTGTCCCATCTAGTGGCACTGAGACCATGTAGAGAGAGAGAGAGATAAAATTAATCTGCTCTACAGGCCTGGCTAACAGCCAGTTGGCTTTCAGCTCATGCAGTAGAGGCTCATGGACCAGGCTCCAGAGGCCCAAGTTTCAGTCCCGCCCGCCACCGACCGGGTGGCAAGTGTGAATACAAAGCAGAGCAGTCAATCATCAGGTTTGGGTTGAGTTTTAAATCTCATCTATGAAACAATTGTTTTGCACATAATAACAACAATAATAATATAACACTAATAAGAGATTCATCAGGTAGAGATCAATTCCCTGACTTTTCTTTATGCTGTTTCTGGAACTTCTTTCCAGGAAAGTTAGTATCTAGAGTTGAAAAGGGACTTTTCCATACAGGCACAAACTTTCAGTTTTGTTTTAGTGAAAATACAAATTGAATAAATTTTCATGTATTTTTCAGATGTTTTACCATGCTTGTGAATTACTAGGCTAAAGAGGATTAATCCAGTGGAATAAGCATGTGTCTAAGGGGACTAGAACTCCTGAGCACTAATCTCTGCTCTGCCATTACTTGCCATGTAGCCTTGGGCACATCATTTATCCTCTCTTAATCATAGTTTCTTCACCTGTAAAATGGGGTTAATGATATTTGTGTATCTACTTCACCAGAGTGTTGTGAGGGTTAATCAGGTAGCGCTGTGAATAATATAAACCCCATGTAAGTACTAACTACTGATTATTATTACCAAAGCTATGTCGGCCAAAATTTCATTGACACAAAAACTGCTCCACACCACTCTGGCAATATAAATAGGCCTCAGAATGGCAGTAGGTTATATTTACGTGCATTTTCAGGCCCCATATATATGACTAGGGAGATATAAAGTGGTCTCATGTAAATGAGAATTAGATCCATATGAAAGTTAGAATCTTTCATAGTCCTATTGCTCTTTCAGCAGTGTTTGAATTTACAGTGATGGTGTGGGCCCTCATCCTGCTGTGTTATCTCTCTACAATCCGACTGAAGTAAATCATGTAATCTCAGGGACTTCAAATGCCCAATATGCATATGCCGTCACAATTATTAACAGGAGCTTATGTACTGGATGATGCAAAAGGTCTGTCCTGGGGATATTTGATTTTGTGAAGACTTAAAAAAATCTTATGGATTTGAACCCTATTTGATTTTCACAAGAGAGCAGTCTCTCATCTGTGTACTTGTTTCCCCACTGTTCTTCATTTCAGCCACACTTCGAGTGCCTGGAGCAGACAGTGATGATGAATCTAAGACGCCATCCCCATCTCCACGCCATGGCAGATCTCGACCTTCCTCAATTGTTCAGGAGTCTTCCTCTGAATCTGAGGATGGGGATTCTAGAGGGGAGGTACAGTGCACACACGAATAAACGTCACACAAGTGTTTACTAGGCGAAAGGATTAATCATTCTGAGTAAACAAATCTAGGGTATTTTAAGGGTTTCCATCTTAAAAGGAGGTCAGTGGTTTAAGGTGAATGGTCTAATACATGGAACACAGGACTAAGGGTATAAAGTCACGCTTTCGCACGCAGTGCATGGTCTCAAACAGGTTGCGTAGGTCAATGTTTTCAATAGCTTCTGTTCATTTGGGGGCTCAAATTTTAGTTATTCAACTTGAGACGCTTCGGGCTTGACTTTCAAGGTGCTGAGCCCTCACAGCACCAAGTAATGTCAACAGGAGCTGCAGGAATTCAGCACTTCTGAAAATCAGGGCCTGGGTATCTCAAGTTGGGCCACTCAAGTTAGTGGACTTTTCTTTTTTTTAATTCAGCCTTAACGTTTTTGAATTTCAGTTTTCCATCTGTAAAATGGAGGTAGTGATTCTCTTCTATCCTCCATGGGTGGTGGGGATGAAGTATTTAACACTGGTAAAACGTGTTAATTGTGTGCTCTTGCTATTATCAGAACCTTGCTTTCATGCACACGAATAACTCTCTTTTCATGCTTGTAGATTTTTGACATCTACATGGTCACGGCTGACTATGTGCCCATTGGAGCTGACAGGGAAGCCATCACTCTGAAAGAAGGGCAGTATGTGGAAGTCCTTGACTCTGCTCATCCTCTAAAGTGGCTAGTCAGGACCAAACCCACTAAATCCAGCCCCTCTCGGCAGGGATGGGTGTCGCCGGCTTATCTGGACAAGAAGTTAAAGGTGATCGATCTTCCTTGTTTTACTTTTTTTATGGAAACTGTTTCCTTTGCATGGTAGAGCAGTTCCCTGCTTGCCCTGGCTGTCGCTGAGTTTCCATGAGGGGCAGTTCTACTCTGAAAAGGGAGTATGTAAAAATGGCCCCTTTGTACTCATCAGCTCTGCTCCCTGTACCTAGCTAGAGTCCTGTCCTCTGACTTCAATGACAACTGTGTGTGGTTGTTGGTTTTTACTGCAATTGGCCCTGGAAACAACACAGCTACGAGGAAGTGAGCTGGTATCTAGTCTGGTTTGTGTATCATTAATAGAATTATTTACCAAAATCCAATCATGTATATTTGTGTTACCCACGCCCCCCACGCCTTTCCCCAGAGGTTGTACAGGTGTCACTGAGGGCATAACTGGAAGGAAAGCGGGTCAAAAAAGGTCAGCAAAACTTTCCTCCATCAAAAATTCTGTTCCATCAAAAACAAAATGTTTTGCAGAAGCATAACAGTTTTGACTAAATTTTCACTGAGAAGGAGCCTCAGGTCCAGGATGGAATTTCTGGTCAAAACTTGAGAATGCCAATAGCCCAGAGGTAGGAGACCCAAATCAGGCAGAGCAGGGACCTGTGCATTGCTCTCCCACATCCCAGGGGAGTGCCCTAACCACTGGTCGTATTGGCTATGCTGGGGTTGCTCCGACGTAACTCATGGGCTGATTTTCCCTGCAGAAGCCCAGTGGATGGTGAGTAAGAAGGAAAGAACCCAGCTTGACAGTCAGATCTCAGGTTTCAGAGTAGCAGCCGTGTTAGTCTGTATTCGCAAAAAGAAAAGGAGTACTTGTGGCACCTTAGAGACTAACCAATTTATTTGAGCATAAGCTTTCGTGAGCTACAGCTCACTTCATAGGATGCATACTGTGGAAAATACAGTGAGGAGATTTATATACACACAGAACGTGAAAAAATGGGTGTTACCATACACACTGTAAGGAGAGTGATCACTTAAGATGAGCTATTACCAGCAGAAGAGTGGGGGGGGGAGGGGAGAGAAAACCTTTTGTAGTGATAATCAAGGTGGGCCATTTCTAGCAGTTAACAGGAACATCCGAGGAGCAGTTGGGGAGGGGGGGGAAATAAGCATGGGGAAATAGTTTTACTTTGTGTAATGACACATCCATTCCCAGTCTCTATTCAAGCTTAAGTTAATTGTATCAGTTTGCAAATTAATTCCAATTCAGCAGTCTCTCGATGGAGTCTGTTTTTGAAGTCTTTTTGTTTTAATATTGCGACCTTTAGGTCTGAGATTGAGTGACCAGAGAGATTGAACTGTTCTCCGACTGGTTTATGAATGTTGCATTTGCAGAGCTGGCAGTTAGAAAGGCCATATTTTTATTTGTAAATAGAGTGCGTTTGACCGGGAGTCACAGATATAATACACTTGGCATCCTATCATGCCTTGTTACACAGTAGTTTGTCATGGTATAATGATACTTTTAAATTCTCAGCCCTCCTGCATTTGAGCAACAGTGTTCCATTGCCCCCAAAGGAAACATGGGTCTCCCCAGTTTGGGATGTTTTATGCAGAGAAACAACATTGCTCAGTATTCCTTCTTCCAAACTAAGCCCTTCTTCTTGGAGACAGGCTGCCCTTGCTAATTGCCCCTTCCTGTTTTATCATCTCTGTAAGACAAGTTATCATTCCTAATAATGGTAGATTCCCCTGAGCTTCCCTGTGTTCCCAGCTACACACTTGCGTAGCCACTGCCCTCTCTTTAGCTTGTATTGCCATATACTTATTAATTTAATGTTGTTTTAAAAATGTGTGTATTAAACTAGTCTCATGAGATGTGCTATTTGCTTTTTACACCTAATTAAGGCTCCTTACACTAAGAGTCAAGAGTTCTTCAGTCTGAAATAACACATGTGCCCAGTTCAATGAAAAGATCACATGTTTGGAGCTAGAACCCCAAAGTCCATCCATCTAGTTTCTTATATTGGCACCCCATCACCATAATCTCTGCTTCCATTATCCCTTTGGCCTTTAAGCACTTTCAGGTTAATACAGTGGTGTGTGACAGAGTGTAGGTTCCCATGGAACAAATCCAGTTCAGTTGTCAGTGGAACCCAAACCAGGGACCTTCAGCACCAAAAAGCACAAACCCCTACCAGATGAGCTTCAGAGGTTAACTCCATCAGCTGTATGTACCAGTCTGCTATTCTTGATGGGTCCAGCTACCAGAAGGCGGGCAAGATGATCCCAGACACTCAGTCACGGACATGTGGATTCATTGTTCTGTAAAACATCTTCCCTATCCTTTCTCCTCCCTCCCAGAGCCAGAAGAGTCTCCCAGTGCAAGCCCTGCCCCAAGTAACACTGTTTGAAACCCTGTTGGTGTTGCTGTCTGGCAGTGATCTACAGCTTTGTTACTGGCAGATTATTAACCTTTACAAAAATGGTTTTTTGTGGCTGTTGGTTAGGGACAGAAACAAGCTGCATGTGACAGCGCCATGCCTGAAGTTATTCTGCACACGTGCTTCAGTTACATGATACAGGCATTCCTGCTCTGTTCCTTAGAGAACTGATGTTTCCTGTTTGTCTGTTAGTTGTCACCAGAGTGGGGCACGTCGGAAGCGCCCGAGTTCCCCGGCGAATCTGTTTCAGAAGATGAATATAAAAGGAAGCTGAGGTGAGCACTTTCTGATTTGCACTGCTGCCTTTCAGGATAGTGCCATGTGAACTAACAGGGATGCTTGGGTCTGAGGCTTCTCCCAAAGGATCCGCACATTCCATTTGCGCCTCTAGGACTGTCTGATGAAAGCCCAATTTCTTTGCTGCTAAATCCTACCCGCTCCCCTCCCCCAGAGTCCCGCTAAGCTCTTGAGGCTTCCAACCTACAGCAGGGTTTAAACATTTGAATTCTAAGTCTCTACTGATTTAGGTTTGGGGGAAATGCCATGTGATCTAAACCAGCTTGGGAGCAAGATTTGTTTTCTTGTCCAACCTGCTTGTTCCTCGCATATTGTCCTATGGCTGAGTAGTTAACTCCTTGGGATTTCATAGAAGGCTCTGCGGTCCCTTCCAGTATAACTAGTTCTGCCCTGCGGGTGCTCTGGGTCATAATATAATAACATAAAGGGAGAGCTGAAGGGTAGCATATAAGGGCCATGTGTAGTGTTCCGGCACTGCCAGGGTGGTCCAACAGAGTGCTCATCTCCTTGGTAAAAATATTTACCTGTATGGCCTCTACACAGCAGCCACACCGCAGCCTGGGGACTGTGCTGCAGTTACCCACTCTTCTTGAAATCCTCTTGTTAACTCAGACTTAACAGGGAGAAAAGCAGCCGCAGCCTCATTCTGGTTATTGGTTACATCCCTAATGCTGGGCACTGATTTATGTAGTCTCCTCTCTGAGGGCCTGAGCCTATGAGGTGCTGAACACCCTGAGTTCTGCCTAATTTCAGGGCCAGTCGAGGTGTGCAGCACACTGCAGCTGGGGCCCTGAAGGAACAGAGCCTGCCCCTCTTGGAAATCAGCACGTCAAGAACAATATTTGTAATTGCTCTTCCCTTTGTCTGTTTGTCTTTCCTGTAGCGTCATTATTCAGGAACTACTGAACTCTGAGGAGGAGTTTGTCAAAGATCTGCAGTTCCTCCAGACCCATCACCTCCAGTGCATAGAGAGCTGTCCGGATGTTCCAGAAACTGTTGCCAGTCAGAAATCTACTATCTTCAGAAATGTCAGTGCTATTGCGAGCTTCCATTCCAAGTAGGTATTCCTGGACGCGTTACCAGTGTTAGTGACAGAATTGCTTTGGTTATGAGGCATGCCGTGGAAAATGCTAAGATTGAAGGGGGTGGATGAGAATTTTAGGAGCCAAGAGCAAGAACACAGGAATGGGAATCAAAAAGTAGTAGTGTTAAGACAATCCCAGAGTCTTGAAATTCCTCTTGTTCTGCTGAGCATTTTTTGCCCTGCTAGGCGAATTTCATTGAATAACTATAAAATTCCTATAAAATACACAGCCCCTTCTCTCAGGTGAGGTGATTCTTTAAGACTCCGACGCTGTATTTAAGGATGGAGATAGCCAGTGTAGATCCAATACCTACTTTGAATGACCCAATTGTATTCACAAAATGTGGCACATTGTTGTTTTACAGTCAAAACGGGCCAAAAATCATGCTTGCAGTGGACTTACATTCTGGCCATCCTGCAAAAGCCTTGCACACGGTCAGCACAGATTTCTCCTCCCAGCAGCCTGAGCAGAAGGGGGCATAAAATGTGCTAAAAGTTCAACCCCTCGCACAATGTTCCTTTCAAATGTAGCCAAGATACCTAGCCATCAAACTCAGCCACAGCCCCACTCCATTGAGGAGAGATTTACCTCAGATGCAGTGCTCACAAAACAACTTCCCTTCATCCTGGCCAAATTCTTCTCTTGGTATAGAGAGAGGAGGGGAAATCTCCACTCACCCGCACATGGGAATTCAGGGACACTCAAACTGAAGCACAGGGACAGCAGGTTCCAACTCCCTGCTTCAGTCTGAGCCCCTAAGAACTTCTCTTCCTTTGTCTCCAAGCATTCCTTAAATTCAAGCCGGCCAGGAGGGTCTTCTGTCTAAATTTCAGATGTGATTAAATTCTTGCCCAATGGCATTTAAAAGTTTACCTCTGGGTACAATTGCAGTTCTGACAACACAGATCACTTCATCAAGCTGGATTAAACTGGGATAATATGTATTTAGGTGTAGCGTTCTGGTGAGGTTCTTGTCACGTCTGTGTTCTATTTTCTCTGTGCCAGCTTCTCAGATGTCCCTCTTTCTCCACCTCCACAGTTCCTTCTTCCCAGAGCTGCAGAAATGTGACACTGATGACGACATAGCTATGTGCTTCATTAAGAATGAGGAGGACTTTGATAAGTACATCCAGTACCTGGTGGGGCGGATACAGGCCGAGTCTGTCATTCTCAGCAAAGCCATTCAGGAGTTCTACAAGGTAGCATATTAACCAAAGTACATGCCACACATCGGGAATGAAGCCTTGTATAACCCCACTGCTTTATGAAATGCAAAGCCCAATGGTGGGTCATACCACTGAATATCTAGGGATTCCATTGGAGTTGCATATATAATATAATATAATAGGATTATTAGATAGGTAGGAAATTATTAAAAAACAGGGTTTAGTAATCTTCACAGTGGGATGAAGCTCTCATTAGTGGCAGAAAAATTCAGAGTGATATTACTGTAAAGAGCCGTAGCCACATACGTTCATATTGTCAAGGAGGATCAAACCTAGGACGTTTCATTTGAAAATGCACAAGCTCCTTTAGATCTTAGTAATGATCCACCTGTTCCTGTCTTAGGCCAGCCAGTACTGGGAGTCTTGATCAATACACAGAGACTTTGCAATAATAGTTAACAGAATCTGACGAGAGCTATGGTGCCTTTAAGACGTGCACTGTATGTGGACTCAAGGGTACAATGTTAACCAGATGTCTACGGGTAGAGGAAAGAAGTGTTGCTCCTTCCCATCATATTGTGCCATTTTCTAAGCAGCATATTGCATTTTATTATTAATTATAGCATCAACAGTGTGCTGGGTGCCTTACAGGCAAGTGAAAAGACACAGTCACTGCCCCCAAGCAGCTTACCAAGTCGACAACCAACAGGGAAGGGATGCAACAAGAAAGCAAAGGGGTAGAGTGGTGAGGCTTCACAGTTTTGGAGGGGATTAAGGCTTGTGGGATTTACTCTTTCTTCTTATGCTCAGACTGACTTGCTGGGAAGACTAAGGTATATAGGTCAGTGTTGTGTGATCTTGTCATTTTGGGCCATTTTTTGCATCACAGCATTCTTTATAGTTGTATATTTTCCCCCAGAGATATACAGAGGAAACATTAGCCAGTGAGGATCCGTCCCAGCCACCTATACCTCCACTGCAGCACTATTTAGAGAGACCCATAAACAGGATCCAGCAGTATCAAATTATAATCAAGGTAAGGAGCTTCCAATAGATTCTTACCACTCCTAGTGTGATGGATTTGCCTTCCATTTTGGAGAGCCTTTGGAGAAAATGGACCTGATCAGTTACCCTGGCTTCACACTAGTATAACACCATTGGAATTGCTCTCGAGCAAGGGAGATCAGAATCAGGGCCAAAGTTCGTGCACTTGAATAGTTTTGTAAACTTAACTCGTTTGAGAAGTTCACAAAGTCTCAAACACCACACGATTTGCCCAGCTTTAGCTGAATGCTCTAAAAATGGTTACATCCATGAAGAATATAAATTCGCCACGTGTGGCAACATATCTGTTATAAAAGCAACTAGTTTTCAATGCACATGTCATTGACTTGTCAACACAGGCAACTTCCCTCCCTGTTTTTTCAGGCAGAATTCAAGGTAAGACAAGGCAGATAATGTAAGAGCTACCTTCCCACCTACTGCAAATCTTTGCTGTTTCAAGAGCTGAGCCCAAAGCAAATCATTTCTGAAGGTTCTGAAACATTTCACTATCTGAGGATTTAATTTATATATATATGTATACATACACACATACATAATATTTGTTGTAATGTTTATTATATACTACATAAAACTGGGCATGTTTAGTCGTAAGAAAAGCAGACTGAAAGGGGACCTGATAGACTTCAAATATGTTAAGGGCTGTTCTAAAGAGGATGGTGAAGATAGGATGAGAGGTAATGGGCTTAATCTGAAGCAAGGGAAAGCTTTCTAACTATCAGGATAGCTTATCTCTGGAATAGGTTATGACAGGTTGTGGAATCTTTGTCACTGGAGGTTTTTAAGAACAGATTTGGCAAACACCTGTGATGGATCATCAGGTTTCCTTGGTCCTGCCTCAGCCTGGGGGGAGGAACTAGATGATCTCCTGAGGTTCCCTTCCAGCGCTACATTTCTAAGATGCCCTGATTCTATTTTTGGGCTTCTTCTATGCTTCCATGTTCCAGCCAGGACCAGAAGCAGAGTGTCAAAATACCCCTTCTTGTAGTTCTTTCAGTCTGAGTAGAAGGAAATAATATCAGGAGCCCCCAAAATTGCTAAATTTTTACAAATACAGATTTTACAAATTTAAGAGATTTAAATAGTTTGGAGAAGGTTCAAACATGCCTTTGAATTATGCCCACCTGTCTGGTCATACACACCAACATTTTTGAAGGTTCTCCTGATGCTTGTTTGGAGCCCCTGTACAAACACTACCTGAAAATGAAAGAGAAGAACAAATGTAATATTTACATTCATTTTGGCAGAAAAGTGTAGGTTGACGTTGATAGATATTTGCTGCATGCCCTTCCCTTCTTACTTTCACTGCATTGACGGTTGTATTTTAGCACCATCCCTTGTTTGACTCATTGTGGTGCCTTGATACCGTTGTAATAATTAAATTAGAAATACGCTGATAAGTATGTGGATCTCTTCACTGTTCAGTTTTCAATCAGCCAGACAAGTATCCTACTTGTGGGCTTCACTTCAGCTGTGTCTCCACTCACTAATAACTATTTGAAGGGCGGTGTGGCATGGTTAGTCAAAGAGGCCATGCATGTGGAATGGAAAGAAACTGACCAACAAGTGGTGAAAGAGTGGGGCAAAGGTGGCCCCGCATGGAGAGCTGGATCACAGACTCCCACACGGTGATGTCTGGACTGCATGGGGATACCAATAGAATGCAAACTCTTGGAAATGTCCAGTAACAGCTGCTTTGTTCACTTGTAGGAATTAATCCGAAATAAAGCAAGAAACAGCCAAAACTGTGCATTGCTGGAGCAGGCTTATGCCATTGTGTCCGCACTCACCCAGCGTGCAGAAAACAACCTCCATATCTCACTCATTGAGAACTATCCAGGGACCCTGGAAATTCTAGGAGAACCCATCCGACAGGTAATTAGAAACTCTGAATGAGGACAGTCAGTGCTTAATGCTCTTCCTGCCTTTGATAGGCCTTAAGTGGTCCATATTCTTTAGTGGCTTCTATACAAATTGTCATTGAAACAGAAAATCAGCTTAACACCCACCAAAGTGATTATCATTAATTCTGTGTTGTTGCGTATAATAAATTGCAGAATGTGACAGAGATGGACCTTCTGAATTGACTAAGCTTGAGAGCCTCTGAGCATAGAAAGTAACTCCCCTCCCCATGGGTATATAGGTGTTTGTCTTCACAACTCACCATCCAAACAGCAGGAAATCCTGTTTGGGGCATGTTTAATGGCTCATGTCTTGCACCCATGTGCTGATTAAGCTGTCCACAGTATATGTTGTCAAAAATATATGGACCAAATCCTATTCTCATTGAAGTTGATGAGACTTTTCCAATTACACTTATGGAACTAGAATTTGGCCTTAAGTTTTCATTGCATATGTTTCCCCAAGTAATACACTTTTGTTTTTAAAGCTCAGTTTTAAAATGCATATCTATTCAAGTCAACGTGGGTAACATTGTATATGCTTTATATGAAATCATGAGATTTGTTTCTCGATATCTTAGCCCTCACAATCCATATAATTTCAGAAGCTCTGTCTGCCTCTCTACCTGTTTCTTTAGAAATGAATGGATGGATTTCAAGATACCACATAGGACATAATTTGAAATTATATTTAATTTTTTTAGTAGCTTTAGCCCTGGTGAAAGATGCCTGGCTGGCAATCCTGGAGATTTATATCGGGTATTTATTTGTAGGCAAAGGAGTAATTTAAAAGATAATGTTGGGACTAAAACTGTACGCAGATTAGGAGTAGTGCCATTTTGAATGCATCACATGTAATGGTAAGGATCATCTGCTATGCTGCAATAAAAGCTAAGGTGGATGGGATGGAGGATGGAACACAGAACAATTGCTATTCAGTAGCTAGGAAGTGATAGAGAGACACCATGAAAGTAGTTCAGCAATCATTTCTACTTATTATTTCCTGCTTTCTTTTCCAGGGTCACTTCATAGTGTGGGAAGGAGCTCCAGGAGCCAGAATGGCATGGAAAGGTCACAACCGACATGTCTTCCTCTTCAAGAATTATATCCTGATCTGCAAACCCAAGCGAGACACCAAGACAGACACCTACAGCTACATCTTCAAGAACATGATGAAGGTCTAACCATTACTTTTACCTCCCCACTAGTACAATTGCTCTCTTTTTTTCAGTCTACTTCTCTCTCTCTTGATATGCAGTTGCTGGTCATCAGAAAACATGACATTTCACTTATCCTTTCAAATTGTTCTTTTGTTTCCAAAATTCCCTACAACACAGATAGAACCTGCATTATCTACTGAAATACATTTGTTAGCTCTCCAAGTCAGGTAGAATATATGTCATAAACCACCAGAGAGCAAACGAACAGGCTTTCACTGCGCAGTAGTGAGGATACATATAAGATGTTATGGTCATCCCAGCAGGAAGCCCACTGAAGCCAATGAAATTAGCCAGGTGGCAAATTTGGACTGAGGCGGTTTCTGTAGTTTATTCAAGTCAGTAAATTGGAATAGTTTCCATTTCAGTCTAATGCTGTACTTCCAATAATTGTCCTCTGCCAACAAAAGAATTGGGCAGGCCCATCTTAAGTCATTTGTCCCCATAGTATAAGAACATCACATAAGAAAATAAGAGCTGCCATGCTGGGTCAGACCAATGATCCACACAGCTCAGTATCCTGTCTCTGACAGTAGCCAGGACCAGAGCTCCAGGGAGAGTGTACAGAACAGGGAAATTCGGGAATGGTCTGCTCCTGTCTTCCACTCCTGGCTTTTACCAGTCAGAGGTTTAGGGTCACCTTGAGAATGGGGTTGCATCCCTGACCATCTTGGCTAATAGCCATTGATGGCCTTATTCTCCATGTCCATCACAACAATGGCAATAAGTTCCACAGGTTAATTGTGTGTATAATTATAAGAAATTGAGAGTGGATTTTCAGAGTGGATTTTCAGAGCTCAACTCCTACTAAGAGTCAATGGGTGTTGGGTGGTCTAACTCCCATAGGCCCCTTTGAAAATCCCCATCTCATTCTTATTTGACAATCACATGCACGGTCTGTGTTTCCCAGCTGGATTGTCTTGCTCTCCGTATGATATCTGCTGTGCAGTTTCTCTTCATGTTGCTACTAGTAGCCTGTGTTGTTTCTCGCTATGAACCTCTAGAATAAAGATCTCAGCGTTGCTGTTCTGTTGATGCTGGCTTGTAGCTCATGTGGAATATTCTTTTAACATTAAGTAATTCTTTTTCCTGAAAATAATAATTCACCGGGGTCAGACTTTAAGCTGCCTGTTTGCTATATACAATTAGGTAAATAGCACAAAGCACTACATAGTGGGCTGAATTGTCAATTACACATAGGCCACTTTGCATGGCTCAGGCAGCGGAAAGGGACCTTCAAGAGGGTGTAAATTACATTTACACTCACTTTAATGCCCTTTTGATGTAAATGAGAATCAGGGCCACTGTGTTCTAGGCAACAACTCTGCATTGGCAATGGGGGATTAGATGACACCTAATAGAATTGACCCCTCTTACATTTTTATGGAGATGGTTCTGACTCTCAAAGATTAGATCTAGATCTGAACTTTCCTAAATGTTGGGGCTTTGTTAGGAGCCAGGGCTTTGGTTCAGACTCGTGTCTAATTTCTGTCATGCGACTGAAGACACTTAATTGACTTTCTTACTGTCCTCCTGGTCACCCAGCTGTCCCACATAGATGTGAACGACCTGGTGGAAGGAGATGACCGGGCATTTGAGATCTGGCATGAGCGAGAAGACTCTGTCCGCAAGTACCTACTTCAAGCTCGTACGGTCATCATCAAGAACTCCTGGGTGAAGGAAATCTGTGGTATACAGCAACGTATCAGCCTGCCTGTGTGGAGTGAGTATAGTCAGGAAGATCGATTGAACCTCTGCTAAAACTAATTGATGCCTCTCCAGTTCAGAAGTGCAAGTGATGAATGGCTTTGCTGCTAAGATTAGCTCTGCAAGGAGGAGAGAGCCATCACGGCCAGCGTTATACCTCTGACGCTTAACTAAGGGCTGGCCTAATTATGTCAGGGTCTACACTACAGCCTTCCTCCCACCGATGTAAGTCCCATACTACACCGACATCATAACTCTACCTCCATGAGAGGTGTAAGTCTTAGGTTGGTGTAGTTAGGGTGACACAGGGTCTGTGTAGACACTGTCCCTTACATTGACTGTTGACTGTCGCGTCAGTTTCACAGCAGGACCTGTGAAATTCACAAGAAAACCGGGCAATTAGGGCCCTGCTGCCCCCAGATCCCTTGGAGAACTGGGCAGAGGGACCCCACTCCCGGCTGGGAGCCAGGGGGAGAATGGACCCCTCTCCCAGCTGGGAGCCAGGGGGAGAAGCCTGGGCAGCTGGACCCAGCTGGGAGCCGGGGCAAGAAGCTCAGGTGGCTTCTCCCCACCCCAGCTTCTAGCTAGGAGTCAGGCAGCCTTGTTAATGTCAGGGCTCCCTGAGCTGTAAAATTGACATGGCTGTCCTGCTCCTGTCTGGGAGCAGGGGGAGAGGGGAGTGGGAGAAGCCAGGGCCTCTGGACCCTTCTCCCCAGGGGTAAGAAGCCCAGGGAAGCTTCCCCCAGCTCTCCACTGGGAACAGGGAGTGGAGGTGGGGGGACAGCCCTCCAGGAGCCTGTGGGGGCCTGCCAGGTTCCCGGCAGGCTGCTGCCAGCAGAGCTGAGAGACCAGGCTCTGAGCTCCCGCCACTGCCCCTCTTAGGTCGGTGGACGGTCTCCTGATGACGCACATCACTGACCCAAGGAGGGTAGTTTGAACATAATAATTCACAGAGGTCAGACTTTAAGCTGCCTGTTTGCTATGTACCATTAGGTAGACAGCACAAAGCACTACACAGTGGGCCTAATTCTCATTTACACAGAGGGCACTTTGCACTGCTCAGCCTAATTAGTCTGAAATCACCAAGATAAAATTCAAAAAAGAAAAGTTCAAAGTCCTGCACTTAAGAATGAAAAAAATCAAATGTCCAGCTACAAATGGGGAATGATAAAATGGGGAATAATTGACTCGGCAGCAGTACTGCTGAAAAGGATCTGGGCATGATAGTGTATCATAAACTCAATATAAATCAACGTGATGCAGTTGTGAAAAACGCTAATGTCATTGTGGGGTGTCTTAACAGGAGTGTCATTTGTCAGACACGGGAGGTAACTGTCCTGCTCTACTCTGCAGTGGTGAGGCCCCAGCTGGAGAACTGTGTCCATGCTTTAGGAAGCTGAAGGGAGTCCAGAGGAGAACAATAAAAACAATAAAAGGTTTAGACAACCTGGCCTGTAAGGAAAGGCTAAAGCAATTGGGCTTGTTTAGCCTTGAGAAAAGAAGATTTGAAGGTGTAACCTGATAACAGTCTTCAAATGTGTTAAGGAATGTTATAAAGAGGACAGTGACCAGTTGTTCTGTATGCCCACTGAAAGTAGAACAAGTCGAAGGGGCTTGATCTGCAACAAATAAGATTTATGTTAGATATTAGGAAACTCTTTCTAACTCTAGGGGTAGTTAAGCTCTGGAATAGGCTTCCAAGGGAGTATGTGGAATCTCTGGTTTCACAGTAGCAGCCATGCTAGTCTGTATCCGCAAAAAGAAAAGGAGGACTTGTGGCACCTTTGAGACTAACAAATTTATTTGAGCATAAGCTTTCGTGAGCTATAGCTGCATCCAATGAAGTGGGCTGTAGCTCACGAAAGCTTATGCTCAAATAAATTTGTCAGTCTCTAAGGTGCCACAAGTACAACTTTTCTTTTTGTGGAATCTCTGTCACTTGAGGTTTCTAAGAGGAGGTTAGACACACACATGTCAGGGATGGTCTCTAGGTGTACTTGGTCTTACCTCAGGACAGGGGGTGGGCTAGATGACCTCTCAAGGTCCCTTCCAGCCGTATATTTCTATGATTCTCCAGCACAGTTGAATAGTCCCATAGAAATCAAGAGAACTTTTGTTGCTGGGTGAGGAAATATGGCTGCTAAAACCTCTATAACGAAGACTTTGAATTAGATCCCAAGTACCCAGATTGTATTCAGAAAATATGCATTCACAGGTGCAAAGAGGTAATTGCATGCAATGGGCTTATAGCATATTTAGAAGCTACTGAGTGTGCACCTACACTTGCATATATTACAGATAAAGCCTAAGAAAATTTGGCTTCTATTTCTACTACATTTGCACAGAAAATAAGGCTGTGTATTTTAACTTTTACTAATAACCTGTTCTTATAAAGTGAGCCTTCCAAATTAATTTTTATATAACTTCTTGATATACATAAAGGTCAAAACTTAAAGTGTTTTGACAGTACGCAGTGCAGAATAAACTAGTGTGGAAAGAAGCAGGAATACATTTTGGGTGCTCAGCATTTTCTGAAAAAGAGGATTCTTTAAGGTGTCTCACACTGGGCAGCCAAAAATGGAAGCTCCCAGAACCACTAGTCAGTTTTGAAAATCTTGGCCGAAGGAACTGCGAAGGCTATAGAGTGAGTCAGAACGAAGGATAAAACTCAGCATTCCTGTCCCCCAGGTCTAAAATCACTAGCCAACACATGGTGATCTCTGTTTATCCACAAACAATTTGCAACACCGTGAAGTCATTAGTACCCGTTGGTTAATAAACTCTCCATTTCAGGTATCCCATGTTGAAACTTTAAGGTTTGCAAAACTCAGCCATCCTGCGTGTCCTTTTCCTTCATTGCATTAGTCATTCTTCAGACAGAACCACTAAAAATGCCTAATAAATCTCTTTTCTTTCAGTTCCTCCGGATTTTGAGGAAGGACTGGCTGACTGTACAGCTGAGCTGGGTGAAACTGTCAAATTGGCTTGCAAAGTGACAGGAGCTCCTAAGCCAGTAGTCGCTTGGTATAAAGGTATAGTCAGCATTGTGCTGTCATGAGATATGTACTCCTAGTTTACGTGGCACTCACACTAATCCATACCAAGTTCTTGGTAGCTGATCATTTAACTGAATTGCATGTTTTCCCAGCAACATTATAATTAGTTTTTACTTGCAGTGAAAACATCTTTGCTGAAAGTTGACACCCAATACAAAGCCGTTTCACGTGCCTCTCACTGCATTTAAGTCTTTTCCTTTTACAAAAAGAACAGGAATACTTGTGGCACCTTAGAGACTAACAAATTTATTAGAGTATAAGCTTTCGTGGGCTACAGCCCACTTCATCGGATGCATAGCATGGAACATATAATAAGAAGATATATATATACACATACAGAGAAGGTGGAAGTTGCCATACAAACTGTAAGAGGCTAATTATTTAAGATGAGCTATTATCAGCAGGAGAAAAAAAAACTTTTCTTGCGATAATCAAGGTGGCCCATTTAGACAGTTGACAAGAAGGTGCGAGGATACTTAACATGGGGAAATAGATTCGATATGTGTAATGACCCAGCCACTCCCAGTCTCTATTCAAACCCAAGTTAATGGTATCTAGTTTGCATATTAATTCAAGCTTGGCAGTTTCTCGTTGGAGTCTGTTTTTGAAGCTTTTCTGTTGCAAAATTGCCACCCTTAAGTGTTTTACTGAGTGGCCAAAGAGGTTGAAGTGTTCTCCTACCGGTTTTTGATTCCTGATGTCAGATTTGTGTTCATTTATCCTTTTGCGTAGAGACTGTCTGGTTTGGCCAATGTACCTGGTAGAGGGTCATTGCTGGCACATGATGGCATATATCACATTGGTAGATGTAAAAAGAAAAGGAGTACGTGTGGCACTTTAGAGACTAATGAATGAGCCCCTGATGGCGTGGCTAATGTGATTAAGTCCTATGATGGTGTCACTTGAATAAATATGTGGACAGAGTTGGCATCAGGCTTTGTTGCAAGGATAGGTTCCTGGGTTAGTGTTTTTGTTATGTGGTGTGTGGTTGCTGGAGAGTATTTGCTTCAGGTTGGGGGGCTGTCTGTAAGCAAGGACTGGTCTGTCCCCAAGATCTGTGAAGGATGACCCAACACTCTCACAAATCTTGGGAGACAGGCCAGTCCTTGCCTACAGACAGCCCCCCAACCTGAAGCGAATACTCACCAGCAACCACATACCACACAACAGAACCACTAACCCAGGAACCTATCCTTGCAACAAAGCCTGTTGCCAACTGTGCCCACATATCTATTCAGGGGACACCATCACAGAGCCTAATAACATCAGCCACACTATCAGAGGCTCGTTCACCTGCACATCCACCAATGTGATATATGCCATCATGTGCCAGCAATGCCCCTTTGCCTTGTATATTGGTCAAACTGGACAGTCTCTACATAAAAGAATAAATGGACACAAATCAGATGTCAAGAATTATAACATTCATAAACCAGTCGGAGAACACTTCAATCTCTCTGGTCACGCGATTACAGACATGAAAGTTGCGATATTACAACAGAAAAACTTCAGAAACAAACTCCAAAGAGAGATTGCTGACTTGGAATTAATTTGCAAATTGGATACAATTAACTTAGGCTTGAATAGAGACTGGGAATGGTTCATTATAAAAGGTAACCTATTTCCCCTTGTTTATTCCGTCTCCCCCCCCCCACTGTTCCTCAGACGTTCATAGAATCATAGAATATAAGGGTTGGAAGGGACCCCAGAAGGTCATCTAGTCCAACCCCCTGCTCGAAGCAGGACCAATTCCCAGTTAAATCATCCCAGCCAGGGCTTTGTCAAGCCTGACCTTAAAAACCTCTAAGGAAGGAGATTCTACCACCTCCCTAAGTAACGCATTCCAGTGTTTCACCACCCTCTTAGTGAAAAAGTTTTTCCTAATATCCAATCTAAACCTCCCCCACTGCAGCTTGAGACCATTCTTCTCTTCTGCAGGCTAAACAATCCCAGCTCCCTCAGCCTCTCCTCATAACTCATGTGTTCCAGACCCCTAATCATTTTTGTTGCCCTTCGCTGGACTCTCTCCAATTTATCCACATCCTTCTGGAAGTGTGGGGCCCAAAACTGGACACAGTACTCCAGATGAGGCCTCACCAATGTCGAATAGAGGGGAACGATCACGTCCCTCGATCTGCTCGCTATGCCCCTACTTATACATCCCAAAATGCCATTGGCCTTCTTGGCAACAAGGGCACACTGCTGACTCATATCCAGCTTCTCGTCCACTGTCACCCCTAGGTCCTTTTCCGCAGAACTGCTGCCTAGCCATTCGGTCCCTAGTCTGTAGCTGTGCATTGGGTTCTTCCGTCCTAAGTGCAGGACCCTGCACTTATCCTTATTGAACCTCATCAGATTTATTTGGCCCAATCCTCCAATTTGTCTAGGTCCTTCTGTATCCTATCCCTCCCCTCCAGCGTATCTACCACTCCTCCCAGTTTAGTATCATCCGCAAATTTGCTGAGAGTGCAATCCACACCATCCTCCAGATCATTTATGAAGATATTGAACAAAACCGGCACCAGGACCGACCCTTGGGGCACTCCCCTTGATACCGGCTGCCAACTAGACATGGAGCCATTGATAACTACCCGTTGAGCCCGACAATCTAGCCAGCTTTCTACCCACCTTATAGTGCATTCTTCCAGCCCATACTTCCTTAACTTGCTGACAAGAATACTGTGGGAGACCGTGTCAAAAGCTTTGCTAAAGTCAAGAAACAATACATCCACTGCTTTCCCTTCATCCACAGAACCAATAATCTCATCATAAAAGGCGATTAGATTAGTCAGGCATGACCTTCCCTTGGTGAATCCATGCTGGCTGTTCCTGATCACTTTCCTCTCATGCAAGTGCTTCAGGATTGATTCTTTGAGGACCTGCTCCATGATTTTTCCAGGGACTGAGGTGAGGCTGACTGGCCTGTAGTTCCCAGGATCCTCCTTCTTCCCTTTTTTAAAGATTGGCACTACATTAGCCTTTTTCCAGTCATCCGGGACTTCCCCCGTTCGCCACGAGTTTTCAAAGATAATGGCCAATGGCTCTACAATCACAGCCGCCAATTCCTTCAGCACTCTCGGATGCAACTCGTCCGGCCCCATGGACTTGTGCACGTCCAGCTTTTCTAAATAGTCCCTAACCACCTCTATCTCCACAGAGGGCTGGCCATCTCTTTCCCATTTTGCGATGCCCAGCGCAGCAGTCTGGGAGCTGACCTTGTTAGTGAAAACAGAGGCAAAAAAAGCATTGAGTACATTAGCTTTTTCCACATCCTCTGTCACTAGGTTGCCTCCCTCATTCAGTAAGGGGCCCACACTTTCCTTGGCTTTCTTCTTGTTGCCAACATACCTGAAGAAACCCTTCTTGTTACTCTTGACATCTCTGGCTAGCTGCAGCTCTAGGTGCGATTTGGCCCTCCTGATATCATTCCTACATGCCCGAGCAATATTTTTATACTCTTCCCTGGTCATATGTCCAACCTTCCACTTCTTGTAAGCCTCTTTTTTATGTTTAAGATCCGCTAGGATTTCACCATTAAGCCAAGCTGGTCGCCTGCCATATTTACTATTCTTTCGACTCATCGGGATGGTTTGTCCCTGTAACCTCAACAGGGATTCCTTGAAATACAGCCAGCTCTCCTGGACTCCTTTCCCCTTCAAGTTAGTCCCCCAGGGGATCCTGGCCATCCGTTCCCTGAGGGAGTCGAAGTCTGCTTTCCTGAAGTCCAGGGTCCGTATCCTGCTGCTTACCTTTCTTCCCTGCGTCAGGATCCTGAACTCAACCAACTCATGGTCACTGCCTCCCAGATTCCCATCCACTTTTGCTTCCCCCACTAATTCTACCCGGTTTGTGAGCAGCAGGTCAAGAAAAGCGCCCCCCCCCAGTTGGCTCCTCTAGCACTTGCGCCAGGAAATTGTCCCCTACGCTTTCCAAAAACTTCCTGGATTGTCTATGCACCGCTGTATTGCTCTCCCAGCAGATATCAGGAAAATTAAAGTCACCCATGAGAATCAGGGCATGCGATCTAGTAGCTTCCGTGAGCTGCCGGAAGAAAGCCTCATCTACCTCATCCCCCTGGTCCGGTGGTCTATAGCAGACTCCCACCATTACATCACTCTTGTTGCACACACTTCTAAACTTAATCCAGAGACACTCAGGTTTTTCTGCAGTTTCGTACCGGAGCTCTGAGCAGTCATACTGCTCCCTTACATACAGTGCTACTCCCCCACCTTTTCTGCCCTGCCTGTCCTTCCTGAACAGTTTATAACCATCCATGACAGTACTCCAGTCATGTGAGTTATCCCACCAAGTCTCTGTTATTCCGATCACGTCATAGTTCCTGTTAAACCCTTGATTTGTGCTGGAAATGGCCCACCTTGATTATCATACACATTGTATAGAGAGTGATCACTTTAGATAAGCTATTACCAACAGGAGAGTGCGGGGTGGGGGAGAGAAAACCTTTTGTAGTGATAAACACCCATTTTTTCATGGTCTGTGTGTATACAAACATCTTCTGTATCTTCCACAGTACGCATCCAATGAAGTGAGCTGTAGCTCACGAAAGCTTATACTCAAATAAATTGGTTAGTCTCTAAGGTGCCACAAGTACTCCTTTTTAAGATCTGTGAAAGTGAGGGATCATTTTTCAGGATAAGTTGTAAATCTTTGATGATGCGCTGGAGAGGTTTTAGTTGGGGGCTGAAGGTGACAGCTAGTGGCGTTCTGTTATTTTCTTTGTTGGTCCTGTCCTGTAGTAGGTGAATTCAGGGTACTCTTCTGGCTCTGTCAATCTGTTTTTTTCACTTCAGCAGGTGGATATTTTAGTTTTAAGAATGCTTGATAGAGATCTTGTAGATGTTTTTCTCTGTCTGAGGGATTGGAGCAAATGTGGTTGTATCTTAGAGCTTGGCTGTAGACAATGGATCATGTGGTGTGGTCTGGATGGAAGCTGGAGGCATGTAGGTAAGTATAGCGGTCAGTAGGTTTCCGGTATAGGGTGGTGTTTATGTGACCATCGCTTATTAGCACAGTAGTGTCCAGGAAATGGACCGCTTGCGTGGATTGATCTAGGCTGAGGTTGATGGTGGGATGGAAATTGTTGAAATCATGGTGGAATTCCTTAAGGGCTTCTTTTCCATGGGTCCAGATGATGAAGATGTCATCAATATAGCGCAAGTAGAGTAGGGGCGTTAGGGGACGAGAGCTGAGGAAGCGTTGTTCTAAGTCAGCCATAACAATGTTGGCATACTGTGGAGCCATGCGGGTACCCATAGGAGTGCCACTGACTTGAAGGTATATATTGTCCCCAAATGTGAAATAGTTGTGGGTGAGGACAAAGTCACTAAGGTCAGCCACCAGGTTTGCCGTGACATTATCGGGGATACTGTTCCTGCTAGCTTGTAGGCCATCTTTTACATCCTTTTAGAACACACCATAATCAACAAGATCCTTCACCACACAGGAGAGACTTCAGGAGAGTTTTCGTGTTTACACGAGGACAAAGCATGACAGGTGATGAGCACCTGCAGTGCCCATTGAGATCAGGATTTAGCTCATGGTGGATACAATGTCTCCTCAGCTGTGTTCTCAGGGTGCATTGCAGAGAAGGAAGATGAAGAGCTCATTCTTCAGCCATTCTGACCTTATGCAATGTGTAGCTGTTTTTAGAAAGGCAAATACAGCTCTAAGCCCCCTTATCTCTATGCCTTTCTCTATCCTGGGGATAGCCAAGGTCCAAAGTGGAAGAAAAAGGTACAGTTCCCAAACAGAGGATGTAAACTGATGCTGCGTTTAATGAGGGATTTTTCTTTCTTTTATTTTTAAGATGGCAAACCAGTGGAGATGGATCCCCATCACATTATAATAGAAGATCCTGATGGTTCCTGTACATTGATCCTGGACACTCTGACGGGTATTGACTCAGGACAGTACATGTGTTTTGCCACCAGTCCGGCTGGTAATGCCAGTACACTAGGAAAGATCCTTGTTCAAGGTAAAGTCCTATACAGATACATTGTTTTAAAGTGCTATTCACCACTTCCCTGCTGTGTATTATATTAGGTATGTGCATTAAAACATGCAGGCAGTTCTGCATTACGTTCCTGGCATGTCCTCTTTGAAGCACCCTCTGATAGCTCAGGAATAGCGAATCAGAAAGTCAAATCTCTTTCTTGGTCTGCTACCAATGGGAGGGATCCAGTCAGGCCACAGACCTGTGTTGTATGTTTTGATTGTTGTCGTGTTTATTAAGTTTATTCTTATTTTCTAGTGCCACCGAGGTTTGTGAACAAGGTTAGAAATGCTTATTATGTTGAAGATGAAGATGTTCAGTTTACCTGCACCATTGAAGGAGCACCGTATCCTCAAAGCAGGTCAGTTCTTGGAGTTATTTCTTGACAGAAACCAAATGTTTGGGTGGTTTCCTCAAGAAATTTATTGTAGCAATTGTGTGGGAGGGAAAAACCTTCAAATAATAATTGATATGGGACTCTATCAGATCTAATGTGCTGATGTATATTTTGGGGTTCCTTTAACTATCCTCACCCAGCATGCATTCACTTCACCAACCAAGTGTTCTGGGCAGTCCATCATGACATTCTTTCTAGCAGCGGAAACTCAGTACAGCATCCTCTGAAGCCTGGCAATGCTGCTCTATGCATTGGCTTGAGGCATTTCATGAGAACACCGTAAGACTCTGGTTTTCCACGGGGGATGAGTGTGCTCCCTCCACAGTGATTCACATCCCTGAAAATGCAGAGAGCATGAGTTTTAGCTGGGACCTAAACTTGTATCTCCGGCCTGGGAGTGTTTTGCTCTGCCGACTGGGTTGATGGGCGAGTGACTCGTTGAAATGTCACATTTTGCCTTAGACTTGCTATTTTCCATGCACAGGTGGTATAAAGATGGTGCCCTGCTGACAGACATCAATAAATACCAGACTTTTAGTGAGCCACGGAGTGGCGTGTTAGTCTTGGTGATCAAAAATGCTTCTAAGGAAGACATGGGACACTATGAATGTGAAGTAAGTTCAAACAGATTTCAACAGCTGCTGTTTGACTCATCATAATGTAAGAATTTCTTCTCTCTGGGGACAGATTTTTGACTGTGTTATTGCATCTGAAGTGTTACACACAGCGTACCAAGAAGCTCAAAATAAAGGAGGGATGGACCCAACTGTTCGGGGATACTCTGATCTGAGATTTTGGTTCATCAATTAATATAACAATGAGGCAGTTTGGAAATCAGAGTCAGAGCTGAGTTGAGATTCCAAATCTACCCCAGGCAACATTCAAATGTTCTGATGTGGAGTTTTGCTTTGGGCTCATCACTAAATTAAAGAGATCCAGACAAACATCCAGACAAGAAAAAGTACTTTTGGGCTTCAGCCAAAAGGGCAACCATTGAAATTCTCTTTTATTTCAAAAGATTAGCAGGAAGTAACTAAGAAAATCAAATCATATATGTCAGGGCAGGCAATTTCAATTACTTCAAAAAAGAAATTGCACTTCATTTTTTGTAGTAAGTCAGTAGTAAATCCTTAGTAGGAAATTAGAAAAGGAGTACTTAGAATCATAGAATCATAGAATATCAGGGTTGGAAGGGACCCCAGAAGGTCATCTAGTCCAACCCCCTGCTCGAAGCAGGACCAATTCCCAGTTAAATCATCCCAGCCAGGACTTTGTCAAGCCTGACCTTAAAAACCTCTAAGGAAGGAGATTCTACCACCTCCCTAGGTAACGCATTCCAGTGTTTCACCACCCTCTTAGTGAAAAAGTTTTTCCTAATATCCAATCTAAACCTCCCCCACTGCAACTTGAGACCATTACTCCTCGTTCTGTCATCTGCTACCATTGAGAACAGTCTAGAGCCATCCTCTTTGGAACCCCCTTTCAGGTAGTTGAAAGCAGCTATCAAATCCCCCCTCATTCTTCTCTTCTGCAGGCTAAACAATCCCAGCTCCCTCAGCCTCTCCTCATAACTCATATGTTCCAGACCCCTAATCATTTTTGTTGCCCTTCGCTGGACTCTCTCCAATTTATCCACATCCTTCTGGAAGTGTGGGGCCCAAAACTGGACACAGTACTCCAGATGAGGCCTCACCAATGTCGAATAGAGGGGGACGATCACGTCCCTCGATCTGCTCGCTATGCCCCTACTTATACATCCCAAAATGCCATTGGCCTTCTTGGCAACAAGGGCACACTGCTGACTCATATCCAGCTTCTCGTCCACTGTCACCCCTAGGTCCTTTTCCGCAGAACTGCTGCCTAGCCATTCGGTCCCTAGTCTGTAGCTGTGCATTGGGTTCTTCCGTCCTAAGTGCAGGACCCTGCACTTATCCTTATTGAACCTCACCAGATTTCTTTTGGCCCAATCCTCCAATTTGTCTAGGTCCTTCTGTATCCTATCCCTCCCCTCCAGCGTATCTACCACTCCTCCCAGTTTAGTATCATCCGCAAATTTGCTGAGAGTGCAATCCACACCATCCTCCAGATCATTTATGAAGATATTAAACAAAACCGGCCCGAGGACCGACCCTTGGGGCACTCCACTTGATACCGGCTGCCAACTAGACATGGAGCCATTGATCACTACCTGTTGAGCCCGACAATCTAGCCAACTTTCTACCCACCTTATAGTGCATTCATCCAGCCCGTACTTCTTTAACTTGCTGACAAGAATATTGTGGGAAACCATGTCAAAAGCTTTGCTAAAGTCAAGAAACAATACATCCACTGCTTTCCCTTCATCCACAGAACCAGTAATCTCATCATAGAAGGCGATTAGATTAGTCAGGCACGACCTTCCCTTGGTGAATCAATGCTGACTGTTCCTGATCACTTTCCTCTCATGTAAGTGCTTCAGGATTGATTCTTTGAGGACCTGCTCCATGATTTTTCCGGGGACTGAAGTGAGGCTGACTGGCCTGTAGTTCCCAGGATCCTCCTTCTTCCCTTTTTTAAAGATTGGCACTACATTAGCCTTTTTCCAGTCATCTGGGACTTCCTCCGTTCACCACAAGTTTTCAAAGATAACTATCCTGAAGGATGACCCAACACTCTCACAAATCTTGGGAGACAGGCCCATCCTTGCCTACAGACAGTCCCCCAACCTGAAGCAAATACTCACCAGCAACCACATACCACACAACAGAACCACTAACCCAGGAACCTATCCTTGCAACAAAGCCCGTTGCCAACTGTGCCCACATATCTATTCAGGGGACACCATCACAGGGCCTAATAACATCAGCCACACTATCAGAGGCTCGTTCACCTGCACATCCACCAATGTGATATATGCCATCATGTGCCAGCAATGCCCCTCTGCCATGTACATTGGTCAAACTGGACAGTCTCTACGTAAAAGAATAAATGGACACAAATCAGATGTCAAGAATTATAACATTCATAAACCAGTCTTCATAAACTTCAATCTCTCTGGTCACGTGATTACAGACATGAAAGTTGCGATATTACAACAGAAAAACTTCAAATCCAGACTCCAGCGAGAGACTGCTGACTTGGAATTCATTTGCAAATTGGATACAATTAACTTAGGCTTGAATAGAGACTGGGAGTGGCTAAGTCATTATGCAAGGTAACCTATTTCCCCTTGTTTTCCAAACCCCCACCTCCTTCCTCAGACGTTCTTGTTAAACCCTTGATTTGTGCTGGAAATGGCCCACCGTGATTATCATACACATTGTAAGGAGAGTGGTCACTTTAGATAAGCTATTACCAGCATGAGAGTGGGGTGGGGGGAGGTATTTTTTCATGCTTTGTGTGTATAAAAAGATCTTCTACACTTTCCACAGTATGCATCCGATGAAGTGAGCTGTAGCTCACAAAAGCTTATGCTCAAATAAATTGGTTAGTCTCTAAGGTGCCACAAGTACTCCTTTTCTTTTTGCGAATACAGACTAACACGGCTGTTACTCTGAAACCAGTAGGAAATAAGTAACATAAATTGCACTGAACTGGGATGTGCACACTCAAGGGATCTGCTTCATGAGTATATTTCCCAAGGGCCAGATTCTTCTACTGCGGGATCCAGCTGACTTCTGTTGAAGTTACTTGAATCTTGCCCTTGGATTTAGTTGAGCCATTTATGCAGTCCTGTATTGCACATATGGCCTTGGCTGCAGTAGGGTAAAGTGTGGATTGACTGTATAAAATTATCCTACATTTTACTGAGTATTGCTTGATTCTTGTTAGCTGACGAACAGATTAGGTTCAGCAAGGAGTGGAGCGGATCTTTGCCAGCAGAGTGCAGCATTACTGGCCCAGGAGAAGAGAGGAGACCAAGCCATTACTATAGAAGGTATGACCCTTTGCCAGCTCTGTAAGTATATCATTGAATTACCCTAAAGTCGTCATCTTGAGGGCTGAATATATTTGCCATCTTATCATACAGTCTTATTCATGTTGATTGTCAGCGTACATGTGTCTGTATGTCCATCTATGCGTGTATGCGTATACTGCAGATCATGTATACCCATCACGTACTTAGTTGATTTCCAAGCCGATGAAATCAATGGATTATCTTACCATATAATGTTTATGGAATCCATTAAATGGCAAAGGAGGAGCAGCTTATTTTGCTGCCACTAAGTCTGGTGATTTTGTGATTCTTTCCATTTGATCTAGCAATAGTAGTGTTTCAGTCTAGAGGCAGAATGTGATATGAGCTACACTGAGGAAAGACCGGACTCAATAACTAAAGCACAGCAGAAATACGGTGGTCTCTAAAATGACACAGGAGAATATGTGGAATTGTCAAAGAAATACATCTGATGGATCAGCTGTATTTCCAAGCACGTGTGTGAATAAGTATTAATTTATCTGTTAGCAAGAGATATATTGATATTAAACATCACATGTTCATGGAATCCATTCCTTTTTTATGAGTGTTTTTGGTTTGTTTATTTAACTTAAATTGGTAAGAAGAATCCAGTGGAGAGGTCTTTCTCTTCATTTCTTAAGAGGGCCGTTGTCCTAAGTTATCTTGTTCTTTGAATTATTTCTACCATAAATATGTAAAGAAAACAAACTACACCCTTCATAAGTGTGCTTAGGCAACACTGAATGTCAGAGGTTTGCAAACAGCTAAGGAAGTTATTTTTCTCCTTCCAGTGATTGTGCATAGATACATTCCATTGTAGCTGTATGTGCATTCAGTGCACTCAAGTGGGAGACTTTTGCCAGCAGTACCCTAGAGGGCACATGCCCCCTGCTTCCCTTGTGCTCAGAGCTGAGGGCATAAAAGGGGCATGGCTGCTGCCTCCTTCTCAGTTACTTCTGTGGCGAGAGTTGGGAGTTCCCTGTGGCTCCTTAGCTTCAGTTAGCCGATCTCTAGACAGAGATTTCTCTAAATGCATATGGTTCTAATGATAGTTTAGACTTAAGATAGTTTAGTATGGTTTAGTTTATTAGATAGTTAGTTCTTTCATTTGGGGGCTTAGTATGGAGAAATCTCCAAGATTCAAACAATGTGCCATATGCAGGCATAGAAGCTGGAACTAGGGGAGCTGCTGCTGCACCCCCTGATGGCTTGAAGTGGTTTCCATTATATACAGGGTTTACAGTTTGGTTCAATGGCTCTCTGCACCCCCCACTATAAAAATTGTTCCAGCACCCCTGTATACAAGGCATAATCCTAGTTACAGATAAGCACTAGAGAAGAGAGAGAGAAACATGGAAGGAAAGCAAGAAACTCACCACCTGGAGTCATCCTCCTGGATCCTACCGTCTCTTGAGGACGACACACTGCTCGAGGCCAGAGAAATGAGCAGCCCCTGAGAATGGGGACCCTGTCTCCCTCGTAGCCACAGTTAGTCAGGAACCTTTTCTCACAAACCCAGCCCCAGCTAACGGGGCATCCCTGCCTGGAATACTCAGTAATAGACTAGCCTGAGAAACAAGTACAGGAAGTTCTGCTCCAGAGCAGGCCGCAGCCTGGGCTCTGTCATGGATGCCTTCCTTCTTCCCTGGTCAAGCCATCTGCTGTATGCATTACCTCCAGTCCTTCTCATTTTGAGGGTGATCAGGAAACTAAAAAAAGACAAGACAACCATAATCTTTGTAGTGCCGGCCTAGCCAAGATAGTACTGGTTCATGTACCTACACCAACTCTCCATTTAGTCACTCATAACTTTACCCCTTGTTGACAATCTCCGGCTCAAAACCAATGTCTCTGCATCCCAACTGGCAATCTCTCCGCATGGATGATCTCTTGTTGAGTAATCAGGAGAGATTATGCTCCCAAGATGTCCAAGCGATCTTGGTAAGCAAGAGAATGGATTCCACCTGAGTGACATGCAGTGAAATGGAAAAGGTTTTTGATCTGGGCAGAATCTCACCATTTATCACCAAATCTTACAGTGGTTAGACACATACTGGACTACCTACTGCATCTAACATTTTCTGATCTCTCAGTTCACTGAGAATCCATCTGGCATCTGTCTCTGCAGTACACCTTGTAGTGGCTGGCTTTTCTATCTTTTTGCATCTCGTGGCTTCCAGATTTCTAAAGGGTCTCGTTAATGTGTATCTTCTCATGTCCAATCTGGGGGTACCTTTGTGGGATCTGAATCTAGTTCTGACCCATTGAATGGGTCCCCCCTCTTTGAACCTCTGGCAACATCATCCCTTTCACTATTATCAGTGAAAACAGCATTCTTGTTAGCAATTACCTCTTACTAGGTGAGTCCAGTGCTGCTAGCACTCTTAGCTGACCCTCCTCTCACAGTTTTCCACAAACACAAAGTTTCCCTTAGGTTGCACACTAAGTTTATGCCAAAGGTGGTATCAACCTTCTACTGGGGGAGGTTTAGATTGGATATTAGGAAAAACTTTTTCACTATGAGGGTGGTGAAACACTGGAATGCATTACCTAGGGAGGTGGTAGAATCTCCTTCCTTAGAGGTTTTTAAGGTCAGGCTTGACAAAGCCCTGGCTGGGATGATTTAACTGGGAATTGGTCCTGCTTCGAGCAGGGGGTTGGACTAGATGACCTTCTGGGGTCCCTTCCAACCCTGATATTCTATGATTCTATGATTCTACTTTAATCAGATAATTCATTTCCCAATATTCTCCCCAACACCTCATCCTTTCAAGGCTGAAGAAAAGCTTCATGCCTTAGATGTATGTAGGGTTTTGGCATTTTACATAGACTATACAAATCTTTCAGATCCTGCCCCAGAATCTTTGTAGCCTATAGTGAAAGAATCAAGGGAGAATCAGATGCAGTTCAGTGTATCTCATAATGGATTTCTGACTGCATCAAGCTTTGCTTTGATCTTGCTAAGGTCTCCCTTCCACGCAGGATAACTGTGCTCCACTGGGGCTCATTCCACTTCATCAGCCTTTTTGAGCAACATTCCTATATGGGACGTGCAAAGCAGCAACATGATCATGGGTACATACCTTCCCCAGACACCATGCTATTACACAGGCTTCCTGAGAGGACGTCAGCGTCGGCAACTTGGTGTTGCAGTCTCTTTTCTAGTAATCTGCAGTCCCACCATCTGTAGGAAAACTGCTGGTGAGTCACCTCCTGGGCAATGTATACAAGCACAATCACTTGGGGAGGAAAAAATGGTTCCCTACCTGTACAATAACTGTTGTTCTTCGAGATGTGTTGTGCACACATACAGTCCATGACCTTCCCCGCTACTTCAGGAGTTAGATACACGGCGGTGCAAAGTAATGGAGAGGGAGGTGATAGCCGTATGCCTTCTGTGCTCTCTGCTCTGATCACACAAGAGTAGGGCCACATTCAATGCTTATTGGTACTGCTGGCAAAAGTCTCTGGCTCGAGTGCATTGGGCTTACATGCAGCTGTAAAGGAATGTATATGTACCCAACGCATCTCAAAGAACAAGGGTTACTGTACAGGTAAGTAAGCACTTTTTCACATCACTGGCATTTGAATAGTGACAGCACTCAGGATTTCAATGGGGGCCATGACTGGGAGAAGTGTACTCTTGACAATTACTTTTGCCTTGAAGCTAGTGTTAATGTTGGGAGTCAGAAACCATAGACTACCCAGATTAGTGTCCAGGCCTATAATTTATTTAGCCTGTTTGGAATCGTTATATGTTTCTAATGACCTAGAAAAGTTGGAATTTATTCATTATTCCCCCTAAGCGTCTGAATTCTTATAGAAACCCAGATAATCTCATACATACGCACATAATTATTTTCCTCTGCTTTATGCTCACTTCCATTGTGGCTTTGTATTATGGTGATCAAATCACTGAGGACTGCAGGGGAGAACTTTATTGGGATTATCAATAGCATAACTTAATCGGCTGGAGGGGTGCTGTTTCCGTAATATGCCCTACTCAGGGAGCGAATATGTTGAACCCAGAATGCTGATAAAAATGTACAAAACACCACCAGCGTGGCATATCTTGGTGCATTTACCTTGTAGGAGGCTAAACTGAAATTTATTATCATTTAAAGCAAGTTAGAGGAAGATGTTGTAATAAAAAGTAAGAATTGCAAAACTGCATTAAAAGTGTTGTTTAGTTTATAGCGTTGTGAGCATTTAAATTCACGTTGGAATTACTCATGTTTGTATATCATACATTTGTATAGTTCATATAAAAGAAATTATTTTGTGGCGTTGATTGAAGAAATCTAACACGGCAATTGCCTGCGGGCACCAGAAGTACTGTGAAATAAAACAATTTGTTGTTTAAACTGGAGAGATACTGGTTGTGACTAGTGGTTATTGGGTTCAAATTGGCATTGTCGAAGGAAATACGGTCCCAATGCAACTGCAGTTAGTCAGTGAAAGATGGTTCAGGGCCTTCCAGAGCAAAATGTTAAAATGAGCCGAAGTCATCCCTGTAATAGCTTCATTGCATTCGATGGAGTTGCACCAAGGATGAATTTGGCCTAATACGTGTAACTGAGAAAAGAACTATTGGTTATTTAACATCCAATAATCTATCTGGATATATCTGCTGGGAAGCCAGGCTCCCCTGGCAAAGAACAGAAGGACAGACAGACTTGATGAGAGCCATCTCTTTCCATCCTTATGATTCTGCATTTTGGTGGCGATGTTATTGTTTATGACTTCAGCAGGAAGATAAGCTATCACAGTGTGATATTATTACACTGGAGAACAGGCATTGGACCTGGCCCGCTCCCACACACCAGCACTGTTTCTGAGAGTTTTACCTATTTAATAGTTGTTTGCTGTTGGCTGTATGGTGTGATGGTTGCCAGTTCTTCCTGTGACTCTCACAGAGACTTTTGTTGCTATTGGTTTTTTCCTTGCCATTGTTTTACTGTTACCTCTCAGTTTATTTC